CTAGAATACTACTTAAGCTTAGACTTATAGAATTAAAGGAAGAACCTTACCTATTCTTTAATAATAAGTAATTAATTCTAATCCTCTTCTATATTAATAATATCCTACTTCTATTCTATTAATCCTATAAATAAGAAGCTAAAGCTATATAGAATAAAGTATTTAGTAAGTATAAAATTTAGGAATAAGAACTAGTTAAATAGTTCTTAAGAATTAGAGTAATAAAAGATTATAAAAAGAGAATAATTACTCTAGTTCATAATATATATATTAATAAGATTATAAAGAAGTTTAAACTAGAAGATAGAACCTTTCTACCTACTCTACTCCCCTTAGAAAAACTAATTCTAAATTAGGGAGAGGTAACTAAGCAAGAGGTTAAGTTATTCTAGAAAAAGATTAGATTAGTACTATATACTATAATTATAATTAGACTAGATATTACCTTTATAGTATTAAAATTATTATACTTCCTAATAAATCTAAGCAAGAAGCACTATACTATAGCTAATTAAGTAATTACCTACCTATACTAAATAAGGTATAATAGGATTAAGTATAGTAATTATAATAGCCTTAATCTTCTAATCTATAGTAATATATTATTTACTAATAATCTAGTTACTTAAACATTATCTTATAGCTATATATTAATTATATTTAGAGGACTAATCTTCTAGAAAGCTACTAGGTAACTAATAATTATAATATTAACTATAAAAGCTAAGCTAATTACTCTAGAATATATAGCTAAAGAAATAATAGTAATTAAGAGATTCTTTAGTAAACTTAAGCTTAATCTAGAGTAAGCTTAGAATATTTAGTATAATAACTAGCAAATAATTAAGCTTATAATAGGAAAGAATAAGTAGATTACTACTAAGCTATATAATATTAATATATATAACCTCTAATATACCTTATAAGTAAGCTAATTACCTAGGTAAGCTAATTACTTTTACTAAGACTATACTAAACTTTATATAACTTATAATACTATAGTAGTAACTTAGGTTCTACTATAAGTTATAGTATATAAAATTACTAAAAAATACCTTATATATTATTCTTATATATTTATATATTATACTCTACCTTACTATATATACTATAGTATTATAAAGACTAAGTGCCTAGTTTAATATATCTCTTCTTACTTACCTTCTTCTTATTACTATAGGCTTTAAACTTCTTTAGAGTAGTTAAGTATACTCCTTTACTAATAGTAAGAATCTCTTCCCTCTAGATCTACTTCTTCTTATATAATTTATAGTATATAGTAGCCTTATTAGTAGCTTAAAGCTTTATAACCTAGTTATATACTAAAACTAGTAAACATACTATTATTTCTATACCTTTAGTAAGCTAATTAAGAGTATTAACTATTAAAGTTAGTAAGCTATTTTTATATTACTAAATTCTCTCTTAAATTAGCTTTAATTATAACCTAAATTCTAGGGTATTCTATAAGGTTTAAGAGTGCTATATACTCTTATCTATAGTAGGTAGTAGTAGAGTATATAGGCATACTTTAAGCTTTAATAACATAGCCTCTAGATTAAAGGGGACTAAGCTAGCACCTCTAAATCCTCTCTAGATATTACTCCTAGTAATAGAGGTATTAAAAGCTCCTTTAAAGTATAGTAAGAATTTAAGTTTTATAATATAAGTAATCTTGCTATATATTAGTAGCTTAGCTTAATAACTATAGGCCTTCTTTATTAGGGCAAAATAACCTATATTAAGTAGCTATAATAGGTATAATAAGTAAGAAGGTATATATAGAGTAATAATCTTATATTCTTTATAATATTAGTAGAAATTAACTAAGTTATAGCTCTTATAGCTATCTAGAATAAGTAGCTAATAGCTACTAATAGTATACTCCTTTATATACTTATTAAAGTGCTTTAGCTACTTAATACTAAGCTTATTATTAGTCTAGCTATTCTTAGAGATAGTAATAACCTAGTTATAAGGTATAGATAGCTCCTTATACTAAGTAGAGAGGTAGTGCTTACCTTAGAAGATAATAAAGGGTAGGATAACCTACCTTAATATATTAATGCCCTAGATAATACTAGTCTACTCTTAGTTACCTTATTATACTATTTTTAGCCTTCCTTAATACTTAGAGCCTATAATAATAGCTCCTATAGATATAATACCTATTATAAACCTAGACTTATTAAAGTTATAGGTGTCTTTATCTAGGATACTATACTTAGCTTTAGTATTTTCTACTAGGTAGAACTAGCCCTAGATTACCTTAGAATCCTTATAGAGGGCTCTCTTATAGTTATACTTTTAATTAAACTTAACCTTAAGCTCTAGGCAATGCTTAATAAACGTGCTAGCCTAGTTCTTACTAATAGGAGGCTAGTTATATTTAGTAAGTAGAGAGTTAGCTATATCCTCTATATTAGTAAGCTAGGGCAGGTATCCTTACTTATCTAGCTTTAGAACATGCTAAATAATTACCTTCTCTTTAGTACTTATTAGTTTTCTTAATTTAGGCTTATAATGATATTATAGAGAGGCTCTAGTAAGGCATATACTAAGTATACTTTAAGAGATTTTATAGATAGCTATAGTATATTACTAAGAGAGTATTATATCTTATTAGATAGCCTTAATAGCAAGCTATATATTTACATTATTTAAGAGCTTTTTTATAAGCTTATATTAAGCTATTATAAGTTATATAAAGTTTAGTATAGGCTTAGTAAAAGTAATTAGCTTACCTAGGTAATTAGCTTACCTATAAGGTATATTATCTTAGATAGGAGTACTTAAAAAGATTATTTAAGGTTAAGTACCTTAATACTAAGAGTATACCTATAGATAGATTAACTAAGAAGCTTACTAAGTAATAGTTTAACTTATTTAAAGCACTAATTAATATTTAAGATACTTAGATTTTAGAAGGAAATATTAATTATTAGAGCTAATTATAGGTAAGGTAAATTACTAATTAAAAGAAAAGAAAAACTAGAGACTAATTAACTATATATAAGCACCTACTACTACTACTTCTTATCCTTATTACTATTATTACCTACTTTAAAGATATAATTAAAAATACTAAATATCTATATAATCTAATTAGATAATACCTTATAAGTAGTTATATACTAGCTAAGCTACTTCTTAGAAATTATAAGGTAATTAGTAGGAAAAGATTAAGTAGCTACTCTAGCCCTATTAATCCTAACTATAATCTTGTCCTACTTAGCCTACTTAGCCTCCTTCTTCTTCTAATCCTCCTTCTTCTTCTAAGCCTAAATATAGGTAGTATACTTAGTATAAGTATTATTCTTAGTAGTAAGCTAAGTATTAGTAAGAACCTACTTAAGTAATTAATAATTAAGATTAGATAATATAAGAATAGTAATAATAGGAGAGAGTAAGTAAGATATAGGAATAAGAGATTTTTTCTAAGAAGATTAGCATAGATAAAGGTATAAGAGAGTATAACTTATAGGTAGAGTAACCTTATAATTAGAAGTAGTAGCCTTAAGCTAATTATAGTATAAAGTAGAATAAGCCTAATTAGTATTACTCTTCTAAGAAATTATATAAGACTTTAAATTATATAGATAGAAAGGAGCCTTATATAAGCTAAAAGAACTCTAATTAAGAGTAATAAGGTAAGAATTAGTAGAGAACCTTATATAAAGCTAAAAACTAGATTAGTAAAGCTTAAAAAGTTACTAATTATAAATATACCTTATTAGCTATAGAGACCTTCTTCTTTTTAGAAGAAGGAGCTAAATTAGATAGATTACTAGGAGTAGAGTGCTTAGAATTGCCTTTTAACTTTAGAGTTACTAGAGTAGAATTAGTAATTAAGTTATTAAAGTAATTAATTAAAGGATAAGTAAGACTATTAATTAATTAAGGAGCTAAAGGCTTAAGCTTATTAAGATGCTAGGTATACTTAGAAATAAGTATAGAGAGGTAATTATACTCTAACTTCTAATCTATAAACTACTCTCTAATTAGTAAATAAATATAAAATAATTAAGATTAGGAAGACACCTATAGGACAATTTTTATAAGTATACCTAAGGTAATAACTAAAGAACTAAGCAACTATACTATTTATAAGAAGGTATAAGTATATACTATACTCTATATACTAATTACTACTACTATTTAACTAATTATAATAAATCTTAATCTTAAATATAGTAGCTTAGGTTTTCTTAATATAGCTAAAGTATATATAGACTTAAAAGTTACCTTTAATTAGTAGAAGCTAATCCTAATTAGACTAAGTAGACTAATTATTATCTTCCTCTATAATATAAGCCTAATAAGATTAGCACTATATAAGAGTGCCTATTAGAGCTTTAGGAGTAGTAGAATAGCCTAAACAAGTCTAGTAGATAGTAGAGGGTATAATTAGAGTATTACTAGGTAACTTACTTAGAGTAGAAACCTTAATTAACTAGTTAGTATATATCTTAAATTATAATTAGGATAGCTATACTATAATTAGTAGTAGTTAGAAGGTTAGATTAGAGTAGAAAAGGGTAATAATATTATATAAGGGTAATTAAAGGGTTAGAGTTTAAGTAAGTAAGTGCACTATATAATATTATTTATCTACTATAAGGCTTAGTATAATTATTTACTTACTTAATTAAGTAAAGTGCTAAGAGTAGTTATAATAGTAAATAAATAGTAATAATAAACTTTTAAAATTATAGATTAAAGAAAAGGATTATTATTACTATAGTAAGCAGGTGTAATAATTAATAGATTAATGTACCTAGGGGGTGTGTTATAGTAAGTTACTAATTAATAACTCTCTAGGATTATAGAGAAGGTTTAGATTACCTAACCTTGATCACCTCTACTATATAATAATTACAGGACATAGTAATCTCTAATTAGCTTAGTATTTTAGCCTAATTAAGCTCTAGAACAAGGTATATATTTAAGTAGTTGTAACACCTTAGAGAAGACAGAGAACCTGATTAATTCACTTAATTACTTGTTCTATGTCTATCAATCAATTCAGTTGCTTGTGATCCTTGATCAACAACACTTTAACAATTCGCTGCGGCTACGCAACGTTAATGCTGCCAACCGCCTATCCTTGACCGTGAAGCTTGATCTCGATGGGTCGGCTCTCTTTCATTGACGTTTTGATCGCCTCGCACACTACAACAGCCCTGAGTCCCTCGATACCATCGCAGCTAGCATGTTCTTCGCCTCTGATGACCCTAGCAAAATGTTCCATTTGAGCTTCGAAAGGAATTTTCATGTCAGGCACATCGAGTTTTGTGCTTCTCAGCTCGTTGTTCCAGCTATTCCCTTCGTCACCATAGTCCCATCGCACCATGTCCGGGACACTCAACGTCCCTTTTGAGCCGAAAACTCGATGGAAGTCTTGTCCAGTAGGCGGTATAATTGGATTCTCGGCAGTGCCACTCTCAAAGCTATAAGGTGAGACAACCGCATCAGATAGAAGGAACGTGCCTATCATGCCACTTTCGAATCGCAGGGTGATTGCTGCGCCCTCTTCTGCATCGAAGCCTCTCTGAGAGAGAGCTTGCTCCGCATACACTCGCGTGATGGGACCGTACCAAAAATGAAGCAGGTCGATCTCGTGAATCAAATTGATGAAGATTGGCCCTGCAGAAACCAGTCGACGCCAATCTGTCGGAGGATCGAAATACAGTAGAGGCTTATATATTGTCCATAGCCCGTTGATTGCTATGAGACGTCCAAGCGTAGGAAGGTGCTGTTTCACTGCTACTGCATACCGATTGAAGCGGCGATGATGGCCTATCAAGAGAGTACGGTTGCACTTTTGCGCATATTCAACCTACTCCCTTTAGCTTGAAGAGAAGTGAAGCTTCCGGTAAACAACCTACCAGTTCTCGTCCGCTCTCAACATCCACACATATTGGCTTCTCGCAGAGAACGTGGATACCGTTCTGCAGCAGCTCCTTGGCGATAGTAACGTGGGTGTGATTCGGCGTGCACACAATGGCTGCGTCGACCTGGACGTTTTCACTGTCGAGCATCGCCCTGACCGACAGGAAGACCGGACATTTATATTTGACGGCCCCTGCAACTGCGGGTGGGTGGGGGTCCACGATACAAGCCAACGCGAGTCCAGACACACTGAGAACGGCATCTGCGTGTCGCGGGCCAATGGCTCCTTGACCGATAATGGCAACCTTGAGAATCTCCAACGAGGACATTGTGGAGCAACTGTAGGGTTCAAGTACGGTGAATGATCGTGACTATGTACCACATCGGGAACAAGCTCTACCAGTTATTGCCGGGCTGATGCTGGATCAATACTTATCCGAAGCGTGAGCCGTAAAGTTTTGACTACAACCTGCGAACTTCAGAAATTCTAAAGCGCCACATCGTTACGTCATCTACAATGTGTTGAGGGAGCTCTTTAGGACGTACGAAGTACACAGGCCATGTTGTTGTAGTCATGTAGGAGTGCTTGCAAGTGGAAGTCACACCGTGCGAGTGCGGGGCACCGACCACCAGCCGGCATCTTCTCCAGGTCAGCGAACCACAATTTTCATCAACGCCACAAACGGCATCGCCATCTTCACAACCCGCGAAGAGCTGTCCAATACACATCGAGATGCATCAGGGTCGGTTAGCCCAGCTGTAGCAATTAATTCCTACCCGACTAGCGCATCTTCGAAACCGGAGCCTCTTCCTCCATTCAGATCACTGCTCGGATATTCGCCGTTAGAACACCAAGCCAGCCCATTCACCTCACTTGAGCATCACAGCAAACGTTACAGAACATGGTCAAAAACACTGTTCGTGCGATGTGCGCACTTGTTTGCGTGATCTTATGCGTTGCGGCAGGGACCTCAGATTATCGCACCTCAACGTGGCCGGATCGATCCCAAAAGCGATTTGTTATGTACTTGACAGGGTAAATCAAGATCAGTTCATAGAAGGTGCCTGCATAACAATGACAACAGGCAGCATGATATCGTCCCAGAATCATTCTTAGTATCAAGGGTGACCCACGTTGCACTGGCTTTCATGAGATCCGAAGTATTCAACGTCCCAAATCAGGAAGAATGGCCATTGTTCACAACAGTTGCTGAGGTCCGTACGAAATTCAAGAGTGGGACAAAGATCCAAGTAGCGATTGGGGGTTGGGGAAACACCGACGGCTTCTCAGAAGCAGCAAAGACAGAGCAAAGTCGCAGACTCTTCGCTGAGAACATCAGAGCCATGATTGAAACCACTGGTGCTGATGGTAGGCAATTTAGGTCTTTGCAGGCACGCAATGCTGACTTAATCAGGAGTTGACATCGACTGGGAATATCCCGGGTTAGTCTAGTCGTCAACCAACTCCTCCTACCCTCCACTAATGTATGATCAGAGGCAACGGCGAAGACTATAAACAACATCCAAATTCAGAGAAGGCTTGGGAGATTGAGGCTTATCCCAAACTCCTTGCCGAGATCAGAGCGGCGATTGGGCCACATAAGCTCATTACAGCAGCAGTGCCGGGCTTGCCCAGGGACATGATAGCTTTTACGGAGACGACACTACCAAAGATATACGAGTCGATCGATTTCCTAAACGTCATGTCGTATGATCTTATGAACCGACGAGACGGCTTCACCAAACACCACAGCGGGCTAGATGGCACAATTCAAGCCCTGCACGGTTACACAAATCCAGCCGTCCACACCAAAAACTTGAATATTGGGCTTGGCTTCTATATCAAGTGGTACAGAACTGCAAGCAATGAAACGTGCGATCTTGTACCGGCTATCGGATGTCGGACTGAGCTGATGGAAGATCCAATAACGGGCGCTGATCTGGGCAAAGCGGGAGCGTTCTCGTGGCACGATGAAGTACCTACCGAATTGGCAGATTCATTTGCAAAAGCCTTGAAGAATGGAGTGGACGACATGACCGGGGGGCTGTTCAGAGGGCACTACTACATGGATAAGCAAGAAAATATTTTCTGGTCGTGGGATACACCAGATAGTATCGGGAAGAAGCTTGACACGCTATTCGACCACGTCAACGGCCATGAAGGATACAAGGACCTCAAAGATATTGGCGGCGTGTTTGCATGGGGGCTGGGAGAGGATGCACCGCACTTTGAGCATCTAAAGGCTGCGAATGAGGCACTGAACAGGTGGGAAAGCAGCGCATCCGAACACCAGGAGCTCTAAATGTTGTTCAGTATCGGAGCCAAAGATTCGGCTATCAATCCGTTGCTGAATTGTGAGCCGGTGTTGCTGCAAAAGAACTCCGTGAAGTACATACGGAGTTGATTCGCGTTAGCGCCGAATAGGAAAGGCGCAGATCGCACTCCCATTCAAAGTGCTACCCTTTGTGACTCTCTCTCCCACTTTCTACACAAGAATCACAGTCGAGTTTCATGAATAAAACTCAAGATACATCATGGGATCACAGACTCCAGAAGACCAGCGTCGAGGTCCAGATGGTGTGAAATATATGTTCGTACTCGGGCCACCATGCTGACAAGCTTGCAGAATCATCGGCTGGCTCTACGATCAACACTAACAACCCTCCCAAACCGGCAGCAGCAAGTGGTTTGGTTGAAGGGGTTCTCGAGGGAAAGGATGGAGACGACGATGACGACGACTACGAGAGCAATGAAGGACCTGACCTGAAGGTCGACAACGGTTAGTTCATTCTGTATTGGCATTCCTACAGTGCTAAGTCGATAAGGTAAGAAGAAGAAGAGAAAGAGAAACAGGACCAAGAAGAATAAATCATCACTCGTGCAGCAGACGACTCCTCCCCGTGTCGCACTCGCAGACGTGTTCAAGAATAAGCCATACCCGGTGGGCCAGATCGTTGAATATGCAAACCGCAACGAGAATCTGCAGCGCACAACGAATGAAGAGCTTCGACACTTATCAGTTGTCAATAACATGAACGACGAGTTCCTGAAGGACTACCGCAAAGCCGCCGAAGTCCATCGCGAAGTCCGCCATTACGTGCAGAAGATTGCAAAGCCTGGAGTCACGATGAGCCAACTCGCTGACGAGATCGAGGATGGTGTGCGTGCTTTAGTTGGCCACCAAGCTATAGAAAGCGGCGACGCTCTCAAAGCTGGCATGGGATTCCCGACCGGGCTGTGCCTGAACAACGTCGCTGCTCACTGGACACCTAACCCCGGTGGCAAAGACATCGTACTCCAGTATGACGATGTCCTCAGTGTGGACTTTGGAGTGCACGTCAATGGTCGGATCGTTGATAGTGCCTTCACGATAGCCCACAATCCAGTCTACGACGACCTCCTCGAGAGTGTCCGAGCCGCCACCAACACTGGTCTCAAAGTCAGTACCCCATCAAACACTAGTCACGTCCTACTCACACAGAACATAGGAAGCCGGAATCGACGCCCGCATGGACCACATCAGCGCCTGCATCGACGAAGTAATGTCATCCTACGAGGTAACCCTCAACGGCAAAACCATCCCCATCAAACCCATCAACAACATCACCGGCCACAACATCCTGCGCTACAAGATCCACGGCGACAAGCAAGTCCCCTTCGCCAGAACCCGCACCAACCAGCGCATGGAAGAAGGAGACGTCTTCGCCATCGAGACCTTTGGCAGCACGGGCCGCGGCTCTATCCGCGACGACGTCGGCGTGTACGGCTACGGCCGCAACGAGAAAGCGAGTGCGCGCGGGCTGCACCATGCGTCTGCGAAGGCGCTGTTGAAGGTGATTGATGAGAATTTCGGCACGCTGGTGTTCTCGCGGCGCTATCTGGAGCGCGTGGGGGCGAAGAACTATCATCTTGGTATGAAGTCGCTGGTGGCGAATGGGATTGTGGAGCAGTATGGACCTTTGGTGGATGTACCTGGGTCGTATGTTGCGCAGTTTGAGCATGTAAGTGTGGCTACTGGATGTGTGTAGTGCGTGCTAATTCGGGTATAGACTGTTCTGCTGAGGCCGAATTGTAAAGAGGTCATTTCTCGCGGAGACGACTATTGAGCAGTGAACAAGATGAGAACGTGGAGGAGCTTACGAGTAGTGAGCATCGGCTCAAGTAGCGTGAAGTTGCTTGGTGTGGCATTCAACATGTCCTCCTCACTTATGTTATCTCGGCCTGGCTTCAACAGCCTCGCGTTCTTGTCGGTTTTCATTTGATTTGTAACTGGGACGCCTCTTAGTAGTGCCTCGTTTCGGCTGATCCTGCCAACATTTGATTTCCATACTGCCTTAATCATGGCACAAAGTCCGGCAAGAAGCTTGATAGTGTTTAGAAGAAACCATATAGCAAGCTTGAAGCATCAGTCTACACCGATCGCATCTTCCTGACACTCGATTTTCCATTCCGCAACTTGTGCCGAACTCTCACTCATCTCTTTGAAGTCTAACTTCATGTTCGACAACTTTGCGGCAGGAACAAGACTTGACATGTGCATCCTAGTTCTGTATTGTATATTCTAGCGTGACCTTCAGCTATCGAGGTCGTACAATAGACAACCTCCAGTCCTGAAGTTGTACACGAAGGCTTTCCCGTCTCCCACACCACTCCCCTTCTCGCTCTCTTCACCCTTGATCTCCCTCCATCTGGCGCGATACCCCAGCAGCAAATCATGCAGCTCCTGCAGATACTTCCGCTCCACAATGGGCAGCTTCTGTATCACGTGTCGCCACGTATCCGGATCGCTTAGCCTTGTCTCACGTACAAGATTCATGACTTCGTCCTTGGTTTCGATGGCTGCGATGGGGGCGTCTTGAAATGATTCGAGGAGTTCGTGAGAGCGAGATTGGGCTGCTTCGACGATGGCCCATTTGTTGCTCTTCTTGGAGCGGTGGTGAGAGATGAGCACGTCGACGTTTGCTCGCGTCGATGGCTGACTTGCTGGGCCGGGATTGTGCGCGCCTTTGGTCAGGCGATGGGCAGCATTACCTTCTCGGGCCTCGCGGTCGCGTGTTTCGTTGCGGAGGTAATTGAGCAGATCGGCGGACCGCAGGTCGGTGTCCTCTTTCTTCGCAATCGACTTGACTTTGAGGTCGGGCTTATCAGGGGCAACGCCGTGTTTGATGATGATAACCCAACTGTGACGGTCATCGCGATAGTGGCGAAGTACGTCCTCGAAGTTATGCGCGTCGACAGAAAGTTCGGCACTGTAGCCGTGTGCGATCAGTTCAGAGACCATCTTGACACCCGAAGATCGAAGAACGTTCGGATCGAAACTAGCGACAATGCAGTCGCAGCGGCGTGGCATCCAAGAGACCGCTGGTGTATCTTCCTCAACGTGTTTCTTCAGAAAAGTGGCTTTCTCTGGCTTCTTTAAGTAACGCGTCATTGAGCTGACTAGCCTGTCCCAGCCTATGTTGACGCCAACCGCATGATAGCCAGTGCCGGTCCTGTTGTAACCAGGTCCCTTCGGTCGATACTCCTCAATGAGCTTGTCATAGCGACCGCCAGCGGCAAGAACAAGACGCTGTTTAGTGTCGAAGAGACATTGGAAGAGAATACCGCCTGAGTAGAACTTCTCATTGAAGCTGCTGAGCGCACTGAGGTAGACTTTCCTTTTCACACCCCAGAGTTTCATGTAACCGACGACAGAGCTGAGATGTGCGAAGATGGCGTGAGTCCGGTCGTGATATTTGGTGCCTTCGAAGATGCGTCGTAATTTCGTGAAAGCTTTCTCGGGTGTGTCTCTCCAATCGAACCGAGCCAAATCGTCAAGCGATGTAGACGAGATGCCGATGTCTGAAGAGCGGAGATCGTTGCGTACAGACTGCCAGTTGTTCTTGCCAATATTTAGCTTGCTAAGAACCGCCTTGACTGCAGGTCGCTGGGGTACACTGATCCTACAGAAGTCCAAGACGATCTCCAACAAATTCGAGTGGTTGATGTGGAAGCACATTTGCGTCGACCGTAGGGAAGGGAATTCGTCAATGATCTCGTCGACTACTTTCAGTACTTGAGCCTCTTTCAGCGCAAGGTCAAGGGTGTCGTATGAGAGAATGTCGAAGTCAGCCTCGCCGCTACTCAACGGTGCACCACCCGTGTACGTGTCTCGATACACATGCCCCACGGTGAAAGTCTTCTCCAAGAAGGGAGCACCCCTGCCAATGCTGCGAGCATGAGGTAAAGTGAAGTCGTAAGGCAGCTGTACCAATGTACCCGAGGGATCGAAGAGCTTGACAACGTTATTGTCCGCATAGTGGTCTGACCAGGGCAAAAGCAATTGGCGCTGAACTTCCACGGCACCATGGCTTCGAAAGATCATAGCTAGCCTGTCTTTGACCAGGTTCTGGAGAAGCACGTCGTTCGCTTTCATGTTCTGAGCAGCAATACCCATGTCCCATGTGTAATCTTTCGCTTGGGTGTCGGGCTTCTGCGAGAACAGAGCAGTCATCATTTTCGCGTAGTGCGGCGAGTTGCGGTCAGAGAGAGCCTTCAGTGCTTCTTTAACAGCTTCATCCTCAATCTGTACAGGTACTTTGCCAGTCCTTAGTAGCTCAGCACAGTTCGGACGCTCGGACGGCCGATGACTGATCAAAGACATGATGATGCTGCCCTGCAACGATTTTTGAGGAGTGTCGAACTCGGCAGGCAAAGCGTGTTTGCGCTCGCGCAATATGCGGATCTCTTTGTCTCGTTCCATAGCTGTGCCCAGTGGATAGCACATTTCGAAGAAGATGATGCCCATGGAATACATATCTACTCTGTCGTTGTAGTTGCCTGCGACAGTCGAACTTAGCTCGGGAGCCACGTATAGAGCCGTTCCAACACTGCGTGTCATGTCACCACCCACATCGGGGTTGCCGTTCGACATCTTGCTGTCAGGCCTTTGGTACTGACCACTTGTGGCCAAACCAAAATCACCGATCTTGGGCACTTTAGCCATGTCGATGAAGATGTTGTCAGGCTTCAGATCGCGATGAATGATACCATGGCCATGGATATGAGCAAGCCCTTCTAAGATCTGTCGGAAAAGCCTCCAGTACTCTTCTGGATCATCGTAGAGACCTCTGCGAATGAGATCGCGCAGGGTTTGCTTCTCGCAGAACTCCATCTGGATGTACAGGATAGACCTAGCTGGTCTTGTCGCAAACGTGCCAGATGCAGTTCGTCTCCGGACCAAGGGCGAACGAGGGCCGGCACTTGCAGTCCCCGTGCCGTCTTCTATAGATCTTGTTAGCTATTTGTTCTGGTTATAGACTCTGAACACACATACCAGAATCTGAGCCAAAGACAACAGCCCCATCATCTTCGTCGTCCGAACCAGCCTCAGAACCGAACTCGATCTTGTAGTCGTTGGAGCTAATGAAGTCCAGCCCTGTACTTCGGCTGTAGGTGACGCTGTGAGTCCCGCCAGGAGATACGTTGGAGTCAGAGTCAGGTTCGTCCGAGTCGAATGCAGAATCATCGTCAGATAGCTCGGAAACGGCGCCGGTATCTTCTTCTGGCCAAGCTGTATAGTAACGGACGACGCAGGGGTGATTGAGTCGTGACAACAGCATGACTTCGGAAAGAACCTCGGTCAATGCTGAGGCGGACTTTTGCTTGATCTTTTTGATAGCGTAGATACGGCCATCTACTTTGTTACGCGCCTTGACAACTTCGCCATATCCTCCCTTGCCTAAACGTCCTTGCTCAACCCAGTCCTCAGCATAACGAGAATAGGATGGCCCGACACCAGCGGAGGACTCGCGACGAAGCCGATAATGGCCTAGAGACGAGGACGAATGTCGAGAGCGCATCGGTGTTGGAGGTCGATCGTATACTGGTACGTCATTTCGCAGGAACTCGCAGGGTATGAGGTCGAATGCTGAAGGTCGTTTCCGTGGATCAGGCTTGAAGAACTTTCGCATCATTTCCTGGAGAGGTTCGGAGCAGTTCAACGCGTCTGACAGATCTTTCGGTGAGTTGTACTTGTGTGGTACTTCCAGCCCAAACAACATCTGTAGGAACACCACACCTAGGTCCCATACGTCGGTCTTGCGGGTCCTCTTAGAATCCTGACCAAGCTCGGCAGGAACCCAGAAGGCAGACCAAGAGGATGTGAAGGCCCGTTCGCCTCGATACAAGTCTCTCAAACTGTGCAGACTCTCCTGGAATGCTGCATCTGCCAGTTTGACAGAGACAGTTCCATCCGAAGATTTGTTGAGCAGGATGTTGTGCGGGAATACGCGCTTGTGTACGATGCCGTTGCGGTGGAGGTAATCGAGGGCTTCCAAAAGCTCGATTGTCCAGGAGCGCACTCGTGCAACCGGGATCTGCCCATCGTCTTCGATCTTATCCCCTATCGACCCTTTATTGGCGTGTTCCATCAGAATGTTGATCTCCCAACCAGACTCGGGAAGATGCTCAATCTTGAAGTCGAACACACTGAGAACAGCGGATTGCCGCAAACGCTTTGCTTCCTCCATTTCCGCCTCAAATTCCATGATCGCTTTTTTCAACTGTTGAATCCTAGAAGCGTCTTTATCGCCGATCTGAACACGCTTGAGAACGAGTGTTATATTTGCTGTTATCCCAATCGGTTTTACCAGTAGCTCCTCAGTCACAGGACCTTTGCGGAAAGGTAGCATGCCTTCCACAGCGCTGCACTCGATGACAGCGTCTTCCAACTGTAACGATATAATTCTGTCGAACGATACATAATTGGCGCTGTTGGCAGTCTGGAAATATGATGTTGGTGTGATGACTGACGTCCTGTGGCTCTTGCGTTTGGCCATCAGATCCTTGCGTCGCATTTCGTCGCTAACCATTTGCTGCAACGTGCGCTCTTCTTCGGCTTTGGCTTCATCGCGCTTTTTCTGAAGGTCTTCTTCATGTTGCTTAGCGAGCTCGACAGCTGCTGCCTCTTGCACAGCACGCTCAGCGCCCAGGTTTTCGAAAGCACCATCTGTTTCACGCACTGCAACCTCATCCTCCAGTGCATCCTGAACTTCAGTGGCGATCTCATGGAGCATGACTTCTCCTACCAATTCAGCAGGTTTGGTCTTTAGTATGTGCTGTAGCCTCTCCTGGGTACGTTTGCGGAGCTTGGTAGTTCCTTCCAGAGTGATGGTGGGAAGCGATTTCGGGTAAGTCACTGTGAGTTTGGCACACATTATGACAGAAATGGCTTCGTTGGAGAACGACTTCAATTTCAGTCGTATCTCTCGATCTGCAGATTTGCCCCATGCTTTTTTCGGTTCTGACTCTTCGTAGTCTTCCATGAACACGGCCTTCAGAACTTCCCGCTCGTCCTCCTGTGCTGCCTCATAAGTCTCCGAGTGCTGAGAGACCAATGAGGGGCGCATGGGCAGGGCGTCTTGAGTCGGACTTGCTGGACCGGGGCCATTAGTTCCATTAGGGGAAAATACATTTTGCTGCTTTTTGTTTCGCGGTGTCCTGTGCGGTGCCATGTTGGGCTGTCTCGTAGCTGGTTGAAAGTGCCGTCATGAAGAGGAAACGGAGAGAGGAGCAGCCGAAGCTGCTGCCCTTACACTGCAGACATGTCGTGTTTAAGTGTTATTGTTGTTGTCGAGGAGTGAAAGGCGTGGCTATGACGAAGCGCAGACTTCGCAGCCAACACGTCGAAGTAGCGGTGGGGCAGTTGCCCCCACTAAGTTGACGCTAGACTAGCGCCCGGACGCGCCTTCCTGCACCCATGCAGCGTTGTGAACACAAGCTGAAGCCAGACATCGTATCTTCTCCCTCTGCACTCTCGCAGGATTGGAATCTATCGCGCTTCTCTTATGGAAACCCGGCTTGTTCCTCTCTACCCTGCAGTCGGCGCATACTGGTAACGACTCGCGCTATTCGTGCACCGTATCGGCGAGTAAACAAATCGAAGACAGTAAACAAACCCGCCACAACCACAACACCTTCGCTACGAGGCCGTCGCAACGCGCACAACACTATGTTTTCCTGGATCACTGGGCCGCGCATCACGAATGTGATCGAAGATCTGCAAGCAGGTACGCGGTCTTGTACGCACAAGTCAGCAGCATAGACCTAATCAGCCTCCAGAGCCCGCCTACGAGTCTACCTTTATTGACCCACCCGAAACGCCAGCTCACCAATTTGCCGTCAAGGCGTTTAAACACGCGATATTCGGTACGCCTGCACCCGAAGATCTGAACAATGCGACAAGAAAGTTCGAGACCAAGGCCAAGATAGCCTCTGCGAATGCAAAGTTCGTGGAGTTCTCTGCGCCGAAGAACGACGAACTAGCAGGATCGCCCACAAAAAGAGCTGGTGGCATCCTTATGACCCCAGGAACAGCGAACAAGGGAAGGAAAACTGTATCTTTCGGGTCACAGATCGAGGACAATGAAGGAAAAACAAACGGCATCAGTAGGAGCGGCATACCGAACAACTGTCCAGGGAAGTTTCCTAGCCCCTGGACACCTGGTACGGAGCTGAAGCTAGACCCCGAGAGCGATAAGAGGCCACGTACCAAGCTTACTGAAGCCTTACTCGATGCGCGCACCACCACCCAACCAAAATCTGGACAGAAACAGAAGGCCAGAGATGACAGCGACATTACCATGGATCTTGGTGCGCCTCGCTCAGACTCCGGCAAGTACTGGAAGGAACAGTACGAGAGCTACGCAGAGCGGAGCGAGAAGGAGATGAAGAAGGTTGTTGCGAAACAGCAGCTGGCTAAGAAATTCGCAATGAAAAAAGACAGCGAGGTGACAGAGCTGGCCACAAAGCTCGAGCAAGAACGTAAGCGGTTCCGGTCTCGGGAGCGAGAGCTCGAACAGCAGAACAAGGACTACCAAGAGCGACTGCGTCAGGCCATGGGTGAAAGTACGTCAACGAGCATGGAAAATGCAGCCTTGAAACAGCGAATAGCCACTTTGGAGAAGGCAGTAGCGACAGCTGGTACGCAAGGGAAAGTTGATTTTTCGATCTACGAAGACTCTAGCAAGGAGGCGACACGAACACGGAAAGAGACCGAGGCCGCGACATTCGTGCCATCGCTGAACATGCCACCCTCCGGCAAAGAGAACAGCTCCCCGCCCAAGTCAAGACGCGCTCGCCGTCAGACTGTGCCGGACGACGCGACTCGTGCTGCTGCTCCGTTGCGGTTGGGAACGGCCAAAGACGAAGCCTCGATCATGCTGGCGAAGTCTCCCGCTACGCACATTGAGCTGACAAAACCATCACTTGAGCCACAAAAGTCATCAAGACCCTCAAGAACACCGCTCAGTAGCCGTCGAGTGAGCCCGGCAAAGGAAAACGTCGGCCCTTCACCCTCTGTTCCGTCCAGTCCTTTGCCTGTACCTTCGCCAGAACCAGACCCTTGGATGAATATGGACGAGAGCTCGATACCCCAGCTTGACAAGAGGGCAATGCCGACAGCAGGGTCGCCCTACGTCAACCCTTCGTGGAACCCTCCCCCAAAGAAACACCGGACTTCCAAGTCCGTGTCGCAGAGCACAAAGTCAGAATTACAGGCCATCCGGCAGAAGATGGAGAGTGCCGATGCGAGGACAGAGGCGAAAACTAATCAACCCCGTGTTGAAGAGCAGCCTGTGCTCGACTTAGAGGCACGGCTCGCAGCGTTGTCCTCGAAGCCAAGTAAGAAAGACGGCACCGAGAAATCGAGATCTGAACCAAGCAAATACTCACCGACTGATCCGAAGTTCGACCTTGCCAAGATCACGTCCCATCATGCAGAAGGGTCGACCAAGGTCAAGCATGACAGGGTTGAGATGCTGCCCGTCGACCGAAAGTCTGAGGCGAGGAAGCGGCTTGAGGAGAGGAAGAAGCTGAGGAAGGCTGCTCCAGTATGACCGGATTACGATTTGCTTTGAGCGTGTATATCATTCCTCTTCTTGTAGGGCGTCACTTCACAGCTGGGCTGGTGGCTATGCCCGGTTTTTGGTTATCGGCTATTGATATCGGAGTAACGGATGATACCACACAATTCACTTCGGCGGTAACGCGTTAATGGTTCTGATATACTTCCTTGGCTCTCTATGCAATGTCTATGGGTATCTTTTTCCCTCGTCGATCGTACAACAAGACTAGATGTGGAATGAAACGCTCGTAGACGCAGCTTCAAATGCACAAACCACTCTACTTCAACGCAATCAATCTCAACGCATCCACCACCGCCGGCGCCGCCCTCTCCAGTCCATTCCTCTCCGCAGACCCCATCTTCCCCAACACATACCGCGACACCACGTTCGGATCCCTGCTCTCAGGCCGCCCAATCCCAACTCCAACGCGCCACCACTTGACTGCCCCCAACTGCTGCTGACAACTTTTTAACCCATTGTGCCCCCGCGCACTCGCCCCGCTCTCTCGCACACTCACCTTCCCCAGCGCCGACTCCAGCTCGTCATGCACAACCACCAGCCGGCCCTCCTGCGCCGCGCCGTCCCTGCGCTTCAACTCCGCCAGCCACGCGGCATACGCTTTCTTGACGCCCACGCCGCTGACGTTCATCAGCGCCACCGACTGCCAGAACGTCCAGTCGTCTTCGGGCGGGCCGCCCTGCGTCTTCGCGTACCCGCCGAGCAGCGACAGCGAGAAGGTCGTGTTGTCCGGCCGCGACACGAGCCCCGAGAGCCCTTTTGTGAACGGCTGGTACGACTTGCGCGTCGCGATGTAGCTGGTTACGATGTGGCCCGCCGAGTGCAGGGTGTTTGCGTATGCGGCGCCCGGGTTGCCGATGCTGCAGATGAGCAGTGGGAGGGGGCCTGCGGGCGGCATGTCGGCGGCGAGGAATTGGGGTATCGACGCTGTTGCGTCCGGGTTTGCGGGGGCGGTGGGTTGTTTGGGTTGTTTGCGCGCTTTGGGGGGTTTGGCGGCGGGTGCGTCGGTCTCGGAGGATGTGTCTGGCGGCGTTGGGGGGAAGTTGTGGGCTTTCTTCTGCTTTCGCAGGTCGCGCTTGTTGAGGCCTGCGCTGCGGTTGATGGCGCCGTTGCTGAGGTATTGTGTCGCAGGGATATTTTCGGGATCGGCGGCTGTTGGAGCCGTAGGGCTGGCCACGTGCTCACGTGTTGGCGCGACAGACATCGTGCCGTGGCGAGAACTTTTTTTTATGATTTAGGTTTGGAATTCTAGAGAAGGGAAAGACGCTGCCTACTTATTGCAGGAATTCTTCCTTTATCGATGACGAACATCGGGTTCAGTCAGTAGACTGGTCTGTTTCGTTCGTGCCATAGTTTGAAGTGTACAGCCACATCAAAGAGTCATCCTGCGGATTTGTAAGGGCGGCACCATTCAAGCCTGACAGCAGCGCCCTTTTGATTTATTCAATAGCAGCACAGCCCTCTTCATCCCCCTGCCTCACTCTTTGAGATTTCACGAATTTTACACCTTGTGGGATGCGATTTGTAAAGTCGCGGAATGACGTATCGGTGATTACTTAGCGCGATCGCTCAGGAACCAGGGTCTCGATCACGGCTCCGCATTGTGACATCCGCCACTGTGACGCTGAAGTTTGGCCAGCAACAATTTTCGCAAGAGCTTTGTCTGCAATCCTCCCTCACCACGCTCGTTCCGGTTCATAGTATCACAATATGGCTGACAGGCCGGCGACGCCACCGCGAGCCACTCGCTCAGCGGGAAAGCTGCCGCCAAATCCTCCAACCCCGGAGCAGATCAGACGAATGGTAAGATATTTGGTGTAGGCCATGTCCTAAGTACTGACAAAGACCAGGAAGAAGCTCGGCTCCGAGCAAAAGCACAAGCACAGCAGGCACAGGCAGCCCGACCCCCAGCGCCTGTTGCCGGCACAAAGCGCGCATACTCGTCCATAACCTCATCCGCCACGCCCACCCAGTCCCGTAATGCCAGCTCCACACAAGAGTCTGGTGGGTTCATTCAACCGCCCTCAAACTCATATATCCACCAAAGCAAGAGCAAAGATATCAAGCGCGCCGACTTCATCGACTATGACTTCAGCACTATGACCGACACAAAGGGCGGGTTCCTCAGCACGACCGACGACCCGAACAATCGCGCCATGTGGACCGGCAAGAACCGTGAAGAGCAGAAACCAGAAGGCATGACGCTCGCCGAGTGGGAGCGCGAGCAAGTCCGCAAGAAACTCCGCGACGCGCGCGCCGGGCCCTACGAGCCAGGAATCTCGATCCTGAACGCCGTGAACGGCAAAGACGACGCCGGCGACGACGAAGCCGCGCTCCTCGAAGCCGCCGAGAACGCCGAAATCGAAGCCGGCACCTACAAAGGCAAATACGGCGACGGCAAGAAAGACGTCCCCGGCAAATGCCGCGAGTGCAATAGTCTTGAAATCGACTGGAAATGGGCCGACACGTTCCACATCAGCGTGTGTGCGCGCTGCAAGGAACTATTGCCGGACAAGTACAGTCTGCTCACCAAAACCGAGGCGCGTGACGACTACCTCCTCACGAACCCGGAGCTCGCCGACGAGGATCTGCTGCCGCATCTCGAGCGTCCGAATCCGCACCGCTCGTCGTTCCACAACATGCAGCTCTTCCTGCGACTCCAAGTCGAGGCTTACGCCTTCAGTACTAAGAAATGGGGCGGTGCGGCTGCGCTCGACGAGGAGTACGAGAAGCGCAGCACGGTGGCCAAGGCGCGCAAGCAGAAGAAGTTCAAGAACAAGCTCGAGGATCTCAAGCGCAGGACACGGGTGGAGGCGTATAAGCGGGCGCGGCTGGGCGGCGAGGCGGAGTTTGGGCAGAAGATTAAAGGGAGATATGATAGGCATGAGCATGAGTGGGGCAGGGGGATGCTGGATCCGGAGACGGGGCTGACGAGGAAGGCGTGTGGGGAGTGTGGGATGGAGGTCGAGGAGTTGGAGTTTTGAGGGGTGTGGTGAGATGTAATATGATACCCAAATGAATGAAGTTTATGCGCACGAATGCGAAGAGCTCTGGATTGGTCTTGAAACCAGTAATTTGACGTTCACGTGACCCGTATAGAGGCCATTACGCTAGATGAGCGGCTGTTGCTGTTGCGCTTCTTCCCAGATTACGATATGGACATGGATAACATTGCGATAATCGCTCTCTGCCATGTTCAGATACGAGTAGTACAGACGTCGAGGTTGATGTAAAGCGATTTCCTTCGGTGCTGGGGGTCACTTTCAGTGACCGTCAAGAGCGTATCCTACGGCGGAGCCAAACATTTGAATACTTGGACGATGCGCCTGCGAAGACGTCTTCATCGAATAGGAATTTGAGGAGCACGATCCAGACTTCTGGCTTGCGTTGCTACGGACAATGTATCATGATCCCGATATGGGTGCCTGTGGAATGGCGTTGAATACGGTAGCTAGTCGGCGAAGTTCTGGGTGCGGGAAGCAGGTCTACTTATCATTGGACTGGTATGTCTTGGTGATCTTGGGGCATTGAAGCTACGAGGAGTTCCGTGAGTGTAATAGCCTTGATGGACTTTATAGGGGTTGCTTACAGCATAGGAACACGATGGCGAGCGTTACCTCTCAGCTTTGCCGTCTGCATGGGCTGGTACCAAGGCTTAACCTTTGCAGACTGCTGAAAAGGCCTGCGTTGATATGGTATAATACGATACGTTTTGATCGTTGGATAAACTTGCCAACTATCGATCCCTTGTACCTCATAAAACAAAGAAACTTAACTATCAAGAAAGAGGAAAACTAAACCTGCTATCCGGTAATATAGCCTCAGCAATCGGTACATCTACCACAATCGGTTCCACATCATCCACCCGCTCAACTCCGTACACAGCCTCATCGTGAAAGTAACCGATCGGCTCAGCTCTCTTTGAGGGCGCGTTCTGAAATGTTGCGCCCACGAAATCGATCCTGCATCCAAAATATTTACTGCGCTGGAAATGGCCACCGGCTACTGCCTGTTGAGTCGTGCCATCCCAGCAGTATCCGTTGATGTTGGTCCCCTTCTTGAATTTGAAGCGCTGTTGCCCGCGGAGCGAAACAGCGCACATGATCCAAGCCGAGCCTGCCACGACTGTGGTTGCAGGCCTAGTGCCTGTGATTAAGCCATTGGCGAAGTTACTTCCGGGAAGATTGACGTTGTTTGCGTTGGCGTTGACAAGAAATAGGGTGAAGTTCCTCTTGTGATACCAATCCTTTTTGTCGTCCCCGATGTTCTCTCCGTGGCGAAGGTACGGCCGAGTGTCTGCATAAGTTGTGAGGCGCTGGCGGCCGGGGTCACCGTGCTCTGTGAAAGACTTAGCTCGGTTCCACCCCACCGCGTCCCAGGGGACGTAGGATGGTTTGTCTTCGGTAGGTTTTCCGAACTCGTTAAAGTACGCTACGTTTGTCGCCACGCCACTCAGGAGCCCTGCATCGTGCGTTAGTAAGTAGAACTAGTAAGATGAGTGAAAGGAAACAATGTAACTTACTGTTGCAGTTTCCCTGCAAATTCTGCTGCCAGGTTGGGGCGCAGGTCCTTGTCGTCCCCAGTGGGTTCGTTGGGTTCAAAGCGTTGTCTCTAAGGGCATACTGCCAACCCCACCCTCCTTCTTCGGAAGAAGCGAACGGAAACTCATCGCAAGTGACAAGTGCAGTATTGATACCGGTTGCAGCTTTGAAACGCGCGTTTTCGCCTGTGGCGCCGCTGCAAGGGCTTCGTGCCTCACTGCATGTCTCGCGTCGACGGTCGTCGTTGTAGCTAGGATCCCAATGTAACGGAAACTGATCTGTGTTGATGCCATGGGCCGTGAGATACCGTCTTACACTGGTACAAATACCTGGAAGCACGGCGTTACCGACAGGCCCTTGAAGATTGACATTAGAGAATCCTATAGACGCGCAGTTGTAATACAATCGTGGTAGTGTGTTTGGGCAGTCGGTTGGAACGCGTTTCCGTAGTTCCGGAATAGCTCGCACGGCAAGACTATGGTCGTGGCTGGGTGAGAAGGAATGTCCGTGTCCACGGGGTCGGAATTTAGATGTGTTGGGAAGGTTAGCTGAGCATGGTGAGCCGCCGGTAGTACATTTGAAGTCACCAAGCATAAACTCTTGCTCTTTCCCATCGGCGCGTGAATGAAGTAAACGCACGAAGTGATCTGATCCTTCGATCGTCCGTACACTGAGGTTCGAAAAAGGAGGCAAATCCAGATCTGTATGATTGTACAGATTCGCGGAGAGCATGATCGAGTCTTCGGGAGAAGGCAGGTCGTACAAGTAGACAAGATCTTTGACACCAAACATAACGTTGGGTAGCGGTTCGTCGGACAGGTCCCACGGGTTTGTCGAGTTTGTATCACGAGCGCTGATCGATGGTCCAGACTTGACTACGATGGGACCATAGATGGGGATGTTCTGCCAGGCTACAGCCTCAAATTCTCCAGACTTCCAAGAGCCGTAAAGATAGATTGCTGCCACAGCATTCATGCCAACACGCCAATGCAGCTCGACTTTGTACCCATACTCCCAATTACTGGTTTTGCCATCCGTATCAGCAGTGGCGTGGGCTTCGAAGTAGAGCGTTGTGTTTGTATACACAGCGACCTGCGCTTGAACGAGAGGCTCTTTGAGCAGTCCGATGTCGCCGCCGACCTTGATACCGCAGTTTATCTCGGGGGTGATGCGCAACTCAACACCCACAGTCGCTTTGACACCCGCTTGGAAGACGGGCGAAAGACCTTTATCATCCTTATCGAACTTCTCCATCTTGCTGCTTGCCTTTTGTCGCGTGTTGTCGTCATTCGGCATATACATCTCAATGGGATCCATGGTATACTTGGCCCCAACCTTCATGTTCCCAGAAACCGTAATACTGCCCGCAAGCTGACCCCACAGATCGAGTGACGGTCCAACAGTTGCAATACCCTTGATCGATAGACCAGGGTATGTGATCGTCGAAATTAGCTTCTTCCTTTCGCTCTCGTATCCAAGCTCAGCATTGCCTCGGATATCAACACCAGCGTAGATGCTGGGCTGCGCTCCCAGAAAGACGTAAGTGTCGATGAAGCTCGGTGGCACAATTGTGCCCGAGAAGTAGTATGCGTACCGTGCACCCATTTCCATTCGGACCTCCGCTGTTATGTCGAGACCAGCTGTGATGGTGACTCCGGCGTCGTTTGCGCATTGCAGACGACCCGAGTAGATATTGAACATCTTCGAGAGACTCATGGGGAGGAACCCAGCATCCTCTTTTGTGAGAGTATTAAGCTTGTTCAGCCAGTTGGTAAAGGTACCCCACCACCGACGTTCAACGTGATTAGAATCAGCTAGGTCGGCGGACCGTGTACCCGCTGGCGGTAGACCCTCAGGACTGAAGTCGGCTTTGCCTTCCGTTGCAACGTGGAACTCGTCGTGTCTGTTGATGTAGGAAGAATTTTTGGCCTTGTCAACTCGATCTCTCCAACTACTGTAGTCCATGTGGTCAGAAGCTGAGCGTTTCTTCCGTTTCGTGGGTTCATCGGTAACAGTGTCCCAGTAATCTTTCAGGTTGGTATAATCTACGCGCATGAGAACTTTCTCGTCATCTGCTCTCTTGATAGCAGCAAAGTTGTAGTCGAACGTTAACCTGTAGATGCCATTTCTAGGGATACCACTTGTGTCTCGTTTGCGTATAGCCCATGCTGGCAGACTTGGCGGCGAAGACTCAGGCGTCATAGACACAACTCTAGCATATGGACCCTCTCCGATGTGATTTGGAAGTTTGATGATAGTATCGGTGGCGCCTTTGTGGAAGATCTCTTTGCACTGCTGTGAGTCGTGCGGGTGATTACAAAATATTAAATGGCTTTCCTCAATGTGATCGAATGTGGCATCGATGACAGACTGGTTGGTCGTGACAAATGACCGAGGGACTATCTTCTTCGGTTCCTCTTCAGTCAAAAAGGTAAATTGCTTGCCGAACTGTTTGGCAATTGACCCAGGCGGCCCGTCTAGCATGACAAATCCGTACGGGTCGTCGCCATGGTCGACTTCAAGGTTGTTCGGGTTTGTGTCCTTGTTATTGTTTCCAAAGTTGTTGGACCATTGCCAAGTGACGTCGTCGTCCTTATCGTCGTATGCGTTACTCCAAAGATAGGCTGGGTTCACTGGCCAATCCTTGGTCAATCGCGATGGAGGTGAGCAACAGAGTGCGTTATCCATGACGTCTGCGTCACAAACAAGGCTCTTTGCTTCGATATTTGGCGGTGTGGTTTGCGCCTTTGTTACCATCAAACGCCCTTCGAAGCAATGCTTGCTGCTGCAAATGCCATTTTCTTTGCAGTAATCGCTTGTTTGGCCATTCTTGCATGCGGGAGATGGAGACTGATATTTCCCCATAAAGTAATCAGGATCATTGGACCACTTGCAGTTCTCGAGAGGGTCGTCTTTAGGGCAACAAAAGGATCTGAAATTCCGATGTGTCGTGGTTCCACCTGAACCACCGTTGCCCATGCCCGTTTGAACCTTGCAGAGGTCTCCATCATCTTGATCATACCGTGTCGCGACGCTAACTTCATCAGATGAACAGTGTCCATTGTCGTCCTCGGTCCAGTCGCATCCAGTCCAGTGGCATTTCTGTACGATGGGGGTAGAGTCGCAACAAAGCTTACGGGTGCCAGAGACACATGCTGCCTTTCCCAATGGATCAATGTAGGTGTCCTGGTTTAGTTCGAATTGCGACTTGCCACATTCACCACTGCACCCGAAAACGTTGCGCTCCGGAGCACCAATCCATTCGCAATTCTTTGGCATGGCTTTAGTAGGGCAGCACACGTGTTGAAACTTGCCTTTAGGACAAAGAATAGAGTGGGATCCGTCGTCGAGATTGGGAGGCATCGCGTGGCCGATTGCCACGGAGGAGAAGCCTGCCTTGCAGATCTTACTACCAGATTTTTCGTCCGTACAGGCATAAGTGTTGTAACAATTCTGACCCGTGTACGCAGCAAGATCTTCTACCAATCGTTTCTCCTCGTCTGGATTGAGCGAGCTGTCTTGCAGGCCTTCAGAGACGGCTTCTTGGCCAAACAATCCGATCAATGCGTCGTAATTAGCTGAGTCGAGACCGAGGTCCCATATCATCAGACCCTTGAGGCATCGCGAATACATGTACTTCACCTTTGCTTGAAAGGATTCAGCATCATCAAACGAAACCCATTGGTTGGATCCGTAGGTCATCCATTTGACAGAAGAAGCTTCGTCGTATTTCACGCTGGTGCTTAAATCGCCTTGGTGTGACAACACCTCTGCAGATGAGTGCATTAGTAAACTTCTAAGTGATGTCCTCTAAGTTGTAAGGTCTTACCGTTGTATGAGAGAATACCCGGCTCATTTGTACAGTCACCGGCGAAGCCCGGTCCGGAAAACTGACATGTTGGAGGTGTTGAGCAAGATGGGCTCTGCATGGTAAAACCTCTACCGTAGAAGCCGAAGCCCATGACAACCTTTTTAGAGTTGATACCATTTCTCCACAATAGATCCAGACCATCTTCGATCTCGGTAATGTTTGTATGGCCTTTCAAGTAAGGCCCAGTCCAAATGTTGTGTTGATCCCAGATGCCGTGGATGTCATACGTCATGACGTTGAACCATTCTACATATTTCTCAAGGCGGACAATATCGAAATGTTTCAGATACCAGAGACTGGCAGGAAGAGTTAATGTCAATTGCCACCCAGGATCGTATGAGTCGAAAGCGTCTCTGATTTCGGCGCACAGCAGAACGAGATTAGAATAATCACTGGGGAATCCGCCCCGGTCAGGTGCTACTGGATATTCCCAGTCTGTCCTAAGTCAATAATCGATACTCGAGTTAGCAGAAGAGATTGAAGACTTACCCAAGTCTACACCGTCTAACGAATACTTCTGCATATACCGGATGAGAGATTTGATGAATTTCTGGCGATTCGGCACACTAGATGCCATATCGGAAAAGCGGGTCTCTGTGGGTGGATCATTGAAGACCCAACCACCTGAGAGACATAGTCAGCCAATCGTATGTACATTGATAGTTTAAAGGCATTCTTACCAATAGCAATGTTTACTCGCAAGCCAGGATAGATGTTTTTCAAACGAGCGACTCGGCCTGTAATGTGACCAACCTCGTCGGTGATTTCATGATCAGCTGAGATGAACTCGAAGGCTACGTTGATGTGTGTCAATACACCAGCGGGTATGTTTTCTGGTTGCATTGAGTCACAGGAACGCTCAGCGCTCCAAGCTCCATAGTAACCTATGCGGACTTCGGCGTCCATCGCTTCTGTACTTTCGCTGCATTTACTAGGCCGACTGGAACGTTAAGGTTAGAGATATACACGACGAATACATCAATGACTACATGCCTGATTGGTCCGCATTCCCCTTTGTCTTTGTTCTGGCATTCACTAGTACAGTGTTCTGAATCGAATCCACAAAAGCCGTGTTTACTGAAGTCACGAGGTCAGACATTTCTGCAGCGGTGTGTTTTGCTATCTTACCTGCAGCAGACGTTTAAGGGACACTCGAAGTTGTCTTTGGTGGCATACTGTCCACATTCTGCAGTCGCATTGCAGGTACCCTGGCACCTGAATGTGTGTCAGCTCTTTGCCTCTCTACTGAGATTGAGTGACTTACCCTGTTAAGCAGAACTCGTCGCCAAATCCGCATTTTCCTTGAAGACATGAGTACCGTGTGGGTTGCAAACACACTTCACACTGTACCTGAAGAACTACAGCAGCCGACTTTGCAGGGCTCAAGTGAACTGCAAGTTGCATCTTGTTGAGCAACTGAGAAATTTACAATGATAGATAAGAAAAGAGCAACAAGTATTGGAAGGAACGTATAGGCCCAAGGGCCTCGGAGTTTGCCCATAATGAATGTGAGTGTACAACGAGTGTGAGAAGACGCAAAGGCCCGGAAAGAAGGGAGCTTAATAAGAGAGAAAACAATGACAACTTCAGACGTACTTGCTTTAGCATAGAGACATGAGGCAGGTCCTAATGTCAGCTGTTGCTATGGTCTTGCCATATCAGACCCACGGGCCGTTGCGGATGGTACTAGCCACATTTGTAAACTCCCCCTGCATCAGCACTATATCCCATCCGTGATCTTACCCGAAGATATTACTAGAGGCCAGCAATGGAACTAAACATTCTCACCGAAAGATTTTAGTGGAGGGTACGAAACAGCAACCTCCAACTGCCGATCGCCACGCTGGATTGCAAACCTTGCACCCTGCTGCAGGTGTGTCAATTTCGCTTCGCGTGATATGGATATTGACATTGCGGGCGGCCAACTTAGGAAAATGGTACATCTTTTGCAGACCACTTGGTGAGAAAGATGCTGATTTACGCAAGTGACGGCTAAATCGTTTTGCTCCCTTGCACCCTTCCGCATATGTCAGGTAACGATACACTCCCACGTTGATTGTATCGCAACTTCGCTCATCCTTCTTCTCGCATTTGCAGACAATGTCTATACTCCTCTCAGAAAAATTCTTTACCTCTTTCAGAATGTTTGTCCTGATCATTCTTATCGGCATGTTGTCAGAGACTGGTAGTGGTATCAAGCTCTGGGCATCGCCTGCAATACTGCCTGCGGCAGTACCTGCGTCGTGTAAAGCCGTCATGGCTGCCGATATAGCGTGTAGTCCACGTATTATCAAAGAAGCTGACATCAGAAAAGATGTGCCATTCAATGAGACTTTTCTCGGTGAATACTGCAGCTCCACGTGTTCCTCATCACTCAACACCTATATCACAAATGTCAACACGCGTTGCGGATCCACCACCTACGATTTTGGCACCGGGATTGGAGAATCTGCGGGCTCTTTGATCGCACCTCTCAAATGGGCACGCGATGTCGCATGCAGTACTGGGACTTCCGCGAACGACTTCTGCTACCCAAAGATTGTCAACAGACAAGTCGGTTTCTGCGACGATTGTACGTTGAAACACATTGCTGGCTTGTTGAACTCAGAGGAGGATGTTGGGAAGATTAACAAGGAAGACTTTACCTCAGTTTTGTCATCGTGTCAAGTGTCGGCAACGAAGTTTCCCGTCACGAAGACAGCTCAACCAAGTGCTGCGCAACCCACGTAGGTACCTTCCATCATGCTCTTTGCATTGGACTCACAAAAGATTAGAAGTACCAGCGAAGCCGGTGACTCTTGCTGGGGAGGCGAAACATATACTGTCAAGCAGGGCGATACTTGCGAGTCCGTGGCCGCCGCGAATGGCATGGCGATCGATAGATTTCTGTCATTGAACGGAATCGATTATCATTGCGAAGCATTTGGGGTTGGAAGACCGGTTTGCATACGAGATGCTTGCAAACTACATACCGTACGTGGTGATGCTCTTATTTTATCGTGTCTTACTGACTACTGTGGTGTAGATCACGCCACAGGAATCTTGCAATGACATCGTCAATACCTACGGGTTCACAAAGCTAGAGCTCGTACAATGGAATCCAACCTTACAAACTGGCTGCGACAATGCAACTGCATTGGCTGGCCGTTCGATTTGCATCACGTATGTCTTCTCCAGGATACAAACGTCACATGAAAGCTAACGCTAGCTGACCAGACCTCCTGGCACAGACAAATATGACTTCACCGCGACCGCATCCTTGAATGATACTTGGACCTGGCCAGCTGGCAACTGGGTTCCAGGACCTACGCAAGGAACTCCTTTGACCAACAAACCGACCACCTGGGACGTACCGACAATAACAGCGACGTGGGCGGCAACTGTGGATCCGTCAACAGCAGCTTACTTCAAGTATTGCCCAATTACTGACCAACATTGGGAGGAAGGGTTTGATTGGAGTTTGCTCAGCAACGTGTGTTTGGTACTACTCGAGAAGTATTGTGAGCCTGAGATGACTGGGAATCCACTACCTAGCACAACTTTCCCAAGTAGTTGCTTCCCGCCATACCCTACTAACGCCGACTAAGTCGCGGAGAAGCGTTGGAACGGAGGTGTCATGTTGGGATTGCTTATAGTGTGGTTCTTCAGATAGTAGATATTCAACACAGTGCCCTACTCCTCCGCATAGAGCAACGTCCCTGGATGCAATAGTGAAGGTTCGTCCCCACAAGTCTCAAGGTGCCCTGACAGATGGCCTCCGGTGGGACTTGCTTCAAAATCTTGAATGTGCTCCGGCCTAATTCTATTGAACCAGACTGACTGTCCATGAATGTCGATGAAGTGTATCTTGATCAGCCTCTCTCGGAGTGCTTCCTCGTCAAAGAGATAATGGAACGATTTGCACTTCATGACTGCGTTGTACAGCGGCAGTCTCGCCTCATCGTTTGGTGGTGAGATCGGAACATGAGATTCGTCCTTCTCCGGATGCCCATCGTTGTAATAGACTATAGTGTCTGGGAGTTGAGGTAGACGTAGGAAAACCTTCGTCCAATCATGCCCAAACTGACCGTACAGGCTTTCATCGTCAAGAACGATTTCCGGTCCAAAGTCTGTCTGGCCATCCTCGAACATCTCCCGGTAAGCGCTATCGAGTTCAGCCGTATAGCAAGTACGGATCCAGACTGGGTAAGGGATGCGACTCAGAAATTTCTGGGTTGCATTGCGCTCAGTGATCGTCTGATGTGGAGCTAGTATACGCTGGATGCGTGATGGTGCTGGCAGATAAGGCGCGCCAGGAGGAGGACTATCCGCAGGATTGCATATCATCCAGTATGGCTAGTACAGGGTTTAGTCTCGCACGTTTCGAGGTACTTTGAGCAGCTTGTTGTGAACAGGGCACTCACACTGCGATCAACATGGCTCATCGACAGCCACCTGTAAGCAAGTTCATTCCACTGCTCCTGATTCCGCTCTTCCGCTTTATTGACATCCCAATTAGCCTTCACTCAATGCGTTAGCAAATGTCAGACTAATACAAAGTGAGGTCACTAACTAAAACGAATTGGTCAAATGGCAGATTTCCATACTCAGCCCCCGGGTTTAAAGACGTTGAGTTGATAGGGTCCATGGCGGAGATCTCTGCGTACTGCGGCTCGGTGATTGAATTTCACGCAATTAAACGAGACATATAGGGCAACCGTCAGAAGTGGGCATGTAAATACTGGAGCTTGCCAAGAGCCAAGCAGTAAGCTGTGTAGCGAACCAATCCTCAGTATGGACGGGAGCCCGAGCGCGGGGTCCCACCTGCTGACGCTGTCCTGAAAAGACAGGTGCTTGCCGCAGATAAGCTACGCCAAGCCTGTCAGTAGTGCGGCACAGCGGGAAGGTAATTAGAACAGGATCTGTCAAGGGACCTATTTTGCCACGGTATAGCTTGGCGACCTTAGGGCTGACCATGCGGTCCGGCCCGGTAAGGCGAAAACCTGACAAGAGACTGATGACACAGAACATCAACGCTCGCCGACACCTTCATGCAATGAACGAAACCCAAGATGGATCAATAGCCGGTGCTTTCCATTTTCGTACATCGAGAATATTGAGTCTGTTGTGTTCATTTCCCGCTGCTGTCAGCTCGTTGGTGTGGAATTGGAATCCCATGACCGCATCGCATGTATATAACACGCTGAAAGCTATAATGAACATATCATGACCTGCTACAGTCATTAATTCTTTCTTCTATCGTCCCTCGCAACCAGTTGAGATGAGATCCTTCATTTCACTTCTGAGCTTCACGGCCCTTGCGGCTGCCGGTGCCATAAAGCGCCAAAGCGGCCCTGTTGACCCAACTACAGACCCAGATTGCAGTTACTACGACACTGCCTACAGTGAGACTGATAACTGCCAGTATTTTGAAAATTACTGGGGGATCGACCATGCCACCTTTGTCACTTGGGTATGAACACCCCTCTGTTTTGCAATGCTGCCTTACTAATTAGATTTAGAATCCATCGGTCAAAAGTGACTGCAGCGGGATCAAAGTTGGGAACTCGTATTGTGTGGAGGTTACTCGCAAGCCAGAGCCAACAAGTTCCACTCCGGTATCCACATCGGCATCTCCGTCTCCAACCAAGCCAGCTAAGCCTTCACCAACTCAAGAAGGCCTCATTGAGTCATGTACCGACTTCTACTTTGCTGTCGCCAACGACAACTGTCAAAAGATTGCAAAGAAATATGGTACCTTCACAGAAGCACAGTTCATCGAATGGAATCCAGCAGTTGGCTCTGACTGTGGGGGCATCTGGGCCAAGACCTACTACTGTGTTGGCATCCCCGGAACCCCAACAGCGCCGCTAACCTCGACATCTGTTGCACCATCATCGACTGCCCCTGCCAAGCCATCACCAACGCAAGAAGGCCTGATTGAGAGCTGTACGAAGTTCTACTTCACTGTCAAAAACGACAATTGTGCCAACATCGTCAAAAAGTACGGCACCTTCACTCTGCGTGAGTTTGTCACCTGGAATCCAGCTGTCGGTGAGGACTGTAGTGGTATCTGGGCTGATACCTACTACTGCGTTGGCATCCCTGGGACGCCTTCTGCTCCTCCCTCTTCTAGCGTTGTGCCCACAACGGTCAAACCTACAGCCACTGGAAATGGCATCTCAACGCCGCTACCTACGCAGCCTAACATGGTTTTAAACTGTAACAAGTTTCATTTTGCTGCAAAGGGTGTTAGATGCGGCGATATCCTTAGCTCTGAGAAGATCACCCAGGCCGATTTCACCAAATGGAACCCGTCAGTCCTTGACGACTGTTCTGGTATGTGGGCCGAAGTAAACCTCTGTGTTGGTGTTATTGGAGGAATAGCTTCCACTACCACAACCACAAAGCCAAGTACCACCACTACAACCGCCGGAAATGGCGTCCAGACTCCACAGCCCACGCAGCCAGGGATGATCACCTACTGCAACAAGTTCCATTTTATATTCGAAGGCAACACGTGTTCACAGATCCTCTCCTACGACAAAATCACACTTGCAGACTTCGTTAAATGGAACCCATCTGTGAAGGATGATTGCTCGGGTATGCAGGCACTAGTCAACGTCTGCGTTGGTGCCATCGGAGCAACGACTACAGCAACAACTACAGCAAAGCCCCCACCTACAACAACAACATCGGCCGGGAACGGCATTCAAACTCCTCAACCGACGCAGCCTGGAATGGTGACTAACTGCAAAAAGTTCCACTATGTAGATATCAACAATACCTGCGGCCAGATTGTCAGCTACGAGAAGATTACTATGGCTGACTTCGTGAAGTGGAACTCCGGTGTTGGATCTGATTGCAAAAACATGTGGGCCCAAACCCATGTATGCGTTGGGGTGTAAGATCTCTAGATGGTCGAATGTCATGTACACTTCTTGGAAGTTGATAGGGATGAGAGCATGTATTGTTAGAACCTTGAGCTTTCATTGTTCTGCTGTCAGCTTATCTAGAGTTTTGGGCCTGCTACACAAATTCAAAGAATTTAGCAACAAGGAAAGCATTCCTTGAGAAGATTTGTATAACGGCTATCAATTCTGCATGTGGTATGCCCCGGATGGGCGTCGTAAGGCTATTAAGTCACAAGAAGTGCATGTTTGAGGTTTCTCCTAGCTCCGCAAGGTCATCTCGGCTTGAGGAAAACAAAAATAGAAGTATATCTCCCGGCTCGTGAGACTCTCTCCCCAGTATTACTCCTTTCTTGTTGTCAATTGCTGTTTCCCAGGAACTACGGCTGAGAACCAAACAATCGCGGTCGTCTGTGCAATATCATCTACCCCTAGGACATTGCAACGATAGGCTGTATGCACGCACCCGCAATATGCATTTGCGTCTATTAGTCCTGATGGTTGTAGCATTATACTATTAAATACTGCAGATCCCGCACTACATACACAGTTCACAACACTGCAAACCAAAGGAGCAAGACGTGAGTAGAATCAGGTCCCGCACCAAAGGGTTTCAAACAGGGATGACGAGGTCGCCTTGATACCCTTCCATTCACACAATGAGAGCGATAGGACGAGTCACTCTTGTCTGGATCAAAAATGCTCTGTAACCCGCTTTGCTTCTTGATACGATCATGCTCGCTTTTGCACTTACTACAGGGCACTGACAACTCCTGCAACGAATCTGGCCTCGACGGGGATACTATCTTTCGCCCAGAAACGACCAATCAAGGCGCCTAGATTCCCACCTTCTAGCACTTCATGTGAGCGCAAGTCGGACTAAAGTTCCCTTGCCTAGCTGTAACGGAGCAATAACAGTGAAGCCTGAGTGACGTATCAGTTCGGAACCTCGCACCGATACTCACAGTCACTAACGCCCCCTACAACTAGGTCCTAAGGGCATTGCCGTGAAAGTCCTGACTCATTATGACTAGTCATCAGCAGTAAACACTACACTCAAGATGCGTACCGAAGATTAGCCCACAGATAGCACCACCTTGAGGATTACTCACCTGGTGGCGTCTGGTCGGGGTACCCCAACCATCGTAATCTGGATCAACCGGTAGCTACCCGCCTAGCGGGCCGCACTGACGTTGTATTCACTTCTCATTTGAGATATCCTTTCTCGGTATCTCTGTTTCAAGATTAGGCGTGTTCCAATGCGCTCCACTCCTTGTGCCAAGGACGTCAATCTACACAGCCCTGACATGCACGACATCAGTCATGTACGCGATAGCGCGGGTAGGGCCGGACCGAATTGAACCCGTTTCTTCGCTATCCGATTCATCAGTTACCATATGTACGCGTTGACGCGGCAAGGCCCGGACCGAACTGGACCGTGTCCTTGCTAGCCCTGAATCACTGCCGTGTCGGCGCCGCCCATGTTGGATTGCAAAAAGCCGTACTAGCATTCGAAACGCCGATAAACCTGGGCCAAACAGAATCGTTTCTTGAATCGTTGCCAAAGTGTCAGCGCCGCCTAAGTTGGATTTTCTGAAACTGAACTATAGTTGGAGTAACAATTCCTAAGACTAATACCAGTTGTTCTAAAGCAGCAAACAATCTTAATGGCAAATTTGATGAACGCATCTATCTATGCCAGCAATAGCTCTCGGAATCCTCGAAGTACTCTATGATATGACAAACCCTAACCCTATTTGAATGAAAACGAGCAGTAGCTCTAGCAACCAAATCGCAGGCTTCATGTACAGGATAAAACGAAACCAAACAGCATTTGATCGCTACAAGAAGTAAAAACAGTCCAGAAGGTTACGTACACGTTTGCTATCGCAGTGGTATGCGAGATAAGTGAAGATGAAACTGGGAAGCACAGCCGTAGACTCAGTGGGGTAATTCATGGAGGCTGTACATACAAGACCCCGAGAACATCTCTATGAGTTCTATGAACGCTAGGTAATACTCGGGACAAGCTACTACAAAAGTGATCTAAAAAGCTAGAGACCACATACTAGAACACTATCTCATCTCACCTGACCGTGTCATATCCTTCTGTGAGACTCGGCCCCACGTCTCGTTTGCCTGCACTCTGCCATTCCTCTCCGCCATTGTCCGGTGTGCTTAACTGGAGTGCATAAATAGCTGCTTCCATACCATTCCATCTGCATCAAACTCATCTCAACCCCTCAATCGACCCATCTCCAACAACCCTTCTTCTCCGCCAAAGCCTCAAGCTCACCATGCAGTTCTCCAGCCTCGCACTCCTTCTCAGCCTGGGGTTAGTCTCCGTTGCTTCTCCAACCGGCGCAACTGCCGGACTGGAGAAACGCCAGAGCATAGCGGTTTCGTGCAGTAACGTACAGACACAGTCCTACCTAGCTTCTTGGAGGCGGCGTCTAACGCGATGAACAGGGAAGCTACAGTTGCCCGCGCGGCTCCTTCTGCTGCTGTGCGACGGGCAACGAAACCTGCGCGCCTTGGTCGCCGTGCATTACTTTTGCCGGGTCCGGAAGCGGGCCCTGCTATCAGAACGGGGCGCAGTAAGGTACACTGTAGTGATTCAATATATGGGTAGGGATTGTGATAAATAGTACACTGTAGGGATTCAACATCTCTGCAGCGTGTGTGGGCCAGCGCCCGCGCAGTCCTCGCGCGACCCTGAACGCTGGCACGAGCGCGTGGCAGCCAGCTATTCGGTGTTCAAGAGAGCAAAGTCTCACGGTGTTCAACACATCGTGTAACAGCGCGGTATCCAGGTTCGTTTATCAGTAGCCCGTATTGATAATCCAACTCCTTCCTCCATCGCTCCCGTCCCACTCATGAGCTTGTAAAGCCCAGCCCGGCGTCCCTGCAGGCTGCAACCAATTGCCTCGTGACAAATAGTAATTAGTGATACATAGCACGGGAAGACAATTTTGTCCATCGACACCACTGGATTCGCAGTCTCCAACTGCTGTCTAACTAGATGTTAGATATTACACTTCGTATAAACTCTGTTAGTTTAAAACCTAAATCCACTTATATTCTACTTCCTTTGGTCTAAAGAGCTATAATCTATATTTATAGTTTAGGATGCTTAGCATTTAAAGATATCATGCTGTAACCATTAGGGCTAATAGACGCAAATGCACATTGCAGGTACGTAGAGCCTATTGTTGCAATGTCCTAAAGATATGTATAGATGTCATTGCACAGATAGTTGCAAGTATTTGATTCTTCGTTCTAGGTCCTGGCAAATAGCAAGTGGCAATGATAAAATAGGAATAATTTAGAGAGAGTTTCACGGACTGGGAGATAGGTATGCTTCTGTTTCTGTATCAGTCTCCCAGAGACAAATTTGGACCGCCTCGAAAGTGAACCCTAGCACCCTTTCGCACCCGGTCGTTTGAGATGCACGGCGTCTTATCAGAACCATTAAAGATGCCGGGGCATGCGTGTTTCCTCCGTGCCATCAGTGACGAGACGCTGTGGTGTTGAAGCATTGTAGCAAGCCTCTGCACTACAAGACATCCAAGATATAGACCAGGGGAAGCCAGACCATGATCTCGAGATCCAGCCCTCAGCCAGGAAGGCAGAAAGCCATGCCTGCGCTGCTCAGCACGCGGTCAGGGCTGTCCTTCTCTAGCACCACAGTCATTCCCTCGTTGTATTTGTACATGACCTACACACATGGAGGACCGCGCTTCACTTTAAGCAAATCGCCTAAAAACCCTTTGCCTTCTGCAGCAGCTCCCCTCAGGCGATTGTAGACATCTTCGCCCTTGGTATACCCCGCTGACGGAAGTGACGAAGCCATTCCCCGCGGTAGCAAGACCCCAAGTTTCCCATGCTCCCGGACCGCGCTCACCCTCTTAAGCGAGTACGGTATATACGCCAGCAAAGCAACTGCTCGTATGACGAGAAGCCACGCGAGGTGTTTGCTTTCCCCGTGCGATCGTAACATCTACAGGACATCAAGTCTCACGGCGACGTAGATCGATCGGCGTATGCGTCCGCACGAACACAGAATCGCCCATGCTCTTGCTCCTGCTCGGAAGCGGAACTGGCTTCGGTGCGCGATACCTCAGGGGAAACGACTGCAGCAAGGCGTCGCGGCTACGGCGCGGGATATGTCAACGCATTTCCACGTGCGCGTCGCAAGTCTCGTTGCCGGCGGCAGCGACGGAAAGATAGACCCACACATACGCTCAGCCTTGCTTTAATCATCGATATCTCCGCCGCACTCATACTGGATACACATGCACTGCCCGTCGCCAACAGCGCGTCCCACAGGTGTCCGCGGATGCTGCAAGCGAACACAAGACCGCGCGATCTAAACTGCGCCGTGGAACCGTCCAGCACTTCCTCTGTGCCGTGTTGCGCCTGGCAGATCTTCTCGTATCCAGAGACAGCACGCAGTTTGATATCAATGTCAGGACTGCACACTTCCTCGCCCGTCCTCGATAGACAAGACCGCCCGGTGAGCACACCCACAGGCGACTGCGAGGAGATGTTTGATACTCATCTAATTACACAATATAATAGTCTAGATCCAAACCTATGCCTTTACATACGTACAAGTCACATCTTCTACACCCCCCCCCCCCCTCCCCCCCCTTAGTTTTCTATCACGCCAGAGCCCAGGAACTCTTATTCTTCGACCCGCACTGCCCAAGAACCCTAATATACTCACCCCCTCTCCAACCCCTCTCCTACTCCTACCTACCCAACATCCCACAGACCCCCAAACCACCCAAACCGACCAGAGGCTATAGCTATATCGCCAGCCGAATGGGATGAGACGAGCAAGACCCAGTCCCTATTTCACGGTTCAAGGGCCGGATGGCAAGACCCAGTCCAGTGCCTATTTTCACGGGCCCGGATGTGCAGACACAGTGAACCCAGTGACCCAGTCCAGTGCCGTCGCCAGCCTCACCGATCGAATGGGACGACTCAGACCCAGACCCAGACCCAGACTCCAGACGCAGTGCCCCGAGTTTATAATTATATAAACATGGGGAAACGCGGGCTTACGATACTGTGCTGTGCTGTGCTAAGCTGTGCTGAGCTTACCTTGCCTTACCTTACCTTCCCTCACCTTACCTTACCTTACCTTACCTACGTATACCATACATAGCAGTGACACTCGTGCACGCGGGTGTGTTGAGTTGTGCAGGACAGTGCGACGAGCAGATTCGAAACGAGCGCGAGCGCGATTCTGGCTGGCACGTTTATGCGTAGCGGCTGTGCCGCATGAGGAGTGCGATGCCGTGTAGTGCAGTGCGGTCTTAGAATGCGGTATGGACAACACACGACCACGGAGCAAGGAGTTGAGAAAGCGAATACAGTTCAGATTGAAAGCACCCATCGCCCAACAACATAAACCAAGTCTAGCAAAAACCTACAACACGAACGCCAACGCAACGCACAACCCCACACAACCGCCTCCCCCCTACCGCCCGGCCCCATCCACAGAGTACACCGGCGGCGGCGCCTCGACCGCCGTCCGCACGACCCCCTCGCGCCTCAGCACCGCGTCGTCCAGCGCATGCACCTTGACAGCCTCGAGCTCGACGCCCTGATCCTTATCCAGCGTCGCGCTTCGCGCGCGCGCCCTGAGTGCCGCAAGGCCCGCGAGCCCGTAGAACAGCAGCGCGGCGACCAGCGAGCCGCAGGCCGTGGCCAGCAGGAGGGAGAGGTAGTAGAAGCGGTCGGCGTCCGGGGTGTTGTCTCTGAGCACGGCTCTGACGGTGTCGAGGAGGGGGTCCTGCGGTAGGTGTGCGGCGCCGGCGAGTGCGGCGGGCGCGAGCGGGATGCGGGCGGCGCGCTGGGGACGCGCGCGGGGTGCCGCGAGCGAGGCGTCCGTCGTGTGCGTGTGTTTCCAGCTAATCACGCCGTGGCGGCGGCCGTCGCGCACGACGGGCTCGCCGGGCGCCCAGCCACAGAGATCGTGTGGTGTCAGGGCCGAGGCGTTGGCGATGTGGAAGCCCTTTTCGTGCAACCAGGCGGCGAGCACGGGCGGGTAGAAGCGCATGTAGCCGGTCAGGATGGAGAAGTTGTAGGGCGCGGCGGGGTGGGTGAAGAAGACGGTTTTGTAGCCTGATTGCCAGTAGGACGTGTATGGCTCGATGCAGAAGGTGTGTGTCGGGGCGTGGGGGGTGAGGGTTAGAGCTGCGGATAGGGTGGTGAGGGTGAGAATAAGAGTGGTGTGTGGATGCATAGCGGTATGTATGCGCAGCAATATGTGGATCGTGGCGTAAGTGGATGCGTGGCGTAAGTGAATGGATGCCGAGTAGCGTAGTGATGCTATGGCGATGTTGTGAGAGGAGTGGTGGGCGAAACTCGCGTTTTGAGGTCACTGCGACGCTCTTGCCAGAGACGGGTATGGAGGCAGGCGTAGTCAAACGGAATTCGCTCGTGCTGAAGCCAGTATAGGGCAAAAATGCAGGTACACGCAACTAAAATAGTGCCCCTAGAATAGCTCTTATAAGCAGGCCTTTTCTGCTGCGACAGCTCGCCATGCTATGCATATACATCTATCGTACACGGTAGACTTGAAGTATCCTGGCCGTCAAAAGGGTGTTGAGCTTGCTAGAGCAGGCGTACTCAGAATTGGAACTCGCTCGCCATGCTGTGCCAAATCATTCATCGTACACGCCGATGAATCTCGCATGCTACGCCAAACATTCATCGTACACGCCAATGAATCTCGCATGCTACGCCAAACATTCATCGTACACGCCAATGAATCTCGCATGCTATGCCAATCATCCATCATACACGCCTCACGTATCCTGGTCGCCGAACGGATAATTAAACTTCAACAGCGCATTCAGCCCCCCAACCCAATGATCCTCGGTCTGATCATCGCCCGTGGCGCGCACAATACACGGCACCCCCCCGTGCCACTCGCCCGTCTTGGTGCGCACATCCTCGCCCATGACGCGCACCTCCATGCCGGACCCCAGCCCCTCGGTGACGGTGTTGCCGTCGATGCTGACCTCGACCTGCTTGCCGCGGTTCTTGTCGCCGAGGCGCAGGGTGATGGGCGTCTCGGCGGGCAGCAGCAGCGGGCGGAAGGACAGCGAGCGCGGGCAGATCGGGGTTAGTAGCAGCGAGGGCACCAGCGGGTGCACGATGCTGCCGCCGCTGGACAGGCTGTACGCGGTGCTGCCGGTCGGCGAGCTGATGATCATGCCGTCGGCCACGGCTTCGGTTAGGAAGCGGTGGTTGATGTACACGTCGATGATCTTGAGGTGCGGGCTCGACCCGCGGTGCAGCGTGACTTCGTTGAGGGCGTACGTGTCGGCGTCGCCGCCGATGCGCGTGCCGTCGGGGGCGAAGATGCCGACCTTGAGGCGGTTGCGCAGGAGCACGCGGGCGCTGCGGTTGACGCCCATGGCCTTGCCGCGGATGTCGGCGTACGAGAGCGGGGTGTCGAGGGGGGAGGACGGTGCCTCGCTCGGGCGGGGTGGGTCGGGCGCAGGGGCGTCCAGCTTCGCGTAGGCGTCTGGCGCGCCGCTCATGTACATGTCCCTGAAGGCGCGCTTGTACTCGCCAAACTTCCACTCGCCCAGGAAGCCAATGGTGCCCATGGCGAAGCTCAGCACGGGCGGCACGCTCTCGACGTGGCTGAACAGGCTGCTCGCGCGCAGTAGCGTCCCGTCGCCGCCCAGCGTGCAGACCAGGTCGGTCTTGTCGGCGAGCCCAGCGGCGCGGTCGTAGGCGTAGACGGGGAAGCGCAGCTGGCCGTGGACCTCGCGCGCCGACTCGCGGTCGAGGATGACGTTGATGCCCGGGTAGGTGGCGTGGATGTGGGCGGCGAACTCGACTACCGACGCGGTGATGTTGGGCGTGCGCTTCTTCTTGGTGATGAGCACGTTGCGCGGCGGCGACGGCCACTGCAGGCTCAGCAGCGTGTTGGCGGGCGACTGCACGTACGACGGGCGCACGCGCGCGGGCAGCTCAGACACGCTGCGGATCTCGCGGGCGGCGCGCGTCGTCGAGAAGCAGCGCCAGCATCGCAGCGGCACGACGAGCGGCGGCACGACGAGCCGCGGCAGCACGCGGGGCGGGCCTGGCGGGTGCATGATCGCAGCGGGTGTGGATGCAGGTCCAGCAAGCAAACCGAGGGGGCTTGGCGCCCGTATTCGGTACGCGTGCGGATCCCTGCAGCGGGGCATGACGGCCATCACATGTCGCGGGAAGCTGGCGGAGCCTCAGCCCGGCTTTCGCGCGGATGCACCTCAGATGGCGCCCCGAGGCTGACTCGCCGTGTGACTAGGCACTGCTGCCTCCTGCGTTTCTCTGTCCCAGTACTACCAGTCTGTCCTCGCACTCCTCCTCGACCTCCGCCATGGACACCGCGGGGCTGAAGCAGCGGCATCCTGCGAACGGTCCACAGACCACCCTCGCGAACGGCCGCCCTAAGCTTGCCGCCAGAACCTCCTCGCACCACCCCGCCGGCAAGGTCAAGCATGGCGCCCTCATGCAGTTCCTGCGCATGTGCGCCTTCGCGCTGTACTTCACCAGCAGCATCCTGGCGTACGTTCCACCTCACCCCAGCAGGCCCCAGCTAACCCCCCCAGCATCTTCACCACCCAGGCCCTCGGCCTCCCCCTCTACTTCTACTCGCCCGCGCTCTTCACCGCCTGGATGGCCCTCACCAAGCAGCACTTCGGCGTCGTCATCACCACCATGACCTACTGGTGGGCGCCCGTGACCATGCGCGTCAGCGGCGACGCCAGCGTGCGCGGCCAGCTGCGCCGCACACCCTCGGGCGCCCTGCGCTGCGACTTCCCCGCGCGCCTCGTCCTCGTCGCAAACCACCAGATCTACACCGACTGGATCTACCTGTGGTGGAGCGCGTACTGCGCCCGCATGCACGGGCATCTGTACATCGTGCTGAAGGAGAGCATCAAGTACATCCCGCTGCTGGGCACGGGCATGATGCTGTACCGCTTCATCTTCCTGTCGCGGCGGTGGGCCGTCGACAAAGCGCGCCTCGCGACGCGCCTCGAGACGCTGAGCGCCCCGCACCCCGAATCCGCGTCGCCCGAGAACCCCGCGGGCCGCGACCCTATGTGGCTCCTGCTATTCCCGGAGGGCACCAACCTGTCGAACAACGGGCGCGCCGCGTCCGCAAAATGGGCCGCCAAGTCCGGCGTCCCGGACCTCAAGCACCTTCTGCTCCCGCGCAGCACGGGCCTGGGCTTCTCGCTCGCAGCCCTGCGCCCCAGCGTCTCGCACCTGTACGACTGCACGCTGGCCTACGAGGGCGTACCCCCCGGCGCCTACGGGCAGGACATTTTCTCCCTCCGCGGCAGCTATTTCCAGGGCCGTCCGCCGAAGAGCGTGAATATGCACTGGCGCCGCTTTGCGCTCGCGGAGATTCCGCTCGAGGAAGAGGCGTTCGCGGCGTGGCTGGCGGAGCGCTGGAGGGAGAAGGATGAGCTGATGCAGGTTTATCTCGACACGGGGCGATTTCCGGCGGACGAGGGGGCGGGCGTGGATGCAGAGGGCGCGGAGGTCAGGGGCGCCGGGTGGATTGAGACGGAGGTCAGGCCACGGTGGTGGGGGGAGTGGATCGGCGTGTTTGTGCCGGTTGGCGCGGCGGGGTTGGTTCTGAATGTTGTTGTGAAACTGCTGAGGATGGTGGGGAGGGTGGTTAGGGGGTAGTGGCGAGGGGGGGGGGGGGCATGGAGCGGTCGAGCGATGAGCAGTAGAGTGTTGGATACGACTGAACCCGAGAGGCGACGCGATACCCTATTTCCCACTTCACTTTCCCACACAAACCTAGATTTCATGCACGCTAGACAGTGTTGTAGGCTAGAGTGTGTTAGTCCATCCAGATAGCGGAGTATACATACAGTTCACACGCAGGTCACACAGTCCACACTCACAGCGTCGAGACGAAGGCCCTAACGGTATCGTATGACTATGGCACACACGCTCTGACCGCTGTATTGCGACACTGTCCTGGCGCTGCATTCAGCGCTCCTGCGAGCGCAAAGCCAGGACTCGTACGAGGCCCACTGAGCACCATCCAGCTCACTTACCCCCCCTCCTCCCACTCCCGGTTCAATTACCCCCATCCCCCCACCCCAAAGCAACGCGCCGCACCTACCGTACATCCACACTGGCACAAGCGCACACCTCAATCCAGACCGTAGACCCCGCTAAAGCGCCCACTCCTCCCGATCGTCCGCGGCAGTGATAAACGGCTCATCAACGAGCTTAACCGCGAGTTCACTACACAGCACACTAGACGCCGTTAGCACACTCCACACGCCCCACCCCAGAAACAGGAAGAACTCACCACGCAGACCCAACCAACGCATCCAACTCCCTCACCGCCCTCTCCCTCCGCCCCCCCCCCCTCGCCACCTCCCCCTGCAACTCACGAATCTGCTTCCCGCGCGCAATCCCCGACAACTCCACCACCCTCTTCGCCAGACAATCCGCGTGAAACGCGTGCTGGCACGGAAAAACAAAGAACATGCGACTCAGCAGCGGCAGCGCACAGTGCGCACACCTCTCCCCCGGCCTGACGACCGCGTAGCGCTGCCCGAGCGCCTTGATGTCGGACGCGATGTGCCTGGCCGTGTCTTCGGAGTCGTCCATCTCGGATTTCAGCGCGTCGATGGCGCGACTATATCCCTCGAGCGCGGCGCAGATTTCGTCTTTGAAGGCGTCGATGCGGACGAAGTCTGGGAAGAAGGGGATCAGGTCCTCGATGCGGAGGAGGGGGCAGCGGCGGAGGAACGCGATGGCGGGGGCGATGGAGGGCGAGGAGGTAATAACGGCGCGCGCGATGGCGAGCCAGAGTTTTTTGCGCCCGGGGGTGGGGAGCGTGGCGCGCTCGGCGACGCTGGAGGCGAGTTCGATGGCGGAGTGCGCCAGGGCCAGGTCGACTGCGCGCGCGTACTGGCCCATCGAGGTGTAGATGTGCACGCATGACTGCACGCGGGCGTGCTGGATGCACAGGCGCAGGGCGAAGTCGGCGTCGTAGTGTTGCTCGTGGGCGAGGGACTGGGCCTCGAGGTAGGCGAGGAGCGCGGACTCGTCGGTTGTGGGGTGCGAGGCGTAGAGGGAGATGAGGGTGTTGTGGACGGCGGCGTCGGTCGAGTGGTGCTGGTTGATTTCGAACAGCAGGTAGCGCACGGCCTGGTTCTGGCTCAGGGGCGCTTTGGTGGTGTTGTTGTAGTTGAGGAACGCCGGGATGAGTTTCTGCGCGTCGAGGTTCGTTTGCCGCATCATGATCTCGACGAGCTCGACGGGGACTTGCGCCATCAGTACGCTGCTGTATTTGTAGAAGATCTCGGCGTCGGTCTGCTTCTTGAGCACCGCCAGCGACTCGGGCCACCGCTCGCGCTGCACCCAGTAGGACAGCACGTAGTTGTAGTCGTTGACGACAGTGGCAAAGTACAGCAGCTCTTCCTCCCGGCCATGACTACTGATAATGTCGTACGCCGTCTTGCGGTCCAGGTCGGTCTTGTACTTGGACGCAAAGTCCTGGTAGTCTTTCCGGATCGCCGAGAGGTGGTCCTGGGTCTCGGCCGTGTTCATGCTCTCCGACAGCTCCGCCTTGGTCGTGATCGTGTCGTCCAGGGTGTTGAGCTTGGCCATGTACAGCTCAATCAGCCACGTAGCGACCATCGTCCGCTGCATCAGCGCCGCCTTCTTCAGTGTCGACAGCTTTGTGAGGAGGTACTTGCGGAGCGCATCCTGATCGCCCTGATCAATAAACGTGAGCGCTACTTGCTCGAACGGCTTCGTGCTTCGCCCGTACACCGCCGCCGCTTCGAGGTACTGGCCCTTGCCGACTAGATAATCACCTGACGCCGTTGCAACGGCGTCCTTCTGCGAGGACGTCTTGGCGAATTGGGAAGCTGCTTCGAACTGCTGCGACCGGAGCATGATCTTCCACACATCTCGAGCCTCGTCTGTGACAACAATCTCGAAAATCTCGCGGGTGGTGAACAGCCAGTAGGTGTTGGACTTGATGTCGGCGACGAGGCTCAACGCGCTCTGCCCAGGCTCGAGTACGGCCTGATCGAAGACGACCGTGTCGTCCAGGCGATTGATCACCACCACCCTGCCATCCACCAGCTGCAGAATGTGCCATTGGCTGAGAATCATCGAGCTGACTGCGTCGTTCGTCCGCCTGGTCCGACCACTGGCGGTTTGTGACGCGGGGATCTGCGATCTGGGCAGCAGCTTCGAGTCTGCGAGGACCTTGGCTCCGAGATCGGACGTGTCTTGGGGGAGATACAGCTTTCCGTGCAACACCCCCTGCGACGTCAGCCAGCCGAAGATCCGTTCGCTGTTGAGGCGCTCCTGGTCCGGCGTCTGCTGGTTCTCGGGCGAGACCGCCAGCAGCGAGGTGGCTGTCGAAGAGACATTCGGCAGCTCGTGGACGGTCGCAGATTCGGTTTCGAAGAACTTGGAGAAGATGGAGCCGCTGCCTTCGTGGGCATTGCGCCCGACTTTCCCTGCGAACTGTATGAACGTGGACGGTGTTGCGATGATAACCCGCCGCAGGTCCTGTCGTCCGGGTACGATGTCCGTCCACAGTCCCGTCACAGGGCCATCCGTGGTGTTGTACACGCTCTTCAGATAGCGCTCCTCCCTGCGGTAGAATTCAGACGAGGGCTCGATGAACACCTCATACACATTCCCGTCTGATGCGCCGACCAGGATCTCGCGCGTCGACGCCGTGGGCTGCGAAGGGTTCCATGATATGCTCTCGATGACGACGCCCTTCAGCCGCGACAGCGCCTTGGGGGTGCGCGACTGCGTGTGGAGGTAGTAGTTCTCGGCGAGGGTGGTGGTGACGACGAGGTGCGAGGCGGAGGGGTCGAGGAACAGGCGCCTGATGACGCCAATTTCCGACGGCTTCTTCGGGAGGTCGATGTCTAGGCTGTCAGCGCAGTCGTTGTACGCGGCGCTCTACGCACCGTCGATGTCGGCCGGGCTGTCCAGGTCGATGCGCAGGATGCGGCCCGTGGAGAGGGCCAGGACCAGGACGTTGTTGGCCACGGCGGCGGCGACAAAGTCCGACGATATGGAGAACTGCAGCGACACGCGCTCTATGCTGAACATGGGCAGCGATGCATCGTCCTGCGCGTTGCTCGTGCTGGGCGGCGCATAGCCGCTCGAGGTGTCGTAGGCCATGCAGGGCTGTGGTCGGCTCTGCTATTGTGGCACCGTAGTCATCCTTCACGTGCGTACAGCTTCAGTGACTTGTAGCTGTCGTTGCGCAATTGCAGTCACGAGCGCATCGCCGTCGTGGTCGGCGGTGACGCCTGAGCTTGGAGCTCCGGAGATCGTTCGCCGATTGGTCGGTGGTCGCGGGGTACGACGACCTGATCTTGAACGTCTACTACATACTACATACAACTAGCATACGTCGGTCAATCGAGAGCGCTATCTTGATCTTCCTCGCTGCGTTGTTGCTCTCATGCATGACTCCATCACCTCCAATGCCAACGTTCCTACAAAGCTCAATGAGTAAACATGCACAGCCCCGATCGACATGCTGGCCAGTTGTCGAGCTTGCCCGATTCGTCTGACACCGTCGCTCATCAACAGCTCACTGTACACACAACGATGCCATTCTCAGCGATCTCGAAGCTGGTGCACGAAACCGCAATTCGAGCTTTTGCACTGCCCTCGCATCCGCGTTTCTTGAAAGCACCATTCAAGGTTCAAGCAGGAACCCGGTCCAATTGCACCGGGTAGATTGGTGTTAGGCGCCCTGCCGGCAGTTGCCGTACCAGACTGATAACTTAAACACGAGTCGCGCTCCCAGGCCCCAGGTTGCGCACCTACATTTCAGGCCTCTGTGGGGCGTTACGACTGCTGCAGCCACCAAATTCCTCCTTCATGCATATATAATTCAACCTGCCGTTCGCGATGGGGGAAAAGGACGATGACCTGAGTGTTTCGGTACAGTCGATAGACGGCCCCTGGACACCGGTCCGCTCGACAACCTGGGGAAACGATGTAGTGGAGAGGAGAAAAAAGAGCCGGAATTGGGCTTGGACATGGGGACTCCGCAATCGATGGACAGCAGTGAAGAGAAAGATTGAGCCAGCAGTCCAGTCTTCTAGACGCACGATCCAGCCAGCTTGCAGTGCAATATGGACGTTCGCTCGCTGCCACCTCTGGCCGTGCCTCGTCCGGGTGTTCAAATCGAAGAAGCAGTGGTTCGCACTCTTGCTCTTCACTTTTGGCGCTGTAGCACCTATGGTCATGCTTGGATACTTCACACCGCGATCAAACTATTCAAACGGCGCATTTCCCTACTACGACGTCTTTGCTCCAAAGACCATGGGATGTGGCAGCGAATTCGATGATCAGCCGGCCAACTCTACGGTCTCGGGGTTCGAGGGGCTTTTCGTGCTGGATCAGACTTATGGCCGTTTCTCGTTCGCAACCGCCAAAACCATAGACGTCGCCTGGGACATCTTGTTCGGCCGCGGCGTGCAAATGCTCGCCTGGTGGATTGCGTACGTCGTCTTTTCTGACGCCCTGTTGCGCGTGATTGAACGACAGCCAGCGTCCTTCCGCATCTTCCAGCGTATTGCATTGGAAGGCCCCAGCCTGCTGTCGCTATGGACGCTTTGCACAGAGTTGCTGTCTTCCAACAGTAAGCGGACCAAGGCCCTTTTCGCATACATGCTTGTATCAACAACCTACGTCCTTTGCATCCCAATGTTTCTGGGTGCTATGACTGGCTACGACAGTACCTCCATTGCCTGGATAAATCTCGACGACTCCAACAACATCGTGCCCACTTCTGCAGTTAAGCTTTCATGGGTCATAACAGGCACTACGAACGAGACATTTGACAAGCCCTTTTGCGCAGATTATGACGACATGTCCAAGCGGTCTGAATATATTCGTCTTCGACTAGACAAATGTAAGTCATTGTAAGATCACCCCCACTCGACAAGCTCATGACGCATCCAGGCACCTGTCAAAGGCTGGACGGCTCGCTGGCACCTCCAGGCACCTACTCTTATTACGACTACCGCGGATATCTCCTTAAAGACGACCCGGCTTACGATACGGGAACACAGTGTAAGAACATGGTCATCCAGATTTAAAAGAGCAGCCGCTGACACCACGCAGGTTTCTTCGACTACCCCGGCGCCAACGAAACATTCCAGCAAGCCACATACAACGACCCTCAGACCGGCACGTGGACCAAGGACACGACGTCGAACTGTACGTATCCCCAGCCCCTCGCACTCCTCGCCATCTAACCCTACACAGGCAACGACACAGTGGACCTCTCCATCAACAACAAGCTCTACAACATCCAGACCCTCAACGGCTCGACCGCGTACTGCTACGACAACAAAGCCTACAGCGGCTTCGACCTGCTCGGCAAATCCCGCTGCCTGCCCGACACCGCCAACCCGTCCTACGGATGGGGCTTCTCCACCATGCTGTCCGGCGTGTTCGTGTTCATCCACTTCGGGTGGAGCGCCAGCATGTGGATCGTGTGGCTGGACGCGCAGGCCCGCTCCGTGCTGGTGCAGGGCGGGTACGAGATGACGCCGCTGCGGGCCGCGTTCGCGATCGCAAAGGCCGTGAAAAGGAAGACGGGGCTGGGTGAGAAGCAGCTCGTGAGGCATGATACGAAGGAATTGGATAGGGAGCTGGATGGGAAAGGGGACCAGAAGGGGACCAAGATCGACTACGGCATTTTCGTGCCCGACGCGGAGGAGGACGCGGCGGATGAGCGGGCGGTCCGCAGGCGGCGCGCGCTGGCGCTGGATGGGGTGCCGTCTTGAGACGATGACCGTTCGATGCACCATTCGAAGGAGAATCTCGTGGCGACTCACTCTCCGAAACAAGGTTGTTGAACAAGGGTCGTTCGTGTCTACTACTCTTTGTGGTTCAGACGTACATACGGCATACAGGGAGACGGGGTCGTCGCCGTCCACTGCACAAAACTGTGTCGGCACTCAGAGCCCGGGACTGAGATCGCCACGCTAGCTAACGCGGATCGCATGTTGACAGCTACCACGCAACCCCGACTACCAGCCACCAGCCACCTCCCAATAGCAGGGGGAACGGGGTTCGTTGGAGTGGTTCTCTGGGGAGGTCAGGGGATGTTCGGCGTGAACAGCGGCGAGGGAAGAGAGACGACAGTCGCTGCAGCAGCAGCCACGAGACGAAGCCACAGGATCAGATCAGCAGCTGCTCCACACGCGCACCAGATGCGCCCTCCACTGGCGAGTGCAAGCAATGCAGAAGGCATGAATAACGCATTATGCATTGCCCCATCCGGGGATGTAGACACCGCTCCTAGAGCTACGAAACCCATAGATGCCTGCCTGTAATGAAGAAATGACTCCAAACGCCACGGCCATGCATTGATTCTAAAAACTTGAACGAAATCCTACAGCGCAACGCGCCCGTTTGTCCGCCCCTCTTTGTGCCGCGCCTCGTCGTCTTCGTCCTCGTCGTCTGTCAACCCCTCTAGTTCAAACTCCTCTGCATCCCTGGCCCTGTGGTCGACCCTCGCGTACCCGTTCGCCGCGCCGTTGGTGTGCGGGGCCTCTGCATCCGCCTTCTCGTCCTGGAACGCGTGGACCGCGTACAAGTGGATGAGTAAATTCGCGACTATGTCTATTAGCAGGTTCCCAACATAGTACGGGGCGAAGGAGCGGGGCTTACACAGGAACAAAAGGAACGCAATGCTGAACAGGATCAGCACGTACGAGACATGTGTCACCTCCGCGTCGGCCAGGAACTGCATCTGCTCCTCGGTGGCGCCCATGAACAGGAAGCCGCCCGCCATGAGCAGGAACGGGGTCAGGTACTGGAAGCTGTTGGGGTCCGGGTCGGCGAGGTCGCGCGTCACGGCGCTGCGGTCGCGCAGCACAAACGCAATCTCGACGATGCGCGCGGCGCCCGCGGCCATGAGCGTGAAGCCGAACACGGTGTGCACCATGGTCGAGATGGGGAGGTGCTGGGGGTGCGCGGACATGGCCCAGCCCGTGACGAAGATGACGATGCCGGGGATGAGGTTGCGCTTGGGGGCGCCGTTGCGCTTGCGCGACAGCCACAGGCCGACGAGCCCTGCGGCCCACCAGATGATGCCCATGGAGGTGTGTTGCAGGTCGTTGTGGACCCAGGGCCCGCCCCAGCGGTGCTCGGTGAAGGTGTTGACGCAGCCCCACGCGGCGATGACGGCCGAGTCGAAGAACTCCTGGCTGCGCCCGGTGCGCTGCAGCCACAGCTGGCCGACCAGCAGCAGGATCATGAGCACGATGCCGTAGGCGATGAAGGCGCTGCCCATGATGAAGTGCGCGAGGCACTGCCCGGTGTGGTCCGCGCGGCAGAAGCCCATGGCTGTAATGCCGCCGAAGACGAACTGCACCCAGGTGAAGACCGGGAGGGCCTTGCCGACGACGCCGTGGCCGATGAGGACGACCCTGCGTATCTTGCCGTGGATGCCCTTCTCGAGGTGGAATTTGAGGTAGATGCCCATGACGATCTGGGCGACCAACAGGAGCATGATGATGGGGACGAATTTGGCGTGGATGTTGTCTTCGGAGAACTGCCTGCCCTTGTGCTTGTGGCCTAGGAAGTAGCCGATGATGGCGAGTACGGAGCCGGACACTTGCACGGGAACGTGCCATTTCGAGCGGATTATCTGGGTCCTGTCAGTGAATGAACAGCCTCGTGCAACTATGGGAGCCGTACGCCCAACACCATCCCCGTGGGAAAGATGATCCCCCATGCGAACCCCTGCAACAGGATATGTATCCAGAGGATCGAATCGAGAGGGTCCTCGGATATAGCCTCGCCTTGTGCTATCTTGTTGACATGGTGTTCGTGTGCCGTGACCGCCGAGCTGAGCAGCAGCGCTGCAACGAGCGCAGTTCCCCTCGCCTGGAAACCCATGGTGTTGAGGCTGAAGCGGCGAATACGATAACTCGAATGGCTCCAGCGTGGAGGCTTACGCTGCGATCGACATGTACCTATGCGTGCTCGAGATCTCCGCCAAGTCCTAGGGGTGTAGACGCAAACAGTTATAGGAGAAAGCGTCGTCGCCTTCGCGGACCCAGATGCCGCGTCGCAATCTATCGCTTACGTGAAGGGAAGGCGCGCCTGTCATTGGCCGCTCCTTCCGCCACCTCCGGGCCATCACCACCACGCTCCGCCCTGCATCACGCCCCACTCGCCCTGTGGCATCATGGTCTTCGGTACGGGCGCCGCCGAGATCGCGGACAGCGAGGACGAGCCGCTGACGTCGTCGCCGGCGGCGGTTTCAGATGCAGCTGTGGACAAGCTTTCTGCGACACAGCGTCAAGACGTCCAAGCCCGGGCTTGCTCTCTCCAAGAACCTGCAGCGCCGGTTGCCAATGAACGCTCAAGTCGCTTGGATGTCGACCGTGGCGAAGCTTGTACCGACTTCGAAACAACGCACATTGACTGTTCTGATTTGCAGCCTGCGTACCAGGAAACTAACACGTGCACCAACGCGACGGCAGATTCTCATCTGTTCCAGGCCAGTGTTAGTGTTGCAGCATCAGGTCGGTCAGCCAGGCGCGTTGACGAGCACGAGGATTGCGTGAGCGGTGGATCAGCAGTTGTTCTGCCCGCAACCAGGACAGGGTCTGGGCGTGCATCTACGCCGGCAGACGTCCAAAACAAAGTCAATGATGAAAAACAGTCAATTCTGCTAGAGCCCTCAGCCGTCGGCACTGCTGGTAGCGATGCTGAGCAGGTCAGTACTTTTAGCAGCCACACGGTGAGTGTGGAACCGGCAGAAGACAATCCCACGCCTGCTTTCAGCGCTGTATATGACAATGTTCAAGGTGTTGTAGCCAGAGAGCCTTCTCAGGATACTGCAGAAGCTGCCGATGCTCAAGCTTTGACTGAGCATATGGGTCGTGAGACTACTCATGAAGCTTCAGTCTGTCCGACGGCCAGACTATCGATCATTGCTCACACACCACAGGGCGGCGCGCAGATGTCCGCAGCCACGGGTGTCTCAACTGATGCCAACACCTCTCGTGCAGCAGACCTCTCGTGCATTCCGGACTTGGACGAGTCACTAGGAGATGCTGATCTGGCGATGCTTCACGCTGATACCTCATCAGCCGAGGCATCAAAAGTATTGGGCCCTATTCATGAAGACCGCGATAACATAGAGACTGGCGAGCCCCTGCAGGTCACCGATCTAGCAGCGTTCTCCATACTACCATCAGGTGCCGAGTCTACAAGCAATACTAACGATCTCGACTCGAAGGGCATCAGTGTCACCAAAATCGATCCGGTGGAGCAGGGCCACGCAGCAGATGGCTACGAGCAAGGCAGCGAGCGAATGGGAAGCGGGAGCGCGATCCTGGAGTCCGCAGCTAAGGAACAGACAATAGATGAGACAGCACCCGCCCGAGTGCCACCTGAGTTCAACACAAAAGAAGAGCAGGGCTCTTCAAGGTCTACAGAAACCCCACTAGAACAGGTTCCCGACCATGCAGTGCACGCCACTGCCATAATTGCTCCGCCACCTCACCATAATGGTCCTAAGATCGACGACGGTCATGGCTTGACACCAGACAACCTCCAACCCACTGCCTTACAGGCCAGTGAGCCTCTTCCACCGCGTCCACCTCCGGAGTTGAGTCCACAAGAAATCACGCTTGCCGAGCTCAAGGCGCAAAAGGCCGCTCTCCTGGCCTCTTTGAAAGATCTACCTGCCATCCAGGTGCTCATCGAGGAAAGCCAAAACTGCAATGTCGACATGTCCGATGACGATGGCGAGCCTACTGAGGTTGACATCACGGCTGCGGCGAACAAGATTGTCAAAGAACACATCAAATTGCTGCACGACTACAACGAGCTGAAGGATGTTGGACAAGGTCTGATGGGTCTTATTGCAGATCAGCGCGGTGTGAGGATTGTGGAGGTTCAAGACGAGTTTGGCATCGATGCTGACGATTGATGGTTTAACATAACCTGACATAGCAAGTCCACTCAGCCATCTACGCATCAGACCGCAGTTGTAGACAATGCAAGTTTCAAGATACTCAAGACAAGTCTGGACAGAAATAGCAGGATTAAGCCAGCGGTGCGGCGTGATATCTATCTTCTCATGAACACGAGCTCTCGCGCACGTTCACGAACCTTCGATACTCCCAGTCTCGCCAGCAACCAATCCACGGTCGCTCCCGCATCACGACCGCTCACTTAAAAATTCCTCTTAGAGCTATGACACACGAAATACCCTACACGGCAACCTCATGTGTCAAGCTCACCAAGTATTTGAAGTTGGTGCTGAAGTTGGTGCGCAGAGACTGCTCGGCTTAAGCTCCCACACGCCCTGCGCGCTTTACCGACGGGAACCGCGTTAGTGTCTCACCACCAGCAGCGCAGCGTCTACCTCCGACAAGCCTCGCCGCATGGCGGAATATCTTGATTAGGCGTAGCTTGGGATTTGTGAGGCTCTTTCTTACACATTGATGACGTCGAATCATTTTACGCGCCTCGCACAGCTACCACCCTCGGCTTCCAGACTCGTAGTGTTACACTGGTCAATGATTGGACCCACTTTCGCGGTGTTGCTCACGCTGGCACGTGGATTGTTCGGTGTAGTGCTGTAGGTAATGATGGCGGGATCGTGAGATCTGGTGCCCGGGGGTGAAAATTTCTTCATAGTTTGGGAGTATATAAGTACAGTGTGAGAGGAGGAGATTTACCCAGCATCACCAAGCCATCAATACCAAGGTATCACTACCAAGCCACCAACGACACCACACCACACCGCGCACCCAAACATCCACGACTTCAAACCCACAAGTCCTCTCCTATCGAGCAACACACACCAAGGCCAAACTCGTCCTCAGAGCGCCTCTCACAATGAACAACATCGACTCGCACCCCCGCCTCCTCTCCCTCAGCACGCCCCCCTCCTCCTCGCGCCCCTCCTCCATCGTACCCACAACCCACACGCCCTCGCCCCGCCGCAGCCACGACTCGCAGCACGACGCGCACCACTTTGCGCACCTGTCCGCGCACCTGCACTCCACCAAGGCGGAATCCGGGTTCCAAACGTCGCTGCGGCGGTTGTGGAGTGGCGTTAAGGAGGTTGCGAGGGAGCATCATAGGAGTGTGAATGCGGCGTATGAGGCGACGCATGGGGCGGGGGCGGGGGTTAGGGGGGTTGTGGGGGTGAGGGTTTGAGGGGGTGGGGTTGAGGGGTGAAGGGTTTGGGGGTCGTAAGGATGGAATTAATCTAATGGGCGGAGGGGGAGTAGAGGATATGGGGATCGGGATGGACGTGGACACGGCCATGGAATGGAGAGGACAGAGGTGGATTACTATGAGGGTGTGGATGGGCGTTTGGAAACGCACACCATGGCCAGTCGTCCCGAGGCACCGCGAAACGCAACCGTCCACCCGACCAGCTATTTTAAACCCGCCCATACGTTGCTGCACCAGGGCCGAGCGGACGGGAAGCCGCAAGGCTGTCTGCCTGTCTCACTACGCAGACCTTGGAGACTCTCGAGTCCAACGTATCTGGAATCACCATGGTTAACACTATCGGTGCTTGCCGATGTGTGCGCACTACCCGCTATGTTAGCACCGTGTACCGTCACAGTCATGGGTTCGGGTAGCTACGCCAACCAAGGGGCGTGGGACGCGTGTGTAGGCTTCCGAAGAGGACGGAACTCTGTATACAACAGTGGTGTGGGGTTGCCGTACGGGGTGGAGGGACTGAACTTCTCTGTACCTGTATTACTGCTTGTTACAGCCATATTGTTATGTTATTCCAGCGTTGTTTCAATGTTATAGACCCGGCCTGGGCAGATATAGGACGAGGCTTAGCTGCCTCAATTCAACAACTTCACTCAAGATTTGGGCTTAAGACACTCTACCCGCAGAGCGTCCCGCATTGCGTACTGATACAAGCGCGGTCCACACATTCTGTCCAGCGTTTTAGAAAACCATGTCCGAAAGACTGGGCCTTGTAGCTCACTACTGCCCTGGTCTGTGCTAGGTATCATATATAGGGGCTGCAAGGACACCGCGCCATACCCAGGCAAGCCTTAATCGAACCTGTACTGCGCTTTTGTAAGGCTCTTAAGAGAGGGCTGTCGCAGTAAACACTGCACCGCCTGGTAAGAATCCTTAATCCTGCTCAATAGCTGGTTGGTCGCGCTGCTCAAGATTATGCCGAGAACAGGCCTGGACTGCCTTTAAAGTACAGCCTGGCACCTATTCGCAGCTGATTGTTCAAGACGCACGGCTTTTTATCGGTACTGGTAAAGGTGCTGAGAATTCCTTATCCATGCTCCTTTGTCGAGAAGGGGAACGCGGCGATAGATTTGTCGGGGGCTTTGGTGCTGGGGTAGGTACCTATGAGGGTTTCCGCAGTGCCATCAGCCACGAAACACTATGGTTTTGGGTTAATAAACCTTTGCACGGAAAGATGTCTAAGATCTAGACCAGGGGGAGACATACTATAAAATCAAAGTCCTTTAACCGCCAGAAAGGAATGAACCGATACCTACGCTGCTCAGCTAGTAACTAGGGCTGCATGCTTGGTCCCTCGGAGGTGTTTTAAACGACGGTGCAGCAACGCGTCGCGAGTTCACAGCGCAGGATGCGTCAAGACCCTTTTTCTGCTGCACACCGCATGGCAAGTGTCGTGTTGCGGGCTGCGGGCTGCAGGGACGGAAAGACGGGGACGTATATATACACATACACGCGGTTGGGCGGGCTTTGGGTTAGGTGGTGCGGTTTCTGCTGCACTTGTACTCAAGCTACCGGTGTATATGGCATTTGTTGGTAGTTAGTAACGGTGAGTGGTGTTGTGTTGTGTTAGGTAGATGCTCTACGCTGGATGGAAAAGCGCGTGAGCTAAGGTTTAGCATGGAAGGGCTGTTTAGTACTAACTAACGCCGTGTTGTTGTAAACTCGGGATATCCTCTTGTATCTAGAGAAAGTTAATGTTGATGTTAGGACTGAACGCTTCGTCGTTCTGCCCGCTTTCAATAGACAAGATCGCCGCTGCATGTGCACATGTTTACACGTCTACATGAACTGGAGAGGGGGAGGGAGAGGGAGGGGGAGAGGGAGGGGGAGAGGGAGAGGGAGAGGGAGGTGGGAGAATTCTGAATTACTCATCCGCATTCATTCGCGTGCTCGCTCGCTCGGCCAGAACAAACATGTGGCGCGACAACGCTGCGCTCTACTATCGTGCCATGCCATACCATCCCATGCCATCCCAGCCCATGCCATCACATGCCAACCCATCGCATACATGCCGTCCTTGGGCCTAGGATCCCGTTTCTCCGTCTCTTCCCACTCGCGTCCGAAGCGCGTCGTGTCGTATCGTACCCGCCGGAAAACGCAAAAGCAAGCTACTAGATAGAATACACCCCGGAAAGTGGGTGGGTGTGTTGAAACTCCGTACTCCGTACACCGTTCGCCGGACACCGTGCGCCTTGCGCCGTTCGCTGCCGTACGCCGTTCGCCATTCGCTGCCGTACCATTCACTGCCGTGCCGTTCACTGCCGTACGCCGTTCGCCATTCGCCATCCGCTCTGCCGTGCCGCTTGCTGTTCGCTCGTACACCATCGGCCTCGCCCAAGACAAGAATACAGCCCCATCACCTACAAATGCACCCGCATGGTATCATTCCCGCCAAACGCCTTCCCGCAGCTCGGGCACTTGCGGGCGCGGTTCGTGAGCCGGTCCTGGACGCAGTCGTGGCAGAACAGGTGGCCGCACGTCTTGATGCACGTGTTCTTGACGCGCGACTTGCAGATCTGGCACTGCAGCATCGTCTCCATGAGGGCGACGTCGGCGCTCTGCTCGCCCTTGCTCTTCTTCTTCCACACGGCGACCTGCTCCTTCAGCCCGGAGACCTGCGCGGCCAGGCCGTCGCGCTCGGTGCAGGCTTCGCGCTGCGTGTGGCGGGCGGCGAGGAAGGCGGTGTCCTTGGCCTCGACGATCTTCTTGAATTCGGCGATTTGAGTGCAGACGCGTTCGGAAGAGATGGCGCCTTCGCTGACTTTGGACTGCAGCTGGCGGTGCTGGGCGGAGAGCTCGTCCATCTGGGAGCGCATTTCGGCGGTCTGCTTTTCGAGCTTGTCGACGAGCGAGCGGCTGAGCGAGTCGGCTTCTTTCAGCTGCGTGACGACTTCGGTTGATTTGGAGGCTTGTAACCGCAGGATGCGGATCTGCTGCTCCATCTCGCCCTTGGCTTTCATCGCTGCGAAGAACTTCTGGTCGGCTTTCGCCTTGTCGGCGTTGGCGCGTGCCACGTTCTCCTCCCATGCCGCAACGTCCACAATCTTCTTTCCTGCAGTTGCCTGTGCCTTCTTCCATGCAGCTTCCATCGACGGCAGCTCGCCGCTGAGCAGCTTGAGCTGGGTTTCGAGATTCGCAATCTTCGCCCGCAGCTGCTCTGGCGACGCATCCGTCTCCATCGGCTCGCCGTCCGGTTTGCGTTCCCCAATCTGCAGCCGCAGCCGCTCGCATTCAGACTCCAGCGCCGCAATGCGACTCTCACAGGCGCCCACAAGCTCTTTCGACTGACTCACAGAGGCCTCACTATCCCGGTGGCTGGTTTCAAGGATGTTGTTCCTCGCCACCAGCTCGTCGCGGGCGTTGCGAATGCGCGCCAGATTGGCCTCTGCCTGAGAGACGGCGCTCTCCGACTCTGCTAATGATGATCGCGATTCGTCGTCAATCTTTATTCGATACGCGGTCCGCTCAGCCTGATACTTCTGCACCTCTTCCCGTAGTTGAATGTTAGTCGCTTCCAGGTGATTAATCCGTTTTATGACATCCTCGTGCTGGGACTTCAATGCCTTGAAAAGATCGGTTTTGGCGTAGTCGTCGTCGGAGAGTCCTGTCAGCTTGACTTTTAATGCCGACAGCTCCTCGGTCAGCTTTTTGTTCTCCTTTTCAACATCGTCCAGCTGCGCTTTCCGCTTGGATGCTTCTGCTACAGCCTGGGCGCGCGCAGTTTCCAGCTCCTCGCTGGCGGCAGGTTCCGGCGTTGTACCGTTAGCCTCCTTCTTCACGCCAGAAGACGGAGTGTCCTCTTTTGTTGTGGTTGCTACGGCTGATTGTTCTAACTTCTGCACCTGCTGGCTCTTGAACCTGTCAATCTTCTTCTCAGCGACCAGATAGCGATGCGTGGCGGTGTCCAGGCGGTCAGAAAGCTGCTCCTTCTCGGACATGATTTTCTGAGACTGCACGACATGCTCCTTCTGCGCGGCCAGCAGCTGCGATAGTTGGTGCTCAAGATCGGCGACGTCCGGGCTCCGGGGGGGATACTTTGCGAACAGGCCGGACAATGACGCCAGGATGGTGTCTTTTCGCTTCGACAGGTGCTTCCTGAAGCTCTCGCTGTCCTCGAACAGCAGCGGGGGCGGCACCTCCCGTGACGAAGCGTCACCTGTCACGCGCTCGCCGCTCAATATCTTGATCTCGTCGACCAGCTGGGGGAGTCAGGCAGAGCGTTACAGAGGATCGGGCTACTGACCTGGTCGAACCACGTGTCGAGGGTGCGCAGCTCCTGGTCGTGGAAGGCCGAGCGGGACTCGACGTCGGCCAGCTGGGCCTCGAGAGTGGCCTTTTCGCGCTTGTACTCGCGCATCTGGCGCAGAATGGCATCCTTCTGGTAAGCCTGCACGTCAATCGGCATTAGCGTTGTGGGCTGCCGAGGCAGAGTCTGCGGCGCTCGGGGGCGAACCTCGATGTCATCTTTCCATGGCATGTCAGCGTCTGGATGCGAGCGAGCACCGTTGACGGTCACGGCTTGCCTCTTTGCGGGAGGGGCATCGTCGTGCCCGCTGGGCCTCTTGCGGTCCTCCATCTTGACCTTGTCAAGCGACGGGGGTGCGACGGTCCTGGCTTCGAGCCTCATCGGAAGGCGGGCGAGTAGAAGTGAGCGCTGCGCCGGAGAAAGAGATGGGAGCGGATGGCGGGTGCGAGGCGGCGGCGCGGGCGTGTCGTGTGAGCCCGGGGAGTGAGGAGAGGCAGTGGCAGACAAAAGACGGCGGCCAAGCGTTGAACGCGCACGTGACCAGCACGGGCCAGTGGCGCTACGAAGCGGAAGCGGGTCCCCGACGAACGACGACGCGCCTGGCCGCCCCACGCATGTCGTGAAGAAGTGCACGCCGTGAAGAGCAGAAGCACGCCGCCCACCATGGCCGAGGACGCCCCGACGCAGCCGGCGGACAAGGCGCAGCCCGCGACCTTCAGCTCGTTCATCAACAAGAGCGCGTCGGGCAAGAAGTTTGCGCCCAAAGCCGCACGCCGGCGGCCGGGTGCGACGGGAGGTGCGCCGAAGACTGTGCCCGTGTCTGCCTCGAATTCCACGCAAGAAACTGCCCCAGCGCCGGTAGCTGCCTCGAACACCACGCAAGAAACTGGCCCCGCGCCCGCACTGCCCACCGCCGCCGAGCCCGAATCGTCGAATGCCGATCCAGCGCCCACGCCCGCGCCCGCGCCTCTACTGCCCACGCCCGCGCCCACCCAAGAACCTGCCGCCCAGACGCAAGACGCCCCCGCGCCAGCACCACACGTCGAAGATGCCCCGCCAGCAAAGCAGCCGCCTCCCGCCGCAGACAGCCTCGAGCGCGGTATCGAGCATGGCCCCGACGACGACATCGAGGCCGGGCGGTCGCCCAAGCGACGACGACTCGACTCGCCGCCCCGTCAGAGCACGCCGACCGTCCCAGTAGCCGTCATGGTCCCGCCGACGCAAACCGCCGACTCGACACCGCAGCCACAGCCCACACCACAGTTGACGCAAGATGAAGGAGCGACCACTTCCACTGGAGAGTCTGGCGAACCTGCTACCACACCGCCCACCGACGACACACCCGCACAGCCCAAGGGGAGGAGGCGGACCCTGCCGTGGACCGCCGTGAACCAGCCAGTGGACGGTGAAGCGGTCGAGCCGCCAGTGAAGAAGAAGCGCGCCCCTCGAGGGAAGAAGACGACTGGGACAGCGGGCGAGGAGGCCGACCAGCAGGAGAACGAAGACGGCAACGAGGAAGAGGCAGAGCCCACACAGACACGCGCGAGCGCCAGATCAAGAGGCAAGCGGGCGGCAGACACCGCAGAACTCGGAGAAGACGGCCTCCCCCTGCCCAAGAAGCCGCGCAAACCGCGCAAGGATAAGGGCAAGCAGCCGGCTGTCGACGACACCGAGGGCGACGCCGCCGCTCCACCCAAACGCAAGCCCCGCGCGCGCCAGAAGAAACCCACCCCTGACGGCGACGAATCCACAGAACCCAAGCGCCGCGGCCGCCCCCCGCGCGAAGACACCCCCTCCGACGCCGAAGACCACACCATCGACCCGGACGCCATGCACATGGACGACCTCGCATCCCGCAACATCCGCGTCGGCAAACTCTCGCGCCGCGAGCGCGAAATGCGCAAAATCGACTGGGACGCCGTCAAACAGCGCCGCCGCACCGAAGACGCGCGCCCCATCTCCACCAAAGAATCCCGCGCCGCCTCGGACCTCCTCCTCGCCGCATCCCCACCGCCCGCCGCCCCAACCGGCCCCCGCTACCACCTCGTCGACGGCCGCATCGAACTCGTCCACGACTCGGCCCTCATCGACCGCGAGCGCGACGCCGACCGCGACCTCGCCCTGATGCACGTCACCGAGGAAGACGACCTGACGACCCGCATCACGGCGCGCAGCTTCATGAAAGCGAACCGCCGGTTCCCCAACGACTTCGTGCTGCCCGGGCAGGGCAAGCGCTGGACCCCCGACGCCACGGAGCTGTTCTACCAGGGTCTCCGCTCCTTCGGCACCGATTTCGGCATGATCGCGCACATGTTCCCCGGCGTGCCGCGGCGCAGCATTAAAACCAAGTTTACCCGCGAGGAGCGCGAGAACCCCGCGCTAGTCAAGGCCGCCCTGCGCGGCGAGAGCCAGCTCGCGTCCCACTGGTCTGCGTTCCTCGAAGCCAGCAACCTCGACGACGACGCGCTCGCCGATGCAGACGCTATCAAGAGCGAGCTGCAGGGCGAGGAGGCGCGGATGCGCGCGCAGATCGACGAGGCGCTCAGAGAGCGCGAGGAGCGCGATAAGCAGCGGAAGCTGGCGGGCGTGGTGGACGAGGGCGAGGCGGAGAAAGGGGAGAAGGGCAGGAAGAAGAGGGGGAGGAAGGAGAAGGCGGTGGCGTTTGAGGAGGGCGTGGAGATTGTGGGGGAGGTGGATGAGGATCCGAATTGGGGGGTGGAGTAGGCGTGGCGAGGAGCTGCAGAGCAGGGATCGTAGGATGGATGAGCAGTGGAGTAGCAAGACAGAAGTAGCAGCTGGTGTAGCAAATGCAGATACGATACCCATCAGTCACTACATACATCCACCCGCACTAGCCGTCCTCGTTGTCTCTGCTCGTTTCACGACAACCGCTCATACCGCGTCACTCCACCCGCTCATACCGCGTCAAACTCACATACCCCTTCCCCGGCCCCCTGGCCTCATACTCCACCTCCCACCACTCTCCTGCCCTGTCCCTCCCGCCTTCCCTCCCATCCCCCCTGCGTCCCAGACTACCATCCGCGCCCGCTCCCGCCCTCTCGTCTCGCAGCAGCGCACCCCCAAACCGCCAGCGCGCGGTGTACGTATCCCGACCGCACAGGTGGGGGGCGCGGTTGTGCGCCTCGAACACGGCCTCGCCGTCTCGCTGACTTCGGGTCAAGGTGGACATTTGGAGGAACAGGGCGCCGATGCTGGGGTCGTTGCTGGGCGATGCGGAGGATGAGGAGGATGAGGGGGATGAGGAGGAGGGGGAGGGGGGGAAGTGGATGGATATACACACCCGTTCTGCGTTTTTACCCGGCTCACCTCTCGCCTCCCTCTCCGCCTCCTCGCCCTCCGCCTCTCTCCTCACCTCCCCGTGCTCTACCCCCTCGCCCTCACCCCCCACTACCATCCCACCATTAGTTGGAGACGAGAGCCGCCATATATACCCCCGCCTCACGCCCATGGCCACGCCCTTCTCGGTCGTCAACACCCCCTCCTCAGCATAATCCAGCGTGTCCGACACCCCCGTGGTGCTGAAGACTGCAGTCCCGCAGGCGGTGCCGCTGGGCTGGGACGCGTGGGTCGAGGTTAGGGTGCGTGAGAAGGACCACTTTGAGGGGAGGTTGGCGAAGAGTGTACGAGGAAGGGAGGGCCGGGGTGTGATGGGAGGTGGGATCGGGGTACTGGGTTCGGCGGCCGTTTCGGTGTGCGCAGGCGAGCGCGAACGAAGGGGCATATGCAGCGCCGCGGGCGCGGGCGCGAGCTTGTCGTCGAAGGCTGCACCACCTCCCACGCCCCCCTCATCTCCATCGCCTCCCTCGCCCGCCGTCGAGAGCGGCTCCCACGCCGCATCACACGCCCCCGGATCCCGTACCTGGGGCAGCGCGCCCCCAGACACACTCGACATCAGCGCCGCATTCACGCTCTGCAGCGTCGCACGACTCGGATTCAGCGCCGGCGCGCCCGCCGTGATCCAGCTCAACCGCTGCCTGACCAGCGTCTTGGTGATGGCGTGCGGCCGCACGGTGCGGACATCCACCGCGCCCGCGTCGTCGGCGAACAGGCACAGGTACGCTAGTGCGGTGCCGACGGCCAGGTCGGTGCCCGTGGGGCAGCAGATGAGGGTTTTGGGCGCGGCGGTGGGGGAGGCCAGGCGCTGCAGGGCGGGGAGCTGGGGGCGCAGGGCGCGCGAGCCGAGTTTGCCTGCCGGGCAGGGCAGGTGGAGATATGCTTTTACGCGGGCGGCGGTGAGGGAGGCGTGGGGGAGGGGCGCGGGGGTGCAGCTTATGACTGTGTCGAAGGGGGTGAGGTCGATGGCGTGGCTGGCGGAGACGTAGAGGGTGGTGGTGGGTTTGATGAGGGTTGGGGCGGCGGCGGTGGGTTGGTCTTGGGTGGTGAGCGAGGCGATGGCGGCGGGGAGGTTCTCTTCGTTTGTGTGGAGGAGTGAGGCTTTGTTGCGCCAGAAAAGGGGAGGCGTGAGGCCGTGCGACCAGGCTTCGTGGTCGTCGGCGGCGCCCTGGATGTAGCCGCCCTCTGATGCTTCGCCGCCGCGGACACGGCGAGATGCGGTGCAGAGAACGACGGGGTGGAAGTCCGGAAACTCTGGGGGGTCGTGGGGTAGGATTGAAGTCTGAGTTACCCATAGTGGCCGCAGGGGCTTTTGCAGCTTGGACCGCAGTGACGGGATGTCTGGCTTGCAAATGTCCTACTCCTGCCGTGAGTGTGATATCCTCTCAACACGCGTTCAAATGGCATACCATGAACTGCTGTACAAAGCCGTCGATTCTCCTCTCCATCTGCACATTCTCGCTTTCAGACACTGCAGCAGGCGGGGTGCACAACGCCAACGCGTCATCTCCCTTCCTCTCCACACCAAAGACAGCTCTGTTAATGACGCAACACCAAAACGGCACTGTCTTGCTGAGCGCATCTGGCATGCTCTTTCCCCTCCGCGTAGAGTCAACAATCACACACCCTCCATGCTTGCTCACTACATCCAGGAGCTGCAAGTTAAGTCTGCGTAAGCTGAACGCCCATTCGCCCATGTGACCGTCCGTGCTCTTGAAGTAAACGCTTGCAGCTTTCAGGTCCAGGGGGATGTACCAGCTTCCGCAGCGCTCATTTGCGACAAGCGGCAAGCCATATGAGGTGGCTACACTGGTGACAAACTCGCTGTCTGCGGTTATGGAGTTGAGGCGGTTGGTGATGGACAGCGCTGAGCGTTTCAGCGAAGACAATGTGCTGGAGAAGTTTGGAGTGTTCGACAAGTGTGGGAATATGATGTCGGATTCAGTAAGGCGCTGAGCCATGGTGTAGAAATTGAGATGCGGTATTGCACTACTCGATTACGAACGCGGAAGCGGCAGTGTAGTGATGGTAAGCTACAATCGAAATCTCAATTCGAGCGAGTCATGACATTGTGGTGCCTGACTTGACAGTGGAGGTGAGTGGAGATCACGACTGATTGGTGAAGAGCTAACCGTGTCTACACTAGCGCGGTACAGAAACTGCAGGCGGGATGGTTGACTACATGTCGAACATCCACCGAGCTCAATTGTGGCCATAGTTTGCTCTACTCCTGCTTGATCAACGACACAGGGGCGATATAAATGTGCCGTGCGCTCGCGAAGTAATTGACTGTCGCAAGAATCGCCATTGCACCGAACATCAGGGCTGCCCAGTTCATGTCGACAGCGGTCGGATTGGGTGTCATTGGGAAGAATGAAAAGACAAAGGCAATCAGCAGGAAGACGAGTGCCAGATCGTTGACAAGGCCTCCCCACCTGCCTAGGCTCCAGCGGCGAGGTAGCAGAGGCTCGCCCCGCAAGCGCTTGAGCCGCACGCACCCAATGGAGATGATGTAGGAAAAGATCAGCGCAGCGTTCGAGATGGAAACGATCGCGTTGAGAGTGACCTCCGAGCCGAAATTGGTGCAGGCTAGAACCAGCGACGATCCTAGACAGACCAGCAGCGCATTCACAGGAATATCCCACCCAGGCCGAACGTGCTCAATCCACGAAGAGAACGGGAGACCTTTGTCACGGGAAAAAGCCCAAATCTGTCGCGAAGATGCTGCCGTCACGGACACCGCCGCGAAGAACACCAGGACGACCAAGATAGCGCCCATGATGACAGTACCCGCTACAGAGCCTGTGGCATTGTACACAGCTTGGAGCACTGGAACGCCGGTAGGGGACTCCAGAACTGAATCGAGTGCTCCGCCACAGAACACGAACGTGATCATCATGATAATTCCGAAGACGCCATTGAAAAACACAGCCCACATCATGGCCTTGGGGAGAACCACGGAGGCGTCTTTGAGTTCCTCGGACATGTGTGCTCCGGCGTCCGGCCCGATGAAACACCACAGCGGGGTTGAGAGACCAACGAGTGCGGATGTTCCCAGGGAGCCCCAGCCGCCGCCGTCGTAAAATGCTGCGAATACCTCCTCGGCAGGTGATCGTTCGGCCATAGTCCAGAAGAGGATCAGAAAGGCGAAAAAAGCAAAAACGTGCAGGACCAGTACGATGCCTTCAGCCAGTGGCAAGTGTTGTGCCAAGAAGATGTTGAAGCCCACCATGAGAAACAGCCACAGCATCATGATCAGAGTAACGTGCCACAGCTCGCCGATTGGAGCGTCGGGATGAACGAGCAGAACCATCCCAATGACAAGGGACGATAGCATCTGAGCACAGGCGGGGATTCCGCTCACCCAGCCCACGCCTGCGCTCCAGCCAACAATATACGAGAGGCTCTTTTGGAATGCAGTCGGTGCAAACTCGCTGACCCAATGGTATTGTCCACCTGCGGTTGGAGCCCTTCGCAATTGTCAGCGATGTGAACTGAAACTCCCAGCCTGACCTACATTGAAGCCATCTCAGCGAGTGAGGCTATCATGGCCATGACGAAGAACCATGTGATGACAGTCATCCAGATCACGCCTGCTGTGCCCCCATTGAACAGGCCGAAGTAAGCAGACCTCAAGCATGTCAGATCATGTCCGAGAACACTGTGGTAGAACACTCACAGCAGCGCGCTCTCCCATGTCGATTGGAGGACAACAACAAAGCCGATGATCGAGATGAGACGGAAATTTCTCTGCCACGAAGTCAGCTGTGACCGAATGCCGGGCTACATTGAGCTTACACGTAGTTCCTGCTTCTTTCCCATCCGATACATATCGCGAGCATCGTGTGAAGTCCCTCCCAGGGTGCTGCCACGCATCTGTTCGCCGCCGTCATGTCCCATTGCGCACTCTTCGACAGAGCCTCCAGGTTTCCCTTCAACAACTGTTGCCATTGTAGAAAGCAATCTCGGGGTTTGCCAATGTTTGTCGAAGACCCGGTGGTAGGGTTTAGCGGGGAGATATGTCAAGTTGTTGCTTGAGCGACTGAGTGTTTATGATCCCTGTACATATAATCGGCAGTATCTCGAGGCGCTCGGACAATGAATTCCCCCACAAGGGCAGGCCTATTTCGATCAAGTGGCGTGGGTCCAGGCCACCCGACAAAGACGGTCCGCAGCGTGCTAGGGCCCGCACATCCCACAGCGCCACCGTTCGTTCCGTCTTCTCCACTCACCTGCTGCCCTACCACCAGCGGGGCGATCACACACGACGTCCGTTCACATACGCTTCCGACAATTCTCACCCAATGCAAGATGCGCTTTGGCTGGGTCATATCGGCAACAGAGCATTTTAGTCAACTTTACTTTCGCGATTTCAATGCGCTCTTGTCAGCCACCATGCATGCCGTAAGCGGGACCTGCCACGGCTCGTTTGTGGAAGTGACTGGGCGTTTCTTTTTCTTTCAACGAGACGGAAATCATCCCATCGCCTGGATTGTGTCACAACACGAGCGAAAAGCGTGGTGATAGCTGGGATGTCGAACAAGCACACAACAGGATCATCTTGCACAGCATGCTTGGCCGTCATGGATCACAGCGCCCCCGCGCCACTCTACACGCACACGCCAGAGCATGACCTGTTGTGTAACGTGAGAAGCGGCCTTTGTTCAAACCCGACCCATTGTTGGTGTTGTCGAGGTCCTGTGATCGCGTGTTCGTAGAGGCAGAGCAGAGCTTTTCCTCTTCTCATTTCTGGTACCAATGTTCGACTTCGATGGCCGAACAGATCGCTCATGCACCTCACCACCACGGCTACAACAAAAGTCTTGAATTCACTCTCTCCATATGTTTGTGCTACACCTTGTGTATGCTTAGCCTGCGACTGTATATCCGATGGAGGAGACTTGGTGTTGACGACTTGATAGTCTTGTTGGCCACGGTACGATAACCGCTCTAGCTTCAAAGTGAAGTAGTAACTCCATTCAGATGAATCATCTAACGTGCCACATTTCGCAGGCTCTGGCATCGATATTCTTTGGCTGTAGCTATGCCGCGAAAGACGCTGGGCTGGCTCGCCCCATGAGACTCTTTGTTGCGCACCAGAACAAAGTTGACAGACTGAACGCGCTGGTGTTAGCCAGCAATCTAGCATGGATCACAGCGCTATGTGTGTCGAAACTGGCTGTGATATCAATGCTGCTCCGCACGACGCTTAAGGCCGCGCACCAACGACTTCAGTACTCTGTTGGTGTTTCAGTCTTAATTCAATGCGTCTCTTCCATCATTTTGTTGACCGCTAGATGCACTGGCTTTACAGGCTTTGCTTGGGATATATCGTCGAACGACACAGCCTGCCCTCGCCAGGGGCTTAGATGGCGTGTCATCACAGGTCTCGACATCGCGACCGAACTCATGATACTCGTTCTCCCACTCCAGCTGGTCTGGAAGTTACAGATGCGTCCGAAGAGTAAATTCGTCGTCATAATGGCGTTCTGGCTTCGCATTCCGTAAGCTGAACATACTTACGCAAAGAATCCAGTTATCTGCTAATCGTTCCCACTTAGCACAATCGTATTCACCATCCTGCGCAACGGCGCAACGAAAGACCTAAGCTCCACTGCCGACGTCTCGCTCACAGCGGCCATGGTCGTCATCTGGCAAGCAATACAGATGACCTATTCGATCGCCGCAGCCACCATCGCAGCACTCAAGCGCTTCACCGAGAGTCTGAATACAGGATTCGGACACGGCAAGCTGATCAGTGTACACGGGAATACCCAAAGCTATGACTTGTCCGATCGCAGTGCGTCGATCAAGAATTCGAGGGCTGCTCAGCCGCTCAGCGGGATGGGCAAGAGCCATACACACCATGAGGAAATTCAGGCTCCACATCAATTGATGCACCATGAGGCTGTTGTGTTGTCGAGTGGTTTGGCTCAAACAACAGCGTCTAAGTCGCTTGTGAGAGATGGAAGCATCGCGCACAACGAACAATCTCCAATTTATCTAGGAGAGGACTCCTTGGTAGTAACAGAATGAGATGTCCAGCTAGAGGGAGTTAGGGAGAGGATGATCTCAAGTCAGTTGTGAGAAATTTGGCCTGGTCATTGCGAGTAGGCTTCCAGCGTTCGAATCAATAGTAATAAAAAAAATGACAAGTGACCTCGCTCTTACAACGAGTCAACGCGTTAGGAAGAAGTTACAACGCGAACATCACCCAGTGCTAGATCTCGGTCAGAACAGGGACAGAGTACGCGATGGAACCTCTCTAGAGTTACGTCACGACAGATTCATATACCGGATAACTAGAATGGTCCTACACGTTTCTTGTTCACTGTTGTGGAAGGCTGGATGTGACTACGGTCCTAAAAACTGCGGCTCGAATATTCCTTATCTAGCAGCAACTCTCTGCAAGTGACAGTAAAGCACGCTATGCTAGACAATGAAGTGCTAAAGTTAAAGTTAAGATGTTTTGTTTGCCTGTTTAAGTCACTTTCCATTAACAGCTAGGTGCTGCGAAGTCTTCAGTCTATATTGAATACTTACCCCTTTTGTCATTGCACGCAACATTTGCCACTTGCTTGCTTCATACATTATTTCCTCACACTTCAACATGTTCGCCAAGCTTCCGGAATTTAAGCAACCACACCGTTGCCATAAGCTTCTTGTGATCTACGCAATGATACTTTATGCCTGTTCTTTAGTTCGACATCTCGCTCTCTATTTTGAAACCATGTCGAATCCGGTCGCTCTGATTATGCCGCGTAATAACGTGCCATGAAAACGAAGCAACTCAAACATGGCTACAATCTTTTGCTCGCGTGGGTGGACGCTCGCCTACGCGTTCCAGGCACTGCTTGACCAAAGGAAGAGTCTTGGCAATCCACCGCATAAATGGGAAAGAGGCTAGTGCGTCTTCAAGGCCATGAATAGCGTCCCAAACATTCCTGTCAATGACGGTGTGTTCGCACCATTCCTGAGTGTTTCTATACAGGGCTTGCTGTGGTCTATTCTGGTTCGTTGCTTAGGTGACTATTCCAAGACCATCGCAACGCAGAGGGATGGTGGATCGCCATCAATGTGTTGGTATTACCCAATGCAAAACTGATTCAAACTTTGCTCTGTTCAACGATAGTCTTCCTCTGCGTAGAAGCAGTATCTTGCCTGGCTATTTTCTGGCTGGAGGGCTTCAAAAACTTCCGCCACGTCAGGCGACTCGGCTTTTCTTTGGTTGGAAGTTGCCGCTCTTTGTTGTCTGTCTGGGTTGGATTGCAGTATAAAGAACTACAGTCGCAAGGGACACGGTCTCCGGTATCCAGGCCCGACGGGTTTTTCTGGTGATCGAATGCGAATTCTCCATATTTTATCACGGATACCCTGTCGTAACTCATCTCGCACCTCCGCACCGGACGATTGAGTTTCATAGTAGAAACTGTGTCTAGCAATTCCACAAGATCGCTCAGCAGGTGTTGGAGACGTCGGACTCGGTGATCGGGGACTATGACGCTAACGTTTGGGTACTTTTCTCGCTCCTCGTTGATCTCCTTTTCCTCGGCGTCCAGCTTTTCGATCGTCTTTTTGATCGTGGCCAGCTCTTCCTTTTTCTCTTTCTCCAACTTCCTCCTCTGTTTTTCTTCTTCTTCTTCGAACTTATCCTTTGGAGTCCCATAATCTCGAGATTCAGCACGTTCACGATCGTTGTTGATCATTACTTCCTCTATCTCCTGCTTCTTCTTAATCCTTGCTTTTTCGAGCTTCTCCTTCGTTTTCCCATAATCCTGAGGATTATCCGCTGTGTGTACATGCCTATATAGCCATTTGAAGCGGCGGTAAATGACGCGTTGGAACTCGACTTCGTACCAATCAAAAAGCTTGTACAGTTCGGGCGAGTTCTCATTTTCAGGCTCAGAAGCTGGTGCGTAGGCCTTCTGGAACTCAACCCAACCAATTGTCCGTAATTCCTGTGCAGTCCCATCGCCATCATGATCAACCTCTTCCGTCATATGCTCTTGCACAGCCAGTATGTCACCCTCAAACCAGCGCATCTCTAGGCTCTCTCGTCCTTCGTAGTTCATAGATACGAACTCGTCTTGAATCTTCCAAAGCAGTTTCTTCAGCTTTTCGGCCTCTGGACCCTTTATGTGTGCAAAGAAATGCGTCATCTCGCGGATTATGTGAACGCCAGCAAAGTATTGGCCAAGTAGGTATGAGGTGAATTTGGGACTCCAGCCATCGCCGTATGCAGCGCATCGTGATGGCTTATAGTTCTCATACTCAGTGATGTCGTAAAACCAATTAGCAAGATCCCAAGCTGCGATCAGAAGAGGTACTGAGTATCGGGCAAGTGTTTTTTCGTTTGCACGAGACTGCATGCGTTGTTCGTTCCATCCAGACATCCATGCAGACGCGAGTGCGCCAATGAGAGCGAGGATGCCGGTGAGAATGGCTGCGATAGTGCTCCCGTCAATCATTTTGGCCTCCGGAAAGAAATTCCGCGCTTTGAGACAAAAGGTTGGTCAAGTCTCAATGCGAAGTCAAGACTCCGGTTGGCGGAGAGTAGGTTGCCGAGAAATACGTTTAACTGATATGTAGGCAGACAAGCCGATCTTCACGGAGGCCTGGGAATCCGGCGAATGGCCTGAAAACCGGAATGGGGATGGCATCGCTTTTTATGCATAACAGCTAAACGCTGCTTCAGCTCGAGGATCGCCACCCCGCAAGTCGAGATTGATCGATGCGATGGTCCGTGTATAGACCCAGACTGAGATGAACAGTCGAATGCGGCATCAAGCGTTCCAAGATTGTCCATGCTAGACGACCCAGCCCTCGAACTGGCCCCTTTCGACGCTGTCGCCAGCCACGTCAATTAGAGAAGCAGACTGACTAGGATCAAAATAGCTCTTTCCTCTGATCTGGTGTTTGATTTGTTTGGTTCTTCTTGCTTATCGTGTACAGACGCGGTTCGGTTGACGTTAGCACTCGCTAAACGTACTTGGTTTTCGTTGCTTTCAGCAGACAAGATCGGTGATAAGGTTCTGCATGAATCTCAGCTCAGGCCTGTGCGTAGGTAGATCTTATGAAGCTACAAGTTTGGCGGACATGATATGCGCGATGCATGCATTGGTCGGAGGTCGAGGCCCACTAGTGCAAGCCACGTTGCTTGGTACACTATGAAGGTCACGTTATTCGCCACTCAACATCGCCAGTCGATCTGAGGGACCAACACGACATGCTCATCACATTCCGTTGATCTTCATCGTAATCTTCAATAAGCTAGTGTTGCTCGGACACTTCCCTTAAGTATAGGTCACCGTCTGGAGAGATAAAAAGCTTCCCAGATCTCAGCTGCTTTGCTTTTAGCGCCGTCCAATTTGATCGTTCTGTGTCTATTCATCAGATGCTATACCAAGACTTCATCAGATGCTATGCCAAGACCCTCACTAACATGTTCCACATCGAAAATCAAGGCTTGAGGTCGTTTGTTGTGTATAGTGTTGTCAATGTATCTATCTAAGGTTGGTAGACGTGCTGTTGAAGTAGGAGCGATGCGGAAGTTAAAAACACACCTACCAGGACATCACCAATGTGCCAAACACCATCATCTAGACTACATGTACTTCTCTTTAACGAGCCATCACAAGCCATATCCTGTCCAGTCGCACGTTGATCACCCATTCGCGCAATGTCCTCTCTTCCCAAGCCAATTCGCACCACTGTACAGCCGTCCCTCTTTCCTACGTAGCCTCACCGTCCCGTCTCGCCCCTTCGCGCATCATCCTCACATCCTGTCCCCGCATACTTCTCCTCTTTCGCCCATCTCTCAATATCTGCCGTTTTCCTTCAGAGCTGGATTCGAAGTCATTTGCAAGCCCAACGACATAGACACCCTAGATCCTAGCGCCCACGTTCCCGACCACAATGCATCCCACAAAGCAAGACGGGAATTCAATTTGTTGCTGCTTAGGATAGTTTCGCAGTTGCTCTCGCGAAATGGTCTGAAGTGCGAGGTCACGAAGCGCTCTGAAAACCTCAGCCAGCCGCTAATCCACACAACACTGCAGATGGTCGTCTGTAGCGTTCCACCTATCCACCCAACTCACCCTCACAACCTGCGAACCGAAACGTACGGCCCAGCACCTCGGTTCCACCAGCAACAAACCGCGCAGCAACAACCTCGTAGCCATCACCCTCGTACAATATCAACGCCTCTTCCTCCTCATGCGACGTGACAACATACGCACACCCTTCAATACGCTCACCCGGGCAATCGGCAAGCGCATTGTATTTACCAGCCCAGATGCGAATGCGCCCATCGACTAGCGTAGCAAGCTCCAACAGGGAGAGCGAGGAAACGGGGACTTCGAATAAGCCCGAGAGGCGCGCAGGGCAGGCCACTACTTTTGTCGGCAGGTGGAGGTGCGCCCACAGGCCGGTGATGCGGGAGCGTGGGATCGCGGCCGAGGAGCGGGAGGAACAGGGTCCTTGTGCGCCTTGTTGAGGCGCAACTTCGTCCACCGTTTGCGGAGGTGGTGGATGGCGGTCCAGGATTCGAGCGCGGTGACGTCGGACTGTGTGAGGTGGATGAAATGGGCGGTGTCGACTTCGGCGCTTGCAATGCTTGTTTGGGGAACGCAGGGGAGTGTAAGCGCGTTTGCTACAGCGCGGGCTGTGGGGAGGGGGTATTCGAGGCGGAGGAGGTAGATTGTCTGTATCTTTCGTCGGCGGAGAGGGCGATTTTGAGATGCGACTGGGATGGTTGGTGTAACAAGTGGTAGTGGTGAGTCCAGTGTAACGCCTAACTCAGAGAGCGCCTGTATAGCAATTGCGTCGAGCTCATCCAGATGAACCATGTTGACTATGAAAGTTGAAGTCCTTTGATCAACGCGGCGGCAAGTGTGGTAGCGTTACGATAATTTTGCAGTTGCTGCTTGACGTCTAACTTGTCGTGACGGGGTTCATGACTCAAAGTGTTCTATAGAGTTTAGCTGTGCGGACCGATCCGTTCAATTGGTACCGATAGAACTGACCCGTGGTTTGCAGTGCTGAGAGCAATATCCTGGCGCAAAATTGATACGCTATGTTTTTGATTGATGGAATTAGGGGTCGCAGTTTATGCCTACCTCTCTGTCATAGCCAAAGACGGTTTACTTACTTTTAGAGTGGCTATTAAACGCTAAAGTCTACCTCATAATACTCTAGAGTGACTTAGAGCTCTCTTCAGTAGCTCTATGACCTTTTAATACACTCATCAGAGTCTTGTAGTCTTCTCGACTTGTTATCTTAATTTCCATGCCTTGTCTAATGATTCTATTCTCATCTGCAACCCTTCTCCATATTGCATATGCGCCAGCCAGTTTACCTTCTTGCTATGTTGTATCATGAAGAATAATAGTTCAGCAAGTCGTTGCAGTTGGCAGGCAATGATAGTCGCTAACACAGCCCGGTGCTCTTCAGCAGTATCGATCTGATACCTGCCCATCGTAATCCGGGACTTTTGATGGAGATACCTCAATCTAGAGAATTTGTCCTGTTGTTTCGGCTGTTTTTGTCCTTGATGCTGCTGCTGGGGCAGCTGATGAGCTTCTCTTTCTCTGTAACTACGTCTATCGCTCCGAGCTCGCTGGAGATGGCCCTGTTTGCTCCACCATTGCGCGACGTTCTCGAATCCAGTCAGGAGCTTCTCATATATCACCAGTGTTAGCATACAGATGCCCGACTCTTGTTCGCATCCGTGACATTGAGACAGTATGAGACACCGAGAGATATTGTTTCTGAGAACAAAGATCGTGTTCTCTACCATAGCCCAGTCGGCACCTACGGAGGGTATAACGACATCCTCAAGGATCTGTAGAGCCGTCTCCATGCACTCACAGTCTCCATTGTCGTAGCTGTTGTTTAAATCCTCGTGTGAGTCTGTATCGATGTCCATGTCGTTACGTGACGAGCTTGAAAACGATGTGTTTGACTTGGAATTAGAGACACTGCAATAATTGGAAGAAGACGACCACATTGGTTGGACCAGAGGAGCTAGCGATTGGTTTTTGCTTGAGTCGTGGCTGAATGCACGGCTAGAACCGTCTGAGCCTCTGTTGTTGCTGTTGAAACTGTCGAGTTGGGTCAACGTCGAATTGGACAAAGTTTGAACTACTGAAGGACTAAATGAGCATGTGATGCAGCGAGCTCGCCTCTTGCGAGACGAGTTAAGTGAGCTGGAGCTTACCTGGCATGTCGTTGTGCGATAGGACCCCATCCGGGTCGAAAGAATCAATTATTTCAGCCAAATTGCCGTGTGGATCGTTCAAATATTGTTCCGTGAAGTCAATGAACAATCCAGTATCAGAGTCTTTGGAACACGTTGTAACAGTTTGAGTGCTTCGTTCTACAGCATCTGCTTGAGTAAAAGCCTGCTGAAAGCCTTCCTGCTGGCTTGGAGACCTATTCTGGCGTATAATCCCTCTGTTGCGGTTGCTGCTGCTTCCCTTCGCCACGGTGGTGGTGGTGCTGTCGATGCAGCTGCGTGACCGGAAATCCGAGCCGGATAGCATCGCTCGATGTTCAGTTTGCTGTCTCGGATCTGCGCTGGGAATTGCAACTTGGATGCAGGAAATATCATCATGATTCCAAGCGTGACTCGTCCCTTGAGCAATTGACCCCAGTTGATAATTGCTACCATTATCTCCTCCTGGTGTCTCTGACTGCGCAACGTCCGTCGACGCCCTTCCTTGCCGTTTGCTACTGCTACCGCCTCGACTCGTGTGGGCATCGTATACACATCGCGTGCCACGCTGTTGGCACCGACGACATCCGACTTTGTCGCGGCTGCATCGCAGCTGTAGCTACAGTGTTAGTGTTCAAGACACAATTTGTCCTACCAAGGTAGTGAATGTCAGAAATGGGAATCTTGCCTTTTTCTTGCGGCAGGAAACGCACGCTACACGGGATGTGTTATTAGGCCGGCCCGTGCGATCCGTTACGCGAACATTCTGCATCTCGTTTGCGTCCTCCTGGCTACCGCATCTGAACGTCATGAACATGTTGATCGGCGATCACCTGGTATCGCGGACGTTGAATGTATGCAAGGGATAGAAGTTAAATCCAGTGCTGGTGAACCCGGAGGCTGCCAATCACCTTGCAGCGGGAAACATGCTGGGTGGGATAAGTCTGCCGAGTGCGAATCTTGAAAAGACAACTGCGTGTACAGGTCGTGACTTGTCCGACCATTGGCTCACAGCAGGTTGCACGTCCTCTAGAGCCAATGCCTGTTTCTTTGATAGAAAAAACACCGAGATGCAGTACAATGAACGCTACTTTTCGGCAGATTTTTCCAGTACTTTACACCGTAGTGTAATTAGCCAACACAATAAAATGCTACAATACCTGTATGAAGGTCATCTCTCCGGCTAACATGTTGAGGGTATCTTACATGAAGAGTTCAGCTGTTCTAGAGCAGCTACAAACTCTCCTAGAGCACCTGATTTGCTAAACGCATGCCACACCGGGACGTTGTATAAGTCCGATGTGCACCCCTCCTGTACGCGCCACAGGCTGAGACCCTGCATGTAACGTCGACTCGCCCTGCACTAAGCACACCGGATAGAGTGAAGTAGTTGGCTTATAGAGTGTTAGGTAGATACCTGGAATTACGCAACCGCTTGGTTAATTACGTAATGTATAGTGGAGGGTGTTGATGTAGCCTAGCAGGGACTTCGTGTGACTGGAGTTGCTAGAATTCGAGGCAGACGACTTAGGGCTGTAGGTAGTTCTCAGTAACTAACAAGTAAGGTCTACTAATATCCAAAATCATAGCTCTGCACAGAGCATTTGGCAATGCAGTCTCTGTTTCAGCTCAACGTGCTGGGGTCCACTTATGTATGTCAGACACCACGATCTTGTCTTTGCGGTCCGAGCCAGCGTGCATGACGGCCCGACCCCGGCGATCCAAGGATACCGTGTCCGTGCGCGCAATGCGCGGATTCGCGCAATGCGCTGAACCACCAAAATAGCTCACTTAAAAATGAGGCTATAGAGCCACACTTAGTAGTTATTATCACAAGATATTTTATTAGAGTACTCTATAGACCTATGCAATAATATTCTCTTATATATTTTACTTATATAGAGTTGCTGTTTAGCTGCTGCGGGTAGTGTGGGTGCAGGTAGGTAGAGGAGGCGTTGCAGGTATAGGGTAACTACGAGCACCTACTATATAACGCGCAGGCTTACTTCTTACTATAGAAGCTTTTAAAGTTATCTTATTGCCTCTTTAAGATAATTATATAGCTTTTGCAGCGTTATAAGCTTCCTTCTAACGTTGTTTTTTAGCCTTACGTTTAGCTACTTCTTCTGCCTTCTTAGCTTTAACCTAGTCTCTCTCTTCCTTCTCTCTTACCTGCTGCTTATGCTTCTCCTGTTAAAGCTTTTCTTTATATAGCTTATTAGCATGTCTAAGTTTAGCTATCTCTGCTTTTCTAACCTCTTCTGCCTTAGCTTCTTGTTGTTTTACCTGCTTATACTAACGTGCTTTCTTAACCCTATAAGGAGAGTAAAATACTGCTCTACTATAATAAACCTTAGGTTCCTAGAAGTTAAGAGGTTTGCTCTTCTTCTTATGCTTCTTCTAAGTCTTAAGAACCTCTTTTAGGCCTGCTATCTTATAGTAGAGTAGCTAGTTTTAGACTAAGATATAGTAGAGAGATTAGCTAATCTTCCTTAGCTCCTTACTACTCTTATTCTTAGCTACCTTCTACAGTAGGGTCTTAATTTTAAGCTAATCTTTGCTAGAATAAGTTAAAGAAGAGCTTCTACTAGCATTAGAAGCTTCTAGGGAGTCCTTAGCAAAGCGTTAGAGTATAATGTTAGGTTAGAGGGGTACTATACCTATTACCTTAAAAGACTTAAGTATTAGCCCCTAAGTAAATATACTTATCTAGGCCTTCTAGAATAGGTAGAAGAAGTTACTCTTCTTAATTACTAATAGTCTCTAGCTATTATAAAGGTATATTATAAGCTCCTTTAAGTATGCAGTTAAGAGAGGCTTAAACATTACTATGTCTAACAGCTATAGCGTATAGGTTAAGTAAGGGGGAAGTATAGCTAGGAGTATCTTATTCTAATTATAGTAGTTAATAAACTCTATTATTATATAGGATCTATAGCTATTAAGGATAAGGAGGCGCTACTTCCTCTACGCCTTAGTCTTAGTAAAGTAATTAAATACTTATTAAAGCTAGGCAACTCCTATATTGTTGTTAGTCTAGCTAGTAGGTAATAAGGAAAGGAATACTAAGTGTACCCCTAGCTCTATCTCCTCTACCTAGCTTAATTGCAGAGTACTGTTAGCAGAGTTATAGAGGAGACTTAGCAGCAGTGCTGTCCTATTACTGCATATATAAGCTAGCAGCGTTACCTATGCCCTATTACTATCTTAGAGTAATACCTTAACCTCCCCCTTCTCCTATATCTATCTACTAAAGACGTGTTTTATCCTAGTAGTAACCCCTATTATAAAGCCCTTCTTATCTATATTATATATATAGCAGCTATTAACCTTATATTTAGTAATCTTATATTATAGTAGGTTAAAGTAGAGCTTATACTTTTAATATAAATTAGCATTATAATAGTTAGCATCTATACCTATTAAGTATTTAGAGATAAGATAGATAGAGTAGTTGTTAATAAACTAAGTAACCTAGCTCTCACTTACACGTTCCTTAGCTATAGAAGACGTGAAATTTTGTATCATCTCCCTTATAGGAGGTATAGAACAAGCAGTAAGCTCTCCTATATAAGTTATAAGCTCCTCCTCTTATTAGGGGGTAAGCTTCTATTGTGTAATTGCCTGCTCCTTCTGTAAACGCGTTTTACCCCTCTACGTGCGCGTTAACATTAACTGCATAACACCATGCTTTTATGCTATTTTAGTCTATAGGATCTCATCTTTAGATGCAAAAGTATCACACTCTAATAGGGCTTCTTGTAATCCTATTGTGTTGTGTTGTTGTAGATGTGTGAGTATAGAGCTATTTTGGTGGTTCGGCGCATTGCGCGAATCCGCGCATTGCGCGCACGGACACGGTATCCTAAGCTTTTAAAGGCAGAGACGAATAAAATTTTCAAGCTACACACAATAACTACTACAACAAGACATAGCACCTAACGCTAACAATTCAGAACTGTCTAACTTAGGAGTAGTCACCCTGCCTGTTAAGTTAAAATCTATTAAGAGCTTGTAATACTCGCGCATAGAATTCAGATACTTAGGCACTAGGTAGACATAAGAAATCTACATTTTTTATATGTCTTAACTAACCACCTAGGTAGCTAAAAGTGTTTCCTGTTTTTTTCTACGTGTTAAGAATATCGATATGTGTAAAGTATTACCCTCCTTTTTACCCACTACTGCGCCTTCAGTTCTGGTGAAGAAGCTGTAGATACTTTGCCTATCGAATCTCTCCTAGTCTTCCTTTGCTCGACTAGCTCTACTACAGATGGAAAGGCCCATTCCTCGGGATTCACAGCACCGACACGACGAGCAGATTCTTGATACCGGCGGAACTCATCAGCCGTAGTGCTTGCGGAACCAGAAACCTTTGCGGTGAGTTCGTCAAGCCGGTAACGTGGGTCGCTTAGGTGCCATGTGATATATCCTAACAGCAAGTCAGTCGTTGCGGGTATGGATTGTCTATAGAAAACATGTGTCTGCAGAACTCACCTTGGCAGAAGAGCGTCAATGTCTCTTTGATGTCCTCATGTTTATCCGCAAATACCTCAACAATCTGCTCTGAATCACGGATGCAGTCCCGCGTTAGCTTCTCGAGTGCTTCAAGAAGGCTAGTCCGGTCACAGATTGCATAATTGTTGACAAGCGAAGCCTGATCACGCGGCTCATCCCACTCTTTGAAAAACGAAAGCAGGTCATTGACGAACACCATCCAGTTCTCCATCTGCGCGATTGCGCTTGTGATTTCTTTGAAATGAGTTGTTTCGGTGAACTGCTTTTTCGGGAAGATAGAAGCACCCACGCAGTGTCCGAGACCATTCATGCGCCGGAGAAAGCCTGGGAAGTCGTAGGAGCCTGGGTAGCCTTGAAAGTTGTGCTGTTCGATCCAACATCCCTGGAAGACTGGCTGATATCAGCTAAACGTATAGAGATTTGACGGGGACAGGATCTATAACTTACAGTCTGTAGTGCTACGAACGAGATTTAGCTTGCAGTAAGGCCCGTAATGTTGCAGTAGAGTCGGAAACTGTTCATTCACCATCTGCCACCAAGAGTGCTGTTGTGGCCGTCCCGCCAAGAGATCATCGTAGAACGTATCCATGGTCTTCTCGGGGTGATCATCGCTGTCATCAAGGAGAAGCATATAGGTGTAATGAATCGACAAGTCGGCCATGACCTCGCAATCCACGCGCACCCAGGCATAGACCACCATGGCAACAATCGTCTGAAGGGAAGCTTGTAGTCGTTTGGGATGAGCTTTGATGAGTTGCTGTTGCTTTGGCTGGGCAAAGTGTCGTGCTGCTTTTGCGTAGGCGTAGTGTAGGTTGTGAACCCTCTCTTCGTGTGTATAATTATTGTCATCATACTTCATGACCTTGAGGAATCGTACCACAGCATCAAGGTAGAAGTCAGTCGGGAAATCGTCAGTGCCTAGACTGACGTTTTCTGCGAGGCTCCAAGTTGGTGCTTCCGCTGTCATGATGCCTGATTTTATTTTGATAGCACGGCCTGTATGAGAAGGGTGAAAATATATGCCGTCAACAAACTCTTATGTAGTAAACAATCCAAGTGACCAGCGTTGTACTGGGTAAGGAATGGAACGAATTGTTTGAGGGCAAGGCTTTATTTGATAGGAAGTCGCGTTCCTCGGCCCCAAAAGAGAAGTAAAGGCCAAAGAACTCTTATCGCCGGCGAGATCTAAAGCCACACCGAATATGCATGACACCCTTGTTCCATGGAAGACTCCTCTCAGCTGTAACCTCACTAAACTCCTTACATATAGAGAGAGCACCAGGATGACTGCCCACAACCGGGGGGTGCCGGTGCTAGACATGCTAGACCCACCTACAGGATTATAACTGACACTAGAGTAGCATCGGGACATATCAGGGACGGAGATACGTCAAGGTTGGTCGTATAGAGATGTAGTATCATTTGCTAGAGGTCTTTTGCTAGACTGAAAACTCTCGCTACGTTGTTCCCATTTTTACTTAGCATTCCTGCGGATGAAATCAGGGGTATCTAGCTCTCCAATTTTTGACTACTAACGATTAGCTGTATTGTAAAAGCTTTAGATACACTACAAAATATCTCTTTGACTATCGGGGGGTTTGATGCACATCATGACAAATAAAGTACGCATCAGCATTGTATAGCAACGGCAAGTTTCATGATCACCGACTCCACTAATCTATGTCGTTCGGGATTTACCGTACAGACCCAGATCGTCGGCCGATTGATGGCATTTCATCCGAAATGACGGAGACTTCTACGCACAAATCCGCGGAAAGGCAGTCAAGCTTGATAGTACACTGTCACCGCAAAATGTGTTTAGTGAAGGAACGGCAGGTGCGAGCTTTATGCCCCCACCATGTTCTCATATCGCGAAACATGCGCTGGTACGTCAGTTTGCATTGGAGGAAAGTCGACCACTTTATTGATCGACCAATGAATCAATCAATTACACCAATTTCTAGAGAGATGCTTATCATACAATGCTGCAAGGTATCACGAGGTTACACGCCTTGTGATAACACCTGCCTCGATTCTGCCTCGCTGATGAAGAGCACATGAAGAAATCCGGGTATACAAAAGCTTAACCAAGCGGTCGATTGCAGATTTACTAATCACAGACATCCCTGCTGCACCCGGTAGAAGCAGACTTACCAAGTGCTGACTAATTGTGATGCGTTGTTAGGTATGAACAAAAGGCAATGGCAGGGAAACATGATGTCGTATTGTCTCAATCTAAGATACATGGCCTTTAGTAACATGGCCATATTCTTCGCACCTTTCAATATGCTTCAACATAGGGATAGTATAAGGCCCACGTCTTCCCAACAGTCTCAACCCTACAGCTTCCGAGTGACCATTACTTCAACCTCGCCTTGACCTGGACCCCTCGTCGGATCATGCTTAGGCTGCCCAATAATGAGCACACTGTCGATAGAAACATCGTCCGCAGTTGTGTTGGTAAGCTCCATGTCAACGTTCATGATCACACGAGCAATCGTGAGATACATCTCCGCGTGTGCCAATCTACACATAATACATTAGTCAACCACAGAGAAACTGGTTGTTGGCGCAGCACAACATACCCAATGCCCAGACATTGCCGGGAGCCTTTAGTGAAGCTGGTGAGGTAGTTATTGAGAGGGAAACCTTTCTCTGCGGCCTCAACCCATCGCTCTGGCTTGAATTTGAGGGGATCTGTGAAGATTTCTGGGTTGTTGTGCACGAAATATGTGGACTGGCTTATGGGTGTCTTGAAAAAATCAGTATATATATGACGAGCGAGACCTGAGGATGCCTGCTTACACCTGGCGGGATCGAGTATTTGCCGTACTGTAGCGTTTCTTCGACGAAAACACGGGGAAGGCGGGTGAGCGGTCCGTATGAAAGTCGAATTGATTCTTTTACTACGCCAGTCTGCGTCATATGTCAGTAGATTCAATGACATTTGGAGAGCTGCACTGGGAGTTGAACTTACAAGATAAGGCAGGGGCTCGAGATTCGCAGCCGTCAACTCAGTCTCAGGAATATGAGCGACCTGTGTTAGCTCAGCGCGCAATTTGTCAACCATCGACTTATCAGACAAAAGATAGAACATGCCGACAGAGAGGGCGCGCGATGATGTTTCGGTTCCAGCGAAGATGATCACCTGGCCTTCATCTAATAGGCGCTGCATGGACCGCTCCGACTTCGGAATCGACTCATCACTAAGAGCTTGCATGATGACAGACTTTTGGTTCTCGCCTTGCTTACTCCCGCGAAGCTCGTCGATCTTGGTCTCAATTTCTTGTTGCAATACCAGCAAAGTACCGAGCGATGGAAGGATCATACGGATGACAGGAATAGGCAACATCTTCAGGTATTTGATGGCCCATGGCACGAATCGAGTCCAGTGGAAGATCTCCGATACACCCTGGAAAGCCTCTCTGATGGGAAAGACTAGATCGGGCACGCTGAGATAGTCGTAATGATAGCCAAAAAAGCGCTGCGTGATGATGTCGGCTGTCATGGCGGAGAATGCTTTATCAAGGGATATCTTCGTTCCCGCGCGATGAGCGCCGTTCAATCGACCTAGCAGGGTTGTGATTCGCTCGTGGAGAAGAGGTTCCATCCCTACAATAGACCGTTTCGAAAAGTACGGGTTCATATAGCCACGTCGAGAGCGGTGCAAGCTGTGGGCTACGGTTGCGGCTACAGACTCGGGTACACCAAATCCTGCAACGGTGGAGGAATCTTTGTTGACCTTGTGGGTTCCGCCAACATAAACATTCTGATAATATGAAGGGTCGTCGATGTGGACTTCGTTTGGGTTGATGCGTACGATTGGGCCTGATCAATTCCGTTAGTATCACTAGGTCCGTAAAACAGAGTTGCATGTTCACATACCGTATTTCTTGTGCATCTTTTGAATCTCCCAAATATAATTTCCCCTCTTCACAGCATCGTACCAGAAATCAGGGAAGGGCGTCATGGCAGCCATCAATGGGCCAGGGATTTTGCGAAGAGGGTGGAAAAAAACATTGTAGATGCAGCGTAGACCAGAGTAGGCGACCCAAAAGAGAATAGAGTAGCGAACAAGCTGGCTAGTGACCGTCTGTTCTCCAGTGGAGAGGAAAGCGAGACTACCGTTATACTTCGACAAGTGCTCACTGAATCGAGTGCCATTGTCAAATAGACTGCCGTTGGAAGACAGCTTGAAGATGTCCATACTGGGGTATTGTGTAGCAAACCAGGACAAGAGAACTGATGGAAATTCAAGAGGGTGGTCAGTTGAGATAGAAGATTGGATTAAAGAATGAATCGAAAGCCATGTAAATCGACACTGCCCCTCCTAGCACGTGCAACAAAGTCTATCGTGACCTGACTCTTCGCTGTAAAAAAATCAATCCTCCGACAAATTTTGTACCTATCTCACTTGCGTGATGGGCCGCTTCATTATCGATATACATGACATACTACGTACACCTATGGCTGACAAGTGTCCGGCAGCATGAGCATGGGGGTCAGTGGTAGCTGGTTGAGTGACCCTGGTGGCCGCGCTTGCAGGTGGGCCTTCTTCTTGATATCACTCGTAGAGAGATGTAGGGTCTAGTACTTGTTCTCCGGCGCTAATTGAGGAAGGTGACAGCAAGCTGGGACGTCAATCACTAACCACATTGGCTTTGCACAACTACGCGGCAGCAAGTCAACAACCTAAGCCCCAAACACTTGGAGACTGCCCTAGTACATCTCCTTCATAGCACCTACAGCTAAATCCCTATATTACGGTCGATAAATCAGCTGCTAGAGCTGTCACATCATTAGAGCAGGGGTATGCACTGCGCGCAACACCTAGTTCCTTGATCACTGCAATATATTTAACGCTAAGTCACTTAGCAGGGCGCAGAAACTGTACACTCTTACAACAAACCATATTATTCTTAACTCACGTTCATGTCAGTAGATCACTGTGGTTGTTGCCTTTGTATTCGAATGACTGTCGCATGCGGCGCCGCTAAACCTGCAAAAGTAGTGGTGTTTTTTGTCTGGATGGTGTGCAACACAAGACACCAGGGCACACTCTGATTGCGTCGTGAACACGCCCTGCGTCTTATTCCAAATCAGCAGGCAAGATCCCAACAGTATACCAACAGTTTGGGCAGAACCCACGTCAAATATTGCAGTTTACGCAATCGATCTTGGCGGACATTTAAACCCCTGCGTGAGCGGACATATTGCTGAAGACGCCACAGACCAACCCGAGGAAGGCTCTACCTTGCAATCATTCTGGTGTCACGCATAAGTAGCGGCGGAGGAGTTTAATAGAGGCGTTTGACTATGGGTAAAAAACGTGGGCCTCGTTATACTTTACAGTTGTTTTTTAGAATTCCATGTAATGTATCTAGGCGTTAGTCAAACTAGGGGGCTAGTAGTCATTCGGTCTATATCTCGATATTGGGCGAATTCTTGTTAATCAATAGGCAACTTGGTCATGCTGGGATCACCTACGCTACCTATGCCTAACCTAGTAGTATACGCCGCATGCCTCGCATACATGTGGTTCTTAACGCTCCATCTCAACACTGATCGACGCGGACGTACCCATCACCATTTACAATACGAACCAGATGACGCGATATGGCCCGAGCCGGCTGTAACAGTTCTGCCGCACTAACATACGGTATCCTATTCGAATCAAGCGTGCACCGCTATTGTGCAGTACTCAATCCGATTGGTTCGGAAAAGGTGAAGCACGAAAGAGAGATGGCACATCGTGTCCTGCAGATTTTTCTCGGGGGTTTCAAAAGAGCAATGCCTACATTCGATCGGCCGTATTTGTTGTTGTGAGATTGAAACTGGCATGTGTTGCTGCGCCTGTTCAAGCCTCTTCCTTGTAGTGGAACCCCTGGGTACTTAGCTTGCAGCCAGGCTAATAGGCTATCCATTCTGGGTCGACTCATTGCTCGCAGTCGGATTGTATTTACCGGCAGCACACAGGGATCATGGTGCCCTGCTCGTCGGGGTATTTCCGTGAAGAGCCGCATGCAGGCCTTGGCCCGAAGAGATCTGTGTGAGCCCAGGATGAGTCATAGTGAGCCGGAGTGAGCTGGCGTGAGCAAGGGCGTTCGATGCTCAATCTCAAGATTCCTCAACGCGCTAGTACCCCATCCTTTATTCTTCCTCTTGTACTCCGTCCAGCCCTCTCGTTTATTGCATCGCACGACTTTTAGCCCTGTGCATACAATCCTTTTGTTCTAAACCGCGTGCTCTTTTGCCATGCCTTTGCAAGAGGACACAGCGCCACCAAGCGTGTCTGGAAATGCAAAATCTGAGCAAAAGCCAACCAGTCTAACGGAGACACCTAATACAAAGAACGAGAAGGAAACGAAAGATGGAGAAAAAGATGTGGGCTCCCTACACTACTTTATCCGTGTCCACTGGCAATACTCGACCGCTCTGGACCACACTCTGCGATTTGTTGGCTTCGCAGCTGCCATTGGATCGGGTGTCCTGCCTCCACTGATGACGCTCCTCTTTGGCTCCTCAGTCAATTATTTCAACGACTTCGAAGAGGGTCGTAGGAGCGGGGACGACTTGTACGACAAAATGACAGCGAACGCGCTGTGGTTGCTCTACCTATTTATCGGACGCTTTGTGCTTGTATACGTACATTCAACCTGCTTTAGCATTATTGGAATACGCGTAACAAGTGCTTTACGACTCGACTTTATTCGATCTTTGATGCGGCAAGATGTGTCGTACATCGACTCCTGCTCTTCTGGGACGATTTCTTCTACCATTTCGAACAACCCGGACATGATCGAAAACAGCAGCACGGAGAAGGTGGGCAGCTTGGTCCAGAATCTGTCCATGTTCATCGCTGCATTTGTTGTCGCTTTTACCCAGCAATGGAAGCTCACACTTGTGACGGCTACGACACTGCCTGTTTTGTTCACCGGTTATGCGATAACTTTCGGCCTCGACGCGAAAATAGAGGCGGAAATCATGGAAATCTACAATCAAGCGGCGGGGCTAGTTCAGGAAGCGCTCGGGTCGGTCCGCGTTGTAACTGCCTTCGGCGCTAGCGCCAAACTAAGTCGCAAATACGACGCACCTCTGGCCAAAGCGCAAGCTCTCGGATTTCGAAAGGGACCCGTCATTGGTGGTCAATGGAGCGTGGAATTCTTTACCACTTACTGTGCATACGCTCTGGCTTGGTATTACGGAATCAAACTTCTGAACAGAGGCGAAGCTGGAGATGGCGGGCAAATTATTTCGGTTTTGCTCGCGGTCCTTCTTGGAACCACAGCGGCATCCAACGTGGCCCCTGGTTTCGGCGATTTCGCAAAAGGCTCTGCTGCTGCCCAAGGAATGTTCGCGATCATCGATCGTAAGTCCGAAATAGATGCGTTGGACGACTCTGGAAGACAGCCGCCTCAATGTAACGGCTCTATCGAACTGCACAGTGTCAGCTTTGCATATCCGTCACGACCCTCGGAACAGATCTTGCGGGACTTTAGTCTCTCTTTTGAGGCTGGAAAAATCACCGCTCTTGTAGGCTCATCTGGCAGTGGCAAGAGTACCATCGTCGGGTTGATCGAGCGGTGGTTCGACCCGAACTCTGGCGACATATATTTAGATGGCCACAACATCGCGGAACTGAATCTAGGCTGGCTACGAGGACAAATTGGCTTGGTTCAGCAGGAGCCTGTTCTCTTCAGCGATACAATCTTCAACAATGTTGCCCACGGGCTTTACAGGACGCCAATGGAGAATCTGCCAGAAACCGAGAAACGTGAGCTTGTTCGACAAGCATGCCAACAGGCGTTTGCGGACGAATTCATCCAGAAGCTACCTCAAAAATACGATACCAAAGTCGGAGAAAGCGGCGCTCTGCTGAGTGGGGGCCAAAAGCAGCGAATCGCTATAGCCCGAAGCATCATCTCCGATCCGAAAATCCTTCTACTGGACGAAGCCACTTCAGCGCTAGACCCCGAAGCGGAAAGCAAGGTTCAAGCCTCTTTAGACAATGTGTCTAAGAAGCGAACAACTATCTTGATTGCTCATAAGCTTGCTACCGTTCAGAAGGCCGACAAGATCGTCGTGCTGAATCGGGGGCAGGTCGTTGAACAAGGCACCCATGATCAATTGCTTGATCATCAGGGGGCCTACTACGAACTTGTCCATGCACAAACGCTAGATATCGACTCCGAAGATTCCCCGACACCTTTGACTATCGCTGTTTCCACGACATCCGAATTGGAAAAGCCATCTTCAAGAGAAATAGCCGTGTCTAAATTGCCTGTAGTCGAGGAAGGTGATGACAAGAAAGACGATAAAACTGCAGACGAGGATCATGACATCTCACGGAAGCTTTCCTTGATTAAAGTCCTTGGTGTTATTTTCAAACAACAGCGAACAGCATGGCCACTCTTTTTCTTCGGCATAGTCTCTTCCACCATCGGCGGTGGCATGTTTCCTGGCCAAGCTATCCTCTTTGGGTACAGCGTACAAACACTCCAGATACAACCTAGTGACTACCTTGTTAGCCGAGGAAGTTTCTGGGCATTGATGTACTTTGTCTTTAGTCTCGGTATCCTCATTTGCTACCTGGGCGTCGGATTCTTCTGGACTATGGCTTCCAGCCACGCGTCCCGCTTCTATCGTCGCGAGTATCTCGACGCCATGTTACGTCAAGATGTGGCTTTCTTCGATATGCGAGGGCATGGAGCTGCGGAAATGACAAGTCGACTCTCCTTACACCCCGACGCAATCCGGAGTATGGTCAGTACCAACATGGCCCTTATCATTATCATCTTTGTCGACGTCATTGCAACCTCCATCCTAGCAATAGCTGTTGCTTGGAAGTTCGGTTTGGTTATCGTAGTCGCAGGCATGCCTACATTGTTCTGTGCGGGATACTTCCGCTTGCGCCTCGAGATGGCAAACCACGACCGCCTGAAAGACATGTACCTGGAATGTGCCCGCTTCGCGTCCGAGGCTGTTAGCTCGATTCGCACTGTTTCCAGCTTGACGCTTGAACATAAGGTGCTTGGCTCCTTCCAGTCAAGACTTGATGAGTGCTCAAAGCGAGAGTTCCGCAGCAAGATGGTGACGATGCTTGTCCATGCCTTTGCTGAGAGTATCAATCTTGCTGTAACCAGCTTGGCATTCTGGTATGGAGGAAAGTTGTTGTCGCAAGGGGAATACTCTCTACGCGACTTCTTCATCGCATTCATGGCTGTTCTTATAGGCTCTCAGACTGCGGGCATCCTTTTCGGATTTTCTTCTGATGTGTCCAGAGCGCACGCGGCAGCGAACCATATCATTGCTCTGCGAGAGTCTAGGCCCCCGATCAATACCTCGACCGGTAGTAAAATCTCCAACACAGGAGGGAAGGCTCCAATCATCGAGTTCCGGGACGTGAACTTTGCATACGCGAGTAGACCGAACCACAACGTTCTGAAAGGCTTGAATCTTAGCATCCAAAGAGGCCAATCCATCGGCATAGTGGGCGCTTCAGGCTGTGGCAAGAGCACTATCATCGCCCTGCTAGAGCGTTTCTATGATGTAACCTCAGGCCAGCTCCTGGTTGGCGGCACACCGCTGTCGCAGCTAGACGTACACCATCATCGTTCCAACATCGGCTTGGTATCGCAAGATACTATGCTTTTCCAAGGCACCATACGGGAGAATGTCCTCCTTGGTCTCCGCGATGAAGAGCAAGATGAAGCCACCGCCAGCGAACGCGTGGAACGCGCCTGCCGGTCGGCTAACATGCACGAGTTCATCCTCAGTCTCCCCGACGGATACTTGACCGATATCGGAAACCGCGGCGTAGCGCTCAGTGGTGGGCAACGGCAGCGTCTTGCAATCGCGCGGGCGCTGATCCGCGAGCCAGATCTGTTGTTGTTTGATGAAGCAACCAGCGCGTTGGATACAACGAATGAAGCGCTGGTACAGCAGGCCATCGAGTTGGTTGCTCAGGAACAACCAGACAGAACAACAATTGCAGTTGCGCATCGGTTGTCGACGATTAAGAGGTGTGACTGTATCTTTGTACTACACGAAGGACAGGTGGATGAGCAGGGTACGCATGAGGAGCTTGTCAGGAAGCGTGGTAGGTATTATGCTATGGTCTTAGCGCAGTCGCTAGATCGAGAGACATGATTGTCTTCGGTACCAACGTGGGTGTGTAGCGAGCTGCTTAGCAAGCGAGTCGTTACTTTTGTTGACACCCTATTAAAATTTGACCTACGATTGGGCAAAGTACTAGACTTTAATACTGTACAGTAGACTATAGAGCATATTATTTCGAGACCTTCCTCTTATTCTACTTATGCATCTGGAAAGTACCTATCGCCAGGTAAAATCAAAGAAAGTCCGACTCGTGGAGGTAAGTTAATACGAGATGTGCTGATCTGCACGACTGAACCTGCGGCAAGAGACGTTGCGCAGAGATGCAAGGAGGACTAGACGACCGGTACGCGTGCCCTGGCCGCTTCTTCGCTTCGGCCGAAATCAAGGCAACAATGGTTTATCCTCTAACACACTTCGACTTCAAGTTTCCAGACGGCCAGACTGAAAAAGCTTCCAGCTTGATTTCCGAGACGCAGAACTTGCCTAACCACGATGGTTGTATCATGTTCAAGAGGAGATGAACGACGCTGAACACTGCATCGTGGTTCGTTCTGTCCAGCTTCAACAAGCGGTGGAGTGTAGTACCAGCTGCAGACGCAGAGTAGTAAAACGAAGTCCAATTGACCAAGCTCCCAAAGTTTTCTCTTCTGAATACTAGTCCTACGACGGACTTGTCTATCTTCTTAAAGCACATGATGACATACTGTCGTGACGACGAGTTCGAAACAATGGAATTTGAGTCAGCTTCTGAAAAGATCCCCAGACGTGCTCCTTACACGTTGCTTCAAGTGAATTTTCCTTAGGTTTTGACCTCAGCCTCTTAGTTCCGAGAGATTTCGAGATAGTACACAGTCCCGTAGAAGTTCGATTACATCAATCAGGTGCAGTCAACTACAGGCATTTTGTATTCGGCCATTGAGACTTTACGCTCTCACCTTCACAATCACAACCTGATGGGCCCTGCGAGCAGATCAACGGTGAATTGATGATGCGTTGAAGAGATCTTGAGTTGTCTAATTGAAACGTGGCAGTAACAAAGGATCCTTCAGCAATCGCTCCATGGCCTCAGTGCAGATATGTACAGATACATCCACCCCATTATCGGTCCAAGAAGGCCGAGATCCAGATGAAGATTCTCCGGAAGTTGGGGGAGCTTCTTTGATGAGAACGATGCCGTCCAGGTTCGGCACAATGCCGTCCGCGTATCGGATGCGCGAGCCAAGACCGAAGTCGACATCGTAGATGCCGGCGCGCGCCCAGGTTGTCACCAGGATATGACGCCGGCCAAGGAATGCCTGCCATATACGCTGAGGAGACTTCTCATATGCAGCGCTATGCAGATGGTCTGCGAGATTTGCTGGGTCGCTGACAGTGGAGATCGTATGCCGGATTTTTCGGGCGATGGGAACCATCCCTGCGGCAGCATCACTTGATTGTTCGTAGCCAACCTCGGAGCCCGGCAGCTCAACATTCATCATGACGATCGGAGAACCCAAGAAGTCTTCACCCAGCTTGAAAGCGGGTCGAATGCCAAGTACAAGATCGCAATGGACAGGGCCGTCATCCTTCCCGAGTTGACGTGCGCGCACAATGCAGGACCAAATGTGTGCCAACACGGCGTCATGCTTGCTGATCCTTGGGCCGTTACCGTCAGTACCCTTCCTAGCTTCGTTCCAGAGGAAATTGATCTGCGTCGTATCGAGATGAATAGTATAGTCAGCAACAGGCGCTTTAACATCCCACTCAGCCCATGGCATAGGCTTGCCAGCTGGTAAGACCGGTTTGGAGGCATCGAGGAATGGCGCAGGAGGCTCTGCCGGTGCAGCCCACCAATCGTACCTGTGTAAGGGCAAACGTTGCGTTCTTCCAATAATGGCTGAGTCCGGCTCCCCGGCATTGATGTCTCCTGCAGCAAGGTTGTCCAAACGAGCTGGTTCAAAGATGGGAGTCAGAACTGGGGCAGTCACGCCCTCGATGATGGCACTACTCACACTGGCCCAGTCATTGACGAAGCGGATGAGGCCCGTGATGTCCGCGAAAGGATGCGCCGTTTTAGCAGCGAGGACAAAACCACCATCTGACAACGTGGTGCATTGGAAAGCCATGATCGGCTTGCGCAGTCCCGTCGTGGCATCGGGCTCGTTGTGTTGTAGAGCATGCGCAATGTCGACAGCAGGCACAAATCTACCGAGATTGTCGTCTTTGCGATTCCAAAGTGGCTGAGTCTTGACGCGCTCTGTTTGGTAGAGTGAGTCCGTAGTGGCAGAGCTTGTTGCTGAGATGAACTCCACCCCAACGTCTGCGGACGTCCCGAAGTGCGCGTACACGCGGCCGAAGCGACGGGCGTGCGCTGGGAACTCTTTCGCTTCAGCTGAGACCAGCGCATCGTCGACGACAGCAATGGATTTCAGCTGGCCGGTCCATTGAGGATACGAAGTAAGCGTAGTGCTGAGTGTTTGGCGGAGGTGCACAGCGACATTCATCACATGCTTATCATTGAGGGGCTCGAAGAGCCATGTAGCGTTTGTAAGAGCAAAGTTGGCAGTAGTCGCGTCCAGGAGCGATAGTGGAATTGCGTGTTCATGCTGCGTTGACTTCTCAGGAAATACTCGTTCCGTCGTCGTGATTTTGACATCCACCTCGGACGGCATAGTTGCGGCCGACGTGATAGGGTCGATATAGAGTTTCCGGGTGCTGCTCAGGAGCTGTATTGACGATGTTTACCCCTCAGCCGTCAATGAGTGGTTCACTGCCGGCGTCAAAACCCCGACGAGAAGTCGAAGGACATTGTCGCAGTCAGATCGAGAAGAGGATCCCAGGGCCGAAAGTGGGGCCTCGGCCTGTACCGAGCAGGGGGTTATCCGAACTCTCATTATGGATTGAATCCGGTAGGATCCAACATAGACCGAAAATGATTAAACTCCATCAAAGCTTACATGTTGATGTCGTTCCTTGTTGCGGGATTTTCTGGGAAATGATCAAGGTATCGAAATACCTGTTGGGATGAAGCTCGGAATTGTTGCTTCGGTGAGCTTCCCAATCATTCACCATTTGACTGCGACATGAGATGATGACTTGATCAGGTGCTAGCCATTTGGCTGCTATACAAGCTCTGAATTTGGTGGGTTCATTCTCTGAGAAAATTTTCAGGCCCGGTGTCAGCATCGTTCAGCAATGCAAGTCCTCCATTGAACGACGCGCGAGCTGGAAAGAACTTGCTTCTGACAACAGTTGCATAGTTTCTCTTCTCAGGGAAGTTTATGACAGGCAGAAGGCCTTATTGGGAACTTGAACTTCATGAGAAATACGGTAATTTCACGCCTTGCTGTCCTCTCCAGAGCGTGTCTCAACAATAGCAGGACCTGTTGTTCGCGTTGTACCCAACGTCTTCCATTCACACTTCCTCGCGTTGTTCCTCAGGGTGGATGCACTGTTGATGGTCATTTTCTACCAGCTGAAGTACGTTTACCTACGAAAGATAGACGTTCCCCTTTAAATTTCTTCATCTAACGCAGACCTACAGACTGTTGTTTCTACAAGCTCTTTCGCGGCAAGTATGTCGTCAGCTAACTTCAAAGAGCCCTGGAAGTTCAACCCAGAGAGATGGATGGGTGAAAACCCCACCGATGACCTCGACGCAAGTCAGCCGTTCTCGTACGGAACGCGGTCCTGCATGGGACGGAGGTATGGCCATTTGTACATGCTCATTGTGCGATCGACTGCTGATATTTATAGTCTTGGCTGGATGGAGCTTCAAACTATCGTAGCGAAGATCATCTACCGGTACGACATGGAGTCAGTTGATGACACTGTTGACTGGCATCGTGATTCGAGGATGCATACTCTCTGGGAGAAACCTCCTCTGATGGTGAGATTGAAGAGGCGTGCGTAGTAAATGTACAAAAGCCAAGCACCAATAATCGGAAAGTAGTCAAAGGGTAGGTAGGCAGGAGGAAATTGATTACTAGCTTCTAAGGAAAAGAATGCAGAATGTACTAAAAATTAGAGTAAACAGGTAACTCAGCTATATGAACAAAGAGATCGACATCAATTCATGGCTTCCGTTGACTATTAATCGAGATTACTTACGCGCATGATATTACTCGACAGATTACACTGTAGATGGAGTGGTAGTTTCGATATGCCAAATCCTGTCTGATGGATTCTACACGCTTGATATACTCCAGGCCTCTCGCTTTCTTCTCCAGTAGGGCCCAACCATTCGATGTTTCTGGCGGCATATACGGTCTGGCAAATCTAATTGCGTGTGTTCATCTGCAGCAACGAGTCCTTTCGACATCTTTGATTTTTGGGTTCTTTCACTTCTGTTCGGGACCTGTCGCAGTACGAACCAGGTACCAACTCGCGATGGTCTAATCCTTCGGTTGTCGGCACTTGCATCCTTGGAACCCGTACATGACAACACGTCAAGCGGTTGGTTCGCGGGTGTGGCGCGATGGTCGATAAGCGATAGCGTTGCCAGAACACGAGATGCCCGTAAGTGCTGCTGTTCGTTTTGAACGTGGCCGGCGAAGACCTTGATGTAACGCAAGTTGAAGAGACACCCTGCATGAATCAGAAGGGGTGGGTGCCAAGACACTCAGCAATTGTTACTCGGGATCCAGGTCGCACTTTCCTCAACAAACCACACACGACCACAACCACTCAAACGGAGGATTGAACGAGTCGACCGTGCCGTCAGCGTCCGCCAAGAAACGTAAACCCTCCAACACAGCCATGCTACTCCACTTTTCTTAGACGTTGCAAGTTGCGTGCGGCGGCAATCAATCGTGGAATGCGTCGCTGTACTGAGGATTAAACTGCATCGCCGGTCATCTTACCTTTGTCATGCACTCTCAACAGAGTGATGACGGGCGCCACGGATACCGACGCGGGTGTACCTTGTTCGCGTACAGCCAAGTGAACCTAACAGCCCGAGCGCAATGCAGTTGTGCGAACTCGTCTGAATAATCGTGACTTCAAGAGGTTGTGCAATGCTCTAGCGCTGACGAGGTTGCGAACAGTAGCACTCTTTCCGGAGGGTACCGCACCTGCGAGGGAACGGCCACCAATCTCGCTACCACAGACAGCGGGAAAAAGCGGGTAGACTGCTCGAACGGGCAGGCTCAGGCACGCCCAAGGGCGCCTTGCAGTTTGCCTCTCCGCGTGCAATTCCGTTCTAGAGGCGGGCTAATTTTAACTGATTGCCTGTCTCTAGCGGTCGGCAGCGTGGCCCACCGGCGAGTGCAGATTGGGCCCGGCAGCCAAGACCCCTGTCGCAACCACGGCGCCAGGGCTCAGCGTGCCACCCTTTTCCAGCAGCCTTCATCAGTGTCTCTGTGACACCAACCCGACCTCCCGCCCGCTGTGTACCGCCAGGCCTGCGCCTCCGCTCCCTGTCTATCTGTCCTCTCGCCGCCAGAGCATGCGCGCATAGCCTGATCACCGGCCACCCGTCGCTCGCCAGCACCACACATCGCCGCCATGGGTACGCGACCCCGACTGACGCGAAGGCGCCCGCGAGCGCCCGACGCAGACTTTGGCTGACAGCAAGGCAGTAGAGAAGCGCCCCTCGACCGACGGCCTCGTCGACAATGTCGACCCCCGCGAGAGCACCGAGTTCGAGATGGAGGAGCTGCCGACATACGAGAAGCCCGCCGAGCCCTCGCCCGTGTCCCTGAAGGACAAGATCATCACCTGCTTCTGGATATCCGTCAACACCTTCTCGACTCTGGGCCTGATCTTCCTGAGCAAACGGTAGGCACCCCGCAATCCCGCAGATCCGGACTTCCGCTGACAGCCTGCAGTGTATTCAGCGACCCGCAGCTCAAGCAATGCCAGTTGATGGTCGTCATGTGGCATTTCACTGCCACTGCCCTCGTCCTGTTCCTCTCCACCCTCGGGCCCTTCCGCGCCTTCAAGCCTGTTAAGCTTAACATCTGGCACATGATGCCCGTGTGCGCCTTCTTCGCCGGCTACGTCGTGCTCGGCAACCTGAGCTTGACGTTCAACTCGATCGGCTTTTACCAGCTGTCCAAGGTCATGACTACGCCGACCGTTGTTCTGATCAACTTCATCGTTTTCCGCAAGACCGTCACCCGGTGGATGCTCGCAGCCATCCTTACAACCTGCATTGGCGTTTCGTTCACCATGGGCGGAGAGGTCAAGACGGCCTTCTTCGGCGTCATCATTGCGACTCTCGCCTTCTGCTCGACTGCTCTGTACCAGATCTGGATCGGCAAGAAGATTGAGGACTTCAAGGTTTCGCCGCCGCAGCTGCTGCTCAACCAGGCGCCCATCTCCGTGTGCCTGCTGATTCCCTTCGTGCCCTTCTTCGACACCATCCCCGACCTCAGCGTCGTCCCGACGAACCTCTTGTGGTCCGTCTGCGCATCCGGCATCATGGCCTCCATGTACAACTTGTCGCAGTTCCTGATCATCGGCCGCACCTCCGCGCTCACATTCAACATTGTCAGCCATCTCAAGACCATTCTTATTCTGTCCATTGGTTGGTACAGCGAGGGCAAGATCCTGAACCCGCGCGAATGGCTCGGTGTACTTCTGGCACTGGGTGGCGGCTGGGTGTACTCGCACCTGGCGCTCAAGGCCAAGGCACAGGCCAAATAGACGCCTGCTGCACAGCGACCTGCGGCACGCGGACGGTTCGCGATACGCAATATGGCGTACAAGCACACAGCTTGCTGTACACTGAGATGTGCATTGGGCGGGGTTCGGTGTTTCTTACGTTTCCAACGCGCTCTTCTTTCGACCCTGACATGGCTTGTTTGAATATGAATGTACAGCGGCACAGCGGCATCGGAGCTTATTCTTTTCCTGTCTGATCTCACGGCGACTTTTAAGACGACACCTTATAGATCGATGCGGCGACACGGGGTTGGCGGCCGATTCTTCTTTTTACACGGCTTGGGCTTGCACTTTCGGCGCACTGGCGTGATGCTCGGCTTCGGCAACCGATATTATGTAATTCCACGCTGCGAATGTTGATGAATGAACTCAATTGAACTGTTCGCACGCAGTACCTGGCGCAGTGCCGTTGCAGATCTTACCACATTCGTGCACGGGTGTGATGTGTGCACTGTGTGCGCAGCACACACTCCTCGTCCGACCGAACCGACCAGCATTGCGATCGCCCAGTTTGGCACCGAAGCAGCGCTCTCCCGCTTACAACCTAGCGCCTCGCGAATCAGCCTACGCCAACAATCGTCGCCAGCAACCTTTGAACTCAGCCTCATCACGTGCCCACTCGACGACGGCTAAGCCTCCAACGCTGTCTGTAGTTCGCGACCGACAACACCGTCCCAATTCGCCAGCGCGCTCGATGTGTGCGCTTCACAGCCCTTCTGGAAGCGCGCTAGAATGTCTCGCTCAGGATATGATACAGCGGCTAGTTGACCGCGGTGCGTAATCTCACGCTCGATTACTTCCTGTTCGGGAAATGGTCTGAGCGTGTGACGTGCCTGGGGTGCCTGACTGTGGACTTTTGGGGCAGTGATGGAGACAGTCTTCGACTGGGACGGAGAGGGGTATATAGAGGGGAGACATGGCGGTTCCGTGGTAAAGTAATTTCAGGGTCGATATCGAAGCGTCACTTCTTCTCGGGTTTTTGGATCATCTACGTGGCGCATATCACACACGTCGTAGATCTCAACGTCTTCACATCTTATACCTCGATTATCGAATCTCGAATCTCGAATCTCAAATCTCAAATCTCGAATCCGAATCCCCACATCTCAAATCCCATCTCCGCTCTCAACTAGACAGCACCACATCTCAATCCCCAACCACCACCACCCATCACCAACAACCTATCCAACACACAAAATTCCACCCATCTCACCCATCTATACCGCGCACCGCACTCGAAACCCCAACACCCACAACTACCATGGGCTGCACACCAAGCCGCCCCAAGTACGCCCCCCCGCCCTCGAGAAAACAAATGCGTAAACGCCGCCGCGGCGGTGGAGAGGAGGCGTTGAACGCTGGGTGGGGCGTTGTGGAGGGGTATCATAATTATCATGGACATCACGGGCATCACGGGCATCATGGAGGGTATCATGGACATCATGGAGGGGATGGAGGGGGAGGAGGGTTCTGGGGAGGCGATGGTGGGGGTGGGGGTGGGGGGTGTGGAGGGGGGGATGGCGGGGGCGGTGGAGGAGGAGGTGGATGCTGAGGGAGAAAGTTGTGGGGGTTGAGCTTGGAGGAGGAGGACGTCACTGAGGATAGTGGTTGCTAGAGATTGTGATTGATGAGTGCTGGAGGTTGTTAGGGTGTGTAGCTGTTTGAAGATGTGCTCGATGACAGGGGGTGGAGAATGTCAAGGCGGCGTTGGGGTGGTGTATATATCTGGCTGTATCAATATAGTAGTCTTCACGCATGACGGTTCACGCATGTGGGTGTTGGTGTGAAACAATGTATTCCTTTACCGTGACGCCTTTGCCCATGCTCGTGGGGGCCGATCTAAACCGTGCCGCCCTGGGTATCTAAAAAGAAACCTTGAAACGCCAACCGGGAAATTCTGTGTAAGTCATGGCGACTATACACAACCAAAGAGTGCCTCAAAATGTACCGCCGTGAAAGTTGGAACGCGAAAAGAGTTGCTGATGCCGACGATGCCAGAGCGGAAGGACAAGCCGCACTCAGTACAGCTTCTCCGCGCCCTTCTTTTTGGTAAGACCACCATCTGCATACAGATGGAAAGTGTTCTTCTCGCCGTTGGTGTAGTAGCACTTCATGCTTACGATTTTCTCGGGACAAGTCGGGTCACTACTCGGGAAGTGGACGGGCTCACCGTCATGGTGACTGGAGGTTATCAGTGAAGTCTGCGTCAAAGAGAAGGCACTACAAACTGGATCTTGACTTTGGCCAGCGTAGACTGCATAGACTACGCGGTTGTTAGTGTCTCCGCACAAGGAGACAGTGGTGCGTGCTGACCGTCTCGGCAGGTCCTCCAGGGCGAGTGACCTTTTCGGCGTGCTCCTTCCAGTGATCCTTCAGATGTTGGAAACCAACACGCTGAAAGAGACGACCTGCGGTGGTGGAGAATGTACGAACGCTGTTCATAGGTATTGAGGACTTCTTGCAGATGAGCTACGATTCTACAAAACGGATCCAAGTTTGAACAGTGTGAAAGAGAGCACACAACGATGTGCAGTGTGGTATTGACTTACAGAGCGTCTGTTGAAGACTGAGAGTTCGTAACGGTTTCGATGTCCTTCGTAGGACTTAGACTTGATTGAGCTGTTGGTATGTACCTGCTATAAGAAGAAGGTATGGGTACTAGCTATCGTGACTTTTTATCTACCCGGGTACCGTAGCAGGCAGACAGCACGCTAAAGTCATTAGCACAATGAACAAACGGTCAAGGGCGGTATCTGGGAGCTTGAGTGAAGGTACGGCGACAGACCCAGGGTCGGAACGCGCCCTTCACTGCGGAGGCATAGGCGCGTAATGCTACAGGTATAGTGAGCCATTGTGACAAGAAAGAGCTAGAAGTTCTGCTGTCAATATACATCAAGGTAGCGTATGTTTTATGACTCTCCTTCGTTCGACTTATGTCGCGTCTTTCCTCAAGACCAGGTGTATTCACAAAAGATTTAAGTTGAGGAAAAGAAACGTTATACTATATTTGCTGACACCAGATTCAGGTGTTGCACGCCTTGAAATCTCATCGACATCTACACGCAGTCTTTTGCCTAGCTCTGCTCGAGGCTGCGTTGTAGCGCGTCACTGCAAGTGGAGTGAAGGTAGAATGCCAAGCCGCGCGTGCCTGATTACAAGCGACGCGACCCTGCTGATTTCAACGTTCCACACTCTGCTCTAACACAACACCACCACTCAATTCTTCAACCAATCGATATTCCAACATGGGATCCATCTTCAAGTGTCTGAAGAACTTGTTCCGCCGACCACCATGGCCCAAGCTCAATTTCCCGGTTACCGGCTTTGAGACCATCAGCGAAGAGTGTCTCTTAGAAGAAGAAAGGCTTCCGAGTTTCAGAAAGACAGATTATTACCCTGTGAACATCGGCGACGTCTTCGCCTCTCGATATCAGGTCGTGGGAAAGCTCGGCTTTGGCGTGACTTCCACGGTGTGGCTGGCACGCGACCTCCCGTAAGTTGCCTCACAACATCTTCACTGCCAGCGCCTTGACGATCACAGAATGCGAAAATATGCCACACTGAAGATCTACAGACGGTACCAAGAAGACGCCAAAGAGTCCGAGATCTACAAGGCACTCAGAGATGGCGATACGAAGCATTGGGGCTACCAACATATCCGGACTGCCCAAAACACGTTCAAGATTGCGCGACCAGGAGGCGATCATTTGTGTCTTGTTCAAGAGCCAATGGGCGATAGTCTTAGCTTTTTCCAGTCGCGGATTGCCAACCGTCGGTTTTCAGTAGAGCTGCTTCGGATGTCGCTCGTAAAGCTCTTCCTCGCATTGGACTATCTTCACAATGAGTGCAAGCTAGTACACACCGGTCAGTACTCACGGAGATTCGACATTTTCACTATCTAAACAATGACAGACATCAAGCTTGACAACATCTTCCTTTCGATCTCCGATAAGGGAATTCTTGAAGATTTCGTCAAAGAGGAGATGTCGAATCCTAGCGCGAGGAAGCTGGGCGAGTATCCAGTGTATGCGTCTCGTGGCTTCAAATATCCGAATGGCTTTGGGGATATCAAGCTTGGAGATTTTGGTGCTGCCGAACGAGGAGACAAGAAGCAAACGCACGGCGTACAGCCGGCACAGATTCGGTGCCCAGAAATCCTCTTCGACAGGGGTTGGAGCTATCCTGCAGACATATGGAATGTGGGTGTCCTGGTAAGTACCTTGCTTTCGAAGAGGAGGAAGATATACTGACCGAGTAGGTATGGGAGCTTTACGAGAACAAGATCATGTTCAGCGGTCAGCACCCCGACGGAAGCGGGTATGCCGCACTCGCACATGCGGCAGAGATGATCGCAGTGCTCGGTCCACCTCCCAAGGAATGGCTTGCAGATGATCCAAGAAACAGCCAAGTTTTCGACGCTGAAGGTAAGAAGTCTTTCTCGAAATTTCTCAAAGGTATGGTGAGGCTAACCCGTCACCCACAGGCCAGTGGATCGGTCAAGTCCCGGTCCCAACGGATCGGAAACTGGAAGATAGGGAAGAGAATCTGACCGGCGACGAGCAGAAGGAATTCCTCGACTTCATGCGATGCATGCTACAGTGGAGACCGGAAGACCGTATGACTGCGAATCAACTGGTCGGTCACCCATGGCTCAAGGCTAAAGAGCTTTTGGGCATAGTACCAAGCTGATTACGGCCCCTATGGTCGCTCACCCATGTCCGGGATCGAATATCCGCGCTCTCCCCGAAAGACAGGAAAAAGTCAAGAGTCAACGACTTTTATGAAGTTGAGACAGAGTTGTGCTGTTGCTTGACTCGACGCAAGGCCTAAAGTTCTTTTGCTGTAGCAGATCAACCGCAATCGGGAAAGCGCAAGGACAACGTTGCCCAGGGGCAACAATGAAGTAACCATTTCCTGTCTTTATCTCCACGACGGTGGACCTCAAAAGCCGCAGGCTTTGAGTAAAATAGCATGATTAAAGACTCTAATGCAAGATCTTGAATCGAAAATCCCCCAGATGAGCGTGAAGTGGGTCCCGCGTTACCAGATGGGGAATGGCGCGTCGGCAGTCCCGCGCAGTTTAATCTCCACAACACAGAATCCAGAGCTGAGATCGAGGCTATCGTGAACAATAGGCCCTCAGCCTCAAGTCCAGCCAGGGTGCACGGGTAGGGGGTCGAGCTGCGCAAGGCTGCCCACGACGCTGTGACTCTGGTGATTCTGGTGAGTATATGAAGGTAATGTAGGCTCGCCATTTACTCAGTGTGCGGCATTCACTCTTTCGCTGTCCAGCTCCAAGTCAATCGCTATCGTCAAGACACCTCCACTCTTTAGGTGCTCATCTCGTTATATTTATAGCTAATACTCTAATAATAATGTTCACCCGCTCTCTCATCCTCCTGGCTTCGGCCGGCGCAGCCGTCGCCCAATTGGCGCCCGAGTGCGAGCAAGTCACGGATGTGACTGCTCTTCTCCAGGCCGACGACGGCAGGGCGTACTGCTCGTCCATCCTCAGCGTCGGCACGACTACTGAGACTGTCGTCGAGTCAACTACGACCACCGAGACAGCTACCATCACCACGCCGACCGAGGTCACGCTCAGCTTCACCACGACGCAGACCGACACCATCAGTGAAGGCACCGCGACCGAGACTGCTCCCACTGCCACCGAGACCGAGACTATCTCGGAGTCCACGACTGTCTACTCGTGCACCACCGCGCTCAAGCGCCGTGACTACGGAGAGGCGCAGTCGACTTCCTGCACCAAGAGCAAGACGTCCAGCACCCCGACACCGACCTCTACTCCGTGCACCAAGAGCAAGGCCATCGTTACTCCTACGCCAGTCAAGACCTCCACTTCTTGCACCACGGGCAAGCAGCACCCTACCTCTGTCGCCGCCTATGGCGCTGGCCAGCCGTCTGCTCACCAGCACGGCGCTGCTCCAAGCGCTCAGGACGGCTACTACGCCCCTGGTTCTTCCCAGGGCGCTTACCCTTCGCACCCGGCCGTTTCGAGCGCTCAGGATGGCTACTACAGTTCTGGCTCTTCCCAGGCTGCCTATCCTTCGCACCCAGCTACCTCGAGCGCTCAAGAGGGCTACTACGGCTCCGGCTCTTCCCAGGCTGCCTACCCCTCGCACCCGGCGGTCTCAAGTACTGAGGAGGGCTACTACGGCTCCGGTCCCTCGAAGGCTGCTTATCCCTCCCACGAGGCTAGTGCTGGATACTCTATGCCCTACCAGTCTGGATCTGCCCCCAAGCCCTACCCTTCGGCTGCGAGCGGTTACTACCAGAACTCTAGTTCTGCTGCGTACGCTGCTTCGACTGGAGCCATTCACTCCTCTGCCTACTACAACTCGTACCCGGAGTCCAGCTCGGCGGCTTATCCTGTCACCTCGAGCATCTACGAGCAGATCAGCTCTCTGCTCAGCTCTTACGCCAGTTACCCAACTGCTTCGAGCTCAGCTGATATCCCTGAGATCTCTAGCTTCTCCTCTTACTACTCGAGCGAGATCGTCAGCTCTTCTGAGATCGTCAGCTCTTATTCCAGCGAGATCATCACCTCCTCCGAGATCTCATCGGAGATTATCACGCCCTCTCCTACTCCCACCCCCACTCCTGTCCCGTCCTGCGATGCGGCACCTACTGCTGTCCAGACCGGCTATGAGTGTGATGCCATCTCCACTGCTTGTGGTTGCTTGGGTCTGACATCTGCCAACGCTCAGGCTACCAGCACTAGCACCATTACTGAGGTTGCCTACATTACTGAGGCGATGCTCATCACCACCAGCACTCAACTGACCGAGACTGTCTTCACCACTGTTCCCGCTGCCACTCAGACCCTCACTCCCTCCGTCACCGTCACTGTTACCGCCACTGCCACTGCCACTGTCTGCCCCTGCAGCGCCAGCCAGTCCCTTTGCGGCACCACACCCGACACCTGCAGGGACCTTCAGTCTGACCCCAACAACTGCGGCACCTGCGGTAACGTCTGCGGCAGCGGCGCTTGCTCTGCAGGAAAGTGCCTTCCGTGCGTGCCCCGCAAGTGCGGCACCTTCGCCCTCGGCCGCTGCAACAACGCTGGAACCTGCTATTGCTTGACCGGCAGCTCAGGCCAATCCGTGTGTTCTGATCTTGGTAACGGTAACTGCGGCTCGTACACCAGGTGCACCGTCGACGCCAACTGCGGCTCTGGCGAGATCTGCACCACGGATACTTGCTGCACCGGCGGCGGCATCTGTGTCAAGAGCAATGTCTGCGGTAACGGACAGAACACGAAGAGGCTGTTTGCTCCCAGGGGTAAGGGATCCCTTGGTAAGAACGAGGTTCTCGGCACGTTCTAGATCGGGGAGAACGAGGAGGTTGTCATGTTGCGAGATGGAGGGGAGTTAGAGATGGAGTGTAGAGATAAAAATTAGAAAATCATACTTACACGCCGCTTCTCATCTGCAAATCTAGAGAATAATACTGGGCTAACATTATCTTGTTCTAACGCTAATTGACAACGTGTATTTAGAGATTCATACTCCGATACCAGGCTTTACAAAATGCGCGACCTGAGTTTACCTTACCTCACCTTACCTTATCATACTCACTCATCGAACAACGAATCAAAGCTGTCATCGCTACTCTCGCCACTCTCTACAGACTCACCCTCCACCTCTCCACCCGCTGGGATCTCACCGTCATGCACGTGCTTCACGCGCTTAGTCTCCTCTGCACTCACCATCTCATCTCCATCCTCGGTCATCTTCCGCTTCTTACTCGGCGACGAGGACGTCGGCGAGGCGACTGACGCCGCGCCTGGAGACGCAGGAGGGTTGTTATGCGTCTCGGGTGCAGAAGCACTAGGCTCAGGCGGGGGGACAGTGGGCTCAGACACAGATAGGATCGATGTCGGAGCAGCAGCAGGGTGCTCGGTGGGCGAAACTGGGGATGTGAATTTGCGCTTTTTTGAGGAGGGGAGCTCAGTTTGAAGGTTCGAGGGTGTCTCCGGGTTCAGCTGGGGCTCTGTCGCGGTGAAAGAACGCTTACGCTTTGCGGGAGGAGTGGGATGTGAGCGAGATGAGTAGTCCTCGACGGGGCTGCTGGCGCCGTCTTGTGGCTCATGTGTTGTAGAAGCAGAAGAGGTGTCAGGGAGCTCTTGTTCGGGGATGGAGGTCGCAGTGATGGCTTCTACGTGGGTAGAACGCTCTACTGTCATCTCGCCTTCGCTTGAATTAACCACTGTCGTGGTCTCTGTCACTTCAGTACGCTCGACCGACGTTTCCTGCTGCTGGACCTCGACGGCCAGAGTCGTGGTCTCGATAGTCGCTTCTTTAGCATTACCACTCTCATCGCCTGACACAACGATCGTATCCGTTTCAGTGATCTCCACACTTACTTTCTCAGTATTTAACGCGTCGCTCGGCAACTTAACCTCATCCTTGGTGTCGTGTTTAAGATCATTCTCCGCGACGAACTCGTCCGACTTAGACAACTTACCATCTTCCGCTTTACTTTCGGTTGCAGGTTTCTCGCCCACCTCTTTGCTAGCTGTAGACGGCTTGTCGGGGAGTCCAGGCTTCTCTGTCTCACTTTGAGATTCTCTTCTAGCCTTCCTTGCTGCCAAAAGATCTGCCAACGACATTTTTCTCCTGATCTTCACCGGAGTCTTGAGCTTAGGCTTGACCTTTTTGGTTGGCTCGCTACTGTCAGATTCCTCTGATGAATGCTCGACGACACGGCGTACAGGCTCTTTTGGGACGCGTCTGACTGTCTTGGAGCTCTTTGTCTTCCTAGGAACCTCTTCGGGAAGCTTATTCTTAGGGAGTTCAGGCGCGCCAGAATTTTCGATCAACCCACCAAATAAGTCGGCCTCCAGATGCTCATTCTCTTGTGTATTGGCTCTTTCTTTCTGCTCTCTAGCAGCTAGTCTGTCCTTCTCGTCCTTCTCAGCTTCGGCAACACGGATACCTTCCTTTCTGCCATCGGTTTTGATCTTTTTGAGCATCTTCTGATCCTCCTTTGATAGCACTGATGCATTGGACTTTTCTCGCTCGATAGTCTTCTGAACTTCCTTCGGTGTATTCCCAGCTGTCTTTTCGCTCTTTGGCGATTCATCCTCAGACCTTGCAGTGATTGGAATATCTACAGAGGTGCTGGCGCCGTTAGCCTGACGTTGTGCCTCTGCGCGCGCGAGAATCATCCTTTCAATCCTGGCCTGATCCGCCGCCTTGCGTTCGTTCTTCTCTTGCATCATCTTGCTCAGCCGAGCTATCTCGGCTTCTTTGCGCATTCTCTTCATGGCCTCTTCTTTTCCATGGCTTTCTTTGGCCGTCTCACCATCCGCACCAAAGGAAATACCGGTATCACCCATCCCATGTATGTCGAGAGAGCCGAGCTCCTGCTCTAAGCGCGCACGAGAGGGCATCTCCGTTCTCCCGGTACCATGCTCGCTCTCTTGCCTCCTCACGTCCCAGGACTTCATATCGTGCAGTCTGTCATTCTCTCTTTCTAACTCACGATGCATGCGCCTTGCGAGCTCTCGAAGACGGTCGGACTTCGTTCCGCATGCGCAATACTTGTGTTCTTGTGCTCCATTTGCGAAGTATCTCTGGTCATTCCGAGAATCAATCACCTTCAGGCGCCATCTGCGTCTACGATTGAATGGGTCAGCAAAGCTCCAGTTGCATGTAAGAAGAACGTGATTTCTCATGCACAGACTGATAGCTGTGTAGGTTTCCTCGAGCGGTATATCAGTTGTTTTTGTTGCTATCATTTTGGCTGTTGGCTGAAGGGAGGAACTGGGTTGGGCACCAGTCTTTGCCTCGTTCAAGAGACCTTTCAAGACTGAACCCTGTTTCGGAGGAGGTGGTGGCGGAGAAGAATTAGGCTGTTCTTGGGGTTGCTCCATGTGATCAGTAGTGAGAAGTCCTCCGGAGGATGCACCACTCTTTTTGGACGTCCCCTTCTTATTTTTCTTGAATATCTTATCCATTCTGCAGCGCTTCCAATTTTTTTACTGACTGGTTTGCGATTTCTTATCACGTGCTCTGTCGTAGCAATGTAACTTCTGGTTCGGCTGTGATCAGATCAATCGCTGTTTGACATCAAGTGTGCGCTGTGAGACATTATAAGTACCGACTGAGTTTTGCTGTATATGAGCCGTCTCAAAGGGGAACAGGGACAATGCGCATCGTGCGTTACATCTTGATTCTCCCTGAACATTTTGAGGCTTCCCGAAATCCTCACAATGTCGAACTTCTGAGATAACAACATTGTTTAGATGGGAGTAGTCCGGAAAGAACGGTAAACAAAGGAAAAGTCGAGGTACTGATTCGAACAAAGGTCAGTCCATTGAGAGACACCCGTCCATTGAACAACAACAAAGTTCGACTGTACAGTCTGAGCTCAATGACAGACGATAATCGACTGAGCTCTGTAAAATATTAACAGAAACGATCATTGCGGGCTCTCAGTAGTAGATGGTAAGGTGAGAAAAGATGTAGGAAAGGTCTTGGGATAGCTACACTCACGTCAGCTATCGTTGACGTAAACAGTGACCACTTATGGAGCCAGCGCGAAGTCACTTACTTGTCAGTACCATGGGATGCGCCTGCACCGTGGAGGCTGTTCCATGGTCAGGTTAGGTACACATATTGCTAATGGACATAGTGGCGGTGCCACTTCTGAATAATTGACAATAAACAAAACACAATCATTTCTCTTATAGGTGACTCAGCCAAATGAAGGGAGATACTGAGACCACTGCGGCGTCCTGTAAACATCAGCTGGTACGGCTCTCAAACTGAGAAACATCTCAACCAGCATGTACACCCTGCAAACCACATATAGCCATACCATCACCGTCATCAACCATTCTTCAACAAACTCCCCACAGCGATCCCACCACTCTTTGTAGTTCAGGGAGAGCATCAGCAGAGGCATTATGGTGCAGGCGACACTGGACCCTCTCCATAGCCACCTCTCCATCTCGGTCGGAAAAAAGAATCCCCACCCTACAAGATGCAAAGCCCCAAACAAGAGTGTGATACCGACCGTTATGCTCATGCCAGTACGCGAACTGGCACGGAAATTGCCCTGCTCATACATGAGGTCAATCCTCCCGCAACTCTTCATCCGGCCCGGTATCACTGACTCCTTCGAAAGCTCCAAAATCACCGGCTCGCGCACATCAAACGGTTTATCCCACCACGCTATATACGTGCATAGCGTGCACGAAATCATGCCCAGTGTGAATAGCTCCAGTGTTGTAGTTGGCAGGCCCTGGGCGGCGCGGCCAACGACCTGCGCCACGAACCACGTCGCCTGCAGCAGCGCCAGCGCCTTCACCGCCCCATCCGATTTACTTCGGTCGCGAATCTGAGGTTCCAGGGATGCTTCGGGCCAGCGGAGCGTGTTGGTGGTGAAGAGCTCCAGCATATCCTCATGGCACAGGCACAGTGTCTCGTCGCCGTGCTGGACTACGAAACCGCCCATGATCAGGAAGAAGGATTGCGCGAGCGACCAGCCCGGAGACTACGCGCGTCAGTAACCGCATCAAGAAGTTTAATGTGTACTGGCTTTAGCTTGCACGGCTCTTGCGTGCCAGTGGTCCCCGAGCGCGAGTACGCAGACCAACTCGGGTGCCATGAGCGCATTGAACATGTAAACCACGCGGCGCCAAAAGACGTGCCACGCGGTTTCGTTCCTACCGGGAAGATTCACATGCACGGCATTCCACGTGCACAAGAAGATAGTCGCGAGGCAGCCCCAGAGCAGACCAACGGTGCCTCGAATTTGGGGTTCAGGAGTCCAGCCAACCACGCTGGAGGTGTTCATTTTGAACAGCGAAGCAGAAAAAGCGCATTCCAGGTGACGAGAAGCAGGCTAGATTTATACTTCACGCACTGAGGCTGTATATCAAGGCTGTGTTCTCAGCCTTTGGCGGCTTTGCACGTCGCGAGTTCTGATTGGAGATGCTGTTCAGCTGAGGCAGCCACGAGAAGCGCCACCAGCGCTGCGCCCACTTTGCATGTCATAGGCTTCGTATCAGAGTTCTGCAAGAAATTTGGGAAGTTCATATCGTAGCTCAAACATTTATGTGGGGAAACGGTTACTCACGTCTGACATCATAGGCAGGGTGCCTACAAAGTCGCTTACAAATCTACTCAAGAAACACCAAGCAGGATCGACTACCCAAGCTCATGAGAAGTGCATGTGATTGGTAACGTCAGATCTTACTCTAAGCTTATTGGCCGTAATGACAAGAAGTTGATCCATATTATGCAGTACACGATGTGAAGACGCACCTGGAGTAACAGTGCAACTTGCGACTCCACACATATATTCCGGACACAGGCCATTCGACGTCTTCATCCCTACAAGCTATTCTCAGACCTATCATGCCTCCCAAACTCTTCCTGTACCCCCCCTCCCCCAACCACCACATACACCTCACTGACCAACCCCCAGCACCGGCAGCACAGGCTACATCGGCGGCTCCGTCCTGCACACCCTCGCAACCGCCCACCCCGACTGGCCCATCACCGTGCTCCTCCGCAGCGTCCCCCCGACCTTCACCTCCACCTACCCCTCCATCACCATCATCCGCGGCGACTACGACGCCACCGAAACCCTCTCCACTGCCGCCTCCAACGCCGACATCGTCGTGCACTGCGGCAACTCCGACCACGAACCCAGCCTCGCCGCGCTGCTCGCCGGTCTACGGCGCAAAACCACGCCCGCGCACCTCATCCACCTCTCCGGCACGGGTCTCGTGAGCGACTGGGCCTCGCCGGACTTCCTGGGCACCCTGAACCCGCGCGTATGGTCCGACGTCGCGCCCGCTGATCTGCAGGACATACGCAGCCTGCCCGACACCGCGCTGCACCGCGGGACGGAGAAGATGCTGCACGCGGCCGCGCGGGAGGGCGGGAACGTGCGCGTGTGTGTCATGTGTCCGCCGGATATCTACGGGCGCGGGAAGGGGCTGGGGCGGACGCGCAGCGCGCTTGTGCCGTTTTTCGTCGCGGAGGCGCGGAAGCGCGGGGGTGTGTTTTATGTTGGCGACGGGGGGAACGCGCGGAGTTGGGTCCATGTGGAGGATTTGATGAGGCTGTATTTGCGTGTTGTGGAGGCGGCTGCGGGTGGGGATGCGGAGGTGGAGAAGCAGTGCTTTGGAGAGAATGGGTACTTCTTTGCGGGGACGCAGGAGCATTCGCACATCGAGATTGCGAGGGCGGTGGGCGAGGTGTTGGCGAGACAGGGTGTTGTGGAGGATCAGAAGCCGGTCCAGATCGGAACTGAGGAACTCGACGGGATGGCTAATATCCCGAATTTTCCCAAGCTGGCGAGGTATCTGTTTGCGAGTAATTCGCGGACGAAGGCTGAGAGGGCAGAGAAGCTATGGGAGTATAAAGGTGAGGCACCGGGCTTGATGGAATGTCTTGAGGACGACGTTGTGGATTGCCTTGAAAACGGTGGCAGGTGAGGTATCTGTTGTGCTTGATGAGTGAGCCAGGGGACGTCGAAGACTGGATGTTCTCACTAGTAACATAGGAATAGCATGAACATTATTCTATAACACAGACTATTTTCTTCTCATCTCTGCCCCCCTATTCTATACAGCTGAGAGAGAACTCTCTAATCTCGATTTAACAGCACACACAGTTCGAGAGAGAAGCTCACCACCGCCCAAACCACCACACCAACCCACCCAATCCCACCGTAACACCCAAATGCCACGCCACCCCCCACGCCATCGCGAACAGATACTTCGGACTAAACACCGTCCAGATAAACAAATGCGTCCTCAGCGCCGTACAACTCGCCATAACACTTGCCAGCATAATGCCCGTAAACAGCGTCAGCAGCTTAACATGCTGCAACCACAGACCTGCTCGCGCCTTACCATCTCCATCCCCATCAGACGATATCTTAGGCTTAGCAAGCGCATGCAAGTACTCGTGCTCGTGCTGCACCCAGCTCCTCTCCTTCTTCGCCGCTGGCTGCACTTTCGCACCATCAAGCACGGACTCGTGGCCGCCGAGCAGCAGAACGCCGGCCAGGGACCAGTACACCGGGCCTGCCCAGTTGGACAGAAACACGAGGAGTCCGACGGCGAGGACGTTGTAGCCGCTGATGCCGTTGTAGGCGTTTGCGAGGTCGACGCTGGATATGCTGTTGTTGAGGCCGAGCGCGAAGAAGGATGTCTGGCTTAGTAGGAGACTTGTGAGTGTGGTTTGGGTTGGCGTGAGGGCGAGGCGTGCTTCTAGATGTTAGATCGCTGTTGGAGTGGAGAGTTTGGGAGGGGCTTACACAGGAAGAAGATTTGGAAGCGGAAGAGGAGGTAGAGAGGGATGTTCTGCGCTTTTGTCTGCGTCAAGAGGAAAAGCGTGAACAGGTCGAAGAAAGCGGTTGCTAGGTCTGTTTTGTTAGCTCTCACACTCGATGAAGGGGGGTGGGGCGACATACCGCCTTGGCCCTTGATATTCCGCTCTGCTCGCCGCGCCGAGCGCTGGTATTCGGCATACAAAATCCATGCGAAGACGAGTGCAATGCCCCCGAACACAGTCCGCGCAAGCCCAACGAGATCCATCGCTCCGACCCACGCCATCAGGGCCGGCGTTATGCTGTACGTAAGCTCGGGGGCGTCTTTCGCAGTGAATGCAAGCTTGAAAAGGAATGCTACTCCGCAAAGCGGCAATGCAATCATCGCACCCGTCATACGGTGGTGGTCCAACGGCTGCGGATCCACCTGTCTTCTGTACAAGGGGTTGCTCAGCGTGACCACAGAGCGTGCGATGTGTGCGGAGATGCGGTTCGTGACATCCAGATATGTTGTACCAATCAGCAACCACAGCATTATCGAGCCACTGCCGTGGAAGATGCCGCTTGTTACGATGTCGTCAGCGCCCGCGAATTTCTGGCCGGTCTGGTTCCATCGTCGGATGATTCTATGAACGACCAATACCATAAGGGCCGGGTGGAAGAACGCTGCGCTTTTCTTCTTGTTTCGCATACTATGCAGGAATAGAGAGAAGAACCAGCCCGACGTGATCCAGTACCAGATATTGTGCTCTTCCTCAACATAGGAAGATGCGAACATAAGCACAGCGTACAGCGCGAGAGTAAGAAAGTAGTACAAGCCAGCTGATGATAGAGGTTGCAAGGATGGAAGCGTGAAGATAGTCAGCACTGGGATGAGTGATGCGAGCGCCGTTCCGAGAAACAATCGTGGGACGTCGTAGTTGGATGCTGCGCTAGACATTATTTCTTGGGCGTCGTGCATAAACTTTGTCTGATTAGTATTCCAGATCATATAGAATTTCTCTCGACATTATGCATACTTTGTTAACATGGCTTTGTTTTGAATCGTCATCGTCGTACGCCATGCTGTTAACGATGTTACTCCACCGACAAGCAAGCTTCTCTCCGCTGTCTGAGTGATCGCACTCCGTTTTGCTGCTTTCCACAGACGGAACTTCGTCCGCGAAAGTCTGGCTTGAATACGTAGCTTCGACAATACGCTTGATCTGTCTCGCGTTCCTGTACAGCAGCTGATTGCGATCCGAATCTGACTGGTCAGTCTCACCCCATATTCAAGGCGGGAAGTATACTCACCACCATCCCAAAACGCCATAAACTCGCTAAGAAATACACCAAGATTGTTCTTCGGTACCGGGAACCCAAGCAGACCTGCCAGTGTCGGTGCAATATCGCTTTGTTCTACGGTCCTGTAATAGTCGAACTCGCCCTCTGACTTGGGTTGCGTAGGGCTCTGAATTTTCGGCCGATTTTGAGTAATCTTTGTCAGTTTCGGGCTCATGAAGACGAGCGCTGGCGATGTTTCGCCAGGCGACGAGCCGCCGTGATTACCACCTTCGTTCATACCGTGATCACCACACAGTACGAACAGTGCGTTGGCTAGGTGGTCTTCGTTTTCGATGGCCGCGTATATGGTATGTACGATTTCGTCCATCTCCTTTTGCTTGGGGACCATGTTCGGACTGCGAGAGGTCAGAACGGCAATTCGATTGTGCACCAAACATCAAATACCTCTTCGGGCCAGCCTTGTGTCCAATATGATCGAGGCCCAGGTAGTGCATGATCATGGCATTCCAGTCGTCGTTCAGCAACTCGTTAGGAACATGTCTTGTCACATTGTTGTCCACTTCGGTGAAATCCTGCGCATCTGAAATCAACATTGTATTCCAGCTACGTATTTGCGGGCACAGTAGACTGACCGAAACAAAGAAACTGCTCGTGCCGTCCGCCCGCTCAAAGAAGTCTGGGAATAGCTTCAACCACGTATCATCACCGTACATGACCAGTTTCCCCTGCTTGTCTCCAAAGCGCTTGGCCTTGATCTGAGCAAGCCAGGTATCTTGTGTCGCGAGAGTGGAGGTCGTGTCTGACTCGGCGAAGTTGAGTATCACGTCGAGGAAGGAGGGTATAGAGCCTGTGGTTATGGCTTTCACGCGTGGCATGGTGATGGTGGGGGACGTAGCGTGGGCTGTGAAGGGGAGAGCAGTACCGTCACGGATGAGGCTGTAGTACGGTTAGCAGCCGAATTATGTACTTGGGGAATCATATACCTCTGAACAAAGCTCATCCCGCTCTCCTCGCCGTAAACGAAGTCGCTCCTCAGCGCATCTACGACCATGAATATCAGCTTGTCGAATGGGGCCTCGGGAGGCTGTCCATGCTCTCCGCTCTTTCCGTGTAACGATATCTCCTCATACTCGGCAAGTCCTGGCATAAATGGTTTGTACGGGAAGAAACCAGTCGCGAAGATCAAAATAGCGGCCGGAATCAAAAGATTCGCGAGCGCGAGCAGCACCGTTCGTGGCGCCATTGCAGCAGAACCTGGAATGCGGATCTACCGGAAAGGACCAATATCTACAGAATGAACGGGTCAAAGAGCGACATGAAGTGGAAACGAAACGGCGCAGGACAGGCCATCACGGTGTCGCCAAAGACGCGACGTTGAAGCTCCAGTCCAGGGTCCGCTGATCCCTGCACGCCTCGCGCCGCTCGACCAATTGAATGACATCATCGGCACCACGTCTTCCAGAGCTTCGCATCCACACAACCTCCATGTCTCCACGCAGTCAATTGGTCTCGAAAGCCTTGCAATCCGGTTTCCATACACGCGCCCGAGTTCTCAATAACGTCCCAATCGAACGCCAGCTATCCGCGTACCTCAAGCAGCAAAATCCAGCCTCGGCAGCCCCGATGTCTTTCCTCCTCCCTGGTCTGCGCCGCGGTGCGCTTCTTGCGACACCCCTGATCCTGTCCACACCTTTGCTTGTGCGCAATTTCCGGCACGCGCAGGCCTTCCGCTGTGACTCGGCGGATCCGCTCGCGAAGCTCGGCGATGTGCGGAACTCCTATGCGCGCGATGCCCAGACACCCATTATCACGCAGTCCGGGGCGCCGAATCCAAAAGCGGTGCGACAGATTAGTATGGGCAGTATACTGGGTGTGATCGGGGGTTTGGGTATCAGTGTCTTCAGCAAGCCATTGGCCATCTTGCTTGGGTTAGGCATTGTTGCATTGCAGGTAAGTGGTTGTGCGAGAGTAGAATAGGATCTTCAGAACAGTCTGGAGACCCAATATTTGAATTTTGCGAACCTTTTGCCTTAAAAGAGGTAAATGCTGATCCATTGTCTAGTTCATCGAGTCAAGAGGCATTCACGTCATTCCGTATTCGTATCTGCAGCGCCGCTTCAAATCGACGAATGTCCGCTCACTGGTGCAGGACAACGTTGCTTTCAAGCTGTCGTTTGGTTTGACATTTGCGCTGGCCGCGTTTGCTGAATTCTAGTTTAGTGGATGTTGACAAGCAGCGCCCGTCGCTGTGCTGGCTCGTAGTCATCGCTGTGCTATGCGAAACGACCATGGCCTTGAGCCATGGCTTGCGGCTGCAGTTGCATCTGAAGCTGTTTGCAGCTCTGCCAAAAGCCCTTCACTGTGTCTTTGAACCCAGTTGAGCTCTTTGCGTTCCTGTAGATATGTCAGTGTTGAACAACTGCATCGAGATTCGATGAATTACCTCATGGACCCTTCAATGAATTTGCGTACCATCTCCTGTACTCCTGCGTCCTGTTGAAATCTCTGAAGCAAAGGCTGCTCTGCGAGGGAGCTTGTTATGTAGGCTCTTGCGTTCTTGTCTGATCGAGCAAGTGCACGCAGTGGTGCAACAATGTGCTCCAGGCTTGTGAAGTCGACTTCGCCACATACATTAGTGATCAATGCATGGGTCACTGCATATCCAAAGTGGTTCACAATATCCTGCGATGTGCCTTGATGCTGGCCATGCGAGTTGCCTGTTGACTCAAAGATGTCTTTCCAAAGCTTTGCAGATGCTCGCTTGGGCAGGACCTCGGGTGAATTGATCGACTCGATGGAGAAGCCAAACATACCCTGTAAGATGTCCGGGTGTTCCTGCGTAAGAAGGCGTAGATCCGTGTTAACGAATTGTTGGATCAGCTCGATGCAGCCAACAGCGATTTCCGGGTCGTTGCGAGGGTGCTGTAGCGCTTGCATAATGCCTAGATCATGCTGAAGTAGTCGCTGCGCTTGGACGGTGAAATCGGCAGGTCGCTTGTGTTTGTGAGACGACAGCCAGCAACACGCAGTCTCGAGTACAAATGGCAAACGTGGTGTTTGCACTGTAGTTTTGGTGATGAAATCAACGGCCGCGGATGGCGGAAGAACGAATGGACCCGGAAGGGACTCCTTGAAGCCGGTGCGCAAGACGTTGCAGGCCGACTCGATGATTTCATCGTTTCCAGGGAAAATCGATGTCAGGTAACTGAGCATGTTGATGACCTGGTTCTGGATCTCCTTGCCTGGCCCTTCTGACCAGAAGTTTGATGTTTCCGCCTTCGAGTCCGCTTCAAGATCTACAACTTCCTCGTCGAGAGCCTGCAGCGCGCGACCAATACTCGACAAACATTTCAGGGTTGTCAGTGCAAGTACCTGCCCTTGTTCTGGGTCATTTCCTTCCTTTGTGACTTTGATGGCGCTCATCGCATCGTGCGCAATATAGCCGAACAGCTGTCTGACACCAACGAGTTGCTTCTCTTCGGTGTCCGCTGACTGAACGATGGCAGCAATGCCCTCGAGGACTTTGCTCTTTGTAAATTCTTCTGCGGTCGGATAAGTAAGGAATTGCTCGTACATCTGGAAGAACGAGTCGAGTTCTCCCGTGAGCGACTTCCTGCATTCCGAGCACAGAGACGCAAATGACTTGGCCGCCGTGTGAGCCAGTGCGGGCTGAGCCAACGCTTTGAGGAGGAAGGGCAACACCTGAGGCAGGAAGCGCGGATTGCGCAAGAAGAACTGGTTGAGAGCTGCGACCAGCTCTACCGCAGATCTCCGGGTGATGGCAGGTATGTTGGCATCGCCAGACATGGCCGAGAAAAGAGGCTGCTCGAACAGACGATGTAAGCGCTCGTCATCCCGCTCCTGGAAGGCATCTGCGATAGACATCAGACAGAAAAGACCAGCCTCAAGCTCCAGCCAGTTGCCTGTCCCAAGCGCGTGCAGGGTGAAGTCGATAAACTGGTCCGTCATGACATCGCGGAGAGATTCGTAGGCCTCCATAATGATGTCGCGAACATCGATACGAAAGACCTTGAACGTCTTCTTGGTGTCTGAATCCCATCCTTTGGTTTCGCTGGGCGGAGGGTAGATTATTTTCTGTGCGAGCTCGGACACAGCCTGAAAGACGTTCGTCTTTGCAGCATCCATCCAAGAAGGCAGAGACACTCCCTCTGTGTATTCGAAAGATTCTTCTGCAATTGCGCTGACGAAACCACTCCAAAAGTCAAGCACGACTGGCGCCACGTCATCGTCTACGCCGACGGTCTCTGTGTACTTTAGTAGGTCATGCAGGAATGCTGAGATGGGTTAGCTTGCAGATTAGAGTCATATTAGGTGACAACTTACACATGACCTGTTGGTTGTGAACTGTGTCATGTTCTCTGTAAAGACTCCTCGCGTCCAACTGGATCTGACCATAAGCAACAATAATTCTGGCGAGCGAGACTGTTTCAGCATCCTGCTCTCTCAAGATTTCTAGCCCCCATGGGCCGGCTATCGCCGCCCACAGCATCTCCTGGTGCTTTGCTTCGAAGAATGTTGGATAGTTTTCCAGAACTTCTGCGACAAGGTCCATAGCATCTTCGACGTGATACTCTAGACATGTCAAAGCGAGCTCAGTGACAGATCGGAGGTAATGCAGCTTCTCTGGGACGTGCTTGAATTCGGATTGCGCATAGAAGATCCAGCCCTAACAAGTCAGCCCTGGATCTCAACTGTGCATGCAGACTCACAATGAAGGTTTTCGAAGCAGCGATGCAGATCTTTTCTCCCTGCTGCACCGAAACATCGTAGTTGGGGTCGTTGATCGGTACTGATAAATACTTGAATCCGCGTCCAAACGAAGCATGCAAAAGCGCCTCCAGACTTTCCGCATTGGCAATCATCTCATGGTGCACTTTGCGGCTAGCGAAGTCAATAAGGCAACACTAAGAGCAGGTGGTTTGAAGCTTACTTTGGGCTCGCGGAGAGCTTCTTTGCCTCATCCGCCAGGTTCATAGCAAAATCTAGCAGGACAAGCAGTTGGTCGTCGGACAGCTGGGGCAGCAGATCCCATGTTGAAGGGTGACCTTCTAACGCATCGTCGAGCACAGGCTGTTGGGCAGCAAATGATGCGATCAAGCTGCGCAGGCACAGGCTCCATACCGAGATAGGTTTGGCGAAATATTGTGCCAATGTCGAACTGACCTTGCGAGTCGCTATTGAAGACGATGGGCGTGAAACTAGATGGTGCTGCACATGATCAGTAGCTGGACAATATGTTCTGGAGGGACAAGCGTACGATAAGTGTAGTGAGCAGTTGTGCGGAATGTTCTTCGCTCAACTCATTCCTGCAACCGGTCAGTCTACAGTTGAGGTGGACATGACTGCACTCACGAGTCGGCGTTGAGCTTGACCGTCAATGTCAAAGCCCCAAAAAACCGGACCTGTTCGTCGTCACTCTTTAGAAGTGCGTCTGCAATCTCCCACCCTTGAGGCGAGCGCTGCAAGACTCGCAATGTCGCTTCTGTCTGAGTGATCTTTTTGGCGTTACCGGGATCGTAGAACGCCTTGACCAGACCCTCGATTTCGACAAAGCTTAGAGGGAATCCCTGATGCTGGACACCATTTGTAGCCATGTTGACCCCAGTCCACTACATAAAATCCATCAGCCGGTTAAAAGGAGTTTGACTACCCCTGCGCTGACAGTGATACAAACCGGCAATTTCAAGACAGCATCGACCAACCAGAGAATTTGATCTCGAGAATGTGAAGTTGAAAGAAAAGACCCGAGAGACAAATTCGCAAAGTGGAGAGAAGCATCTTACCGTACTCAGGCCGACCGTCTATAGCAAAATCGAAGTAACAGACGTTGCGGTGCTCGGCCGCAAAGAATACGCAGGAGGCAGTCGAGGATGTGTGACTAGTGGTGCTCGAGCTATATACTTCGGGCGCAGGCTGGGCTCGTCTACCTCCCACGATCGTCTGATGGACTCGCTAGTGACTCGCCACCATTCGATCGCATATTTTGCAGCGCTGGAGTCGTCGATTTCTGCAGGAGGCTGAACCACTCACTCTGTGTGTTGCAGTCTAGTAGCAGCCTGACAGAAGAAGTTTGGTGACGCGTCTTGGCGAGTCGCTCGTTTGCTCCTGCCCCGAAAAGTGACGCTAGGCCCCGCGCCGCATTGCAGCTGTACCGTTGTGGTGGGGTGCACTGCATACCGATAGTAGGCGCCCTCTATGCTTCTGCCACGATCATTGCTGCGCACTCACGCGACAGCGGCCGTGTACACAGCCAGAAACCCTCCGATCGCCACTCGACTTTTCCACGCATCTGCTGCTCTACGCGTCATTGATATGTCCAAGGTCAACACTACACGGCGGCTGGAGGAGCTGCGCAAGCTCATGAAGGAGCGCAATGTCGATATCTACAGTAATGAGGCACGGCCATGCAGCGCGGAGAGTTCGCTAACACAGATGCAGTGGTCCCGTCCGAAGATAGCCACCAGAGCGAGTACATTGCCCCGTGCGACGCGCGTCGAGGTCAGATTCCCAGCCGCCTTCGCAACACAGCTATTGATTCCCACCAGAATACATCAGCGGCTTCACTGGCTCAGCCGGCTTCGCGGTTATCACACACGACAAAGCTGCGTTGTCCACTGACGGCCGCTACTTCAACCAGGCTGAAAAGCAACTCGACGGCAACTGGGAGCTGCTTAAGCAGGGCATCCAGGATGTTCCAACCATTCAAGAATGGACACTGGACCGAGTTGAAGGAGGAAAGGTTGTTGCGGTGGACCCTCGTGTAGTCGCGGCCTCGGACGCCCGCAAGCTGGCCGACAAAATCAAGAAGAAGGGTGGTGAATACAAGGCTGTCGACGAGAATCTTGTAGACGCAATATGGAAGGACAGGCCAAGCCAGCCCAGCGAGAAGGTCATTGTGCAGCCTCTGGAGTTCTCCGGCAAGAGCTTTGAAGACAAAATCTCGGATTTGCGAAAAGAGCTTGAGAAGAGGAAGAGCTTGGGCTTTGTTGTCTCTATGCTGGACGAGATCGCCTGGTTGTTCAATCTACGCGGAAACGAGTACGTATACGGACATCATGCGGCTGTCGGCATCTCTGACATCTACCAGTATCCCTTACAACCCTGTCTTCTTCTCCTACGCGGTCGTCACACCAACCGCCGCCACTCTGTACGTCGACGAGAAGAAGCTGCCGCAGCAGGTCAGAGATCACATTGGCGACAAGGTTGAGATCCGTCCCTACGAGGCCATCTTCGAGGATGTAACCGCCCTGAGCAAGGCATCGCTGGAGGCCAAGGACGAGTCTGAGGCGAAGAAGAAGTTCCTTACCTCCAACCGCGCATCCTGGGCACTGAACAAGGCTCTCGGTGGCGAGGACAAGGTCGAGGAGGTGCGCAGTCCAATCGGCGACGCCAAAGCTGTAAAGAATGAGGTCGAGTTGGAAGGCATGCGACAATGCCACATCCGGGACGGTGCCGCACTCAGCGAGTACTTCGCATGGTTAGAGGACCAGCTGATCAACAAGAAGGCCACGCTAGACGAAGTCGATGGCGCTGATAAGTTGGAGAGCATGCGATCTAAGCACAACGGCTTCATGGGCCTTTCCTTTGACACAATCTCTTCAACCGGATCCAACGCTGCTGTCATCCACTACAAGCCAGAGAAGGGCGAATGCGCAGTCATCGACCCGAAAGCCATCTACCTCTGCGACTCCGGCGCACAGTATCAAGACGGCACCACCGACACCACAAGAACACTACACTTTGGCGAGCCGACCGAGATGGAGCGAAAGGCGTACACACTCGTGCTCAAGGGTAACATTGCTCTCGAGCGCATCAAGTTTCCCAAGGGCACAACAGGGTTCGCAATCGATGTCCTCGCTCGCCAATTCCTCTGGGCCGAAGGGCTCGATTACCGACACGGAACTGGACACGGTGTTGGGTCCTTCCTCAACGTTCACGAAGGTCCAATCGGGATCGGCACAAGGGTACAGTACTCGGAGGTTGCGCTGGCCGTCGGCAACGTCCTCTCGGATGAGCCTGGGTACTATGAGGATGGGAAGTTCGGCATCCGTATCGAGAACATGATCATGGTCAAGGAAGTGGAGACCAAGCACCAGTTTGGTGACAAGCCGTATCTTGGGTTTGAGCATGTCACGATGACTCCCCACTGCAGAAATCTCGTGGATATGACTCTCCTCACCGAGGAAGAGAAGCAGTTCATCAACGCCTACCATCAGGAGGTGTTTGACAAGACGAGCGAGTACTTCAAGGACGACGCCCTCACGCTGGCATGGCTCAAGCGCGAGACAGCACCGTACTAAGCACTTGGATAATATACTTTAGAGGAGGCTTTTTGCAGGTCATCGGCATGTAGCGGCTCAGGGCAATTGCATAGCATTGGCGTTGGTCTGACTACAATCGCAAGACGGTACTAAACTGCGAGTCCCTGCATGCAAAGTTACCTCTTCGGGCAGTTTGGTTCTCACCACCGCTGAGTCTACTGACTAAGCTGCGGCAATTCGCGGATGCCAATACCAGCAACCCCGCTATGATTGGATCCGATGTGTCAAGAGTGGTCAAAGGGCGCGGCGCAGGGGTCTAAGAGCGCGTCACATACTCCGGAGGCGTGCCCCGCCATCAGCCGCGGCGCCGAACGAGCCATTGCGGGATGAATGACCCTTGGATAGGCAAAAAATTGTTGCGATGCCGCTGCGTTGTCTTGGACCGTGGTCATCGATGCGAATTGACTCACTCACGCCAAAACCGCCTTTCTTAAACGTGTCGCGTGGTAATCTGTCTCCATCTCTCATCTTCACTTCACTTCATTCCACTTCTTTGTAGACTTATTCTCGCAATTGACGCCCGTGTCGCTGCTACCCCTCCTTCTCACTCACAATGGCAACTGAACTCCCCACCACGAACGGCGCCAGCGCGCTGGACGGCGAGAACAACTTCGCCGTCAAGGCGGGCCTCGCCCGCATGCTCAAGGGCGGCGTGATCATGGACGTCGTCAATGCCGAGCAGGTGCGTGTTATGAATTCTCCGCGGAGCTTCACCGCGGAGCCCAAGCGTGGAACTCAAACGTAGAGCTCAAGCGTGGAGCTCAACTGGTGAACACTGTTGACATGTGGACAGGCACGCATCGCCGAAGAGGCGGGCGCCGTCGCCGTCATGGCGCTGGAGCGCGTGCCCGCGGATATCAGGGCGCAGGGCGGCGTGGCGCGCATGAGCGACCCGCAGATGATCAAGGAGATCATGGACACGGTGACGATTCCCGTCATGGCGAAGGCGCGGATCGGCCACTTCGTTGAGTGCCAGGTACGTCTCTCTTACACTCACACACTCTCCCCCCTCACTCCCCCCTCGCCTTCCCCCCCTCACCTCAACCCCTTCATCCCCTCCCCCTCTAACCCAATCCCAGATCCTCGAAGCCCTCGGCGTAGACTACATCGACGAATCCGAAGTCCTCACCCCCGCCGACGCAACCCACCACATCACCAAGCACCCCTTCAAGACCCCCTTCGTATGCGGGTGCCGCAACCTCGGCGAAGCCCTGCGCCGCATCTCCGAAGGCGCAGCCATGATCCGCACCAAAGGCGAAGCCGGGACCGGCGACGTCGTCGAAGCGGTGCGGCACACCCGCACGGTCGCCGCGGAGATCCGTCGCGCCCAGGGCCTCGACGACGCGGAGCTGCGCGTTTACGCCAAGGAGCTGCGCGTCGACTACCCACTCCTGAAAGAAACCGCGCGGCTGGGCAGACTCCCCGTTGTGAACTTCGCAGCCGGCGGTGTCGCGACGCCCGCCGACGCCGCGCTGATGATGCAGCTCGGCTGCGACGGGGTGTTTGTCGGGTCTGGCATCTTCAAGTCGGGCGATGCGGCGAAGCGGGCCAAGGCGATTGTGCAGGCGGTTACGCACTACAACGATGCCAAGGTGCTGATGGAGGTGAGTATGGACCTGGGCGAGGCGATGGTGGGGATCAACTGCGGGACGATGGAGCCCAAGGACAAGCTTGCTGGGCGTTGAGGCGGGCTGGTAGCGGGTATTCGAGAGAGAGAGAAGTTTGGTTTGACGGCGTTAGACGGAAAAAATGGCTGCAATTTCAACACTGGGCTGTGGTACTCCTCTCATGAATACAGTGGATATCTGAGCATACAGACATGACGTGATGTGACGAACAGTGACTCACCAGGCGGCATCACATCCAGCACGATAACTGAGAATTTGACTTTTCATTGCGAGCTACAGAAGCGAGTCACAGAGCCACAGAAGGTTGTCAGCACCCCACCACATGGCGAGGACGTATCGCGTACCGAGCGAGCCGGAATCATGCCAACCGAAGAAAGATATGCCCGTAAGAAACCCCGAACACCGAAATCAGACCCGCGGGGGCGCGTAGCCCGAGACTGCACCGTCTAGCGGTCCTCGGCCCACTCGTTCTCGCGGCGGATCTGCTCCTCCTCCTCCGGGGTGAAATCGTTCTGGATGTTGAACGTCTTGCGGATCTCGTCGGGGGACTTGCCCTTGATCATGTTGGCGACCGTCTTGCAGCCGACGTCGAGCAGCGCCTTGATGTCGAGGTAGTTGGCGGCCTGGGTGTGTTAGCAGAGTCACCTTCGTAACGGTAAAATACGCACCAGAATAATCTCAAACAGCATCTCCTGGTCGACCTGCATGAACTTCTGGTCCCACTCGTCGATGTCGGTCGACTTCTTGCGCGAGTCCGAGTCGTCGTCCTGCGAGGCGGGCGGGTCGTTGCGGTGGTGCTCGCACCACTCGAGGACCTTCTTCATGACGGCCTCGTTGACCTGCGCTGTTAGCCGGGCCAAGAATCGGAAACAATGCGCTTACGTTGGGGATGGGGATGGCCTCATCGTTGTCGCCGCCGAGATCCTCGAGCAGATTCTTGATCAGGATCGAGCGCTCGGCCACCTGGCGGTCAACAGCGAGGTCGATGTTGTCGCTCGTGGTGAGCTTGATCTTCTGGCTGGTGGGGGCTTCGGTCGACATGGCGTGTGTATGAAAGTGGGGTAGCGGTGTTGCGGGTCGCGCGCAAGGCAAGTCGTGGGATGTGGGAGGCGGGGGATGCAAATAGAGAAGAAGCGAGAAGGCGGGCGAATTGTATTTATATCTCGGGTTCGTTGGTGAAGTGAAGTTGGGTACAGGCAACCAGCGGTTTGCTGGTGCTCCGCAGCACAAGCTCAGGCGCCAGCCCCCCAATGCGGACTAGCGCTCTTGTTGCTGCCGCGCACAAGGGCGCAACTACCTGGACGATTGTCTTTGTCGTGTCCGCCATGTGGACTTGAGTGCAGCGCAATTAAGCCGTTTGGCTAGTCATTGTTCGCGCTCAAGGGGAGGCTGGCAAACTGTGACTGTTCACCCCGACGATGCTCATCCCGACGACTTCACCCCGACGGAAGCTGCCAGAACAGGCCTTCAAGACGTGGTGGTAGGTACCCGAGCCGTTGAGATGTGGCACACGGGCAGCGAACGGGCAGCGAACCGGACATGCGGTGAGAGATGTGAATGCTATGTGAATGTTGGTCTCCATACAATCGAAGTGGTCTACAATCGATTGAAGTGATGTCGACAATCAAAGTTATGTCTACATTCAAGCTGTCTACATCAAGCTGTCTACATCAAGCGGTCTACATTCACCCAATCATGCAATCATGCACTGATGCCTCGACAAGGCGGCATGTCACACTGAAACGCCTCCTACGCTACCCGCCTGCATGCCAGGCTGCGAACAGGCACAGTGCCACCCTCACGTGACGTCGCGCTTGATGCGGCGAGCGCGCAGGGCTGACATCCGCGAGCGCTCGTCTGGGAGCGGCGTGACCAGCTCAGACGAGCGCGGGACTCGCTATACTTGACCGCGTGCCCGCGCGATGCGCGCACGCAAGCTGGCAGCCAGTCGCCGACCCTGCACGACCCCCTATCCCGCGGTGCAACGGCGTCGTTAGGACCTATCGTCTGCCCAAAGTGGCCTCACTGCAAACGCGCCGCCCTCACCCGTTTCCGCCCTCGACCGCGCCGCAACTTGAACGACGGCAACACGACGCACCGAACTTGAACGCACCGCACCGCACTTGAACGACCGCTGAACGCGCCGCACTTCAACGACCGCAACCCCGCGATGCGCATGCGCTGCTCCTCGCTCCCCTCTCGCGGCTCCCCCGAGCCTCCCCTGCCATAATGTGGCGCCGCATCTACTTCCTGCTGGTGCTGGTGCGCGTCTACTTTGCCCTGTCGCCCAGCTACCTGCACCCGGACGAGAACTTCCAGGGCCCGGAGGTGATTGCCGGCCGCGTCTTCGACTACCCCGTGCACGAGACGTGGGAGTTCACCGCCGCGCACCCCATCCGCAGCGTCTTCCCGCTGTGGCTGGCGTACGGCTGGCCCATGTACATCCTGCGCTGGCTGTGGGAGGGCTTCGGCTACGACGTGTCGCCGGCCGTCGTCTACCGCGCCCTGCGCGTGCTGATGCTCGCCCTGAGCCTCGTGCTGGAGGACTGGGCCGTCCACGAGCTGGTCGAGTCGCCGCGCGCCCGCCGCGTCGCCGTGTCGCTCGTCGCCTCGTCGTACGTCACCTGGACCTTCCAGACGCACACCTTCAGCAACAGCCTGGAGACGCTGCTGGTGTGCTGGAGCCTGGTGCTGGTGCAGCGCATTGCAGCCGACAAGGTGTGTATATCCCGCCCGCCAACAACCCCAGCTAAACCCCCAGAAACGCTCCAGCGTCGTCGCCTCAGCCATGCTCGGCTGCATGCTCGTCGTCGGCCTCTTCAACCGCATCACCTTCCCGGCCTTCCTGCTGCTCCCCGGCCTCCGCCTGCTGCCGCACTTCACGCGCAAGCCGCTCTCGCTCGCCTTCCTCGCCGCCGCCGCGCTCACCACCGCCTTCGTCGCCGTCTGCGTCGACACCGCGTCCTACACCCCGGGCGACTTCTCCTTCGCCGCCCTGGCCCGCCCCGTCGTCGCCCCGCTCAACAACCTGCGCTACAACGCCGACGCCGCCAACCTCGCCCTCCACGGCCTGCACCCGCGCTACCAGCACCTCCTCGCCAACCTCCCGCAACTCCTCGGCCCCGCCTTCCCGCTCCTCCTCAGCGCCCGCCTCGCCCCACCACTCCTCTCCGCGCTCTCCGGCACCGCCCTGCTCAGCATCTTCCCGCACCAAGAACCCCGCTTCCTGCTCCCCGCGATCCCGCTGATCCTGTCGTCGCTCCGGCTCCCGACCCGCCCCGCGCTGTGGCGCGTCTGGGTGGTCTCCTGGATCGTGTTCAACGCGCTGCTCGGCGCGCTGATGGGGGTATATCACCAGGGCGGCGTGGTGCCCGTGCAGACGCACCTCGCGGCGTGCGCGAGCCCGCCCGGCCACGCGTTCTGGTGGAAGACGTATAGTCCGCCGACGTGGCTGCTGAACGGGCGCAACGCGGAGTTGCAGACGGTGGATTTGATGGGCATGGAGGCGGGAAGGATGTTGGAGGCTGTGGGCGCGGTGGTGCCGGGGTGCGATGTCGCTTCACCCGCTGGACGTCCTGAGACCCCTGCGAGTCTGAAACCAATCTACCTCATAGCCCCGCGCTCCGCGCTCTTCCTAGCACCCTACACACACCCTAACACCTCGCTCCCCCTCTCGCTCGAGGAAGTGTTCGCCCATCGCGCGCATGTGAACCTGGATGATCTGGACTTTGGCGGCGAGGGGGTGTGGGGTACGCTGAGGAGGGTGGTGGGGGGGAGGGGGTTGGTTGTTTGGGAGGTGCGGCGGAGTTGTGGGAGGGGTGGAGATGGATTAGTGGAGGGGGTGGGGGAGGGAGAGGGGGTGCAGGTGCAGGGGGTGGAGGGGGTGGAGTGAGCCGTGCGTGTTTAGTTGGATGGCATGGCATGTGCTTGGGGATTTCGTATGTTCTTCTTCTTCGACTTCTTCGACTTCTCCTTCTTCTTCGTCTTCTTCGGTGGATTTCAGTTCCGCTTCCAGTTTCTCACAAGATACCCATTCGATACAGCTCTCGTAATCTCAATCTACATCTCGTTGTGTTCTGTAATCTCAATCTCGTTGTGTTCGATAATCTCAATCGTGGTGTCCCATAGACTCAATCCTTGTGCTCTGTAATCTCAATCGTCGTGCCCCATAGACTCAATCTCGTGGTGTTCTGTAATCTTAATCATTGTATTGTCTCGCTCCACACACTACCAGACTACCAGACTACCGGACTACCAGACTACCAATCCACCAATCCACCAAAACCCAACTAACCCTCACAAGACCCTTCCAACTCCCAACCCAACACAACCACCCAACCTACGCAGCCCTAAACCTCCCCCCGGCGAGCACATCCGTCATATTCCTGCCCCCCTCCTCGCACCCGGGAACCGGCACCGCCCTCGTCCCCTCCTCCTCTCCCTCACCCACCCCCGCCTCATCTCTCCCCACCTCACCCCGCCTCTCCCTCCCCGCCGCCTGGCCATACTTTTTCCGCCTCGCCACCTCCGTCTCGCCCAGCAACCACGCCTGACACGCCTTACACCTAACCCGCTGCCTAACCCCCTTGACCGCACCACGCGCCACCACCTCGTCCGCGACAGGCGCATTCCCCACCCCGCAGCGCCCACACGTCCAGGACATATTGCTCACATCCGTCGCACTCGGCGTCGTGAACTTACCCTGGCGCTCGGCGCGCTGCACGGGCTCCGCGAAGATGTCCTCGTTGAAGCGCAGTTTATCCGCGAACCCGACGATGCTGTTGGGAACGACGGCGGGGCGGAAGGTGCCCGGGGGTTTGGAGTTGGGTTGGGCGCGCGGCATGGCTTCTTGGATCTCCTAGTTTTCGGCGCTGTCGAAGACGTCGGCGAGTGCGGAGTCCTGGCGTGCGATGCTGGTTTGTTAGAGAGGGGGTGTGGAGATGAGGGGAGGGGGGGGGGGGGGCTTACGCGCGCGCGAGCAGTTCGTCGACGGTGAGTTTGCGCTGGAAGACAGCGGGGTCGTAGAGCTCGGCTGCGCGGTTCTTTTGCAGGTTTTCATCTCTGGGAGATCAGTCAGTCAGACATCAGCCAGTCAGTGTCTGTACACTGTTTGTTATCATGACTGGATATATACGTACGCTTCGAAAACGAGCTCGCGCGCAGCAGGGAGTTTCTGCGCAATGGTGAACAACAGGACACTGGTTATTTGGGCGTTGGCATTGATCCTGTCGACCGCCTTTGCGAGCTTCGTGTCCTCGGTATTGAGGTTTGTCGTGTTTGTCGGTATCTGGGGGCTTCTCATGGGGGCTCTCGGAACAGCTTTCCCTTTCCAGGGCTTGACCTTGTTCGCATCCTTGCGAGGGGGCTTGCGTGTGTGCGGAGATGTTTCTGGTGAGTCTTTGGAGGCGGTGAGATCATCTCGCGAATTCGCGGTGGTGGCACGGCCTTTGGCATCGCGCTTGCGGAGTCGTGCGGCTCGGTCTGAGCCGGGCGATGCCTCTTCCTAAGAGCTGGCTGACTTGATGTTCTTCTGTTCGGTTCCAATGGGCAGAGCGCCGCTCATCATGTACGTCCCGTCGTCCAGCACGTGAGTGGGCGAGACACCGTCTTCCGCATAACGAACTGGGCTTTGATCTCCTTGCTTGGTGCTGTCATTGTGCGCCTCTGAAGACTGCCCAACATCACCCACCGCAGCGTCCTTCCCAGACCCGATTCCCTCCTGCAGCTGCTCACTCAATCTCCGCTTCACGTCATAACTGCCCATGTGCATCTCGAGCCACTCCATGAACGGGCTTGAAGTCGCCATTTCGCCAAAAGCATCTCCCCGACTGGGCCCTGCATGCTTGTGCGACGCGCTCGAGCTTGTCCGACGTGTGGTCACTGTCGTCGAGAGTCCGGGCGGGGGCGACACGCGGCGTACCCGATCTGCAAGTTGAACGCCGTCGGGTGTCTGGATGCCGCTGGTGGGTGCTGAACCGGGTACATCTGACCATGGCGATTGTCGCTGTGATGGAGGCTGCGGCGATTGCGATTGTGGCCGTGGGGATCGGGAGAGGTTGGCGCGCTTGGCTCTTGTGCTGTGTAGTGAGGATCGCTGTCTGCGTTTGCGCGGAGCCATGGTACTGGACGGTGCTGTAAGAATATGCGTTGGTGGTGGTGAATGTTTGTTCAACGGTGTAGCAATATTTGCAGTATCAATGCTGCGGATCTGGGGAGGAAGATGGAAGATATCTCACCAGCGTTCTGCTTCAATCATTCCGTGCATCAGTGCTTGTTGTTTTAGGAAGTCGCTTATCAGGGACGTGCTGGCGAGTCCAGATGGTAGTCGCGATTGCTGCAGTCGCAGTGTCAAGGGAGATACAGACCGAAGACACAACGACAGCACACTCGAATCAACAACGCTCACGGCACTAAGTACTGCCCAACCATACATTACACCCCTCTTCTATCCCTCCCCCCACCTACATCCCCTCCCAACTCCCCACCCACCTGTACCACTCACACACCTCCCCCAACTCCCTCAACGCCGCATTCACCTCACCTCCCTCCCCCTCCTCCCTGCGCCCCCTGAACTCAATGAAGAACACATACTCCCAGTTCGCCACCCCACTGGGCCGCGTATTAATACTCGTCAGATCGAGCTTGTGACGCCCAAACACAGACAGACACTGCGCGAGCGCGCCCGGGTTGGGGTTCTGCGGGGCATAGGGCAGCGTGAAGAGAAGGAGCGTTTTGAATTCCCTGTCTGCGTCTGGGGCTGCGGGTGCAAGTCTGCTAGACTCCTCCGCGGACGGTGTAGCAGGAGGAGCGGGTCCATCGCGCCTCCTTAGCACAAGAAACCGCGTCTGGTTCCCCGCCGCGTCGTTGATCGCCTCCGCGCGCACAGCGAGCCCGAACAGCGTCCCCGCGACCTTGCTGCTGATGGCCGCGGCCCCGGAGTCGCCCGCCGCAGCGACAATCTGCGCGGCGCGCGACGTCGAGCTCACATCAAACCGCTCGGCGTGCTTCAGATGCTTCTGCAGAAACGCGTTGCACTGGCCCCAGGCCTGGGGGTGCGAGTAGAGTTTCGTAATCTGGGCGTAGTCGGGCGGAGACGCGCTGGCGGGACCCAAGAGGCAGTGCGATACCCCCACGTACGCTTCGCCGCACACGAGGATGTCGCGGTGCTTGCTGTGCGGGTCGGCGAAGAGGTCGAGTGTGAAGACTACGGAGCCGTTGGTGCTGTTTTCAAAGGGCACGACGCCGCGGTGCGCGGTGCCGTTTTGGACCGCGGTGAAGACATCTTCTATGGTGGGCTGGGGGGTGAGGGTGTATTGGGTGGGCGAAAAGGTGTCGAGGGTCGCCTTGGGGGTGTTAGTGGGGGATGAATGGCGAGTGTGGAAATTGAGGATTTGGAAGAAGAGACGGGATGCCGGATTGGAAGGAGATAGGAAGGGCTTGGTTAGTCGCGGGGAGTTCGTGCATTTATTTGTAGATGTTTAGGAGAGGTCTCGTGACGTGGTGGTTTGCGCGCACAACTTCACATTGAATGTGACAGTATTGTAGCAAGGCTGACTTACCTGATGTGTGTAGCTGGCCTCTGGCCCCAAGAACGCCACCTTCGGTTTCTCTGATTCTGACATTATTCTGAGCTGCAATTGGTGTGCGAATCGGGAGAGTTGAGATGCAAGTTCGGAATGGAATTTGGACCGGCATCGGCCTTTTAGACCGCAGGCTACATCATAGGGCGGATGTACAAACAAGTACATAGGGCGCATGGATCGACAGCAAGCATATTTATTCTGCCAGCTCCTCACAAGTCAAGTCAAGCATCACAATAAAGATTCATGTTCAAACACAATTCGATTCAGCTGGATATGAACGACAGACAAGCTGACGCATACGCGAATGAGCAATTTGCCTCTCCTTCGTCCACCTAGGATTGTTGCGGAGAGTTCGCAAGCAGATGCTTGACAGTGGCTATTCTCAGTGTCCTGTTCGTCTCACATAGTCACGGCTAGGATAGAGCTCTACAATCGGTGTGATTGGGCAACTTGTCGGAGAAGGCTGGTGCCTCTCCGTTGAACGAAAGGGGTGGTGATAAGAATGGGTGTTCATCAGCCTGTTCGCGATTAGCGATGCCAGTCAAACGCACTGAGCCTGCTTACCATGCAAAACCTCCGTGAACGCTCCCCTTTTCATCTACAATCGGGAGAGGCGAAGCGTCGTAACATCGACTGCTCCGTCCTTCAATCCGGGCGCGTCGTTTTGACCTTGTTCGCGGGCAGCGGACGTTCCTTCACTCGGCGCGTGGAGTGGGGACGCTGCCTCGCAGTCAGCGAGGGCGCACAACCGTCAATCATCGTAGAACTCGTCCTCGTCGTCGTCAAAGTCGGCAAGCTGCTCAAAGTTGAGCGCGTAACGCAGGATGGCACCGATGCCACCGAAGCCCTTTACGAACTGGTTGCCCTCAGAGGAGCGGTCGGAGACGAACTCGAGGGTGGCACCGAAATCGCGGTACTTCTCGGCAAGCCACTCGAGCATAGAAGACTGCTCGACGATCTCCATCTCCTGTCCAGTGGTCTTGTCCATGAAGTTGGTGCGGTCGGCCTCCTGGATCTTGTTCGTGTGGAGAATGACCTCGGTATTGTCGGAGGCCTTGAGGACCCAGCGAGTGATCTCCAAGTTCTCGAAGACGATCAGAGTTTCGGCGGCACCAGCCTCCAGAGCCTTCAGGGTGTCTTCGACACCGTAGCAGACCTTGCCCGAGTCCTTGGAAATGTGGTCGAAGTACTCGTTGATTAGCTTCTTCTCCTGGATGAACTTGACGTTGCCCAGGGTCTCGGACGACAGCTCGATGGCCTGGTTGAAACCGTTCTCGCCACCGTAGGAAACGTCGACTACCTTGATGACCTTGGACTGCAGACGGTTGTCGAACAGGTCGGACTGGTTCAGGTCGTTCTTGAAGTCGGCGCTACCGGCCAGGATAATACCAGCGACGTTGACCTTGTCGGCGGTGATGAAGTTCTGCACCGCCAGCTCGGCGACCTTGCGGACGTAGTTGTGGCGCTTCTCCTCACGCAGACGGGCGAAACGCAGGGCGGACTGACCACCACGGCCGTGCTTCTTGGGCAGGTCGACGGAGAACTTGTGGACGATTTCACGCGTGTTGCCGGACAGGGTGCCGAAGAGGGCGCCGTTTCCGTCCATGATGATGAAGCCGAACTTCTGGTCGGACTCGAGCAGCTCGCTCAGGGCCTCGGTGTGGAACTTGTTGTCGCAGAGGTACAGCGAGGTGTTGATGGGCTTGAAGGGCTCGAAGTCGATGTTGACCTTGCGCTCCTTGCCCTCGGGGGTCAGGATTTCACCGCAGTAGATGACGAGGCCGTTGGGCGGGACCTTGGAGTACAGCTTCAGGCGCTGCTGGGTCGAGGTGATGGCCGACAGCACCGACAGGCGGTTGACGCGCGACTTGATGTTGGAGGCGGTGCCGAACTCTTCTGCCAGCATCTTGGCGGCGCGCGAGACCTGGTCCTTGGGCGCTGTGCACAGTGAGCGGGGCCGTGAGGCGTGAGGCAGGCAGGCCGGCCGGCATGTCACGTACGGATGATGAGCGAAATCATGGATGTGCCATTTCCGCGGGCGGCTTCAAGACGCTTGATGAGCTTCTTGACCTTCCAGATCTCGATGTTCTTCTCCGCGTCGTTGGGCTGGGGCTCCTTCGACGACATCTTCGCGGCGTTGTGCGTGGGTGTGTGAAGTGACGATGGCGGGGGCGCGAAATTTTGCTGCAACGCTGTCCGGAGGGGCGCCCAACGCTGCGGCCCGCGAACGATCAACCACGGTTTGCGATTCGAGATGCACCGCCAACCAGGCCGGGCGCGTCTAATTTAATGTGCCGCGGCCAGGCTCCCGTCTGCGCCGTGCCTCGCGCGCAGTCAAGCGCAGTCAAGCGCAGGCCCGCGCAGTCACACACAGTCACGCACAGTCAAACACAGTCACGGCGGCGCTCGCTGCTCGTGCCGGCCTTCCAATCGCTAAGGGGCCCACTCACGGCTGCTGTGCGCCCGCGGAATGACGACGGTGCCTGCGGGGCCTCGTGATGCCATCCCAAAGCCTCACGCAGCATGTCGTCTCCGCTCTCGGCGCTTCTATCTGGACGCTGCCGCGCCGCCATGGAGCAGGCGTTACGCATTTGCTACGCCAATCTTGCACCGACGATAGCCTCCTTTGATAGATACTGTATCTACCGGTAGCTCCCGCGCCGTGCATGGGTCCGTGACAAGTTTTGTGCTGGCTCCACTGCCCTCCTTTCGCGCCCCCATTGCTCTCGCACTGCTCCTCTGTGCACCGCGTGAACGACCATGGACATCAAGGGCAAGCAGCCGTCCACCTGGGACCAGTATGACGGCGTGCGCGGCTCCTCGGTGGGCTCGCAGGGCAGTCGCGTTCAGTGGGATGAACTCGAGCGCCGCCCCAGCGAGCAGAGCGCCTCCAACACGGGCGCCTCGACAGCCAACAACGGCACGATGCGACGAAGAAGGTAGGCCAGTGCAATCTCTGCGCGCCACTGAACCCCGGCTCACCACGCCCGCAGATCCTCCGTCTCGCAGCAACTGCACGCGCTGGGCGACGCCGGCGGCGTGAACAGCATCAACAACTTCGCCCGCTCGTGGTCCCGTGCCGCGGGCTTCTTCGAGATCACCCCGGTGCGCCCGAGCTTCCGCGTCGAGAGCGACGACGACGACGAGACGCCCACCGCCGAGTTCCCGCGCACCGGCTTCGTCCCCAGCACCCTCGCCGAACACCGCTCGGCCCTGCGCCAGGCGCTGCAGACCGGCGGCCGGCGCACGTCTGATCAGGCTGTCACAGACGTGGATGAAGAGACTGGCGCCAACGAGCACACACGGCTTTTGCCACGGGACTCGCAGCAGCGGCTGCGCGCGCGCGGGGACAGCATCTTCAACATCGAGCCTTCGCTCTCCTCGCCCTTCGGTGGCAGCTATGGCACCGGCTACGGCAGTCTGTCGTCGCGCGTCAACGAGCCCTCGATGCGCCATGCCGGCCGCCTGTTCGCCGAGCAGCAGATGAAGGGCGTGCAGGAGCCCGAGCAGGAGCGCGAGCCGCTGTTGGTCAAGCAGGTCGAGGAAGACGGGCAGATTATCAACGTTGTAGTTGGGCAATCCACGCTTCCGCAGACCATCTTCAACTCGGTCAACGTTCTAGTCGGTGTGGGGCTGCTAACGCTGCCCCTAGCTCTCAAATACTCCGGCTGGGTGATCGGCATCATCTTCCTCACTTGGTCTGCCGTGGTCACCGCCTACACGGCCAAGCTGCTCGCCAAATGTCTGGATGTCGACAGCTCCCTCATTACCTTTGCCGACCTGGCATACGTCTCGTTCGGCAACAAGGCCCGTATTGCTGTCAGCATTCTCTTCTCTCTCGAGCTGCTGGCAGCATGTGTCGCTCTTGTCGTGCTCTTCGCTGACAGCATGAACGCTCTAATCTCTGGCTACGGGGTCATGACATGGAAGATCGTGTGTGGTGTCGTCTTGATCCCTCTCAGCTTCCTGCCGCTGCGTCTACTGTCGTTCACATCCATCTTGGGGGTCATGTCTTGCTTTGGCATCACAATCGCTGTGTGGATGGACGGTCTCATCAAGGCTGACGCGCCTGGATCTATTCGCCAACCCATGACCCAATACCTATTCCCCGAGAACTGGATGACGATCCCCCTCTCGTTCGGCCTGCTCATGTCTCCGTGGGGCGGACACTCCGTGTTCCCCAACATCTACCGCGACATGAGGCATCCGTACAAGTACCGCCGCGGCGTCGACATCACCTACATCTTCACCTTCATCATCGATGTCGGCATGGCCTGTGCCGGCATCCTCATGTTCGGCGACGGCGTCAGCGAAGAAATCACAAACAACATCTTCCGAACCGCCGGCTACCCCGCCGGCCTGTCCGTGTTCATCGCCATCTGCATCGCCATCATCCCGCTGACCAAGGTGCCGCTGAACTCACGCCCTATCGTCGCCACCCTCGAAGTCCTCTTCGGCCTCGACGCCCGCTCCATGGCGCTCTCCTCCTCGCTGAACGGCATGTCGGGCCTCAACCGCGGCCTCTTCAAAGTCACCCTGCGCATCGTGACCATCATCGTCTTCGTCGTCATCGCCATCCTGTTCCCGTCCTTCGACCGCATCATGACGCTGCTCGGCAGCGTCGCGTGCTTCTCCATCTGCATCATCCTGCCCGTCGCGTTCCACCTGAAGCTGTTCGGCAAGGACATTGGGCCCGGCGAGAAGGCGCTGAACTGGGCGTTGATTGTCTTCAGCAGCATCCTGGCCGTCATTAGCACCGGGTTTGCACTGCTTCCCAAGGAGCTTATTGGCGCCTGAGGCGTGTTTTTTTTTGTTGGCCCCTTGCCCTGCAGCGGCGGGGGCTGTGTTGGTTATGTCTGTTTGTAATGTATGTGTGGGGCATCTGGAGTGTATATGTAGCATGAGGGAGCATTGCATTTGACGGCCTCGACTAAATCGAGTAACGAGGCGTCTGTTTTAAGATTGTATAAAAGCATGCATGTCTTCACTATGTTCACGAGTGATTCAGTGGGCTTCGGGCATTGGAATGTGCTGCTTTCGCTGGACGGTGAGACATCAGGTGTTAATGTGGACAGGTGCTTGCTTTAGCAATGAGTCTGATTACCAACTTCAGACATCACTCACGTAGCCACAATCTTGCATCCACCTCACCTTCTCTGGTAACGTGAGAAATCACATGTTCAGCGCACGCGTCGTCACGGAAGTCCGCTCCGCAAGCTTGGCTGCCCAGCTGGATAACACGGTACGCGGTGTGGAGACGCAGGTATGGCATACGTCATGTCCCATCCTGAGAGATTGGGCAGCTTGTGCAGCGAGGGCGAGAACAGAGAAGCGCGAGACGTTGTCTTGGGGTGTTTGCCATAGCGGACGCATTGGAGTGAGGTTGCGAACCTAGATTGCATCGGTGGTCTCGCAGCCGAGACCAGGCGTTCGGAGTCGTTCGCTGCACGCAAGCGGCCGTTCTATCTATAACCCCAGCTAGCTCCACGTCTCCACGCTCAAGCCACCCCCGAAGCTGATCCCACCCCTGCCGCGACGCATGCTGGTGCACCGCAGTGAACTGTTGACCTTGCCCGTCTCGCGCCGTATCCTGTCCTGTGCTATATCTCCTGAATCACCCAGCCTTGCGCCCTCTGCACTCCTCCTCCCGACCCCACGCGCGCCATCGCCCAATGCTACATTCCATTCCCCAGCTTCCTGCGCACGCGACTCCATACCGCTTCGCCGGACCTTAACACCCACATCCAATTGGCACACACACAGAAAGAGGGAGGATGCCGTCCGTCGCTCAATGGGCCGGCACGCCGTCCATCAGGGGCTCGAGCGAGAGCGTCCGCATGGCGCTGCTCACCGCGTCGCTCATCGGCCTGCAGTGCGCGCCCCGCCACCTCCAACCGGCCCCCCCTCGTCGCTAACGCGCCCGCAGGATAACATGGAACGTCGAGATGACGTACTGCACACCCTACCTGCTGGAGCTGGGGCTGACCAAGTCGCGCATCTCGCTGGTGTGGATCGCGGGCCCGCTGTCCGGGCTGATCATGCAGCCGCTGGTGGGCGTGATCGCGGACCGCTCGACGTCGCGGTACGGGCGCCGGCGGCCGTTCATGGTCGGCTGCACGCTGCTCACGTCGCTGTTCTTGCTGCTGCTGGGCTGGACGAAGGAGGTTGTGCGCTGGTTTGCGACGGACAAGGACACGGTCAAGAATGCGACGATTGTGCTCGCTGTGTTCAGCATCTATGGGATTGATTTCGCGATCAATGCCGTGCAGGGTAGCTGCAGGGGCCTCATTGTTGATACCTTGCCGATTCCGAAGCAGCAGGCGGGGAGCAGTTGGGCGAGTCGGATGGTTGCTGTGGGGAGCTTGGTGGGGTATGGGGCGGGGGCTGTTAAGCTGGAGAGTGTCTTTGGGACGCTGCTGGGCGATACGCAGTTCAAGCAGCTCACTGTGTTCGCGGCGTTCTGTCTGTGTCTGACCGTGGGGCTTACGAGCTGGGCTGTCACCGAGAGGGTACTGATTGGACATGATGGCGAGGAGAAGCTGAGCACTACAAAGGTCTTGACGGACCTCGCAAAGTCGACCTTCGACCTGCCTGCGACCATCAGGACGATCTGTTATGTGCAGTTCTGGGCATGGATCGGTGGGTTGGAGCAGCTCCCACGTCTGAGATGTACTGACACTGTGTAGGCTGGTTCCCGTTCCTGTTCTACAGCACAACCTGGGTCGGCGAAGTCTACCTCCGCTACGACGCACCAGCTGCTGCCAAAGACTCCAATGACATGACTGGGCAAGTCGGCCGGATCGGCTCCCTGGCACTCATCGGCTTCTCGGTCGTCACCTTCATCATGTCCGTCCTGCTACCCTTCGTAGTCAAGAGTCCCGAAGGCGAAGAAGCCCCTTTCACCGCGCGCCCCCCAGCCAAAATCGCTACTCTCGTCGAACGCGCTGGGCAACTCAAACCCTCCCTCCTCACCGCATGGACAATCTCCCACTGCGTGTTCGCAGGCTCCATGTGTCTCGCGCCCTTCGTCCAGTCCCTGCGCAGCGCAACCCTCATCATCGGCATCTGCGGCATGTACGTCTCCCCCTCCCCCCCTTCCCCACCTACTCACCCCCCGCAGCTCCTGGGCTATAAGCTGCTGGGCGCCCTTCGCCTTCCTCGGTGTAGAAATCAACCGGCTCTCCTCATCGCCCTCCTACGTGCCCCTCGGCCGCAACTCCATCGACCTCGACGCGCCCACGCTGCACCTCGGGCCGCCCGACGCCGAAGCCCAGTCGACCGGCGAGGGCTCCGGCAAGTACCTCGGCATCATGAACGTGTACACCACGCTGCCGCAGTTCGTGGGCACGGGCATCAGCTTCGTGGTGTTCAGCGTGCTGGAGCCGGGGAAGAGCCCGGAGCTCAGCGACGCGCCGGCCGAGGAGCACCATGGCACCGAGGGCGTCAATGCGATTAGTGTGTGTTTGTTCATTGGCGCTGTGTGTGCGGTTGTCGCTGCCTGGACGACGGTCAAGTTGGGCCGGATTGCGAGGTTTTAGGCGTCCGTAGCTAATACACACTGGCGGTCCTGCCGTGCAGGGGCCGTTTTACACATCTTTTCAGAGCTGAGGTGAGATGTTGGGCTGCGATGGCCCGACTGTGGAGGTGTGGACACAGGCGCAGCCAATTTCTTGGTCTTGGGTGCGAGATGTCGTGGTGCCGGTGCACTGTTGCGAGCCGGCCTGTGATTCGTTCCGGGTTGGGGGCGAAGATCACGGTCTGCCCTCGCTGTTTGATTACTGAATGGCCTGATTACTACTGGACTCGTGGGTTGGTGGGGAAACGGACTCGACGCTGGGCCAACGGAGGAGCTCGGAAGGGGGACGCAGATCGGTGCATACACAGGACATGGATGGGAGACTGCTGGCGTCTGGGATTCGAGCAAGAAGCTAGAATGTCCAATATCATCTCGCTATAGCATGCTAGATGCTCCCGCGTTCGTACAACATACGGGCGGGTCACGCAAACACTACGAGCACAGGAATTCGTCAGATGAGAGCACCCAGAGGCTGGCTGCTTCAGCCGCAGCCCCGTAATTGATAGCCCGACGCGTGTCGGCGAGTGCAATGCAAGACCTGGGGTTCACGTCCCCAAAGAGGGTTGTTGATATCAGGCACGAAAGGCAGCATGCACGTCCCAGTACACATCGGTACCATTTCCGCACTGGGCGCGTGGTCGACATGACGTGCAAGCATCTCCCTTCCCCGGGCTCCAGCCGCGATTCCCCTTCTGGTAGTGCGACTAGGCGTGAATGACGGCGGCGGGTAAGTTTTCTAGCAAGAAATTCTCGTCCGGCCCCCGCTTTCTTCTAGAACACAGAAAGTATGGCTGGCTATACGTCGATGGAGATGCAGGGCTCGTTGCAAGCACAGTGTGCCCTTGCGCAGTCAACTGCTGCATGTCATCCAAGGTTCGGTCACCGTTGGAGTCCTCAGGTGGTTAGGCTAGCGAGACCGCGTTTGGTGCCCCTTCCAACAAGCTGTCATTCCTGGCTGTTGAAGCCGCCCAATCTGCGGAGGAACGTGAGCAGAGGGAGGGCCAGAGAAAGGTGCCTGCGGCCAATGTCGGCGCTAATGCTGCAATGACTGGGCAACTGCTGCGAGCGCTGTTGTCGGCAGGTAGAATCAGTCGCTGCTTCTCGTGGTCGTGCATGGCGCGAGACACGTGCAGCGCCTTCACCGCGAGGTAATAGTTGATAAGCCGCGACGTCCGCATCAAACAACAAACTCGCTGCCACCTAACCACGCTATCGTGCACCGTGCCATTTCCCACGCGCCCTCAGCATCGACGGTCGTTCTTCCACGCTCGGCCTGCCGCTAAGCAGCCCGTCCAAAGTCCAGCGCTAGAGCCCCGCCGAAAGCTGCAGAGACGCTCACCAACACACAACATCCCTCAACATTTTGCCACCTTACGTCCCTGAACCACAGAGCCTCTGCCAAGATGTCTGAACCGATTCGCAATAAGAAGATGGATACCATCTCCGCTCCGTAAGTCTCTTTCTGCCTCCCGACACCTTTTCCCCGACCCCTACCACACACTCTCCCTCCAACCGCCGCCATCATGGACGTCCCCAGGTCTAACAAGCAGCCTACCAGCACACCACAGAACACCCCCGCAAATGCTGCGCCAATCTCGTCGCGCGCCCAGCAGCCCACCGTTGGTACCATCAACGAAGGTATGTCGCACTCACTTTTTCGTGATTGTTTTGTTGCCCCTCCAACCCCGCGCGCTGGCGCCGCAAATGTTCTGACCGCTAATTTGAATTTTCACAGAGGAGCTTGACCGCGCCGCCGCAGGACTGTTCGCTGCGAACCCTGCCCTGGTCTCGATGATGCAGGCCAAGCTTGGCTCGCTTGTCGGCCGCTCCAGCGGCTACATTGAGTCGCTTCCTGGTTCCGTCCGCCGCCGCGTTGCCGGTCTGAAGGGCGTCCAGAAGGAGCACTCCAAGCTCGAGGCCGAGTTCCAGGAGGAGGTCCTTCAGCTCGAGAAGAAGTACTTTGCCAAGTTCACACCCCTGTACCAGCAGCGTGCGAAGATTGTCAACGGTTCCACCGAGCCCTCGGAGGAGCACGTCAAGATCGGCGAGCAGCAGGATGAGGACGATGAGGACGACGAGGAGGAGGGTGAGAAGGAGCTCAACAAGGACGAGGGCAAGGACGTCAAGGGTATCCCAGAGTTCTGGCTGAGCGCCATGAAGAACCAGATCTCGCTTGCCGAGATGATCACAGACCGCGATGAGGCCGCGCTCAAGTCCCTCACCGATGTGCGCATGGAGTACCTTGACCGCCCCGGTTTCCGCCTCATTTTCGAGTTCGAGGAGAACGAGTTCTTCACCAACAAGTCCATCACCAAGACCTACTTCTACCAGGAGGAGAACGGCTACGGTGGCGACTTCATCTACGACCACGCCGAGGGTGACAAGATCGACTGGAAGACAGGCAAGGACCTGACTGTCCGCGTCGAGAGCAAGAAGCAGAGGAACAAGAGTGAGTTGCGACGTAATCTTGTGACGAGCGAAACTAACACCCGCAGACACAAAGCAGACCCGTGTCGTTAAGAAGACCGTCCCCACAGAGTCGTTCTTCAACTTCTTCGACCCCCCGAGCCCTCCCCAGGACGACGATGACGCTACCTCCGACATTGAGGAGCGCCTCGAGCTCGACTACCAGCTCGGCGAGGACATCAAGGAGAAGCTCATTCCCCGCGCCATTGACTGGTTCACCGGCGAGGCTCTTCAGTACGAGAACATTGAGGACTTCGACGAGGGCGAGTTCGAGGACGAGGACGACGAGGATGAGGATGAGCTCAGCGACGACCGCGATGAGGATGAGGAGTCAGATGACGAGGTAAGATGATTTCTCACAATGTGCTTGCAGTAGACTAACGCTCCGCAGAACGACGGCACAAAACCCAAGCAGGAGGCTGCCGAGTGCAAGCAAAGCTAAATGTCTCTTTGGACCGATCTTCTTCGATGATATCTCCGGGCATTGGGCTTGTTTCAATCTAGATGGCACTTCTGGCTGTGACGGGCTCGCAACCTGACCCTTTCCCTTTATCCTTGCACAGCACTACATGTTTCTGACACGGGCGTACCATTGCATCAAAAGAGCCGGACGCCAGCCGCGGGTGGGTTGCTCTAGCTATACATGAACTATACTGGGTCTTCCCCTGCCTCGCTCCCACTCCCCTCACCCCCCCTTAATAGTCCCCTGCGCTGCCGCACCTCGGGATTGCACTCCGACGCCCTTTTCCTTCCGCTGAATTGCTGGCAGAAATAGAGAGAGGCTGTTTCCCGGCATCCAGAGAGACGAGATCCCGACACGAGGTGCCATGGGGTGATTTAAAAGTCTGTTTTTTGGGTACATATGTAGATTGCGATGAAGTTATGAGAGCGGAAATTCCACGTTTTATAGAAGTTGTGTTGATGCTGAGTGCTGTGCTGTGCTGTGCTGTGCTGTGCTGGTGCACTCCTACTCCTACTCCCTAAACTGTCGCTGTCACTGTCACTGTCACTGTCGTGTATGTCCGCAGTCCTTAGTGTTCACTCAGCGCAGTAGCAGCATTAAACTGCCCCCCTCTCCGTCTGCGGTTTGTGCGCACCAACCTAGGTACTGTCAGTTCTGCGATCGCGTGCGCGATGCATGCGCTGCGATGCGATGCCTTTGGTAAGGCAGTGTTCCTGACCAGATCAGGCTAGTGGCGGGGTAGGTCTGATTGGCGGGGTTGACGCAAGCCCGCCGCTGGTTCGAATATTTTTGTGAGGGTGGTGACGCGCCGAGGGCCTGTGTGGACTTGGCTGTTGGACTGCACCACGCTCTACACTACACTGCGATATATACACATACTACTTTCAGATCAGATCAGATAATCAGGGCTGCGGCGTGAGATTGCTGTCAAGGACTGTTTACTGCTGGAATTCGCTGGCTGAGGCAATTCGTGGCGGAGTACGAAGCTCAGGAAGATAGGACGGCGAGTACGACTACAACTACGAAGCTCAGCACCTACGACTACAAAGCGCAGCACTCCCCCAGCTCGCCATCGCACCGCACACACCACACCACACCACACCACACAATGGAGCGCAAGACCCCCAACATCATCGTCACCGGCACGCCCGGCGTCGGCAAGACCACGCACGCCGAGCAGCTCGCGCGCGCCACGGGGTTCACGCACATCTCCGTCAACCAGATTGTCAAGGACGAGGGGTTCCACGAGGGTAAGGACGAGGAGACGGGGAGCTGGATTGTGGATGAGGATAAGGTGTGTTTCCGTTCTTAGATCACATCACTTGGGTCCCGAGATCTCGAGACCCGGGTCACGATGTGCAGAGTCCGTGTAGTGCTAACAGCGCACAGCTCCTCGACTACCTCGAGGCCCGCGACATCGCAGCCACCGGCGGCAACATCCTCGACTGGCACGCCTGCGACCTGTTTCCGGAGCGCTGGATCGACCTCGTCGTCGTCCTGCGCTGCGACTCGACGGTCCTGTACGACCGCCTCACGGCGCGCGGCTACACGGGCAAGAAGCTGGAGGAGAACATGGACAGTGAGATTATGCAGGTCTTGCTGGACGAGGCGCGGGAGGCGTACAAGGAGGAGATTGTGGTGGAGCTGCGCAGCGATGCGGTCGAGGATGTGGAGGGGAATCTGGAGCGGGTGGAGTTGTGGGTGGAGAACTGGAAGAAGGATCGCGCAGGGGGGGAGTAAAGGGGGGGTGGGGATTGAGGATGGGAATGTGGAACGTGAGTCTATTCTGTTGCTTTTGCGGGGTCTTCACGCGCTGGGCTGGGCCGCGAGCCATGCCTTTAGCTTCTCGAGTGCTTTGCCGCGGTGGCTGATTTTGTTCTTCTCCGCCTTGTCCATCTCGGCGTATGTCTCGCCCGTGCCTGCGTACTCGAAGCACGAGTCCCAGCCTGTTTCTTGTCAGCAACTCCGCGTCGACGGCGTGCAAGTCCACCTGCTTACCGAACACAGTCGGCCCTCGACTCGGCACCAGCTTGCCGTCTGTCCGGCCCTGGAACGTAATCGGCTCGTGGCCGGGCCCGGCGCAGTACCCGAATGTGCACACGGCCTGCGCGGACTTGTCGTCGAAGCCGGCCAGCATCTTGTGCAGTTCCAGCGGCCCGAGCGAGAGCATGAACCATTTGCTGGAGACGCGTTAGCAGGCACGCAGCCGGGCACAGGGGGGCGGAGAGCGTACATGTAGGGACCCGGCAGGTCGTTCATGGCCTTGAAGCAGAGACATGTGTCCTCGACCAGCACGGGGCCTCCGACCTGCAGCGTGGTTAGTGGACCTGCGTTGAGAAATACAAATGAAGAACTTGAACGTACTGCTTCTGCTGCGCGGCGTGCCTTGTCCAGCGTGACTTCTTCGACTGTGCCTTGGATCTCGACCAGATCGACATTCTGGTTGCGCAGCTCAATGACGCCTTCCAGGATGGCCTGGACTTCGGCGAGCTTGTTCTTGTTGCCCGTGATGAAGTTCAGGTGCTTGGGGACTGGAGTCGATGTCATTCTGACAGCGTGACCTGGGGCCGAGTACAGCAAAGATGTGGTCGGGGATAGCGAATGAGGCTCTTGGAGGCTCTTGGATAGCGGGATGTGGCGTTGATGGTGCAGCTGAATCCTTCTGATATCGGTCCGGAGAGTTGCACGCGGTGGATTGCTTTCGAGGTGTCAGAATTGATGTCATACAAGCGAGTGCTTTGCGGTAGACTATATATCGTACGATCTCTTCAATAGTGAATTCCGCAGATTTGATAATGAGAATGTGATAAGCAGCGAGGTGTGACTGGTAGCGGAATTAGGCGTGAAAGAGGGCGAAAGGGCGCAGCTCCCGAACGCAACTCAACACGGCACACTTACAAACTTCTACAGGGCTGATGATGTCGTAGCTGATTGAGCAGCTGAGCTTCTATCCTCTTAGACTCGTGCAAGACGTGCATCAACACCACCAGAGCTGCACGACTAAAAGGTGGGGTCTAAACTTGGACATGGAAGCGAGCGCGCTATGGCCCAAAGAGGAGAAGGATTGAGCTAGAGCTGCGTCGAATGTCACCGTGCCTTCGAGCCACGATACTGTCTCCGAGAAGTAGCGTCCTGTTCCCAGCCCTACCAACGGTGTCCACTCCCATTTGTCCTCGTTTAGTGGTACGCCAGACCACGCTCTAATTGCGGCTCGGAGCCCGCGTTGCTACAGCCTCATCTCGTCGAGCGCACCTGATCCGGGGACAAGTCCGTCAGCATTGTACGCTCCCATCTGGCATCTGTCTCCTGATTGACGACATCGCCAACCCGCCAGTATGGCGCTCAAAGGTCTATTCGTGGCCGTGAATGCCTCGAATGGAATCATAAGAGCACTCTTTCTGCCAATATGGTACGCCCTGCTACTCAGTCCATTCACCTTGGCGATAGCCTACTACTACGGACTCGGCCAGAAACTACAAGATTCCGTGGGTGAGGACTTCTCTTGGTTTGATATCCTGCCACAGTTTACAATTTTTACTGTCTTTGTGCTTCTTCCTACCCGGCTGTTGTCAGGCTCGGGAAGCGTAGACAAGAGCAAGGATGGCGGGAAGAGCAGGGTACAATCGCTGCCATATTGGATCCCGGGGATTCGACACCTCGGCAGTGTGGTCTCTGGTCAAGAAGAATGGTTGAAGGAAGTCCGAGATACATCTGTGCACGGCATCATCTCGTATCGAGCAGCAGGTGCAAAGCATGTTGTCATCCTGACAGCGGCTCTGTTGGAAGAGTTCCATAAGAAACGCACCAGCTTCGTAGAGCACAGTGCTTCCAGGTGGGCAGTACTCCGCAATGCGTACGGGATGCCCAAAGGCTTCGAGAGCGGCTACACGGAGCTGCAACCGAAGATGAACGAGATTGTCGACACAGAAATATTCCGCTTGAAGGCTATGGAGAACTTGGTCGCCGCATCGTGCATCCTCTCAGACACTCTGCCAGACTTGATCACCTTCAACTCGTCCATTGTCGACCAGATGCAATGGGAACGAGTCGCCAATATCGAGCTGACAGACGGGACTTCAGAAGCGGAGTGTGATCTCTTCACTCTGATCAACGACTTCTGCTGCAGTGCTATAGTTGGACCCATCACTGGATCCCACTTTGCCGAGTCATACCAGCTGCTGGCCTCTGATCTAGCGGACATCAACAGGCACTACTACGCACTTTCTCTTGGAATCCCACGACTGTCGCCAGTCCCAGGTCTTCCCACAGCCGAACTGGCCAAGAAGAGACTTCTCCAGAACTTTAGCGGGCTTCTCACGGAGCTCACGCACCCCCAGGTCCGACGAGTACCAGACGACGATGAGAGCGTGAGCGAAGAAGAAACGGATGCTGACACATCGACCCCTCTTGCGACTCTCAATGCATTCTTCACAAAACACGACGTCCCTATCCCAGCGCGAGCGTCTCTCGTCCTCGACCTGATCCACAGCATCGTTGCAGAAGTCGTTCCACTTGTCTTCTGGACATTGACCAACGTTTACGCTTCTTCGTCCTGGCCGCTTGTTCAGGGCGACGAAGACACCCCTTTTTCAAAAATCAAAGAGGAGACCAGGTCGTGGGCGCAAGCCATCCAGCCCCCATCGATACATCCCTTATTCCCCGCGCCACCAGAGATCTCATTCACATCGTCTGCCCACTTCCGCAGCCCAACGCCCTTCCCACACCTCCACTCCAGCATCAACGAAGCCCGCCGCCTCTACAGCTCATCAGCCACTCTATACACCACCAGCACCCCCCTCGTCCTCGACGAAAAGAGTCTGCGCCCCGGCGAACAGGAGCAGTGGGAGCTCGACGCAGGCTCGTACGTCGACGTCGGCCTCTCACGCACCCTCATCAACACCTCGCCCGCCGCATTCCCGTCCCCCGCCACCTTCAAAGCCGACCGCTTCGTGACCGCCGCGCCGGGGCCGTCCATCGCCGTCCCCACCGACGCCGCACAGCAGTACAAAAACGCCCTGCTGGCCGCCATCATCGCGGGCATCGTCCAGCTGTGGGAGATCAGCCCGGCGCCCAAGAAGTCGTTCATGGAGCAGATGATCGAGGTGCGCGACGAGGTGCACGCTGGCGCTGCGTCGCTCGATGGTAATGGGAAGGCGAATCGGAGTAATAGCCGCGTGGCGAAGGATGGGGAGGAGAAGAAGGCGGGTGTGTGGGTGCTGCCCAGGGCGGTGGATGCGGTGAGTGTGAAGGTGCCGAAGGGTGATATCAGGGTGCGGATCCGGAGGAGGGAGGACCTGCCGGCTCCGAAGGTGCCGAGGAAGAGATAGGCGGCGTCGTCTCTGTGATTGTATGCCGGAAGAGAATCTGCGCGGCGAGTGCGTGCTGATACATGGTGGGATTGTACATGGTCACCTCGCAGCATAAATCACCTTGCATCGTTCTGGCATTTCTGGAGCTTATGCATATATTTGCATTGAATTGGTCCGATCTAGCGGTAGAAGAAGTTATAGATAGGAATGAAGTGAATCAAGTAGTCCCTGAGAAGCGAAGCATGCACATCATCCGTCCGTCATCAAAGTAAAAACCGTCGTTAAAAGCGCGCCTCGCGCACACACGAGCCCTCCCCTATCCCCCACAGCACGCTTACTTGAAGTTGCTGGCCGCCGTCTTCGACGTCTCGGGCGCAATGCTCACGCTCTTGATGATGATGCTCTGGCCGTCGGTGCTCGTGATCCTGACATCGACGCTCTGCGTGCCGAAGCCCGCGGAGTTCTCGAAGTAGTTGTACGGCTGGCGGGTCGTCTTCTTCCAGGTCTTGCCCGCGTCGGTGGAGACGTCGAGCGAGGCGACGGCGACGTTGGCGTTGATGACCTGCATGCTGAACCACCACTGGCTGGTGCCGGTCTTGTTCTTGACCACGAGCGGCGAGGTGATGCCGCACGGCACGAAGTCCCAGCTGATGGCGATGCGGCCGGTGTCGGGGTTGGCCAGCGCGGCGAAGCCGTCGCGGTACAGGTCGAGGTTGTTGGTGCCGCAGCCGGGGCACTGGTCGGTGACCATGGCGGTGATCTTTTTGCCGGTGGGGCCGGTTACGGAGACACAGCGGCCGCAGTTGTTGCCGTTGTTCCAGCTGGCGTCAGTGAGGGCGAGGCCGAAGACGGAAGCGGGGAGCTTGTATCCAGTGAACGAGCTGCGAGAGATATTAGAATCGCATAGACAGAACTGGCTTTCTTAAGAATAACTTACCACATGCCGCCATCGGTGTTACCGCCGTACCAGGTAGCCTCGCCGCGCGCAACAGCCTTGGCCTGAACCTGGGGGTTAGGAGTAACAGGTGCCTCGTAAGGAGCCTCGGACTCAGCAGCAGCGGGTGCCTCTGATGTGGGGACAGCAGCGGGTGCCTCGGACGTGGGGACAGCAGCCGAGCTGGTCTCGCTGGGGGAGCTGTAGCCCTGGCCAGGAACGTAGGTAGGCGCAGGTGTCTCAGTGATGGGAGTGGGTGTGTAGTGGATAGACACAGAAGGGAGGCTAGGCTCAGGGCGAGCAGTGTTGTTGCTCCAGGTTCCGTTAGGGTAGCTTCCCCAGTGGAGGCCAGTCACTGATGCAGCAACTGATGAGGGAAGGACAGTGATTGTTGTCGTAATGTCGATGGTCGAAGTTGTCGTGATGTCAATCGTCGAAGTGATGGTGATGTCGCTGGGCTCTACGGTAACGGTTGTCTTCTCAGTCTCAGTCTTGGTGACAGTTCGCCTGGTGCAGCCCTCCTGGGCAAGAGCAAAGCCCACAAGGGGGAGGATGGAGAAAAATGTAGACTTCATGATTCAAGCTAATTTTTAAATGGACGGTTTTGGGTATGTCTTCGGTACTCTGTGGTAGTAATGACTGTAATGGACCGTATCAAACGAGCGGCAGCAGCACTAGGCTTGCTATAAAGAGTGACGATGGTGGGAGAGACCGGAAGCTTGTAAGGTGTCACTCAAGCGGGCAGCCTTCCTACATAAAGCCCCTCGTGACCCCGGCCCAACATCTCGACTACCGGTACCTTGCCGTATGCAGTTGACTCCAACATTGCGTGGAAATTTGCTCGGAAGCAAATATGCTCGCTATCACGCACTCAAGGGGCGGGAAGGCGGCACGGCTGCATACATACAGGGTACCCGAGCGAGGCCAATGTTTACAAGCCGCACTAGAAGCCCCCAGGTCTAGGCTCACGCGGTGGGAGGTGCGAAAAGCTTGGTTTAGATGAGGTCCACAGGATTTTCTGATGAGCGCACAGGGTTGGAGATGACGCTAAGTGGAGATCAAACGTTGGCGAAATAACAAGGCGGGAATTAATTGATCCTTCAAATTATGGTCGAACACCAAAACATACTCGAGAAACACCAAACACCGAGACGAGACAATGTCTGATTTTTGAGCAGTTGATTGTCATCTGTGCAAAACGTGCTTCTCGTGGTAGTCAAGTCTGCATCGGAATCGGGGTTTCAGGATAGCGACTCTGTGTTACCGGACGTACCGGTTACGTGCAGCGAAATGACGCCGCAACTCGACCTTCCGCAATGAGGGACGAATAAATGTATCGATAGGTTCGAGATCCCCTCTAGCGACTCTCACTGTGGAGACAAAGGCACGAACGATCGGGAAGGGACCGGGAAAGCCGAACGCATGGTGTTCAGCGGCCGTGGTCTGGCAGACAGGGTATTCTTGAGTCGGGTATGGTCCAGTGTCGGGGGATTATTACAGTCGCAGGCATGAGCCAGTCTTGTGTGATGTGCCTTATTTCCTCAGGCCGCACACAACGGTTGGCGTTTCGAAGCCTGTCATAGTGATGGTGTGGAAGGCTCGGCAGATTAGCGAGCAAAGTACACGATGTTTGACATCGATACTACACTTTGGGGAATATTGACACTTAACCAGCGACTCGTGTACAGACAAGTCTACCGAGTCCGGTCCGAATTTAAATCCTCATCATTGTGCGCTTACCTATCTGCAGGTGACATCAATCGTCGTGGATGCTTTCGCAGGTGTTGAGTTCAGCGGTCAGGAGATACGTTAATTTGCAATCTTCTCGCCTTAGAATATTCCGTCTTTTGCGTTGAATGTTGAATTCTCAATGATCGACAGATAGTCCTCGGGCTGACCTCGGTTCTTCGTTCAATCGAGGAGGATGCAGAAAACACGAGGGTCTCTCGGTGCCCTCTGCGTGCAACACGCTTGTTTGACCTTGAGTGTGAACGAACCCCAGTCACTACAGAAAAGGACACAAAAAGGGCAAGTTGGCGCACCTGGGGGCGAAAGGGCACTTCCGTGAACGTGGTATGAGCCGCGCCTCTGTTCGTCCACCCCGATGATAGTGATTGTCTTAGTTGTTAGACCGTTAAAGACGGCTTTAAGTCTCGCCGTTAGCAGGCTCGTCGTCGAATCTTTCTGTTTGACTTTCCAGATGGGGATACGTCAAAGCTCCCAATACCAGATCTGGACCATCTTGCGCCGAGGCTTCCTCGTAGGTACGAGGTGAATCTACCACAATAGAGAAGTTGTTCATTCCTGGCTTGTTCCGGATTTGCCTCTTCTCAAAAGATCTACGATCAACCGGCCCAATCCAGCGAAGCAAATAATAGCACAGCTTTGCTGTCATCTTTTTCTTCACAAGGCCGAAGCCGAGACTTTTCATGATGTCCAGTAGCCGTGGTTCGTCAATGTACCTGGAGTTGTCGATGCACGGAAGAGGTAAGACAAAAAATAGCAACGGTAGACCACTACTACCTGTTGTCCTTAGAAAAGTGGGAATTCGCTGCAGCATCGCTCCACGGCCAGGTGCATCTGGCACGTAGTTGAGGACCAGGGATAGAGAAAATATATCGAATCGTTCTTGGTCAGAAGAAGGCAGTGGTCGTTCCATGAAATTCTGCTTTTCGATACCAGGGCCCTGACTGTTCAAGTCGATTCTTGTCATTTCAATGGCGTTGGGGAATTTCGAGATTTCATTTGTTGTCGAAAGGGCGCCTACTTCAAGACATCTTAGAGGCTTTTGGACTGAGCTCTTTCCTCGACTTTTACGATCAATGACGCCGAGTTCGACCAACCACTGGACGAGTAGTCTGCTTGAGTCGCCACCGCGATCACTGGCTTGCCCTTGCTTGCTTGCTGCTTGATACATGGTAATACCGCCATTCTTCTCAATTTCATCTCTGAGCGTCGCTGCTTGTTTTGAGTCTTTGTTTTTCTCTGCGGCAGCGAGCTGCTTGTGTAGCCGATGGTGGGTGCGTATGATTGTCCTGGAGCGCTGTGCAGTCATGCGTTCTTTAGGTTTGTTGATGGGCGGCCTGCCACTCGCCAGCGCTTTCTGGCGCTTCTTGACAGCCATCTCGTTTCTGAATTGATGATCACATGTCTTGGTGTTGATGGGCGAAAGACCGACCTCAAAGACAGTTTGGTGCACGGTCCACCAGGCGCCACCACCCTCGCTTACCGCACACCACCCGTCGATATTGAAAGTTCACGCCCGACTTTTCCTTTCCTTCGCGCTTTGTCACTAACCACAGCATCACATCGTCGAAATGGCTCCCAAGACATCAACCAAGAGTACGTTCCGCCTCAGTCTCGCCGGCGATCGATCGAGTTACGAGCTTGCGCATTGCGGAGAATTTGCACACCACGGCAACAGCACGAAACCTGGTACCGCACAGCAATGCAGCGAATGCGCCTCGATCAATCCAAGACGAACTTCCCCAACTCCAGTCAGAACACAGCTAACATATCGCAGCCGCCACCAAGACCGGCAAGCAGGCCAATGCCGCCGCTAAGTCTGCCCTTCGCGGTGTAAGAACTCCCTGAACTTCTTAAGTCGTGCCAGAACCAATCTCTGGCGGGCTGTTCTTCTCGTGTGTCGGACACAATTAACGAGATGACAGTCGTACGCGAACAAGAAGCGCTCCATCAGGACCAGCACCACCTTCCACCAGCCGAAGACCCTCCAGCTGTCGCGCTCTCCCAAGTACCCCCGCAAGTCGATCCCCCATGCCCCTCGTATGGATGCCTCGACCATCCTGATCCACCCCCTTAACACCGAGTCTGCCATGAAGAAGGTAAATGGAACAAGTCCGCAGGCCGAGAAACAGGCGCTGACTAGACCCAGATCGAGGAGAACAACACCCTCGTCTTCATCGTCGACGTTAAGGCCAACAAGCGCCAGATCGCCGCTGCCCTGAAGAAGCAGTACGATGTCTCCTGCATCAAGATCAACACCCTCATCCGCCCCGATGGCTCCAAGAAGGCCTTCGCCCGCCTGACCGCCGATGTCGATGCTCTCGACATTGCCGCCACCAAGCTTAACCTCGTTTAAGCGGTTTTGGTGCGTGGGAGGAATGGACCTGGGATACCCAGCTGGAAAAAGCGATGTGTAATGCTCGGCGTTCACGGGCACGTAGTCACGGCGACTCGAATGAATGAATTCAGCATGACGCCACTACAAGTGCGCGCGACCTTCAAATGATACCCCTTCACTGTACATGACATGCCTCATTTGGTCCGTGATTGATTTGCGTGTTTTGCCGACAGACTGAGCTGTGCTTGCTGGGCTCGACAAGGTACACCTGCCATCGTCGACTACGACAGACACATTTGGACCTTCTATGCCAAAGTTGATGATCATTTTACTGCATCACTACTTTCATATTTACCTTGAAGCAATAACCTGCATTTAAGCAACAAAGTCAAAAATATAAAGTTCTAATCGAAGTCCAAATCCACAACAGCGGAAACCAACCCGTGCACGAGCCACCAAAATAGTCGCATCCATCGTCATCCAAAACTTTCCGCCAACACCACACTTCACACGTCACACCCGCCCTCCAGCCCACTCAATCGCTGTCGCACTCCAGAAACACCATTTCCACGCACTTACATACCTCCAACACCATCGAAATGGACGGTCTCGGCGGCGGCCTCGCAAACATCGACGTAACCCGTCTCAGCGACGCGGACAAGCAGCAACTGCAGCAATTCGCCGTCAACGAGGGCCAGAAGGCACGCATCCAGTCGTGTAAGTCGCTCTTCTGGGATCCACCACTCTACACTGTGCCCCACGATCTGTCCCCAAGCACCCCGAACCTAAACTCTGCACACCCGTTTTGCGAACCCCCAGACTGACGTGTGTTATCAACAGCGATCCACAGCCTCACAGACACGTGTTTCCGCAAGTGCATCCCCGCGGGGACCGTCAAGAGCGGCAAGCTGGACAAGTACGAGGAGCCGTGCATGCGGCAGTGCGTGGACCGGTTCTTGGACGCCAACCTGGTGGTGCTGAGGGAGTTGGAGCGCTTGAGGTCGTAGGCTCATTGGAGCTGTAAGCGTAGGAACGAAGGAACATGGGAGTCGGTCATGGAGGGGACTGGGTTGTATGATAGCGCAGAAATCGAGACGAAATGGGATGTATGATAGGATACAAGGCGTGCTGCGTAGAGGGCAGGGAACTGTATGAATATGACGGCTTTTCGAGTTTTAGCAGACGTGGTTCTCACTTGCTGTGGGAAGTTGAGTGAGATCGTGCAGTTGGTGCGCGCAATACGGTCGGACGGTGCCTTCGGTCACGCAGTACATCGGTCCTGACTGGAACTTGTAAAGCGCAATTGTGATTTCTAGCAAGACCGCGGCGCGGGTATAGACTGGTGTGGATTTGAAGGTGGCAGCGCCGGTGTATTGAGTCAATCTGCTGTGCAGTATAGTCTGCTTGCGCATGGCTCATCCTCTGAGTGAGTAATGAGGAGTGTCCACGAGGCGTCGCGAGCCCACGAATCCATGCAACGCTACAAGTAGGTGACACCGAGAGAGCAGTATGGAAGAGAAAGGAGTTTGGAAGTGTATTTTCATAGCCACAAGATGCCACCCACCGACAACATCGCTATCTATTTAGAATGCGATCCAACCGCTCCTTGTTGATGGGAATTTTGTCATCGTTCGGGTTGGCCGAGACATTACAAGATATCATCTGGTTATCGACCTCCGCCGCCATAATAGCGGCAAGCGCATGCAGGCGCTTCTCGCGCCCATCTTGGTCGTTCCCATTCTAGGTCTGGGACACTCACTTTGTTCGGTCGGGCAGCGGGGTCTTGACCTCGTCCTTGCTGGGCTTCCACTCCTTGACGAAGGGCAGGAAGGCGGGCTGGCCAGGGATGTATTTGCGCAGGACCTCGGGCACGTTGAAGCCCTCGGGGGTCTGGTAGTTTTCGAGGATGCAGCAGAGGGTGCGCTCAGTGGCGCAGACTAAGAATTATGTCAGTGTGCAAGCAAACAAAGAGGAGCGAGGGACGTACGTGTGCCGTTCAGAGCGTGGACGTATTCCTTGCGTGTGGCGGTCTGCTTCTTGACGCCGAATCGGATCTCGAGCTCGCGCGTCTGGTAGTCTGTGCAGTTGGAGATGGACACGAGCTCCTTGTACTCGCCGCCACCGGTGACGGGGAACCAGGCCTCAAGATCGCGCTTCATGGACGCTGCGTTGTCTGCAAATGGGTTAGTTGGTTTTCCTCGTTCTGCGATACGGTTGGACTTACTCAAGGCTCCACTGACGATGTTGATGACCTGGTAGGGCAGGCCGAGGCTCTGGTAGAACTCCTCGGACGTAGCAAGCATGCTCTCAAACGCCTCCCACGACTTCTCGGGGTGCGTAATGATGAACTGCTCCACCTTCTCGAACTGGTGTATCCTGAAGATGCCCCAGGCGTCCTTTCCGTGCGAGCCAGCCTCCTTCCTGAAGTTGGTCGAGTATCCGGCGTACTTGATGGGCAGATCGGCGGTGCCGAGCCACTCCTCAGAGTGCAGAGCGCTGATGGGCTGCTCAGAGGTGGCGATCAGGTACTTGTCTGTCTCGGGCTTGTCCTTGCTCTCGGTGACCTTGTACAGCTCCTCGTCGAAGTCGGAGAGTTGCGCCGTCTTGGCCATCTGGTCGCGGAGCATGAAGAAGGGCGGCTGGTTGGGTGTGTAGCCCTTGTTGAAGAGGAATTCGAGGCCGTAGTTGACGAGCGCGAGGTTGAGGAAGAGGCCGTAGCCGGTCAAGCAGTAGCCTCTGTGTCCGACAATCTTCACGCCACGCTCGGGGTCGTAGCCGTTCAGTCTTGTGAGGACGCCGTGGTGGGGAATGGCGTTCTCCTTGAACACAGCCTTCCTGTCCTCGGGCGCCCATGTCTTGACGACAGCGTTGTCGTCCTCGGTGCCCGACACAGGGACGTCCTTGTGCACGTAGTTGCCGACCGACTTGGCCTTGGTGTTGAGCTTGACCAGCTTCGCCGCAGCCTCGTCCTCCTTGGCCGACTTCTGCTGCTTCAGCTGCGCCATCTCCGCGAGAAGGTCATCGGCACTCTCCTTGGCCTTCTTCTTCTGCCCGACCTGCTTCTGCAGCCCGTTTATTTGCGAGCCGATCTGCGTGGCGGCATATTGTGTCCTGCGGTGGTCCTCGAACAGCTCGATGACCTCGTCTACAATCTCGACGGGCGCATGGCGCTTGCGCTGGGACTCGCGGATCTTCTCTGGGTCACCGCCGCGCTCTGTGATAAAGTCGTTGCTGTTTACCCCGCCATGTTAGCATGTTTACAGCGGATTTGGGATGGCAACTCAGGCAAGAGCCCGGACCGCAGAGCAGGCTTACATGTCGAGCATCTTGTCTCACGGTGCAAGTGTGCTGTGTCAATTGCTCGTGTGCAAGGCGTCGCAGCGCGAGGACACAAATGTGGTGGTGCGCTTGAGTCAGGGACCGGGATGATCTGTGCGATGGCGGGGCAGCGTGGCTGTACTCTTGACTCTTCGCATGCTGGCCTCGACACTTCCCAGAACAGCAAGTTTCAGCCTTCACACGTGAAAGCATCGATCACGGCGTCTTCACCGTCAAAGCTTCAGAGCTGCCTAATCAAGGGGTGGTCGATGCATTCGTGCACGGTGATCAAGCCGAACTGTGGCGGGAGGATTGTACGAGGCTGGTGAGGTTGGGTGCGTTCGTAAGAATCTCATCGCCATTGTAGTCTATAGAATTAACCCCGGTCGTGTCGTGGAGCGCGACAAAAGAGAGCAGAATACCAGATAGAACCCATTGCGCCCCGCTGAAACGCCATTACACCATAATGCCTCTGCACAGAGAGGCTGCCAAAAACATTCACATCCACCCCGCCCATCGGTCGACCGTCTATACCGTCTAGACCCTTGACCCAGCCCTTCATGAAGACGTACAGTCGTCCGGCACACATCTCTTCCAGCCTTTCTTCTTGCGGTCTGTCTTATCCTCCTCTACACTGTCACACCACGGTGCCGCCGGTACACCTGGAGGAAAGCACTGTCAGTCATGATTTCTACATGACCTGACACCCACTCTTGCCGCCAGTGGGCTCACCAGGATTCTGGCTAGTCTCCACCTGCTCGATCAAGAGCTGGAAGGCCTTCTCAACATTCTCGTTGTACCGCGCACTGGCTTCTGTCCAGCCGCACTTGAATTCTTGTGCGAGCTGCTTGCCATCCTCGGGGGTGACCTGGCGTTGCTCGGGGCGGAGATCGGACTTGTTGCCCACGATGACGAGTGGGACCCAGTCGACAGCCTGCGAACATCTTGTTAGCTTACAGTGTAGTTCATCATATTGGATGAGAAAACTCACGAGGTGGTTGAGGATCTTGTCGCGGATGATGCGTGCCATTTCAAAGCTCTGCTTGCTTGCAACCGAGTAGACGATCATATAGCCATGGATACCAATAAAGTGCTTCGAGTTAAGAATACTATACTCATCCTGGCGAGTTTACTATGTTAGCAACGTTCACATGTCAACAACATTCACATGTCCACCACACGACGATGCAACCCGCATGCAGCAAAATGTTAGACACAGTAGACGCAGCCGCAGCTGCGGTCGCATTACGGCACTGCTCAAGCTCAGGTGGGGCGCGGAGCTCTTGCGGGAGCGGGGACAAGAAAATCTCACGTACCTGGCCAGCAGTGTCGATGATCTCTGTTGCGAAGTCCTGATTCTTCCACTTGATCATCTTGCTGAACGTGTTCTCGATAGTGGGGTAATAGCTGTCCACAAAGTGGCCGTCGACGAATTGCACCGTCATACTCGACTTGCCTGCATCAATTCGCGTCAGCTACACTCATGCATGTTGTAGCTCACTACTGCGTTTGCTTACCGACAGCTCGACTGCCGACAATGGCCATCTTTCTCTGCTTCGGGGGGGCAGGCATGTTGCTGGTGATTTGGTGGTGTTTGTAAGTGATTGCAAAGGAGCTGAGGTGGAATTCACTCTCTCAGTCCACTGTTGGGAGCTGATGGCCAGGCCGTTGCTACGTCGATCCTGGGAGCTAAGGATGACGTCCGCGCGCGAGGAAGGTAGCACCGAGTAAGGAAGTTCCGAGTAAGCAGGGATCTACACCGGTGCCGTTACCGCAATCAACAAGATCTCCAAACGAAGGTGATTGTTTGCAACACTCTCTTACCCGCGTCCAAAAAGTTCCTCGGCCGCGAACTTATGCCGTCATGCTTCCGTGGCCCACACCAGACCCTTCCCACCGCGACAATGCAGGCGTCGACTTTATCCAAATTGCCCAATCCCAAGCATTCAATTTACGTGATGTCAACTTAGCCGAGCCTAGTGCCTCTGCAGTTCCAGCCATCCAGCAACTCACACTCATCTCTCGGCCACACGTTCTCTGGGTCTTCTAGAAGCTAATGCCCTACCCGACACCCCGCCGTGCTGACCTTACCGAACTTGTATGCCGACTACAGCTGAATCATCACATGCTTGATAGAAAGTCTCTGAGGCCATCGTGATGTGTTCATTTGTATCTTACGCCGTGTACAGGTGTAACGGGCATGTCGCGACTATTCCGTCGGAGACGCTGTTGTCAGATGGACACGTGGGCTGTTTTGAAACATGGGAGCAACACAGTGTAGCCGGTTAGCCAGGTTGAGATGCCCGGTCAACAGCTCACGCGTCTGCGGAACAAATGTCAAGGCTTGTGGCACACACCAACTGGGACCGATCGTGGCCCTGCATGTGTTGAAGAGGAAGCTCTACTTCTTTTGGCGTATTTAATACTTCCTTGGTCCCAAGCTAACCGCGTTCCCGGCTCATGTCTCGGAAAGCGCATGCATGGTGTAGACGCCCAAACTGCAACTCCATAATCATTGGGTATCGTGCTACAATCAAAGTTATTCCCCTACATCCAGGACCCAAAAGAGATTCGTCATCGACGTCTGCGACGTCTGTCGTGCAACAAGACACCAACGTCTAACGTCCATTATCTTGCGCTTTCCAGCTTCCTGACAACATGCATAATCCGCAAGTAGTAGTTGTTCAGCGCTTCTTGCCCTTCTGGTCCCTCGAAACGACTAGCCGTTTTCTTGTCGACATGTTCGTGAATGCGAGCAAACTCTTTCATGTTGTTAAGCAGGTGGTGAATCTCTCGATCCGGAAACAGACCCTGAATCTGAGACCGAACGGTGGTGTTGAGGCACAGCATGCCTAGAAGTACCGCCAGGAAACCAATCACTACGCTAACTTCAGACTCCTCAACGGAGCTGGCCTCAGCTGCTCGTTCAGAGCCAGTTACAAAAATCTTCACTAGCACCTCTATTGAACTGGGATCGTTGATAGCGTTAAGTCGTGCTTGGTCGCTGAGCTCAGCAAGGTTGATCATGGTTCCCAAACTGAGAGTCAAATCAGCCAATATCGTTGCACGGCCTTCCAGGTCTAGCTTGCCAGCTTCCAGCCGCTCAAATCGGGCGACAATGAAGCTCACAAGAGACCCGATAAATGTTTGAGTTGAGAAAGGCTGACAAGACTTGGGCTTGTTGTTGGTGAGATTCATGCAAAGCTTCATTGCCTCCACAGTCTTGGTCAGGGCATTATTCGTGAAAAAGACTGGTACTGCGTTTGAGAGTCGTTGAAGAACGGTGTTTGGCCATGTAGTGCAGTCCTGATTTGTGATAGATGCAGCCTCCAATGCCGAGATCGCCAGGTCAAGGGCCAACAAGTCATGGGCAGATGAGTCGGTGGCCTCGACCCGTGTTGACAGTATCGAACAGACCTCAACTGTGACTGACACCGCGTCCGTAGTCAGTAGCATCTCGGGGCTGCCGCACTCTCGCAGACTTCGAACGAGGAGATCGGTAGTCTTCAGCGCGAGAAGTTGAGGGGACAGCTTGCCTGGTGTGCTTGACGACCATATCGGAGATGCAAGCACCAAAGCACGGAATTCAGCCAATGACTCCTTTGCAATCTTGGACATGTTTGACTTGCGATCGCGCGCAATCCTTGAAATGTCGCTATCTTTGCCAATCAAACTGATCAGCGCCGTCATAACGCCAGACCGGTGTATCTGGTTGATGACAGCAAAAGCTGGCTTTGTATGAAGAATCAAGACGATCGAGACAGCTGAGACGAAATCGAAAATAACGTCGCCAGAAGACGTCATGCTCTCGAGAAGTTTATGCATGAAACCGGAGTCGAGGAGCTGACCAACAAAGCCAACATCAGCCATCTTAGTGCACAATTCCATCATTGCGTTGCGCCGCATGCTCTTATTGGAGACGTCTGAGATTTCGCGGATTGACTCATCCATATCCCACGAGAACATCGTGTTTTGTCCGTATTTCTTGAGCTCATGGTGAGTTCGTGGCTGACTAGTGGGCCCGTCTTCTTCGTCCGTGGAAATTGTTTGCGAATCCAGCTTCCAGTTGTCGTCAAGGTCCATAGACATGAGGAGATCATCTTCTGGGTTTTCTTCTTGCAAGTAGGATCGCTGACTTGCGTATGTGAATTTTGGGCGAGTGGTAGCCCCAGAGGTTATTTGTGAGGTCTGAGAGTCTGCGGTTGCGCTGAGATGATGCTCAGGTTCGTCTTCGTCAATAGCGATTGTGCGTTTGGCTTGTATCGGAGTCTTTCCGCTGTCCATTTCGACGTCCACAGCAACGAAACTGTTAGCTTCATCATCGCTGTCACTATCCTCTCCTTCGGAACTTGTGTCTTTATCTTTGAGCGCACTCATCAAACGAGGTTTTCGCGACTGATCGCTGTGCGGGATATCAGACTTTGACCTGGCGAGAGCGCCGATTAATGATCGCGGCTTCTTTTCGGTGAGCTGCAACGATGCAAGAGCAGAAGCAGGTGTTTTCGGCGCCGCTGGACCACCCAACAAGGTGCTAAACAGGTCTTTCTGACGAGGAGTAACAGAGCCGGGCGTTGAGATCAAGGTCTTGCGGAGAGGGGTTGACCGAAGCGGAGTTGTCATGGCATCCTGAATGTCGTACATAGTGTCGTCAGATGCAGGTACTTCAGTAGCTGCATCCTCAGAAGAGATCCTCGGAGCTTGTTCGAGAGGAAGCATTTTGCCCAGAACAGCTGGCGAGGATTGGCCTTTCGATATTGTTGGGTGATTAGTGACTGGCACAGTACGCGTTCTTGTTCGCTTCGGTTTATTGACTATGGACTCCGTAACCGTGGTTGGTAATGCTGGACGATGGACCGGGGCTCTTGCCGACTCGCGACCTGGCGATGCCCCCTCTTCTCGTTTGGCTACCTTGCGGTCTCGTTGCTGTTTTCTTTCTTTCGATTTGTTCTGCAAATCTTCAACGATAGGTCTGGGGGCAGCCGCGAGAGACACAGAACCCTTTCTCTTGCGATTTTGCAAGCTGCCAATGTTATTTGATTTCGCTGAAGCCTTCCGTGGTGCATCTTGTGACAGGGCCTTTGGACCTCCAAACTGCTTCACTGATCCTTTCAGGTCTTGACGGGGTACCTGTCTGAGTGCCTTAGGAATTGGCACAGATGCATCTTCGTCTTCTGACGGCACGTCGAATTCGTCCAACAGAGCCGGTGGCTGGGCTGTTGGTTTAGCTGTCTTCGCCAGCTGTGGCTTCGAAACGGGCCGTATAGATAGGCCAGGAGTTGTAGCGCGTGAGGTGTATTTCGACGTGTTTGATCCTTGCGGTCCCTGCCCATTCGCAGTGCTCTGCTTCTGTCCTTCCATAGCGCGCAATGTCTTCGGTTGTGATGTCATGCCCGCGCCCGTAACATTAGACTGACGCTCCTTTTCCCGTGCTGGCTTTCGTGGCTTGGCCGATTCCCGCGACGATCTTGCCATGGTCTCCGTCGGTTTTGCAAGTCCAGGCTTCTGCGGCGATCGAGCGGTGGTTGCGGCTGGACGACTTGGCTGACCTGCAGCTTTCTTAGTAGCATTGGCAATTGGCTCTTCAGCCATTTTGCGACGCTGTACTATGGGTCGTTTTGCAGGCGTGGTCGGCTGGAATACATGCTCGTCCTCGGAGGGCACGTCGAACACATCTGGGCCAGCTGCAGCCGCGCGCGCACTTCCGGAAGTGTGAACAGAATCTAGCTGTTCCCCATTGCCTGTCCGTGGCCGATTCGAAGTTGATGCGTGTTTATGGGGTCGTTCGGGCGAAGGCGCATTGTCATCGAAGAGATTCGGTCGCGATGGTGGAAGACGCGACAATTTCCCGTATGTAACCACCTTCTTTTTCCTTTCACCAGTCGTGAAGCTAGATGACATGAAAGATGCCATGGCCGACGCGTTTTTGGGGATTGTTTTGGCAATGGGTTTCCTAGGATGGCGCGCGCATCGTAGTGGGAGAAGGTCGGCGTCAAGCGACCGGGCAGATGCCTCAATCTCCTTGCATGAAGTGAGGCGCACCCAAATGCGACAGTTGCTATTGACGGTGAATCTCGAGGACGCGCCTGACACTCAATGTTCACCGCGAGCAATGACGAAGCCGGCAGACACCTTGCGGCTTGACGAGATATGCAAAGCAGGGTCCGCGCCTGCCCGCTCGAACGCCTGCAGGACGCTAGCCTAGAGCGGCGGGCGGTGAATGGCGGGGACAGAGGCACACGCGCCCATTGTCCTCATGCATCCAGGCACTGAGGCTCCAAGGGCTTGCGGAGGTCGCCGGTAGATCGAGAGCCGAGACTTGGAGCTCCTTCTTCCTACAGCTTCTCCTCTTTTATTGTTATCTCGATACTGTATCTATTAGTCCATCCCATCTCTACAATTACCACATCGCTTGAGACCAATTGACTGCCCCACTTACGGCATTTCTCAATCGCCTGGCCGCCGCGGCTGAATCTATCTTCAAGCTCACAGCCGCTTCCAGCTTCCCTGGCCACTACTTACATCTCTACGTCCAACCACTCTTCAATTACTTCAAACTCCAATGTAGGTGCATTACACGAGGGACTTGAAAAACACTAATTTCAACAGCTCCTCACTTACCATCCCATCACCACTCTTTACAAACATGACTGGCGGCTTTGAGACACCACCTTCGCAATGCCTGGGGCCTGAGTATCGTCCAGCTACGCAGAAGCCAACTGCTACTGTGTCCAAGCCTCTGGACCAAGTGCCAAATATCCACATCCTGCCTCAAACTCCCCAGCTGATTGCGCTGCTAACGTAAGGCCCCCTATGCATATTAGCAATGTCAAACTCAACTATAACAGCATGATTCGCGATAAGAACACGGGGCGTGCCGACTTCATCTTCTACTCAAACCGCATCATTCGTCTCTTGGTTGAAGAGGGACTCAACCACCTCCCTGTTGTTGGTCACGAGATCACTACACCTGTGGGGCGAACGTATGCTGGTGTCAAGTTTGAGGGTAAGATTTGTGGTGTCTCGATCATGCGCGCTGGAGAGTCCATGGAGCAGGGCCTAAGGGATTGCTGCCGATCAGTCAGGATCGGAAAGATTTTGATCCAGAGAGATGAAGAGACAAGCCAGCCCAAGCTCTTCTACGACAAGCTGCCCGAGGACATTTCCGATCGATGGGTCTTGCTGCTGGATCCTATGCTTGCGACTGGTGGCTCTGCTCTCATGGCCGTCGAGGTACTCAAGTCGCGTGGTGTGCCTGAAGAGCACATCCTCTTCCTGAACCTCATCGCTAGCCCCGAGGGCGCGAAGAGATTTGCCGAGCAAGTGCCAAAGGTTAGAGTAGTGACAGCGTTCGTTGACCAGGGTCTGGACGAGAAGAAGTACGTATCGCCCCCGTAACCATTGGCCGTCGCTGACCATCCCCAGCTATATCGTTCCAGGTCTTGGTGATTTTGGCGACCGCTTCTACACTTTGTAGAGCGTCATAGCCATCTCGCCTATAGGAAGGTCTCACATTCTTGGAAGGTCCAATTGCAGCTGTAGCACGTAAACACAAGCCATGATACATAACACACGAGGAAAGCGGTGTTTGGAAACAGTACATTTCGCTGCATGTCTGAAAGCCACCTACGGGCAAAGTTTTTGTCGAGTGACCGAAGTCAAGCTTCGAACTCAGAGAACCCCAGTACCTCCGTGGTATACCATAACGCCATAAATGCCAATCATGCCCACATCATGTCATGTTACTTTTGAACACCTCTGCATGCTGTACAGCGCCATCCATATTCTCAAGCATCATAATCGCCCTCGGCGTCCAGGTCGTCGTTCTCGATAAAGCCATCGTCGTCGTCCACGGGCTTGGGCAGCGCACCAGTGCGGTTCGTCGAGCGCTCAGTCGCACGCCCAGCAGCAGCCTCTTTGGCAACGGAGTCGCAGGCGTCGATCCAGTCGGCATACACGTCAACGGGTGCAGACAGATCTATGCCAGCAGTCAGCATCAGCCCACTCCTGAAGATAACTCCACATACAGTTGATGTTAGTCTGGAACGTCTGTCCACAGACCTTGCACTGCAAGTTGCCGACACCGGACTTCTTCTCGATAGACACGGAGACAGACTTCTCGTGGTTGCAGAACAGGCACTGGAACGTGGTAGGCAGCTTCTCCTTCTGGTGTAGTCGTTAGCGACCATCGGCGGGGTGCGATAGTGACAGGCATACCCTCTTGGGGCCCTGCGGCTTGCTGGATGATTTGCGCTTGCCCTGTTCGTATGATTAGCGGGCGCATGCGACGAGGCCGACGGCGCAGTACGCACCATTTTGTGGTTGTTTGTGGTTGTCTCTGGAGTGTAAGAGTGTTGGTTGTTGCGCGCGTGATATCACTTGGGTTATAAAGGCACTTCTGGCGGCTATAGTGGTTGTGCTTGCCCTGAACCGTGGGTGAGAGCCTCTCGACGATGACGCGCGAGGTGGGAGCGCGACCGCGACGAATTTCTGGCGCGTGGCGGAGAACTCCTAGCTCCGGTCGCACCTGCCTACTGCCTATCAGCCCCACCGATAGCTGGCATGCGGGCGGTAGTCAGCTGTCTTGACCTTCGTTGTTGTCCACATCTCCTGCGTGTTTCCAATTTCTTTCTTCTCACCGACTCTACTTAAACGTTTTGCTACGTTTGAGCAGGCTTCGTAAAACCACAGATTCTTTTCCTGAACCTCCTCAACGTCGTTGCTCGACATCTGCCTCCCTTCCCCGCATTTGTACTACTCCGGTAGCTGCCGAAGCCCTTCCCCAGCTTCAGTAAGGTCAACGCTCCGAACGTCTCCTAACATTGGCTTCTGGTGATCCAATAAATCGTCTACTCAATCTCTTTTGGAAACTTCTCTTTTCAAGATGTCAACCGAAAATGGCACGGACAATGCTATTCTCAAGGAGATCTTGGACGGACTGAAGGCGATGCGCCTAGAGAACTCTGAGCTTGCATCTGCGATCGATAAGATCAACGGCCGCGTGAATGTGCTGGCTGGCGTCAAGCAGTTGAAGGATGAGGCGGCGACTGAAGCTGCGAACGGCACTCTGAGCAAGGAGAAGGCGAAGGAGGCCGACTCGGCCCAAACCGTAGAAGCTGTTAGCCAGCAGTATGAGCCAACATCCCCCAATGCTGAAGCACCTCGTCCCGCAAGTGTCTCGAAGACTTCAAAGATCATCTTGACTTCGTATCCTGGTCAATCTGGTGTCGACCCTCTGCCTATGGAATGGGGTGCCAAAGACCCTGCCGTCCGTGGTCCCGTTGTTGTGTCGAGGCACAACAACACCATCCGTCGTCGTAACGGTACGTTTTCGTCGTTAAAACAAGTTTTGAACCTATTTGTACTGACTGTTCACAGCAATTGGAGCTCACGGAGGCTCGTATTCGATCTACAACGCGCTTGCTGTTGCTAGCAAAGACCTCGACATTACGCACAAGCCGGACTTCACGAACACTGAGCCCGCTGCAAACATTGGGCCATTCCCTCAATGGAATGACAAGAAGAAGATTGTTGCGATGGATCCCTATGGTCATCTCGCTCCATGGCTGCATAAGGAGACCATGGACAAGGAAGACATCGAAATCCGACCGACCATTGCTATCACCCGAGCGCACATGAAGCTCCCTGAATTGGAGGAGAGCGTGAGGAAGGGGCGACTTGTACCTGATGGAAAGATTTGCATAAACGAGACTGGTGAAGTAGCAGTTACTAAAGTGGCTGTTGAACCAGTGTGGTATCTGCCTGGTGTCGCTGAGCGTTTCAACATCGGTATGCATCTTTTGCTATGTTATGATAAAGTCACTAGACTAACAATTCTACCAGATGAGGGGACTCTGAGACGAACACTCTTCGAAGAGACCGGCGGTTCGTACCCAGAGTTGATCACACGCCACGATATTAAGCTTTTCCTTCCTCCCATCGGTGGTCTCACCGTTTACATCTTCGGTGACCCAGCGAAGATGTCAGACCCCGAAGCCCGCCTTGCACTTCGTGTCCACGATGAATGCAATGGTAGCGATGTCTTCGGATCTGACATCTGCACGTGCCGTCCATACCTTACCTTCGGTATCGAAGAAGCCGTGAAGGAGGCCCAGAAGGGTGGCAGCGGCGTCGTCATCTATTTCCGCAAGGAAGGTCGTGCACTCGGCGAAGTCACCAAATACCTCGTTTACAACGCACGAAAACGTGGCGAAGACCGTGCCAGCGAGTACTTCCAGCGTACCGAGAACATTGCCGGAGTCAAGGACATGCGCTTCCAGGCGCTTATGCCTGACGTGAGTCCACGTTCCCGTCACGAGAAGTATTGATGAGCTGACAGCATGATAGATTCTCCACTGGCTCGGCATTACCAAGATCGACAGGATGTTGTCCATGTCCAAGTACGTTTCACTCTGTTCGTAACTGATGACCCGACGGCTGACAACAGCACAGCATGAAGCACGACGCTATCGTCGATCAGGGCATTCCCATCCACGAGCGCGTGCCCATTCCTGATGAGATGATTCCGGCAGACAGCCGCGTCGAGATTGACGCCAAGATCCAGGCCGGTTACTTCACCACAGGCACTGTCATGTCCATGGAGGAGTTGGCGAACGTCAAGGGTCGCGGCTGGGAAGATATCGATGTATGTCCATTTCCTGACAAACCCATTGGTGTGACTAAGCTGACTGAGAGTGTAGCACTGAGCGGACCCTACATCTTGGTAAGGGGTATGCAGGGCATTGAAGACGCATCGTCTGATCCTTCTGCGCGACAGTCGAATCCCACGATCTTCTCGAAAATGTTGCAGTGGACGCGTACGCAGCATCGCTGTACCACACACGCTTACAACGAAACCAATACTCCATCGAAAAATTTAGACAGCGCATATTTGAATTTAAGCCAACCAATCACATTGTCTCCATCTCGATACTAACCTTGATTTCGCTGTTGTTGCTCTGCCGTGTCAACCTGAGCATCGGGTCGTCCCATAACCAGTGACAATTCATCACTATGGGCGGGCCGATCCTGACAACCATCGATCCGAACAACCTTCTGAGGGCCCTTACGGGCCGGCCACGTGTTTGTCCAAGCCCAGCATCTCGTGAGCCACAGACCAAACAGACTGTAGCGCCACTAATCTCTGCGACACTTGGGGTAGCTCTCGTGCGTTATCTGCTGGCGGATAATGTCCACTGAGGATGACTGCGCTGTATCCCACAACAACACACAACGCGCATCGATTCGTACGTACCTACAGCAACCCGCACAGTGCAGAAGTGCACCCAGCACGAAACGCGCCTTATCCGCGACACCGCGCTCACGGGGCGCCTACGCATGCACATGATCGCGGTGCCAACGCAGCAGACGCGTGCCATGTCAACACAAAGCGAGGGGTGCACCCGCCAGGCCTTGGAGCCTTGGAGGGGTATGCCTCCGTCGGCAGCAGGCTGCGAACGAGCTCGCGGCCCGCGCCGACCTGACAACCTGAGCGGTTGTCTGTAGTACACCGCCTTGTTTCTACACTCAAGGAGCGGTAAGCAAGGCCTTACTCGCGGGCCCACATGGTGTACACAATCTTCATCGCGAGACGGGCTGTTGCAAGACGGAAAAACTCGCGCTTCTAGAATGCAGAAATCAGTTCGATATTGCGGATGAAGTGGGCTCTCCACTTTGCACTGTCAGCAAAGCTGCACGTGCGCCGTCCGGTAAAAGGTGCAGTGGCCGGTATAGGTACTGCTTCCCTGGGTGTGGGTTTATCTCGGCATGTGTAAGAAGAACACGAGCAGCTGTACGAGCAGGAGCACAAAATAATGCGCTGTTCGGAACTCGGGTGTGATCGGCGCAAGATCTGCCATAGAAGCACGCCTGGAACTCAGGATGCGCGGAGAATATGCATGTGTTCAGTGTTGGGGGCATTTCCACCGGTGATGGTGTGATGATGAGGGGTTGCCAACATTATCTGTTGAGACGCAAAGTGCGTCCTCAAGGTCGATAATGTCTGCAAAACTACTCAGCAATCATGGTAACGGTCCTTTGTTCAAATTATCGTTCTCTTGATATTAATTTCCAATAATTCCATGCGTGTGGGCAGTTGATCTGCTTAACGTCTGCGGCTATGACGGCCACGGGACAGCTTATCCATTAGGTACCCGCTCCCCGGGCCAGGCACACGCACATGTGGCTAACATCGCGGTTTTGCAACGGACTGGGCAGCATGGCATATTGGAACCCTGCGCCCGTGTCCCAGTCCGGTTTGACTGCAGGCGTAGCACTGTGTAGCGTGTGTATGAAACCCGGTCCACCGATCGAGTGCAACTGTGATGGATTTATTAGATGACGATTCCACTATGTGTTGCTGGCCTGAAGGCAGAATGTGATTCTTGAATTTTGGTTGGCAGGCTTTGTGGGAGACAAGCGCTTGGTGGGGAAGCGGAAGGCTGGAACCTTCAGCCAGTGGGGTTGAACGATAGAGGGGACTGCCGAAGCAATTCTTCACTCTGTCGGTGAGGAACTCTGAACGCGAAACTCAGATGTAGCTGATTACAGCAAAGGTTACCGTGCTAGTTTCTTAGTGAGAGTTACAGAGCGGAGTCGTAAAGAAGCAGCCAATACAGCCGATGGGAAAGATACCGTTCAGCTGAGTTACGTTTGGCTGACGACGAGACAGTGGAGAGATTAAACGATCCAGATCAGGACCCATTGTATGATTATTGCTCGGAGTGGATGTGTCTCACCGTGCTCGCCCGACCAAAAAGGTACCAGGTGAGGCGCGGACGTGGCCGTTGCTGAACCGTCACAGCGTGCAGCAGGAAGCCACTGCCGGATGTCAGTGTCAAATATGTCATCGATCGAGCATGCTTGTGTTCATCACGCTGTTGGACACGCGAACGGTGAGCACACGACGTCGTAAAATGTCGCCGGACCATCTCGTGTTCTTGTGCTCCAACCGGAACGCAGTAAATCTCCCGAAAGATGAAGGGGTGACCTGGTCGCCGTGTGTTCTCGACTCCAACGTCCAGCTCCGTGATGTGCAATGCATAACCGGTCAAAATGGAGGCAACACCGGCGTGATGTCGTCACAGGGCTGTGAGAGGCAAGAATGAGGCTGGTTGCAAGCAACATCTAGGCTGTCACGTTTCAGTTGTGGCCAGACTCAGAAGATGAGCGTGTCCGAGGCTGGCAACAGGCTGTGAACCTCGTCAGGGCGGCGCTTCCAAGGCACAGCTGCCAGCTGCCAGATCCGCGAAACATAGCCTGTCTGGTCATTACCTACCACGCAGCGATGACGGTGAGGTCCATGCGATCCGGCATCCTTCCGCCGATTCGATGCTCTCCAGGGTGACGCCGTGACGGTGCCGCTTCAGCACCCGCCCTTCCGGCTAACCTTGGAATCGAACGCGCAACGCCGCCGGCCACACCGTAAGCGCGCTCGCTGAGCAGTTGTCGCAGTGCGACCGATCAATCGATAGAGCAGTGGCCGTCTCGAATCCGAGGTGGCCAACTCACACCTGCAGCGAAGCACAGTCTAATCAAATGGAGGTGAGATCTTGTGCGTGTTGAGGACGAGTCAGGAACGAGCGGACGGATGACAACGCACCACTCCCTGTAACTTCTATTCTAAACGGCCCACGTTTTTTGGGCGGCGTGCGTTTTCGATGCAAGCCCGGCCAGAAGTCTAAAGTGGGGCTACTGCTGCAGAAGGCGTGGCAGGGGTGCCTGGATCATGCACAAGCGTGAGTGTCGGTAGTATGGGGTGAATAGCGTCTGGGCGGGCTCCGAGACTCATTATTACTACCTACCCACCTTCAAGTTGTACAAATAACTTCGTCAACACATCCAACATATTTCAACACTCAACATCCGAACCGAAAACCGTATACGCATTACCACACGTTCACCATTGTCACCATGTCATCCTACGGCAGTTACTACTACTCGCTTCCCACTGAGGCACCAAAGCGCTCAAGATCAGGCAGTCGACGCCCAGCTCTGTCACCTTCGACTGTTTCTTCGCCCTGTATTACGACACATGCTCCTATTGCTTCTCGACGGGACTCTGCTGGATCGGCAACATCATCAGGCAGCCCGACCAAGGCCTCCGTTCTGCTCGCCAAGGTAGCCTCCTCACCCACCACACCAAGGGGCGAGCTCCCGTCGCCAATGGCCTCTCCCGAATCCAGGATGCACTCAGGCTACCCCACGGAACGTCCCGTAGTATGGAGGAGCGAGAGCGCCCGCTACGTCACCCAGTACAGGCAGCAGGGTAAGCTTCACTTCCCAACAGTGAATCCTACATGAAACTAACATGATCTCAGATGGTTACATCAGCTTCCCTGACTACGAGAAGTTCTGCCAGAGTCAACATGAGCAACACCAGACCGCTGTCAGGACTTGATTCGCTCTCAAGCATCATGTGCAGGAAGAGCTAGAAGTTTCATCACAGCACTTGCTGCCCTATTCACCAAACTAAAAACAAACCACCACGACTACCTTCCTCTGATAAGAGTTTGGTCACAGTTCAACCGGTGTAATTCGCACCTCGTCCCCTCGATGGGGGTAAGTGCTAAGGACGAATCATCAACAATCGCCCAACCTGGACGGCAACTCAGACGTGGCGCTTGACAGTCCAACGCATGTCGTGGGTCGCACGTCATTGTGGCAGGAGAAATCAGACGGAAGAAGCAAGGCCGGCGTGGGGGCGATGTTCGTATGATGCGCACAGCCACCAGGCTGCGGCCGAGGTCGTGCGCAGGGGGAGAAGATTCGAGATCACCAGATCCGCTTCGTCAGCCGAGAAGTGGGATGAGAGGAGAGTGTAGGAGGAGGTTTAGGTGCACGTGTGGTGGAAATAGCCGTTAGGTAGCAGCGCATAGACGCGCGGTGGCGAGACGGAGTTCGCGGTGGTGGCAAGCCCAAATTTAAACATATCACGATACAAAACTCGGGATTTTTTGCTACTGTGATTCTGTGAAGATACGACAGGGAAAACGCCTCAGCAGCACTTGCCGATGTCTAGGTTTGCTTTTGGTGCAGGGCTGACACATCTGGTTCAGTCTTTCGCGTCGCAGACAGGTAGCAGATAAGCGTCCTGAACTGTTAACGCACACAAGGGAGCAAGGAGACTCCTAGCAAGTCCTTAGTCGATTGCTATCGCTAACAAACCATACTGCAGTTTCTCATCTGTCAACATACTTGCGAAGTCTGCATGATTGCGCTTTGAAGCCCACGTGGAAGCAACTTCCAAGTTATTCAGGTAACACGAGATAGTGCTACTCTGCACAGCATACATGTCGCAGCAACATGCGCCTTGACAGAATGCACGGCTGCAGTTTGCGGACAATCCTTCATAGGCGTGCAGGTGGGGATCGCACTGCAAGTATGACTCCAGCGGCCGCTGCTTCCGATTCCATTTCTATCTGCCGGAAAGCTGAGGTGCTGTGCGACAGCGGACGAGAAACACTCCACAGAACAATGTGCACAAATCTTGCGCGCAGAGTTATGACGCAATGCAGAGTGTCGCTCTCAATTTCGCTTGCTGACGGTGGACCGTGGTGATGTAGTGTAGTGCTGGTGTTGCGGCAGGGTCGACGTCACGTGAACGGGGATTTTCAGCACCGCTAGATTGTGTGCGGTCCAGGATAGGAAAGAGCATTTGAGGTTTTATTGAAGAGAGCGCGTGCCCTTGGCGATAATAGATTGACGAGAAGATTACAGCACTTAAGAAGCGGCACACGGCGCATATATTGCATAGACCGACCGCAATGACGACAGCGGCAATGATGGGTGACTGTGCCAGTGTACGTCCCCAGGCCTCGAATCAAATCGCGATCAACCCTGCTGCGCAGCACGGCGCAACGCATCAAACGTGATCCGACCGGCTATGCGACACATATCACTGTGCTCAGTTATATGCTTCTTTGTAGTTCTCAGTCGCAGTCGCAGTCGCAGTCGCAGTCGCAGTCGCAGCAGGCTTCGTCTGCGCCACCACATACGGACTTCATGAAAAGATTGTTGCAGAAAGTCAATATGTGAATCTACACCAATGCTGTTCGTCCAGAATTGCAAGGCTTTCCGCCAGACTCCAGGAAACTGTTGGTGTGATGCAAAGACATGATGTTGTCGCCAGCAGTCGCGCTGCCCTGCGAAACGTGAGAGGTTGTGTCGAAGTTGCGCGCCGCCGCGTCCGTGCGCCTAAGCGAGCAGCACCACAGCAATTTGTCCAGGTCCGGTCTCAAAACACTTCGTTTTCCACGACTTCGTCAACCTAACCAGCAGGAACGCCCACACATCGCAAATATGGCTGTCGGCAAGAACAAGCGTCTCTCGAAGGGAAAGAAGGGTCTTAAGAAGAAGACCGATACCTTCGCTAAGAAGGACTGGTACAACGTCAAGGCGCCCGGCACTTTCGCGATCAGGGAGTAAGACGCCCCAGCGCACGCTCAGCAGCAATTGCATTCCGCCGCAGCAGCTTACTGACCGCCTGCAGTGTCGGCAAGACCCTCGTCAACCGCACCACCGGTCTGAAGAACGCAAACGACGCCCTCAAGGGAAGGATATTCGAGGTCTCGCTCGCCGATCTCCAGAAGGATGAGGACCACTCCTTCCGCAAGGTCAAGCTCCGCGTCGACGAGGTCCAGGGCAAGAACTGCCTGACCAACTTCCACGGACTCGACTTCACCTCCGACAAGCTCCGCTCGCTCGTCCGCAAGTGGCAGTCGCTCATCGAGGCCAACGTCGTTGTCAAGACCACCGACGACTACCTCCTCCGCCTCTTCGCCATCGGCTTCACCAAGCGCAGGCCAAACCAGATCAAGAAGACCACCTACGCTGCTTCGTCGCAGATCAGGGCTATCCGCAAGAAGATGACTGAGATCATGCAGCGCGAGGCTAGCGCCTGCACTCTGGCTCAGCTCACCCAGAAGCTGATTCCCGAGGTCATCGGCCGCGAGATCGAGAAGTCCACCCAGGGCATCTACCCCCTCCAGAACGTGCGTCCCCCACACCTCTGATCCGCCCTGGCAGCAATCTGACAGTTTCTAGGTCCACGTCCGCAAGGTCAAGCTCCTGAAGGCGCCCAAGTTCGACCTTGGTGCCCTCCTCGGTCTGCACGGCGAGTCGAGCGCCAACGACTCCGGCGAGAAGGTCGAGCGCGAGTTCAAGGAGACCGTCCTTGAGAATGTTTAAATGATCATGGTTGATTAGGCTGGGGTTTTCTGGGTCCTTTCAACTTTCTGCGGCATGATCTGGCATCCAAGAGGCGCTATGTTTACAATATGAAAGGTTAAACATACCCTTGATGCGTTCTGGTCGCAGTGATGGCGTGCATGGGTACTGATATCCGCACTTGGTGTTTGCGGGAAAAAGTATCACGGAATGACAATGACAATTCACACCTATCGGCCCCATGCTTTGTCGCTGACCGTGTCGCCAGTGGATGTACATACAGTAATACCAGCTCGATACCCCTCCCATTCCCAAGCTAGCGATGCACCCAACCCATATACACTCGCAACGTCACATCATCACTGCTGTAACGTAGGCACAGGCTCGGTCGCTATCCATTCAGACTACTCCTGTGCGAGAGATACACATGGTCGGCGTCGAACCCATATCTCCAGTCTCGTGTGATACAACATATCCCGCCAAGGCCAGCTCTGTTCATTCAACCTAACAGCACCGAGCACATTGTCTCAGCAGCAACTTCGTTCGCGCATAAGCAAATTCAATACAGCAAGTAAATCGCAGACCGATCAACCACTCACTCCATGACGATGCCCACAGCTCGCAAAGTCTCCATTCCAATATCTGATTGCAACACACGCCTTCCCCCTCCCACACCATCACTCAGACGTCATTCTCACTAGCTACTATTACATCCTACCGCGCCCGAACCACCCTCAACCCCGCTGACGCAGTACCTTCATGCACTCCTCCCCTCCATGCACAATCCCAACGCCCGTCCGCCATGCACAATGCCGAGAGCCAACGACCACCCGCCATGCACACCCTCCACCCCACCGCCCTCGCACCCTCATCTCCCATCGCGGCACGTATACGACTCGCAGCGGTGAGCGGGGGCCCAGGGAGCGCTATTGCCTCGGAGTCCATTTTACGCGCGGCGGTGAGCGGCGCTGCGTCCGACGAGCGCGTTGCGCGCCGGATGTTAGTGGCGGGGATGCGGGCGACGAGGAGAGGGGTGGGTTCACCGCTACTTTGCTCGGACGTCTGTGCGATGTAGGGCTGAGCTTGATAAGATAGTGAGTGCTGCGTCGTCGCGATCGGGATCGCGATCGGGAGGGTTGCTCGGAGGTGTGCAGGGTGCATAAATGGTGTTTTGTGGGGCAGTGGTGGTGAGCGGAAGTGGACTCTTTGTATTGGCTGTGTGTCTATCTGCGCTTTGCTTCTGCGTCGTCTCGGTTGAAGTGTCGCAGCTCGTCTTCCTTCATGTCTCCTGCCAGGACTCTGTCTAGGTTTGCTTGGTGCCGATCCCGCTCCTCTCTGTCCTTCGCCCCGTCCAGCCAGTCATGCCCGCTCACACCTCTCCTTGCCTGTGCTTTCCCGCCCATTTTCAGTCTCAGATCCAGAGTCATCTGCACCCATTCTTTGAGCTCGCCGCGACGGAGAATCCGGTGCACGACCAGGCTGTAGCCATCTTCGTGGAAATCTTCCTCCAGGGTCACAAGGACCTTGGGGTCGACATAGGACTTGTCGATGCGTGTCCAGCGGGTCGTTGGGTCGTAGGGGTAGAACGAACCCTCATCAATATTGAGATCGGCGGCATTTGAAATCTCGACGTGCGAGTTCTGGACTTCTGGGCTCGTTACTGCAATGACAGGACTCGGTGGTGTGTCCCGGAATCCTGTTGCGTCGCGGATAGCCGCTGCCTCTGCCGGTGGCTCTGAGCCACTAGGTGGGTTGTATTGTCGAGGCAAAGGTGTATTCCAGGTCTCGCGATCGGGTGCTAGGTGTATCTTACCTTGCTCGGCCAGCTGATCTAGCGCGAGCTCGACATCTTCGATATCTTGACTGAGTGCTTCGGCAACATCTCGAGATCGACAGCCTTTCTCTAATGGATGTTCGGCGTTGAATACAGTGAAGAAGGACAGGACTTTTTGCTCAAGCAAGTCCATCTGAAACAGCAGGTCTGCTTTTTCCGTCTTGTCGACAGGTCTTGCGGTGGACAATGGCAACGGACGAGCCGAATCTTCGGATTGGGGCCCCACGAGCGCGGGGAGTTCCTGAGGAGGTCGTGAGATTACCCACGTACTATCACTGATGGTGTTATGAATGTAATCCTGCTTTGCTAAGCTCTCAGCGGCTGCAGATATCTCCACAAGGGGTCTGTTGAGCGCTGACGCGATGTCATTAGCACTCTGACCAATGTAAGAACCTGGTCTTGACTTCAAATCATCAGTCAGGTGGTACAGGATTTGATGTTCGAGCGCAGTCAGAGTCATTTGAGCAGTACCATCACTGACTCGACTCTGCTTAGGTTGCTGCTGTTGTCTTGCCGGGACTGCATGTTCGCCAATCTCAGTGATTGTGTTTGACTGCTGCTCGGGGGATTCGATGCTGAACCTCGATGCCGCCTCATTCAGCCTCTGCATCTTCGCTTGCAGTGGACTTAGACGGCCTTCACGAGGGTCTTGTGCATTGTTGGTTGACTTCGGCAAAGCGAGCGGTTCTTCATCGTTCTCCGAATCCGACTCAGCCTTGGCAGTAGGGAATCTTGGTGATGCCGGGGGTTTCTGAAGGCCTCTTGATGAAATATCCAGGTCTTTCCTGCTCACTGGAAACTCTGGATTGGCGCGATTCAGCATGGCCAGCAGTGAATCAGAGTCAGCAGTGTTCTGGCTAAGCAGCATAATTTCCTCATTGTTGTCGAATTGAGCAGCAAGCGCACCACGCACCACCAGCCCAGGTCGATGTGCATGCTTCAATATTTTAGCAACAGGATCAAATGTGAACGTTAGTAGAGGCTCTTGCGCTGTAGATGGCGCGTGAGCTTCGTAGACATCGATCTTGCCAGGTCGAACGAAGATAATGCATTCACCCGGAGAGACTGGACTCCATGCACCTTCAGAAGCCGACCATACTTCAACAGACGCTCGTGCTGTTTCTGCGTTGTAGATTGTTGGACCTGAAGCCTCCGTGTCTTGCTCTGAATGGCCTTGAACGATGGTTGAGTATGCGCGATTTGCGCTGACGAACGGATTGCCTCGACTCTCGTCTCTTATACTCGCCTCGACGAGGCGAAGCATGTTCATTGACAGCGGAAACATGTCCTCTGGTACCTCAAGTCTGATGCTTTGTCTGATTTGCACAGGTCTTGTGTACACGAGCTGATCTGGCCCCATATTCATGTACCAAAGCAAGGTTTGCGCAAGCGGATATCCGTGTTCGCATAGGTCTTTCTTATCCTTGTAAAGCTGTTCCATGGTGTTGCAAATGTCGCAACTTTGGGCGTGCGACTCGAAGCCAATGAGCGCGTGCTCTTCATAGGAATTGATGGCGCGCCAGGTGTGAGCAATCGGTCGCTTTCCAGAACGTGAACTACCCAAGTTTCGCACTGCATCGCCGATAGAACTGAAGAGTGTGCGTCGGGGAGCTGAAACCATTTCATCTTGGGGCGGTGCGCTCTTGGTATTAGGCTGCGACGCAGGTAGCGCCCTGTTGACATTTCGATCGATCGGTGGAAAGTATACTGGCAGAAGAGACTTGTATACGAACTCATCATTGGATGAGTATACCACGAAGATGATCTTTTCCAGTAGATTGGTCGGCTCTGCGGTTTCGAGAAAGCGATTGACTTCCTCCATAGCTAGCGATGCGCAGTCTCGTCGTGGATAGTTTAACATTCCCGTTCCAATGGCCGGAATTGCGATTGACGTTGCTTGCAAAGACTGTGCAGTGTAAAGAATCTCACGATAGATTTGCCGCAAAACATCCTTGCTGTTCTTCCTCCATTGCTCTGGGGGCACAACGTGAAGGATGTGCTTTGAGGGCAAGTTGTAACTGCTCGTCAACTTGACATCGCCTTCTTTGCATACACCGAACTTTGCGCACTCCTCACGGAGCTGAAAGCCGCCTTTGTTGAAAACTTTGCGATCCAGTGTACCCATACCGGCAAACGTAACGTCGGTGGAGTTGACCATAACGGTGGCCGCTACCTTTGTGATATCCTCCCTAACCAGACACACCATTTGATTGAAGACAGCAGATGGTCGTACCATGGTAGGCTTGTTTTCAAGCTTGTGTGTGGTGTAAAGCTGTTCCACGGAGGGAATCTGATGCAGTCGTACGATGTCGTTGGTTTCAGTGGTTGTCTCACGCTGAAATACCCTTGCGTACAGAACTTCATCGAGAAGACCACGGGCACCTTCAGCGTCCTCGTTCTTCTGTTTCGCTTTGAACCTTTCGAGCTTCAAGCGCACGGGCGTCATTTCGTCTAAATCGACGCCACCGCGTGTTAGGGTGTCATCTAGGTACTGAGCAAAGTTCTGGCAGTCTTCCAAGAACTGTTCAAGATCACTACCATAGGCCATTTTCTGATGATTGTTGTAGTCACTCCACAGACTACTGTGATTCCGATCGCCAGAGAAAGGCAGGTTCTTTGCTGATTCGGTAAGCTCTGTCACGCTTCCGCAGATAGTCTGGGTTACAGAGCAGAGAAGATTAAGATCCCCGAGACCTCTGTTAAGCGCTTTTGACCCCAGCAGAAAGCCTCGAATGGAGGCTAAGGCAGAGTCTATGCCATGAAGCTCTTCCAATATTCCTTTGGGAAAGTTAGGAGCGAATAGGCTTATCTCTGCAGATAACTCCTGTGAAACTTTTTGCACTTGGAGTCGTGTGTCTAACACTTGGGCTGCAAGTGATGCTCTGCTTGCAGACAGCACAGACGATCTGGCAGACTCCAGGTCGCCATGAGTCGGTGGGAAGAAGACTGGGAACATGTCCATGTAGGCTTTCTCATCTGAAATGCTTTGAACAACGAAAATCAATCTCTCAAAGGGATGTTCGGGATGAGAATCCAAGAATTCTCGCATCTCCTGTAGAGCTACACGAGCGGCAACTCGTGGTGGGAAACCGCAGCCGCCAGCGCCCAGACAAGGAAAAGCAACAGTCTTAAAGCCCGAGATGAGCGCAATCTTGAGCGTATTGCGGTAGCAATCCGTGAGAACGTTGAATTGACGCATACCGTGGTTGTTACTGTACTGCGGCCGTGATGCATGAATGACATGTGCACAGGGCAAGTCGTGGCCACTGGTCAGCGTAATTTGTCCTGGTTTCAGTCTTCCCTTCGACGCTGCTTCTTCTGAAAATTTTGAGCCTCCGGCTTTATGGATATGGTAGTTGAGCGTCGACCGGTTCTTCGAGGTCCCCAGCGAGTTATTCGCGCTGTTCACAATAGCGTCCACATTCATCCTCGTAATATCGTAATAGCAGAAGGATATGATGCGGTTATACGAGTCGTTCGGGGCGAAACTCTGATCGCGCTGCAGCAACTTTCGAGATCTGTACATGCTGTGCAGTGTTGGGATCTCAGAAACGGCCAGCACGGCCTGTTTGTTGTGAGTCGTTTCTCCATCATCATACATCATTGATGTAGAGGAGGTACTACTGTCATCGGCCTCCTGAGTGTCAAATGTTGAGTTTCGGGTAGATTGCCACTGGAAGTCCTGTGTGGATTGTGCGCGGAATTCGAGCATGTTACGATCCTTTTCGGTACTTTGTTGGATCTTGATGTCGGGGTATAGGGTTCTGTCAAACAGCTCTATAGCTTGAGCAGCCTGTGGCGCGCTGTCGAATGTTGCATTACCGCTCCATGAGCCATACGGTCTGGAGAAAGCAACAGTTTGAACACCAGGCAGAGTCAGTAAGTATGCTCTGAACTCGTCTACGATCTCTAGGTGCTCCTCGACGTCGTTTGTTACCGCATTGGCCACTGCACCAACGTCGGTGTTCACATTGGAATTAGCCTCTGGATCGACGTTGGTCTCTACATCGACACCATGGCCATGTTCTAGTTCATTTGCCTGGCTTGCTAAGAGCGCATCAAGTCGATTTTGGCTTGCGATAGGGATGGCACGTAGACTCTCCACAGACAGTAACTGCTCACTTGCTGACACTTCCTGTGGACCTTGGTCGTAAATAAGTGGTTCTTCATCGCTTCTCTGCAGCCCGTGAACCGATGTCGCCAACTCTTCTGAAGTATCGCTGGGTAGTGACATGTCAATTGCATCTTGAGAAGAGGTTGTGCCGGTTCTGCCTCGACTTGCGACACTACTTGCTCCGTCTTCGTCTTCCTCGGCGCTATTTGGTAGGGCAAAAGTTGCAAAACGTTCAAGGTGATTGGCGAGATGGTTTGTGAAGTTACCCATGCTTTCTGCATCGGCGTTAAGAAGGCAGATGGGACATTGCTCACGCATCTCGATAGTAGAAGTCTCTCCAATATTGACAATAGTATCCAACTGAGTCTCAGGGAAGCTGTCAAGATGCGCTTGTCGCAGATGCTCCTCAAGTCCTACGCGAGACCTGTACACGGCTGTTGGATGTTCAGGGCATCTCCAGACTTTGCGATGGCTGGCTTCGTGCTCGATCCATTCCCTACGACTGCGGAAGAGCTGTTCAGACGCTTCGCAGTCTGGATACGTACATACATACGGCTGCAAGTCCTGGAGTAGATGCGTGCGCCATGACCTCCCTCTCCCGTAACGGGCAGGGCATATGATATAGCAATACGGACACTCGAAGTCGCGATCTCCGTCTGTACACTTGGGTGGGGCAGGTAGGTTCACGCTTTTGCCATGGATGTCGGTCACAGTGACAGCGTGGCTTGTCATAGATTTCATATCGACCATATCATCAAGCGATTGATGATGGTGTGTTGCTTCTGTGCCTGAAAGCATTGTTCTACCGGTCCTCTGACTGGGAAGCGCTGCAAGTGCTGTAAAAAGTTAGTGCTACACCCTGAATCTACGAATAGTCGGGGTGAGTATCTTGGGGCAAGATGACTCTCTGGTGAGGATGAGCGACTTACCAGGCACGGGGCTTGGCGATTCGACTTCTGCGATTTGATTCGTCAGGGTCAAAGTGATTCCCTCTTTGGTGGGTTCTGCGTGGATTTCGTGTTCCTGTTCGAGTATTGTGGAGACTGAAAGCTTGTCCCGATGCCGTTTCCAGTACTTAAAGTGCCTGCGGCGAAGAGTGACAGCGTGAGCCAGACGAGATACCAGATAGTCATCATCAAGCTGTACATCTCCAACCTGCGGCTTTCGTAAGCTGCAGAGGAGTTCATGAACGTGTTGCTTGTCATATTGAGCGTAGCTGCTTAGTACATCGACACCCGTTTCGGGATCCTTCGGCTGGTAGGAGGCCGCTTTTAGAGACCTTGACCGGATTGTAGGTGTTCGTATGCGAACACTGAGTTTGTAAAGGTTGTCGATGATATCAACAACTTCTTCATAGCGCATCGTTAGCTCCTTCCTCGAGCCATCGGCTTCGTCGTCGTCGTCATCGTCGCTGAAGAAGTCATCATCCTCGTCTTCTCCTCCGTCATCCTTTCCCTCGCTCAAAATTGACTTCGGCTGCTCTTCGTAGGGCAGACGATTTCCACAGACTATCGCATTTGCCTCACCAAGATTGTGATTGAGCTCTCCTAGAAACTTCAAGGCGTTGCCAGAGAGCAACGGGGAATCGCGAAGACGGTAATCGAGAGAGCTATGCCCCTTTTGCAGAGCCCCCAAATTCCCCGACCAGACTCTGAATCTCCCGAATTCGTCAGTAAGAGCATCGTGATCAATCTGCTCTTTCCACTGGCCGTCGCTTGTTACCAGGGCATTCGCCAGGCTTTGGAAGCTACGAACGTTCGACGCTGTCGCAAGTCGTATTTCTGTCATGATGTCGACCTTCCCATGATTGCACTCTTGGTCGTTAAATTGGAAGAATTTGGAGTGGATGTTGTTACGATATTGAATAAGGTGGGCTGCCTGCGGATAACGACTAATCCGATTCTGGTTGGAAGGAGGCGGAGCTGGAGAGCACGACAAACCTCAAAGATCTTGCTTCAGGCAGTGCTTTATTGAATCCTACTGCTGAGTCTCACGTGTAAGACTGCCTCAAAGAGGATTCAGATAGCCAAGACAAGGCTGGTGCGTAGACGACTGTCTCCAGGGCTTGAGTTCCGTTCGAGGCAATGCCCCGCTCTGGCTCGTTCCAACATCACCAGCTTACCACAATGCAGCGCCTTGTAAATTCGCGACGACCACCGTGCTCCTGCGCTGCAGGGAGACTGCATAGATGTCTGGTGTTGAGATAGCTGGCCTTGTGCTCGGCTGCCTACCTCTGCTCATACAAGGTGCGTCGCTCCACAGGTCGTAGACTCATCGCTCACATACGCACAGGTATTGAGTCGTATAATGAGGGTCTCGACCCTATCAAAAGTTTCATGAGATGGGACAAAGAGCTCCCTCAATGCATCCGAAAGCTACGAAATCAGCATGTACACTATGAGCAAACAATCCGAATCCTTCTCGAACCCATAACCGCCGAATCCGAGTTCGCGGAGCTGATGACGGACCCTGGAAGATCACAATTGTGGAAAGATAAAGATATGACCCTGAGACTCAAAGATAGGCTACAGGAATCGTATCATGCATACCAAGGAACGATTGTAGACATTGAGCGCATTACAAGGCAGATCGCAAGTAAGCTGGACTTGGATCGTGCGAATGAGGTGCGTAAACAAAACTCCGCTTGTGAAGTCTCTATGCTGGGGAAGATGCGTACTATCTTTCATTCCAGACATGTACGGTGTGTTGTCTCCTTGTTTTGTGCTCACATTCCTACAGCTAAAGCGAAATGACCTCGAAGCACTCCTCGCAGCCAATCCCAAGACGAAGAACGAGAAGTTCGAGTTTAAGAAACGGATAAGATTCGGCATGAGCAAGAAGACTATCAAGGCGCTGCTCGAAGAGCTGAACGACTGTAATCGCGAGCTTGAGCGATTCACGGAAAAAAGTGAGAAGATAGAAACGTATCGCAAGGCTGCTAAACCATCCTTTGCAACTCGTCTACAGCGCATACAAGGCTATGCTAAGAGCCTACACACATCATTGTACTGGTCCTGCACCTGCAAAGATACTCACCGTACAAGCCTCCAGTTGGATCCGAGAGGAAGTCTATATGCGTCAGGGAAAGGCATGTCGAATGCTGAGAAGACCTGTTTCAAGGTTTCGTTCTCTTCACTTGCAGCTGACGCGGATGTATCATGGAAATGGCAAGCCGCAGAGATCAACGTAGACGACGAGGAAGACGACAAAAGCCTTGCGCCAGTATCTTCCAAAAAGCCAAGGTAAGCGAAATTGTGATTACCCTACAGCTTGAGCGAGCATGAAGCTCCATATATCCAGCCATCCACCTACTCTGCTGACACGTGCAGGATGACAAAGAGTGTGTCTTTCAGCTCCCCTCCGCCATATTCTGTGAGCGATCCTGTTGTTGGCCCCACACAATCTCTGCAAGAGGTAAAAGACATATGCGCATCAATACAGCAGCTTAAGTCTACGGAATCGTGCATAGGCCTGTCTCTTGATGCCAAGAAAAGACTTCGAGGGGTATACATGATCGACACGGCCGAGAAATGGAACCCAGTCTCCGACATGGTCTCTCTCGACGACCTCCTTAGCCGGCCCATTATGAATGGTAGACGAGCAAAACTTAGCAGAAAGGAACGATACAGCCTGGCTTTGACATTGGCATCAAGTGTACTCTACCTCAACTCAACTCCTTGGCTTACGAACGAGTGGGCTGCCAAAAACATCAAATTCCACCAGATTGCGGCTGCTTCCAACGCCATCGACATCGAGCATCCATATTTAACGCCTGTGACGACCGACCCTGTGGATAGCCTGACAACCAAGACGAAAGCTCTCAGCTACCACAATAAGAACACAGTCTTGCTCGCTCTTGCCGTGGCACTGCTAGAGCTGTATTTTGGTACAACGGCAGAGAAGTACCAGGAGACGGAGCACGGTATCTGTGATCCAACACTCCATCAAAACACGTGGTCACTATGTGCTATGGCGCATCAATGGGCGGCGGAGTCGCAGGACGAGCTGTCTGCCGCATTCCGAGGCGCGGTCAGACACTGTTTGCGTTGCTTCAACGACCCCGGTGTCAGCCTGCAAGATGCTGAATTCCTACAGGCAGCCGCAGAGGGCATTGTGTTGCCACTTCAAGAAGAGCTGCATCAGTTCTTGGGTAGAAATTCAACATGATATCTCTCGTCGGGAGTCACTGATGCCAAACCCTTGCAAGCCTGTTCGGCCATGTCTTTTGATCGACCGATGGCGTGAGTGCAAACCATATTTAGCAGGGTTCAAGGTCGTCAAACACCTAGGCAATGTCACCTTGGGCAGAGCCAAATGAGCAGTACCGCGTCACGGGTCGAGCAGGTCTCAAGCTACGACTCGGCGCGAGCCAGCCTTGCGGCCAGATCCACGCCGACTTTGGATGTCGCTCCGTCGCAGGGTGCTTACTCACGAGCACATCACCTCGTATCTGGCCCACGTGGCTGCGGATCTGATCTGGGGTAATTTAGCGCGTCAGTTACGAGGTGTCTAGCTCAACGACACCTGAACGGCATTGGCAGCATTGGCAGGATTGCAACACACGTCAGTGTGGCCAATTGATGTAGCAGCAGATCCTTCGTGGTGTTGTGGCGAGAAGCAAGTGTGTGGGCAGTCTAAAAATACCGGTCGCCTCCTCTCCACACCGGGACGCTGCACTTGCCGGGGCCGGTGGGAGCAATGTTTCTCAAGCTTTGTTTCGACAGGCGGTCCAAGGAGCATTCCTTGGCGGGGTGCAAAAGCAACGGTGGTTTGGCGGTGTCACCACATCAAACAGCAGGATCGGCCGTGAGACGCGAGCTTGGTTGCGTGCAGGCTGCAGAAGTGCAGATTTGCACTTACATGATCGCATCGTACCGTAGTCGGCCGCGTCACCTGGCGACCTGACACGAGGGCAGGTTTGAAATCAACACGTGAAAGCAGCGAGAGCAGCAGCGTTGCAAGGTGATGCCACGACATTGAGCGCGTTTGCTGGCTTGCGGTGCACGTCTTGACGCTGCTGCAAGCTCTGGCGGCGCACACGCTAGCCATCAAGCCTTGCAAGCGATCGAATGGCTGCCACGGGCGTTGGTCGAGCGGCTTCGGGAGGCTTCAGCAAGCCAAGCGCGCTCAGAGGGTGGCGGCCGCAGCAACGGCCCTGGTTGGCACGGTCGTGAAACGGCAGGGTGGGCGCTGTGGTTGGACGAAAATGCGGAGCAGGGGGCAGGAATGATAGGCGGTGAATGGCCGTGATGATTTGAGGGTTGGCATGATGAACAGCAGATTGGCAACTTCTGGCGCCGGGCTGCTGTTGGACGGTGCAGAACGGCAATGATAGTTATCAGGACAAGCATTCGGCAAGGCACAGCACGGGGGTTGTCGGTTTCCTGCCTATTAATAACCGGTGTTGGCGGTCGGGAATGGAAGCAAGCACTGGAGTCCGCAGTCCGCATGTCCTTGGTAGCGTGTTGATAGCAACGCCCCGTGAGCTGCACGGCATCCCCGAAGACAACAAGAAGCCAGCAGCAACCACACTCGTCTGCAAATCTCCAACGCGCCGCAGCCTCCGCACCGCGCTCCGCACCGCCCTCGAGCACACGGCGACAACGTGACGGCCAGGCCAGGCGCATTGGGGCATTTGCGGTCAAGCATATCAAAGCGGGTCCTCGGCTTGGCGCTCCCCTAACTCCTAGCCAGGGCATACCTCTCCTGCAATTCGGCCCAGGAACCAGTCTGCCTGCCGACCGCCTCTCCTGCCTCCTCCCACGCCGCTCTCTGGAGGCTCTATCCGCACACGACAGCGCAGCGCGCCCCGGCCCTTCCCTTTGTTGCGCTCCCTCCCGTCGACACCATGGCTCAATCGTAAGCCCCAGACATGCGCCGGCGCAGCTGTCCCCGCTGCGTCTGCGGCCTCGCGCGCCCCTTCTGACCGCAGCAGCGTCGGCTCCTTCTTCCAGTCGTTCTGGCACACGATGACCTCGAACGACCGCCACGCCTCGCACGACTCGCCCTACCGCACCGGCCGCCACATCCCCATCCCGCAGAGCCGGCACAGCGCCCTCACCTCGATTGCGACCAGCGGCATCGACTCGCGCGTCGACCTGTCGTCGCCCTACGCACACGACGACATTGCCACCAGCAATGGCTTCATCGGCTCGCCCAAGGGCCCGCTGTCGCCCAACTCGCCCTACTCGCCCGGCATGCGCGGCACCCTGAGCCGCCAGGCCACCGCCGACGGCGACGCCTTCGACAAGGGCCCCAACGGCGAGATCCAGATGCAGAACTTCAACGAGGGCCTGCCGCCGCCGCCGCCCGTCTCGCACTCGTGGAAGCGCATCGACCGCTGGGTCGAGGACCACTACGAGGAGCTGTTCGACAACATCTGCGAGGGCGCCACCGCCAACGACGTCAACGAGCTGGAGCACGAGCTCGACGCCACCCTGCCCATCGACGTCCGCGAGTCGCTGCAGGTCCACGACGGCCAGGAGCGCGGCGGCCTGCCCACCGGCGTGCTGTTCGGCATGATGCTGCTCGACTGCGAGGAGGTTCTCATGGAGTGGAAGAACTGGCGCACCGTCGCCGACGAGTACCTCAACAACAAGCCCGACTACTCGTCGCCGCAGATCCCCGTCAAGGCCTTTGCCGGCTCCTCGACCGCCGCCCCCGTCGCCCAAGCCCAGCCGACCGGCAACCCGCTGTGGCGCCAGGACCTGCAGTCTCGCCAGGATTCGCAGCCGCCGAACGCCGTCCAGAAGGCCTACGCCCATCCCGCCTGGATCCCGCTCGCCCGCGACTGGGGAGGCAACTACCTGGCGACTGATCTGGCGCCCGGTCCCACAGGAACCTGGGGCCAGATAATCATCTTCGGCCGCGACTACGACTGCAAATTCGTCGTTGCACGCTCGTGGGCCGCCCTGGTCGCCATGGTCGCCGATGATCTGGCCTCGAAAGACGTCCACATCGAGGAGGAGAGTGGGGAGCTGAAGCTCCTAGCTTTCAGGGGTCAGAATGTGGAGCCGCCCTACCTTGAGATCCTGCGTTGGCGGTGCGATCAGAAGTACGGCCGGAGGCCCGTGAACAGGCGCCGACCACAGAGCGGCCTGCGCATCAACCCAAATGCTCCTGGCACCGTTGTACCTAGCTCGACCGCCAGCAGTCCCTACCACAGCCCGGTAATGGGCCCACAGGACCGTGGTCGCAGCCCCCACCGCCTGTCTACAAAGCAGAAGGGTGTCAGCCCACGAGGCAAGCTCTCCAGCCCTCTTGCCCGCGTCGCCGAAGAGCACGCGCAGCCCCTCAACGTCAACACCAACCTTGACGCCAAGACCAACACTTCCGCAGACAAGCTGATCTCGGTCGACACCCCAAGGCCAAGCGACGACTTCCCCGTCCGCGCCAGCGTAAGCAGCGATAAGGAGAACAAGAAGGACACACCAGAGGAGAAGACAAAGCCCGCTTCCCTCAAGAGCCCCATTGCGGACACTCCCGACCTCAAGACCGTCGAGATATAGCCCTGCTATATCCCCCCGCGGCGCCTTCCCATTTGCTCCCTCACGTGAGCACCACTGGATACCCTTAGCAGCATCTACGCGCATCCCTTATCCATGGCCTGAAGGCTCGGGCACACGCAGTCACACCCGTAATCACACTGTACATGTGTCCTCCCGCCGAGCTCCCTTCTCGCGCGACGGCTGTATCACGACCCCGTTTTTTCCTTTCTTAGACTTTGAGCTCAGCGCCCCACGACTCCGTGCTCCCCGACCCCCTGAATTGGCTTTTTGTACAACACCTACCCCTTTTTTTACTTCCCCTGTCCTTGGCCACACCTCGGGGACAGACTTCCTTCCTTTCACCGCTTCGACGGGCATGAGCGTGGGCGTGGGCGTGGTCTGCACCGCCTGTGGTCCCAGACCCCCGTGGTCCCCGGCTCCAGCAGTTCCGCCACCCCGCAGTTTGGTTTTGGTTTGGCCGCTCTTCGTTTCTGGCGCTGCGTGCGCTTTGATAGCTTGCGCGTTGCGCTGCGGGTTAGGGGGTAATTTTACGGAGCGCGGGGGATTGCGTGGGCGCTACGTGTGTGTGTGGGCGCGTTTGCTGGCGAGGTGCACGGGGGCAGGCATATGTAGCATGAATTGAGAACATTCACATGATTACGCGTGGGGTGCTGGCTGATGGGGCCGTGATGTCTGCTGTGAGTGCTCATTATAAGACTATTGTTTGCCGTTCTGTCTTGTCGTGTCCCTGGTCTGCCACGCACGCCTTCCGTTCGCCACTGTCCACACCACCACACCACGAGACAACGCGAACCTCTGACTCCGCTGTCCACACGCACAAAGAACAAGACGTCCAGAGCAGAACGCAACAAAACAAAGCAGCTCCGCCATCGTTGTTGTTATTGTTGTTTTTGTTGATAAATACATATATAACAAAGTCTATGTAGCACACACATTCAATAACTTGAATCATTAGCACCCGACTTTTACAACCTTACAACAGCACATAAAATACGTGTGAGAAACCAACGAGAAAACATTTGCTGTTTCTAGGTCTCCTCAACTCTCCGTGCTTCTGTATATTTATAACCGTAAAGCTGCACGCAGCAAGTCGCGCGCGGGCCTCCCTGGCCTCCTGAACACAGAGGCGGGGACATGAAATACCGGTGATACGAAGATGACGATGGAAATGAAAACGATGAACCGTGTATGTCAGCCTAGTACACAGAACCGGACGATGGGTGATATTTTTGCAATTCATTGATGCAGCATACGCCGGTATAGATACAGACTGACTGACAGACAGCCACCGTCCTCGCGCAGGGTATTGCCATCCAGATCATCCGAGTCATCCCTGCCATCCCGGCCCCCAGACCCCCTCGCAAACTACCCCAGGCAATCCAAAACAAAACGAAAAATACTCAGTACGCCCACGCATGCTTCCCCTTTCACCTATGTAATCCTGAATCTTAGCACGTGCACCTCTACACACTCTATGATGTGGACGCCGCAGCCTTCTTAGCATCCTGTGCCTCCTTGGCAGTCTTAGTGAGATTCTCCAGCTCGCCTGACGTCTCGCACATGCTCCTGAAACTGCCGCCCTCCTTTGTGATAAGCGTATGAGGATCACCGAACTCGATGACTTCGCCCTTGTCGAGCAGCAGGACCTTATCATAGTCGATGATGGTCTGCAGACGATGCGCGATGGTGATCGTTGTGTTTTTGATCAGACGGATTGTTTCTTGAATCTTGCTGTCTGTGGCGTAGTCGATGGATGCGGTGGCTTCGTCCATGAGCAAGACCTTTGGTGCTTTGAGGAGAGCGCGTGCAAGGCATAGGAGTTGACGCTGACCCTGCGAGAGATTGGATCCGGACTCGCTGACAGGAGAGTTGAGGTTGCGGAAGGGATTCTTGTTGTCTGCTTGCAGGGTTTCGGCATCTGGTATGTCTGCGTCCACGACCTGGCCGTTGGGCATGACAACGATAGTGTCTTCGCCTGTCTCGCCGTGTGACCATTCGCGGTTCGCAAGGATGGAGCCGGGGTTGACAGTGGAGGAGCCCGTGTAGCTCGCGTTGACGTCGGCGACAACGGCGCCACTTGTAGGCTTGGGGATCTCGATAGCGTTGGGGGGTGTGGTAGCTCCATTAGGAGTCCCAGTGCCTGATGTAGCTGCCGAGGCGGTGGTGATCAGGTGGACTTCGCGAAGTGAAGTAAAGATCTCCTCATCAGTGAACACGGAAAACGGATCGAGGTTGCTGCGGATGGTGCCGCTGAACAGCGTTGGGTCTTGAGGCACCATGACGATGTTTTCACGCAGGTCCTGAAGACCGATCAAGCCCACATCAACATCGTCGATAAGAACCTTGCCCTTCTCGGCCTCCAAGGCACGGAATAAAGCAAGTGCCAAGGAGCTCTTGCCTGCGCCCGTCCTGCCAACGACACCGACCTTCTCGCCTGGGAGAATCTTGAAGTTGACATTTTTGAGAACAGGATCGAAGTCGGGCCTGTATCGTGTACTGTAATTAATAAACTCCACAGAACCCTTGCTTGGCCAGTTGGAAGGAGGGCGTGTCTCTGGAATGACAGCAGGCGCTTCCTGGTCCACGTCCAAGTATTCCTTGACACGCTCGACCGAGTTCATGTTCTGCTCATTGGCCGAGTAGAGGCGCACAAACCAGAGTACGTTCTCTGTAAAAGTAACAGCGTAAGTAAGCGCGAGACCAGCTGCACCTGCGTCGATCTTTCCAACACTCAAAACCACGAAAGTACCTGCGAAGAAAGACACCAGGGCACCAACGACATCGACCCGGAAAGCAAGCCATCTGTTAGCAGCCCAGAGGTAAATGAAGGGTCGATGTTGGGTGTTGATCTTGGCGAGGTTCTCGCGGATGAAGCGGCGCTCGTCTCCATAGGCTCGGATTGTGGTCATACCGGAAAGAGTCTCGCCGAATTGCTGGTACAGAGGGCTGCGGTGCACAGATTCCAAACGCTTGAGATCGCGAGAAGAGTTGATGTAGAAACGTCCAATGAGGAAGTACAGCACGGAAATGAACACACCTGCGATAAGGAACGCAGGTGTAATAACCGAGATGAGGATAACGATGGTAATGATTGAGGCCAGGCAATGAACAACGCCAATGGCGACTGGCGCGACCTCTTGATCGACAGATTCGATGTCCTTGGAAAACCTGTTCATAAGCTGTCCGAGCGGTGTCTGATCGAAGAATCGGAACTTGGCATGTGTGACCTTCTGAATGAGTCGCTCGTGAACACGGCGAGACGCAGCGAGCGAGCCACCAAAAAGGAAGCCCTCTCGAAGGAAGGTGATGAACATGAAGATCAGGCCGAGGATAGCGTAAATGACAAGGAAGTAGGTCGAGTCAACCCCAGAATCATCTGAGCTCCCGAACGTTGTTTGCATGGTCGAGCCGTAGGTGTAAGACTTCTCCTCAGGCTGACCGGTGAACGGAATGTTCCAACTGCAAGTACCGCTGTTCAGGCAAGTGCCAGAACCAAACATCGTAGGTGCGTGTGTGATAGGTGAGCGGTTGTGATGGCCCATAGTTGAGTAGCCCTTATCGGCGTACGCGTTCGCCCATGTTCGAATCCAGACGTTTGTTGAAACAGACGAGATCTGCTGCGACACGAAAGCGATGGAAGCACCAACCCAGTAGTACCATGGACCCATAGCCTTTAGGTACATCAAGATGATGCTGAGCTTCACACCACCTTCCGCCTTGGTCTCCTCCATGCCGTTGCTGGCTCCCTTCTTAGTGTCTTTGCCATCCTTTTTGCCATTCGCAGCACCATTAGTGTGGCTGATCTCGCCCTCCGCCTCTTCTCCGCCGACATCGGAAGGTACGCGAGAAGGTGGCTTGGAAGCACCGCGAGATGCTGGCGTAGATTTAGCGACTTCTTCTGTGAGTTTTCCGGAGTCGATAACATCATCCGCAGATCCTTGGGTTACAACTCGACCATTCTCGAGCACTACAGCGAACTCGGCGTAAGGGAGGCACAAGCTGACATTGTGCGTAACGAGGATGCATGTGCGATTGAGCATGAGCTGACCGTTGAGGGCGTAGTCGAAGATCCACTTGGCAGTATGCGAGTCGACAGCGCTGAGAACATCGTCTAAAAGCACGTGGCGTGCTTTGCTGTACATTGCACGGGCGAGAGAGATACGCTGCTTCTGGCCGCCTGAGAGAGTCACACCCTTCTCACCAACAATAGTCTCGTCGCCACCGTCCAGGATCTCGAGATCGCGCTTCAAAGAGCAGGCCAGAATGACCTCTTCATATCGTTCCGAGTCCCAGTCACCTGCGAATACAATGTTGTCTTTGACTGTACCGTTGACCAGCCAAGCCTGTTGTGCGCAGTAGGCAACGCTCTCGAGCAATCCTGTCTCGGGATCGGGGCGGAGATCTTCACGGCTGACACCTCCGGGCAGGTAGACATCTCCTCTCAGCTTTGTCATTTCACCGAGCAGAGCCATAAGCAGAGATGTTTTGCCAGATCCTGTGGGTCCGACTATCACGTTGAGCTGTCCAACCTTGAACTTGATGTCAATATCCATCAGCTTGAATGCATCAGCGGCAGCTTGATCCTTCATATCTTTGCCACCCCAGCTGAAAGTGCCCTTGTTGAATCCAATGATCGATTGCCCTTCTTCATCCTTCTCCTTGGTTGTCAGTTGAGAATACTTCTCGGTCTCTGGTTCGTTCAAGTACTCTTCAATGCGGTCGACCGATACCCGCGACTCTTGAACGTGGGCGACCATATCGGCCAGCTGGTCCAATGGAATTCTAAGGATCTGGAAAAGTGACAGTGCTGTGAATGCGACAGACGGGATGAGTGCCTTGTGTTCGACGTTTGTGTAGACAAAGAAAGAGAGGAATGTGATGAAGACCGGTGACCCTGACCAGATGGTCGCTGCTATCGCCCATAGAACGTATCGCCGGCGGAGATGCTTCAACTCAATATAACGTTTCTCATTGACAAGACCAATGAAACGCTGCTCCCAAGCAAAGTATTTGATGATACGGATATTGGTAAGAACTTCATTCGTGGTGTGAATGCGGGCGTCGGTAGCCGCCAAGATGAGTTTCTGGATCTTGGAGAACTGGCTCGCAACGTACATGTTGATCGGGAGTAGGATGAACATCATGCCGATGCCAGCAATACTGCTGTAGCCGAGGATGCGGTACAGCAGGACAATTGCAACGACGACTTGAACTGGAGTATTGGCCCACAGGAAGTGCAGGTAGGCGCAGATCTCGCTAACCTTAAAGGCATCAACAGCCATGAGGTTGATAATGGCTCCGGTAGTGACTTGCGCATCAGACTCTGGCTTCGTGTTGTCTTCCTGGTTCTGCTTGGGCCCCTCTGTCGGGGTCTTCTTCTTCTTCCTGCCCCATGTCATCATCCTTTTGATCGTACCATTCTTGTTGCCACCGTCTTCTTCGGTTGACTTCTTCTTTTCCTCGCCCAAGACCTTGTCAGTGGTAGCAGCGGCCCTACGCTTCAGCGCCTTGGCATAAATTTCTCCGATAATGATTGCACGCAGGCGAATGCAGATCTTGCGACCAATCCATAGTGCCTGCCCATCAGCGAGCGCGGATAGACAGCCGGATACGAAGAGAAGTAGAACGTAGAACCACGCTGCGTTCTGCGGAGTAAGCCCTGGCGCCTCGACGTATTCCAGGATAGCTTTCAAAAGTAACGTGGGAGCGAATGTGAGGAATCCAGAGATTGCAGCCCAGCCAGCTTGGATGAGGAGACCACGCTTGAAGTAGCCTAGAAGATGATAGGCCAATTGCGACGTGCGCTTGACCTGGCGATAGTTCGAGATGACAGCCGCTGCTTTGTCCTTCGGCGCAAGATTCCAGACATCCGAGAGCTCGTACGTCTTCTTGTATCCGGTCCATACAATTGAGTCCACCCAGCTAAACGTCGCAAGCGAGAAAACGCTGGCTATCGGTTCCCTAGCAGGGAGAATATCACCCTCATACTCCAGTTCCACAGCCTTGTTGCCCTTGCGCGTTGACAAGGAGATGGTAAATAGCAGCGAAACGAGGACGAAGTCGGCGATGGCGAGCTTTTGTTGTACATCGGATCGAGGGTGAATGATTGCGGACCGGATGAGCAAAGTGGAGAAAACCCATTGGAAGCCGTAAATGAATGCAGTGTGATACCAGAGCTTCGGGAAGGACCACTTGCTTGTACTCGAAAACAGCAGGCGCAGCGAGGCGAGCGTGGCAATATACGACCAGACGGTAATGTTGGCAATTGCGGCGATCCTGCCGTGTCGGCCCCAAGCGCCAGTGAAGAAGACAGCGACGTGAACGGCAAGCTGTGCGAGGACGGCGGCCTCTTCCAGCACCACAATTGTGACTTCGCCACGCGGTTTCGTCACGGCGGTTGTGGACATGGTCTGGCGACTGATGGTCTGTTGGAGCAGCGCGCTCTGCTCGTTGCGGTCGAACTCATCTTCGGAGTCGGTGTCGGCCGTATCGCCATCGTAGTTGGGACTTCGGAATGACCAGACGTTTCGTGGGTCTTCGAGTACGGAGTATGCGTGATAGTACCGCGATGCTGTAGCAGCGAAGTATAGCTGTATTAGGAGATAAACGGCAGACACGCCGCAAACGAACAAGGGGAACAATGTTGAGAGGTAGCTGTGATAGTGTCAGCACAAAGCTCCGTTGTGTCGAGAGGCGATGCGGCGCAAAAGCAAACTGCCAGCATGTGGCGTTGTTTGTTTGACACTCTCTATGGAATGTCTGGGAAACACTCGAAACACTCACTCTAACTCAAAGCACCTCGAGAAGTCGTCCGCGCCCCAGATTGGGCCTTTGCAACGGGCGAACATGATGCTCCCACTCTGTAAACGGCTGGCGGTGGTGACCGCAGAGATTCCACGACAGCTCCCAAACACTACACTAGCTACCGACAGCTATTGAATCGCATTGGAGGAGCTCGGCGGCGCGTTAGCGAGGAAAGATCCAGGGGCACTGCGCGATAAACAAACACCTGTCAGAGTGCCTGGGTGATCGCTGTTCGTGGGAAGGTGAGCGCCGCCCACTTTCACTAGCGGAGCAAGAGCCTTTTCGCACTGATGTTCACGCGCCGAATGCAGCGTGATGTAATCTTCAGTCTAGGAATTTGCCGCCGTGCCGCCGCCGTTAGAGCACGTCCCTGATCAGATAAGATTCCACTGACAGGTCAAATAGGGACCCTTCAGCTGTACGATGGCAGACAGACGGAAGCAGCACAGTTGGATCGCGGCCGCGTTTGTATAGCAATGCGATTGATGCCGAGCGCCGAGCCGTTCACGCACCTCCGGGCCAGGGACCCACTGCATCTTCACCGCTCTGAGTCACGACCGTGGATGCGGTTAACCGCTGTGCAGACGCGATGCACGAGCGGCCCAGCAACCCGCCATCTCGAGTTAGGGCGTAGCTTGCCGGCGATCAATGGTGTGTTCAGCTCCCGCAAGCACGCTATCGAGAATACGACGAGGGCCAGGCTATGCTGGAAAGCACTCATCTCGATCCTCTGTCTCCGAGACTCGAACATTGAGTTTCTGAATTGCCATCGTCATTCGCGTATCACAGCGATCGAAGAGCAACCAATGGCGCACTGCGACAAGCTGACTGTTGTGGATCCGGGGTAAGCCAGCATTTGCCCTAAGCGACGCTCAGCGTGCAACATTGTCTAAAGACATTGGCAGATGTAGTGGGCCCTGTAGCATGGCTACCGTTTCTTACTGTACGCTCACTTCTCGTGGTGCAACTGCACGTGTCAGTTATTTTCGCTTTCATTTCCACTAGATAGCGCGTAAGCTTGTAGGGTGTGACCATGGAGCATGGGTTTGCTGGTGTGCTTGCGCTCTTCGGTCTGCCTCCGCCCTTTTCCGGCTCGCACCAGATAACATGCATCCCGCAACGCATGCCTGGCACGCCTGATCAAAGATTGTGCCGTGCCACTGCAGTTCGGAATTCAATCTCAACACTCCACACTCGATGGCTCAACGTGACTCACTTTCTGCGCAGCGCTGTCTCTAAAGAGGCGTGTGCGAAAGCCTCACGTTTACAGGTTGTTCCAAGATAATTTCAAGCGACGGCATGTGCAATTCAAGACTGCTGGTGTCAAGACATCAGATGTGCCCATGAGAGTCAACGACCACAGCGCAAATCTTGTCGGCTTGGACTGTTTGTGACTTTGATCTTCGATTTGTCCTTGATATATACAATGCTAACAAAAGAAATTGAGTCTCTACTGACGTGCCTTGACGGTAGGTGTCCACGCAGAGTACTTGTTCTTGACCCTGCACTTCTGTTAGTATACCCACAGTCGAATGAACAGGCTCACACACGTGCTGTACGGCTTGTACCCTGAGCGGCTCCAGGTAAGAGTGGGCCTGTGCTCCTTGGGCTCCCACACGCGAGCTTGACGCTGCAGAAGCTTGTCCTCAGCAGGCGACTTGTCCACCACGTAGGACATCCAGGCGTGCCAGCCAGGCTCGATTTGAGAGCTGCGCGATCGTTAGCCAGAGTGGGGGGTCATGTCTGGTGCCAACTAACGGGTCGAATTCGTGGTCCTTGTAGTCCACCCAGCGGGTTCTCACTACCGAGTGTCAATTTCTTCCCTCGGGACGACAAATGATAGTATCCTTACGGGGAAGCTCCTCCGCGAGGTTCTCGAAGTACTTGTTGCCGTACTTGTCGATGCCGATGTAGGTTCCAGCCTTGGTATCACCTGCGCTCGTCAATCCACTGTCTGCCGTGCTCTACCCGTTTTTTCAGAGCGTACCAATGTGCTGTATGCGCGCGCGTCCTCGGTCAGTCGTGTCTGCGGGTGGTAATCGAGGCGTGGGGTCGAATGCGTACCTGCATTTGGTGGCCATATTCCTGCGGAAAGAGATCAATTAGCACTGTAAATTGCACAGAAGCTGCAGATTGCGCATACCTTGAAGCCGATCTTGCGCAAGTTGCCCAGCGTCCTCAAAAGTGTCGACATGGCGGCGTTGTATGTCTCGTTGTCCGTGTCGACCAGTCGTGAATCGTTGATTGACGATGCCAAGGCCTGTACTGTTTACGGTATAGCTCCATCGCACCCCTGCTCGTCCAAGAGCATCAAAACTTCAGGAGGCAAAACAACACAACAACATTGAGCCAAATTTCGTTTATCAACATGATTATAAGAGGGTGTCTGAGAGCGCAACTTCCTAGAGTTGCTGCAAAAAGGACGTTTAGAGCCTTCGCACAACCTGCGAGGACAGCAAGGCGGTATTCAACCGCAAACGCCTCTCCAATGGCTTCAGTACCGCAAAGCCAGGCTTCAATGCTTGCTACCATCACAACGGATCTGGACAAGATAGCACCAAGGTTTGAGATGCAACCTGAACAGATCACAGTCATCCAAACCCCAGCAGAATTCTATGAGACGCTCAAAGTAGGTTGATTACATTTCCTACGCTTTCCTCTTGCAATTATCAGCGACTTTGATGCATAGCACGCAATTGTGCATACATGAGTTGGTATCACTTTCCCATTGAAGGTATCGTCCGGTACATACCGACCGCATCGACCATCTTGCCAGCCAACGACCTTGGTTCGAGCTATACTTGCAAGCCATCCTTGTGCAGCATCTGGCTTCGACTTTGAAGTTGCATGATGTGTTCCGTGTACGCTACACTCAGGCCACCGTTCTAGCTAATGAAAGTTACTAACTCGTCGTAGGCCAAGATCTCTAAGGCTCAACATCGTGTCTACCTCTCAACTTTGTACATCGGCAAGACCGAGCACGAGCTCATTTCTACTATCCGTACAGCACTCCAGAACAACCCCAGCCTGCATGTGTCCTTTCTCACCGACTCACTCCGTGGAACACGTGAGACGCCAGACCCCTCAAGCGCATCTCTCCTCGCACCTCTGATTTCAGAGTTTGGCTCAGAGCGAGTTGAAGTGCGCATGTACCACACACCCAACCTGACCGGCATCCGAAAGAAGTATATTCCCCGACGTATCAATGAAGGCTGGGGTTTGCAACACATGAAGTTGTATGGTATGGACGACGAGATCATCATGTCCGGCGCAAACCTGAGTTCGGACTACTTCACCAACCGCCAGGACCGCTACCACCTCTTCCGCTCGAAAGACCTGACGGATTACTTCGCCAAGGTTCATGACGGGGTTGCAAAACTTTCATTCGACATCCAGCCATCCTCCAAGGAAGGCTCGGGCGGCTACACCATGACCTGGCCGACCAGCAACCCGGCCCCCTCCCCCCTCGACTCCCCTTCGCAATTCAAAGCCAGTGCAGCCAAACACTTAAGCCACCTCCTCACCCCCTCCAACTCGCCACCCACGACCTCCTCCACACCAACCACAACGACAATCTACCCTGTCCTTTCTCTCGTCCCGCTGCTATCCACCTCTACCGAACTCCCGGCCCTCACCAAAATCCTCACCGCGCTCACCCGCCCGCCCCTCACAAACTCGACCTGGACCTTCACCGCCGGCTACTTCAACATGACGCCTGCCTTCCGGCGCCTCCTGCTCTCGACGCGACCCGCTACCGGCACCGTGCTTACGGCGCACCCGCACGCCAACGGCTTCTACGGCAGCAAAGGCGTCAGCGGGATGCTGCCGGATGCGTATACGCACCTCGCGAAGACGTTTGTGCGGAAAGTCCGACACGAGGGGCTGGACGGGAGCGTGGCGCTGAAGGAATGGAAGTACGGGCGCGTAGACCAGGAGGGCGGGTGGACGTATCACGCCAAGGGGCTGTGGGTTTCGCTGCCGTCGGTGGCGGCTGGGACTGGTACTGCCGCTGCCGCGGCTACGGCTGACAGTGCTGCCGCCGGGACCCCGGAAGACCCAGTTCTCACCGTGCTCGGCAGCAGCAACTACACCAAGCGCTCGTACTCACTCGACCTTGAAGCCAACGTAGTTATCGCCACGACGGATGCGGGACTGCGGCGCCGTTTGGGCGAGGAAGTTGCGTGGCTGAATGAGCATGCGGCGCCGGTGGCGGAGGCGGACTTCGAGACACCGGAGCGGAAGGTCTCGCTAGGGGTCAGATTGAGTATGTGGGCTGTTCGAGTTCTGGGCGGGGCTCTCTGAAGGGGGAGTGAGGTTGGCTGGTTGTTCTAGTGTGGGCAGGATTAGGATGAGATGCAGCGGCGGAGGTAGAAAGGTGCGCAGTGTAAGACTACGGATGTACGCAGTGTGAGACTACACATATTCATCCATACATCCAGCCATTATACATCAAGTACAATGACGTGTGTGCTATGAGTACATGTTGGTTGTGTGTCTAGGCGAGTAGAGATGTTGGAGTCTTCTTGTTACTTTTATTGGAAAAGAGGGTAGACAAGTAAACAGAAACAAATTAGTCGTTCAAGTAGCAAGCATTGATCCTGATACGCTAGATCCACCCATTATCCATGAAGCATCCCAAAAGCGCCGTCTTATGTTCAGGGCAGCCTTTCGCTTCGATTTCCTTAATTTTGTGACATGCTGGTTGCATCCGTCCGTCCATCAGTTCGCTCGTCCAAAGATCATAGCCAGACGCTGAGCCTGAGCCCGAAATCGACGCTGGAGCTCATCAAACTGAGCCTGCAACTGCGCCCGCACCTGCGCCTGAAGTTGAGCGTTAGTCGGAGCCATTATCATTGCATGATCATGCACAGGAGGAGTCGCACCTGGCCTTACCGCCGCTCCATTAACCAGCTGCACTCCCGGGGCGAGCTGCAGATTCGCACGAGGAGGAAGGCCGGCGTCGCGGTCGGCGCGGGCGCGGGCGATGAGCACGTTCACTTGGGCAACGGTGAGGTTTTCGTCGACGAAATTGCCGATGTCGTGCGCGATGAGGGGGGTGGCGTGCGAACACGTGGTGGCGTGGTCGGTGGGCAGGCCCTTGTAGCCGCCGCCGCACTCCCAGCAGAAGTTGTGGCGGCAGTTTTGACCTGGAGGGGTTAGTGGAGGAAGAGAATGGGGAAAGGGGACATACAGGTCATGTGGTCGCAGCCGCCGTTCTTGGTGATGTTGATGCCGCACTGGGGACAGGGCTTCGCGCCCATCGTCTTAATGGCTTTGACGGACTCTTCGTCTTCGCGCTGCTTGGCACTGTCGCAGGAGCCGGTGTGGCCGGGACGATTGCATGATAGACAGAGGTCGTGGTCGCAGTGTGGGCAGGCCACCATTTCGTCGCTGTTCTTCTTGCGGTTGTACTTCTTCTTCTTGGCTTCAGGCTTGGACTCGTTGTTGGTGGACGTCTTGTCTTTGCTGCCATCGCCTTTCTTCTTCTTCTTAGCCTCAGGGTTGGCCACAGGCTTTACCTTGCTCTTGCTGTTGGCAGTCTTCTCTTTACCGGCACAGCCTTCGACCGAAAAGTAGACGCCGCACTCCGAGTTCAAACAGGCAACATACGACGGATCGGCAGCAAGAAAGTGCTTAGTCACCGCCATGTCCCAACTGTATCTAGTGAGCATCTCCAAAAGAAATTCATGGACACAACTTACGTTTCGAAGAGAGCCTTCGTCATGACCTCCTTCAGCATCGCATGATCCAGCACTGCCGCACACCCAGGGAACATGCACGGCAGATGAGCATCAGTAAGCTGACGCCCCGACATCTTGGTCTTGACCTGCTTCTGGACGCAGAGATTGCAAATGGCTTCGAAGTGCTCGCAAGCGCCCTCCAAGGCCGAAGTTTTGAAACAGCGTCTCGTGCCCTTGGACGTTGCGCAGATCAAACATTCCTTCTTCGGCGGCGAAGTCGATTTGGTGACCTTCTTACGATCAGGCTTCGGCTTTGGAGAGGCGTTGAACGACACAAACCGGCCCTGGGCGTTGCGGGCTAGCTTCGTGGCTGCGGTGGGATGTGGAGCTAGCTGTTCCTCAGGCGGCGGTGTGTCTCCAAGGATGATGGGGGTGTGAAATGAACCAGGCCGGACGGCAGGCACAACTGGACCGTAGTCTACACGGCGCGCTGGTTGTGCGCGGAGGCGTGTGGAGGGAGCCATGATGTGTGGACTTCGATGTAGTTGTGGTTGAGTGGGTTGTCTGGTAAGGAGCGTCACATGTAGGCAGCCGCCCGAGCCTATGTATTCGGAAGAAGAGGTAGGTGAAAGCGGTTGCTGTCGCGCGCCTCGCGAAAGCCGTGCGCGTGGCAAGGATGAGTGAGTGCTCGTCGAAGTGAAGGTGAGACAGTCCCAGTGAGATGCGACATCCCCTAAAATTCATGGGTCGTGCGAACTGATCCAACAAGAGCAGGAGCGCGACAAGACTTATTGACACACACGTCTTGCTATGAAGCATGTGTTGAAAAGCATTGTGAGACATCGGCATGGAGTCGCCATGAAGATCTACAACGAGCTGAGCTCTCAAAAAGCTACACGGCGAATCGTGGCAATTCGACAGGCAACAGGCCGTCTTCCGCTGCATGATGCCGTTTACGCTGTGATGTGTTTGCATTCGTCTGGAACACTGGCGTGGGAACGTGCATCAACGAACCACACGCGAGGCTGTATCGGTGTGGAGGCGACTGTGGTACATTATTACGATCCCGAAAGTCCAGGTCAGGTTGTTGCCAAAAGTTGAGATGAAAGGATTCCCGGGAATATATGCAGTGACACCAGTACCGGTAGTAGTGGTCCGAGATGACGTAACACGACTTTCCCAAAGACTGATGCAAACAAACATCCTGATTTGCCAATATGACATTGCTGAAAGGCAATTGAAGAATACCAGACCGGCATCTGATCACTACAGACCCCTCGCTGCCCACGTATTACGCCTTCCCAGGCTCTTTCTATCGCACAAGAGGTATGAAATCTATGGGTATGAACGGACCGACCTACTCTATATGCACGCCTCCATGAACCGCCTTGACACAAAACCACCCGCTTCAACATTACTGCTCTTCCTTGAGGAAATCGACAACCGCCTTGATGAACTCCTCCGGCTTCTCACTAATCACCCAGTGCCCGGAGTCTACGTCAACGAGCTCGAAGCGCGGGAAAAAGCGGCCGATGATCGGCAGCGTCTCGTCGCTAACGTAGTGACTCCTAGTGCCGCGGATGAAGAGCGCACGCTTGCTGAACATGTGCTGATCGGGGTTTGTGAACGGGAAGTCTGCCATGTTGTCGAGCGACTTGGCCAGAATGCCAACTGGTATGCGCCACTGCATGGGCTGTCCGGGCGCCGGGCGGACCAGGTTCGACAGCAGGAACTGCCTGACGGGCAGGTCGGGGGCGTAGGGCTGCATGATCTCGTCTGCGGCCTTCTGGCTCTTGGGCTGGCCTTCTTCCACTTTCTTCATGCCTTCGGCGTATTTAGGGAAGTCGGAGGAGAGGGCGGCGTCAACGGGGGCGTTGTCGACGGGGATGATGTTGGCGCAGCAGTCTGGGTTGCGCAGCGCCATTGCCATGACCGTCTTTGCGCCCATGGAGTGGCCGATGAGGGTGGAATTCTTCAAGCTGTGTTTCTTGAGGAAGGCCTCGACGTCTTCGGCAAGGGCGACGTAGTTATGTGTCTTGTCATGGGGCGACTCGCCGTGGTTGCGCGTGTCGATCGCGTAGACGGGGCGCGACAGTTCGCGGGCAAAGACACTGCGTCGTCAGCACCGTTCTGGTAGGCAATGGCAGGTGTAAGCGTACTTGCTGACGCTCTGGTTGTTCCTCTTGCTGCCAAACAGACCGTGGATGATCACAATCGGGTCGCCTGTAGCTTTTCCGCCGTTATCGTGAAGCTTGTACGCAAGATCAACGACCCGCAAGCTCGCAGATGCATGGAATGAGCGCGACCCAGACAGGAGCGAAGCCGACCAAGAAGGCACCCTCCCCGCATGTCTCGCAATCTTGCCCGGCGCACCGAGCAGCCTCAAGCTGCAAACTGTCGCGTGCATTGTGTACTGGATACCGCTGTTCCGACATCGCGGAACGGGACTTTTTTCTGGCGCCAACGTCATCGCGCTAAGTAGTGACCCTTGCAGGGGGGCCACTTTACTCAACACCAACATCAACCTTATATGTTCATGTTGGATTGTGGAGTATGTCGAAATCCGGTGGAATGGCTGATTCAGCGATCAGTCTCATGCCTAGAGCGAGAGCTGTGAGATGCGATGCCAGGCCTTTGGTGACCCCGAGGACCTGAAGCGCGACGGCCTGCGTGTGTTCGATGCCACTGAGACTGGTGATTACATTTATATCACAAGGGCGATCAAATCACGATTTACAAACATTCAAGGTAGTCATAGAGAGTCATGTGAAGAGAAGGAGAAAGAGCTGCGTCATTGAGAAGCGACGAGCTGTGCTATCTGCGAATGAATCCATGCCAGGATCAAGAGCTGCGTCATCGAGAAGGGACGAACGATGCGGTGTACAAAAGAGTCCATACCAGGAGAAAGAGCGTCACCGAGAACGCGCTGTGCTATCCTACACCACAATACCACACCAGATCCAGAGAGAGAGAGAGAGAGAGAGAGAGAGAGAGAGAGAGAGAGAGCCGCGTCATCGAGAACAAGCCTGCCATGCCATATCGCCTGGTCAACACCAACACCACCAGCCTGCCCAGCCAGCACGTTCCATCTCGGGCACACCACCTCACCTGACGCGCTGATGCCCTGTGGGTCAACAACGCGTCTTGGGCAAGGAAGGCGGCCACCAGCGAGAGTAGTACGACAGCATATCATCGCCTTATCGGTCGAGATTTGCTTTGGCGCCGTACTACCTACTCTCTGGGGTCGAGACGAACGCGCTGGGCGGGTGCTGCGTCGATGTTATTGGCGTCGCGGGAGCGGGGTCGGCGGCGGTCCACGATGGGAGCGGGGGGAGCATCTTCCGGGCGCACGCGCTTGAGGGCGACGGCAGTGCCGTTTGCGGGGGCGCGCCTCTTGTTGTCGGCGGCAGCGGAGGGAGGAGGAGGGGGGTTCTGGGCGGCGACGTAGTCGCGCAGGGTGCTGCGGTCCGTCCAACGCGCGAGCAACGCTGTCATGAAGCGCTCGTAGTCGCGCTTCATGCGAGGCTTGGTGGTGCCGATGCGAGACTCGAGGAAGGCGTATTCTTCGCGCTGGGCGAGGGCGCGGATCTCCTCCCACGACATGCACCTGTCGATGAGCGCCAACGACAGGTTGTCGTAGGTGCTGTTGGCCATGATGTTGAACAGCCTCCGCACCATCTCCCTGCGGTACTGCTCATAGCTGCATGAGCCTGAGCCCCTCGGAATGGCTTGGGGCTGGATGTCGGTGTCCTGCAGGGACAAGCTGCAGGTCCACAGGAGTCGCGGCAGGTCGGCAGCCCCGGCGGCGTACAGTCCTTCGATCTTGGTCTTTGCCGTGTCGAAGCTCCTCGCACCCCAGCTGGGGTGTTGGATGATGTACTTCACCACCCTCTCCATCCTCGCCTGGTCGTTCCACGGCATCTCCAGCATGTGTGGGACCTTCTTGGCCCACGTCTGCCTCACAATGTACTCGTGGGCTTGCTTCAACAGCCCCACCATGCACTGGCTGTCGAGGTCCAGGGGCGAGACGGCGGGCGGGGTGGAGGGGGCGGCAGTCGCGGCGGCAGATGAGGAGGGTGCGGCAGCGACAGAAGGGGTGGCGGCGACAGAGGCGGCAGACGAAGCGAGGGATGCAGCAGAGGAGGCCAGAGAGGTGGTGGATGAGGCGAAGGAGGCAGCGGAGGTGGTTGAGCCGGTCGAGGCGGCGAAGGAGGAGGCGGACGCGGACGCGGCGAAGTCGGCGGGAGGAGCAGCGATAGCAGCAAAGACACCCTCGCGGGCCGGCACTCTTGCCAGCAGCTCGCGGAAGGCCTCGCTCAGCGCGGAGGCCTCCCGGTATCGAACCACCGGCTCGAGCCTGGCGCGGCCTCGGACGGCGCAGCGCCAGAGGGCCCGAAGCTGCACCACCGACACAAGTCCCTGGGCGAAGCGGAGCTTGAGCAGCCTCATCAAGCCCCCGGAGATCGTGACCTCCCTGACGTGCTTCATCACGTCAGGGTGGAGGGGCGGCACGATCTCCAGGACATCCTTCGACACTTGCCTGCTCTCGTCCCGCAGGTAGACGTCGAAGTTGGGGCCCAGGCGGCCCAGCTTGCCCCAGACTGCTGGGGGGGAGGGGGAGGGGACCAGGGACGGAGTCGAGACCGGGGCCGGGACCGGGGCGGAAGACAACAACGAGAGGAAGGACGGGGCCGGGGATGTGGTCGCGGCTGGTGACGGGGCCGGGGACGGAGACGAGGCCGGGGATGGAGACGAGGCCGTGGTGTCCTCTCTCATCTCTTCGTCTTCGTCGGAGGGGGAGGAGGAGGAGGAGGAGGGGGAGGAGGGGGACGGGTCCTCGCTCATGTCTTCGTCCAAGGAGGTGGGGGAGGGAGATGGGGACGGGACCGGGATGTCCTCGCGCATCTCTTCGTCCCGAGATGTGACCTCTTCAGAGGCATCACCGAGCTGAGCCAAGTACACCTGGTAGGTGACAGGCCTGGGCCAATACTCCGGCTCTCTGCCCCTGAAGAGCCACATCTCGTTCATCGTCCTGGTGGACGTCGCAGGCAGGTCGTCACCGTCGCCAAGGCGCATCTCGGCAACCTTGTTGGCGATCCGGTTCATGTACGTCCGCATCCTGCGTGCGGACGTCGGGCGTGGGGCACTCGGCCCAGAGAAGAGGGGAGGAGGGAGAGCAGTTGCGCCCTCGAAGTCGCCATCGCGCGGCGTCCACCTCCGCAAGCACAACTCCATCAGCTTGGAGGTGTTGGTCAGGCACATTGCATGGCGTACAGAGCACTTACAGATGGCTTGGTGGTCGACATCTCTGCAGACCCGCTCGTGGTGAGGAAGGTGAGGTGGGCGGGAGGGAGGAAGGGAGGAGTGAAGGTCCTGCGTGCAAAGCACAGCGAGGAGAACCGAGTTCAAGAAGAAGACGAGAGAGACAATCGAAGACCCGAAGGTGGAGGCAAAGATATGTTGATTTCGAAGCTGTGAAGCTGTGGTGGAACTGGTTCTAACGAACAGAAAGGTCGAGGCGGGCAGCTCTTATGAAGGGAAGCAGTGAAGCGCTAGTGGAGCAATGACCATGCGCGGTGAAGTCGAGTTGAGCTGGAGCGAAGCCAAATTGGGCAGAAGTGAAAGTGAAAAGAGCCAAAAATCTCGCAGTGACGCTCGCAGCCGTTTGCTTCGTGGCGCGTCTCCAGGCAGAACAATGCGATTCTTACGTCACATACACTGATAACTGCTCCTCTAGACCCATATTTGTCCAATAGCACGCCATTATCGACAGCGGAGTCAGAGCTTGTGGGATACGAAGCGGAAGTGAAGGTGAAAGCGAAGTGCGGACACAGTGCCAAAGTATGGTCCATGCGAGACTAGACTCTATACGTGCATTCCTATTGTGTACGCCTTCTGTCAAATTTGATGGCAAAGTTCAGGTAAATCGTTGTTTGGATGCTGGGTTGTCTTGAAGTTTCAACAAGCGTTTTGACGACAGGGTTCGCGTACCGATTGTCTGTCGAGTATATATTATAATGTGTGACATGTTACAATACGTATATACGTATCAGATATTGCGTTCGATGTATATATTATGCCAATCCAGTCAACGACTATACTGGATGTACTATAATAATTGCTAGAGTGTGCTGACATGTCCGAGTGAAGTGTATTACTAGCGTGGAAGTAGCTTTGTGAGGGGCTAGTCTCTAAGATTTCGCTCTGCAGGATGTCAATACAGATTTCTTGAGCCACTCTGCTCTTCGTCGCATCTGTTTCATATGTTGGATGGCCTGCATGTCATGGCATGCACCAACAGTGGGACGGGTATGGAAAAGTACTTGAGCGAGGAATCAAGGAAGCCCAGAAAGTTTTTGAGACACGCGCGGAAGGTTGGAACGCATTCTGCACATGAGAATTGCTAGATAGGACAGAGAAGAAATACCAGCAGTAGCAGGTTGGATTGAAGTCACTCGAGTTGGGTTTGCGAAGGGATGCAGGCTAGCAAACACCAAACAATCGGAGAATATAGCATGGCAATCAGGAACATGGATGACACATTGGTGATGGAAGGAGAGGGCGCATTTGAAGTTTTACTTTATTTCATTCATTGTCATGGTAGAGGTGAGCAACTGCTGAATATGACCGTGCATCATCTCATAAACGACGTCAACGCTTAGTCTGTACATCGATTAGCAAAGGCAGTCTCAAGCAGCAGCAGAGCACGCACTGTAGTTGAATTCGCCGTTGTTGTTGGAGACGCGCTCGGACAGGTTGACGTCACGGCGGTGGCCGTTGCCTTCCTGGTCGAAGAGAGTGGCACGGAGGACAGGGACGGAGCCATCGCCCTCAATGCTGAACTCGACGTCCTCAGCAGAGCCGGAGAAGTTCTCGCCGTCCCAGATGAAGTGGCCTAATGGGTTTCAGTGAAGCTACGTACGACGAACATGGGAAGACTTACCGCTGTCGTTGCCGATGTGGTTGTTGAGGTTGATCTCGGCGTCGTTCCACTCGCCGTCAGCGCGCTGAAGGCGGGCCTTGAGGATGTGACCGTCCTCGATGCGGATGTCCTCGGCTGAGTAGTGGAAAGACATTGATATAGACGGATTGGTTGGAAGAGTTGGTTGGAAGATGTGGTAAGAAGTGAAGAGGTTTAGAGACTTAGAGCTGAAGAGGAGAGTGTATATATAGAGGAAAGGTTTCGAGCAGGGGAGCTCTGAACTTTATGTGGAGATCCACGTCAACCACCTGGTCAGAGCAACCGCGAGGTAAGAGAGAAGTGGGGCATCAAACATCGAGCCTTCCTGCAAACAGTATCACGAAATCGCTCGTCAGCTCCACCGTGCACCTCGGTGAGCGAGACCCAGAACCCTGGAGTGAAGCCCGTGGCCAGGGGGTGTGTGCATTCAACGGCTATCGTTGGCTGGAGACTTGCTTCAATGCCGCCGAGCCGGCTTGGAGATCGCAGCGTTCACATCAGCTTCTCAAAACGAAGCAGTTGCATATCACGGCCTGCTGGACCCTGAGGTCACACCGTCCTTCCGGCCACCTCGAAGACCGCCAAGTGGGCACAGCCATGCAAGGCGCCACGCTGTGGCCGCGTTGCGCATGCGTGGCTGTGTGTGATTTGTGGCGGAACTTCGGGGCGCATCACAGGTGGGTCGATGCGTACTGGCTGCGGGTCGTTTACAGTTGCGCATTTGGAACCGTTGACAAAGTGGAGACACGATGGGTCGGGTCGGGCCAGGGCTGGTGGGAGTAGGTCAACATTGAGAAGACTGTCGAGCTTTCATCTACGATTCTATCCCGTACTCTTTCCTGGTGATGGGAGACATCTTCTATGGATCTAACATACGTCTCGTAAAAGAAGACAAGGGTGTGCACGTGTGGGGTGCGGTACGAAGTCAATCCTGGCTCCGCGCTAGGCTCCGCGCTACGTGCGCTGGGCGAGGCGAGGCTCGAGCTGACCGCACATCAACGACCCCGCGGCTCTCGATCCTTAGTGTTTGATCAAGTCCATGTCGTGTGTTTGTTTCTGAGGGGTAGTATGATTTGTTAACGGTTCGTCACATCCAAGGCTACGGGGCTTATCGGGCGGTGAGAACACGGTAAAGACTCTACTTCAGCATTTCAAGGGTTTTATTAGGGGAGAGTTGATCAGCTGTTCGTGTATTAAGCCTGCCCGTAACTCCGTAACAAAGATGCAGCCAGGTAACTCCGTCGCTCGCCGTAATGCATAGTATTCAAGCTCTTTTGGTGCGAAGACCCCGTCGATGGATGTTGTAAAGAATCCACCATGCACTGCGCAATGAAACAGTAGGTGTACAGTGCGTCGCTCCACAATGGCAGATTACCGCCCGGAATGTCCGTCCAGAACCGATGTCATGTTGGACAACTCCGACAAGCGCCTCCTGCGGCTAGGTCGCTCCTCATCTCTTTCTTCCAGATCCTTCTCTTCATGTACTCGGAGCGTCAGCCAAGCAGCGATGATGGAGCATAGACCACCAAATCGCAGAACCCAAGCTACACTATCGTCACCTGCGACACCACGGGGCCTTTGAAGGGCCCTGAAGATAACGGAGCTGACAAGCGTGGCAATGACCTGCGGGGCCGCGATGGCGACATTGTGGATACCGAGTACCACTCCGGCGGAATCCGCGTCTCCAGCATCAGCACCCTCGGCGACAGCCTGCTCTTCCTCGGACGTCGGCTTGATGGCACCACGGCGGATGGCATCGCGTTTAGATATCTCAGAAGCGATGATGGAGAAGGGTGCCCAACCAGTAAGACACCACGGAACACCGATGGCGCCAACAAGAATGGTAGCGCCCATGGTCGACTTGATCACGAACGTTAAGCCCATGAGGATGGCGAAGACAATGTGAGAGATGAACCAGGACCGACGGAGAGTAAGAGACTTGATCTGCAACTTGTCGAGGGCGGCGTAAAACTTGTCCATCTTCGACTTGGGGGGTCCTGTGCGCTTAGGCCTCAGCGTGAAGTAACCAGAGCCACCCATGGAGTGGGGAGTTGCAGGGGTAAGGGGAGTGGTGGGTCTCATGGGAGTACCAGGTGTAGGAGGCTGTGGCTCAGGTTCGGGAGCCTGGAAGCTAGGCGGGATGATGAAGGGGAAGATGACAGAGCACAAGAAGGTGGTGCAAGCAAAGACCAAAAGGGCACGGGTGCCAATGCGAGTTGCATCTTCCCAGACCTTGTCGATCTCTGCATCGGACATGTGGGGGTTCGCCTCGAAGAATGGATCCGCGTAGATCTCGCCGACATAGGTGGTGATGTAGAACAGGAAAGGGAACCATCCAATCCAGGCGAAGAACTGCACCTCGCAGACACGCTTGATCTGATCTGGGAGCCTGTTGACAGATACGGAGAGGCTCTTGAAGAAAGCAATGACGCCTTCCTGCTGCTCAGGCGGTGGCGGATCCCGGGTAGGGTCTCGCTCGCCAGCGGTGCAGCTAACACCAACGGTAAGGGCCATGATGAATGAGGCAATGGCACAAAGAACCTTGAACTGAGTGTCGCCGAGCCACGGGAGGTAGAGGGGCAGGTTGATGTAGCCAGCCAGGTAGCCAGCAATGTTTCCAACGCCAGCAGACCGCATAAGCCACGCGTTGGCTGATTCTTGCTGGTGGGTCGGGGCGACATCTACAATGTAGGCGCGAATGGCAGCTTGGATGACGTTGATGGCGAAATCAAGGACGTAGATCAGCAGCACAGCGAAGAACATGGTGATGGTGACGACCCAGTGGTTGTCAGCTTCGGCGCCAAAGAGGCTACCGATGCCGGCCACAATCTCACGAGCCCATCCGAGGAGCATCAGGGAGGCGATGGTTGCAACAGCGCCGCCGATGATGAACGGACGTCTCTTCCCCCAGGTGATTCTGCAGTTGTCGCTCTTCAGGCCGACGTAGGGCTGCACGAGCACACCAGAGAGGGGGCCGGCGATCCAGACGAGAGCCAGCATGGACTTGCTCAGGCCCAGGGACAGTAGATAGGGCTGGGCGGGCGGTTAGCATGGATGCATGGGGTCGGAGGCGCACTCTTACCGAGCCATTGGACGTCTCGACCGACCAGCCAATCTGCAGACCAAGACCGCCGAGGGTCAGCAGGAAGAGGAAGAAGCTGCTCTTTGTCTCCTCGAACTCGGGGAAGTAGTCGTCGTCTTCCTGGGCGAAGGTGGGCTCCTTGAGCAGGCGGTCGGTCTCGCGGGCGTGGTCGGGGACGATGAGCGGCGTGGACTCGCTGACCTGGTCGCGATTGGGCGGGGCGGACAGGTCAGAATCGCGACTGAAGGACACGAACTTGGGGCGCGGGCGGCCGGACTGCGACATGCGCGTGTCGATGGGCGGCGGGCCGGGCACGGATCGCCGCGACGAGATGGAACTCGCCTCGGAGATGGTGTCGTCGTCGCGGCGGCGGGACGAGGACGGCATGGCGGCGGTGGAGGAGGGTGCAGTCGGCGGCGGGCACGGCGACGGCGGTGCAGGGAGACGCGAACGAGAGAGCAACCAAGGCGACGAAGACGTCCAGCCAGGAGATTTCCAAGGTAGGCAGGCGCACGGCAGGCTAAGCGTGGCAGATCCTGCAGGGCCTATGAAGTCACTGGAAATGTGCCAATGGTCGTCGACCCGTTGGGGGCAAGGGTCGCTGGCGCGCTTCGACTGTTCAACACGCTTCAACGGCGCAACACGCTGCAACGGTTCAGCGCCGGCGGCCTAGGTGCGGGCAGACGTGAGGGCAAAGACAAGCACGCAGACAGCGCGGGGGCAGTCTGCGGGCGGCGGCTGCTGCTTAAGAGCGCGCCGGAAGAGCGGTGAGGCTGGTGTAGCCCGACAAGCAAGCAGGGCATGCGCTTCCGTGGAGCCTGGAGCGGCTGGACTGCTGTGTCTGCGGGCTGTCAGGTGGGAGTGACGTCGTTGAGGCCGATGGCGCTAGCGGCGTTTTGGGAGCACAGCTTCGCGGCGGGCGCAGTGCCGCAGCGGCGCAGATGGCAGCCGCGCAGGTCAGGAGAGCTCCGCCAGTTCGCAGAGGCTTGCAGCCGACCATCTCGGACGCCCACCAGACCGCCTGTGCGCATGCCCTGCTCTGGCGCTGAAGCATCCGCGAGTGAAGTGTGCAAACTGCGCGAACTGCGCAAAGCTGCGTGGACTAGGTACCGCAACGTGTGGTCTTGGACCCTGTGCGCGCATCAGATCCCTTGTTCGCACAGGCACCAGCATCGAGACAAGACAACGAAGCTCTCTCCGCGGCCACCTGCGCTCTACAGCCCTTCGCACACCCACCCACGACGCGCTCGCTCCCCGCCCGTTGCCCGCTCCGCCCGCGCTGCACGCGCTCCCCCGCGCCCGCTGCTGATGAGAAAGCGCTGCGGCCCCAGTCACCATTCACCATGGTGTCGACGGTCGCCTGGGCCATGATGGCGCAACTGCTGAGTGCGCCGACCCGCCTGCACGCCGCGCGTGGACTGCTGTGCTGACCCTGCCCCCAGAGCGCGATGCCATCGACGCGGATCCAGATGGTCAGTCCCCCGCCGTGCTCGTCTGCCGTCTACCGTCTGAATCGTCCGAATGCTGATGCGCCGACAGAGGACGCCCCCGAGGCTGGCCAGAAGGAGATCTTCACCTCGTGGGCCCTCTCCATCCTGATCGTGCTGCTCATCATCGCCCTCTTCACGAGCTACATCATGCAGACGCGCAAGATCCAGGCCGTCCACGAGACCGTCCTGTCCATCTTCGCCGGTCCGTCGCCCGTCCCTACGCCCCCGGCCCAGAGCCTCACTAATACCCTCCAGGCATGGTCGTTGGCCTCATCCTCCGCGCCACAGGCGCAGTTGGCTCCGTCCTGGATGCTGTCAGCTTCGACTACCAGATGTTCTTCAACCTCCTGCTGCCGCCCATCATTCTTTCCGCCGGCTACGAGCTGCATCAAGTGCGCCTCCTTGCATCCCGCCTCCCAACATCCCGCTGACACCGTCCAGGGCAACTTCTTTAGGCATATTGGTAGCATTCTTACTTTTGCCTTCGCCGGCACCTTCATATCTGCCGTGTCGCTCGGTCTGATCCTGTTCCTGTGGACACGCATCCCCCTCGATGGCTTCAAGATCAACTTCGTCGAAGCCATGTCCGTTGGCGCCACCCTCTCAGCCACCGACCCCGTCACAATCCTCGCCATCTTCGACACATACAAGGTCGAGCCGAAGCTGTACACCCTCATCTTCGGCGAATCAATCCTCAACGACGCTGTTGCCATTGTCTTGTTCGAGACGGCACAGAAGTACAAGGACGGCGCAGAGACACTGGGCATCATGAGCCTGTTCGAGGCTTTCGGCATCTTCTTCGGCGTCTTCTTTGGCAGCCTGTTCATCGGCGTCATGGTCGGCATCATCGCATCGTTGACGTTGAAGTTCACTTATGTTAGGCGCTATCCCAAGACCGAAACCTGTTTGATCATCCTTGTCGCATACCTTACATACTTCCTCTCCAACGCTATTCACATGTCTGGTAAGTCGTCTCGCTATTCTGCTCTAGTCTTTGCTTACCGTCTGCAGGTATTGTGTCGCTTCTGTTCTGTGGCATCTGTCTCAAGCATTACGCCTACCACAACATGTCCAGGCGCACCCAGCTGTCGACCAAGTTTGTCTTCCAAGTCACCTCACAATTGTCGGAGAACTTCATCTTCATTTATCTTGGATTGTCGCTCTTTACCGACAGAAAGCTCGACTTCAAGCCCCTTTTCATCCTCATCACAGTGGCCGGTATCTGTGCCGCTCGTTGGGCTGCTGTGTTCCCTTTGTCAAAGGCTATCAATGCTGTCTCCAGATATCGCCAGCGGCGCCGCGGTGTGGACACCACTGAAGAGGAGATTCCGTACGCACACCAGGCCATGATATACTGGGCGGGATTACGTGGCGCTGTGGGTGTTGCGCTTGCAGCTGGACTGACAGGCAACAATGGCGACACCTTACGCGCTACTGTGCTCGTTGTAGTCGTGCTGACCGTCATCATTTTTGGCGGCACAACGGCACGCATGCTGGAGATTCTTGGTATTCGCACTGGCGTAGTAGAGGAGATTGACTCCGATGACGAGTTCGATATCGAGGTCGTCAACGGTGGTACCTTCCAGCGCAACAAGGGCGCAGGCATCGGCCACACTCCTCAACCCAGTCAGAATGGATTCGGGCTCAGCAATGTCAATGGCGCATACTCCAGCGGCTCCGTGGGTCGCAGCAGTCCTCCCACAAGACCCAATGGGCAGCCAATGCGACGGAACTCTAGCAAGCAGCGTTTCGGAGATGGTGCTGATCAAGGTCTTCTAAGTCCTGGCGACAGCAACTCCGCTGACGAGGACGATGCAGACCTCGACCTTCCACCCAACGCGCGTAGATCACCGAATCGCCATGCATCACCAGCCGGCGCCTCACTCGATCCACTTTACCCGACCTCGGGCCATAGAATGGCAGAGACTGGGGCAGGAGAAGGATCGAGCAGAGTCGCTGCTGCGACAGACGCAGTGAAACAATTGTTCAGCGAAATAAGCCAGGACCCAGCCAACGCGTTCAAACACATTGATGATGGCTTCTTAAAACCACATCTCCTTCTGGACCCGGGGCAAGGAAAGCCAGGACCTAGCAACGTGTAAGATCTGGGATTTGTAGCATTCGAGCATATCTGGCGTTTGGGGAACATTGATTGCCGCATCGCTTGACGCGATCAGCGATGTGCGTATGAACAACCGCGGTAGCAAATATTTGCAATGCATTTAGGCTATAGCATTATGTCTTTCGATCCTCCATATTCGCCACAACAAACGTTCCTCAGCAGCATGTGGCTTCCCTGAATGTACATCCAAGCTTTGCACGGTTCAGTAAACTGCTAGGCACTGGAGGCTTACGAGGTCACCGGGTAAGGCTTGAGTACTTCAAGGTACTTTACTCTCGTGCTTGTTCGGGAAGGGTCAAGCCGCTAGCGTGCCCTCCATATTACAACAGATTAATCCACTAACAATCCTCAAACTAGCTCACTCTACGCAACCACTCATCATGGCAAATAGTGGCGTCTCACGCTCGACAGCAAGGGCAGACCCTGTGAAAGCCTATGGTTTCTGGAAATCCCCGGTCTTGCGGGGAAACCCTAATCTGGAATATGCATGCTATGGCAACGCGGCTCAGATGAATCCTCATCTATGCTTTCGCTGGAGATGAGCCGCACTCGGCTGTTCACGTTTCCTCGTATTCAAGCCATTCGAGATTATCCCCTGGGTTGCTGAGTATATCTCCAAACGCGACAGCGCCACCGCCTGCAAGCTTGTTGTCTTGATCTGTCGAAGCTTCAGAGCACGCCCGACCCTGGACTATGGCAAGTTATATTTGCCTTGACTATAGTGACTTTTAATGCAGGTCCGAAGTTCCGCCTCTTTTGAAATGAGGTTCCGGAGTGATCTTCAGTCTAATATCAGCTGACCATTAGTCTCTCTATAGCACGAGCACATTCTACCTGCAGCCAAGTTATGGAAGTTTCACATTTCGAATTGCACAGACCATGATCATCACATCTCGCGGGTTACGGGCCTGCTTCCTGATGAGCTGCGTACGACCGTGTCAGTACTCAGCTGTGAGATACACTGCAGTCGTAGACGACATGTGGATATAAAAGGGAGTTGAGCTCTGAACGAATTCAAGCAACCACAACTCAAGTCCTTCGCTCTTCATTCCCTTCGCCAACATGAAGCTCGTATTCACTGCCTTGCTGGCATCCGCCATCACTGGTGCCTTCGCTGCTCCCACACCTAGCGAGCAGGGCCCGATCACTGCCCGCCAGGCTGCAAGCGCCTGCGCGACCGCTGTCACTCTCTCCGGCAATCCCTTTGCAGGACGTTCTATTTATGCGAACAAGTTCTACTCGTCTGAGGTCTCTTCCGCCGCTGCCTCCATCACTGATAGCGCGTTGAAGGCAAAGGCAACAAAGGTTGCCAGCGTTGGAACCTACCTCTGGATGTGAGTATGGTCGCGTGTAGTAAAGTGGTTTGGCTGACCGGTCTTTAGCGATACTCGTGCAAAGATTGCTACAGTTGAAGATGCTATCAAGAACGTTGGCTGCAACCAGATTGCTGCTCTTGTCATCTACAACCTTCCCGGCCGTGACTGTGCTGCTAAGGCTTCCAACGGTGAGCTCGCCGTCGGCCAGCTTGATATTTACAAGAAACAGTACATCGATCGTAAGCTCTTCGTGTCCATAGTCAACTCTTTGTTCTTTTCACTGACACTTGCAGCCATTGTTGCCATCTTCAAGAAGTACCCCAAGGTCGCCATTTCTCTGGTCATTGAGCCTGATTCTCTCCCCAACCTTGTCACCAACGCCAACCTCGCGACATGCCAGGCCTCTGCCTCCGGCTACCGCGAAGGCGTCGCATATGCCCTCCAGCAACTCAACCTCCCCAACGTAGCCATGTACCTCGACGCCGGACATGGCGGCTGGCTCGGATGGAACGACAATCTCCGTAGGTCCAGAACCCCCCCATAATCTTCATAATTGACATATTTTAGAACCTGGCGCCAAGGTCCTCGCCGACGCCTACATTGCAGCGGGTAAGCCCAAATCCCTCCGCGGCATCTCCACCAACGTTGCTGGCTGGAACGCCTGGGACCTGACACCCGGCGAATTCGCTGCCGGCGACGGTCAGTATAACAAGGGATTGAACGAGAAGTCCTACGTCGAGACCTTCGCCACATACCTGACCGCTGCCGGTATGCCGTCGCAGGCCATCGTCGACACTGGCCGCAACGCCGTCCAGGGCCTGCGCCAGGAGTGGGGCCACTGGTGCAACGTTAACGGTGCTGGATTCGGTGTGCGACCTACTACCAACACGGGATCAAGCAAAGTGGACTCGTTTGTATGGGTTAAGCCCGGTGGTGAGAGCGATGGTACCAGCGACTCATCGGCTGTGCGTTACGACTCGTTCTGTGGATTGAGCGATGCGTTCAAGCCCAGTCCCGAGGCGGGACAGTGGAACCAGGCCTACTTCGAGATGTTGCTTAAGAATGCTAAGCCATCCTTTTAGATGTGAAGTCGCAGGTGTGTTTTCGGGTTTTCTTGTACATACCTTCCGCCTTTCGAGAGAAGGGATTGCAAATATGGAGTATCTACGTATATAGGAGGAGACGGAACGATAGGGGAGAGGGCTAAGTAAATGACACTCGTTTGAACTTGATGGGTTTGTTTGATAGGCCGACGCCGTGTCTACTGACATCGCGACTGACTAGTCTTCTCGACCGCGCTCCCCTAAGGTGCTCTGGAGATCATGGAGCGCAGGTGGCAGCGGCGAAATAGCATCCACAGGCCACTTATACGTCCTCTCGTAAGCCGTCTCAAATTCCCACCTTCCACATCCAACAGTCTCCTCGCGCTTCCCCTTCCCGTCCGGAATACACACTTCTGCCGTCACCCCCTCAGGCACGACAACCTCTATCTTGAACTTACTCCCCACTACCTTCCAATTGACCCCCACCTCCCCCCTCGGCCCTTCATGCCTTGCCCTCGCCCACCCAATATCCCCCCCGACCACCGGCTCGACCCGCACCCTCTCCCACCCAGGCTCTAGACACCTCAACCCCGCGACCCGCTCATGCAAGAACGTCGCCACAGCCCCGTACGCATAGTGATTGAAACTCGTCATATCCCCTTGGTTCACGCTCCCATCAGGCAGCATGCTATCCCAGCGCTCCCAAGTCGTGGTGGCCCCCATCCGGATCCCGTACAGCCAGCTGGGACACGCGTCGGCGAGCAGCATGCCATACGCTACTTGCGCGTGACCCGTCGCAACGAGTGCCTCGCATACGTACGGCGTTCCGGCGAACCCGGTGCCGATTTTGAAGCTATTAAGGCGCACGAGATGCGCAAGGCGGTCGCCCGCGGGTGCGCGCTGGGCGGGTGTGAGCAGATCAAAGGTTAGCGCAAGAGCGTATGCGGTTTGCGAGTCCGATACTAAGCGTCCGTTTGGAGTCGTCCATTCGGCTTGAAACTGGGCGCGGGCGGCGGTGTAGTCGGCTTTGTAGGTTGTGGCGTCGGAGGGGTGGGCAAGGAGAGTCGCGATGGTGGTCATGAGGTGCAGGGTGTGGACTAGGAAGGCGTCGGAGGCAAGTTTGCTGTCTGTTTTGCTTTGCCAGGGGCAATCGGGGGGAGCTGCAGGGTCGAGCCAGTCCTGGGGATGTTAGTGGAAGAGAAATGAGAAGGATAGGGGGCTTACTCCGAGTTGGAAAACGTCGGGATGCCATAGGTTGGGGGTTGCGCTGCCTTCGTAGCGTTGGATTTTGCTGATCCAGCCTTGCATGCTTTCGTACTGGGATCGCAGGATTTCGACGTCGCCGGTGGCGCGATACATAGCCCATGGGCCAAGGACCGTAACGTCGTGCCAGATCGCGGTGGGGATGCCCAAGTCCCAGAATTTATCGCCTTCAAGGGGATCGGGGCATACCATTGGTGGCAGGCCATCTCGCCTCTTTTGGCAGATCGCCAAGTCGGTGTGCCAGTTTTTGAGGATACCAGCGCATTGGTAGACGTATGCGGCTGTAGGAGCGAATAGTGCCAGATCACCTGTCCAACCCAGTCGCTCGTCCCTCTGAGGACAGTCAGTGGGAATGGAGAGGAAGTTGCCCCTCATGCTCCAGCAGACATTCTGGTATAGCTTGTTGAGGTTGATGTCAGAGCATTCGAAGTGACCGACACGTTGCATATCCGTATGGCACACCACGGCTTCTATCGAGTCAGCTAGAGAAGACTCTTCCGGCCAATTATCAACCTGAGCGTAACGAAAGCCGTGGAAAGTGAACCTCGGCTCCCAGGACTCAGCTTGCGGGGATCCCTTGAGGATGTACTCATCCGTAGCTTTGCAATCTCGAAGTGGTCTTGTGCCTAGCTCGCCGTGCTCAAGCACTTCAGCGTGCTTGAGCGTAATCTTATGCCCCGCCGTACCGCGAACCTTGTTTATCCTGACGTAACCAACCAGGTTTTGGCCAAAGTCAAGGACGGTCTTTCCGGAGGGCGTTGTGATCTGCTCAATTGGCTTCACAGTCTCGATCCTGCGCACTGGCTCTCCGTAGCCCGCCACGAGCTTCGTTCGTTCTGGCAGAGGGTCCAAGACCTTGACCTTCTGCCAGCCATCACCGCTACCGTTGTCTCCCAGAGACCAGCCGTCAACTTCCTTGGTTGCATCGTACTTCTCGCCATCGTAGAGCTCAGCAATCCGAATTGGGCCCTCCGTAACAGCCCAGGTGACGTCAGAAACAACTTGCTGCACGCTTTCATCGTTCAAGGTCACCTCGAGCTGCGCAAGAAACGCATTCGTGTCACCCCAAATGTTGCGTCTCCCACCCTCGAACCCAATTCGACCATTGTACCAGCCCTCAGCTACCCGCACTCCAATGCAGTTATTGCCTGGACGCAGCAGCTTCGAAACATCGTACGTTTGGTACTGGAGTCGATCTTTGTACTCTGTGAAGCCGGGCGCGAGAAAGTAGTCGCCGACACGAACGCCGTTAATCTCGGCCTCGTAGAGACCTTGCGCAGTGATATACAGACGGGCCGATGCTACCATAGTGTCAAGATCAAAGGACTTGCGGAAGAGTCGCTCTGGATGTGATTTCGTCGGATCCCTGATATCTCCACCGGTGATGCGCTGCGCCGTCCAGTCCGAAGAGTCGAGCAGGCCAGTTTCGAGGATGCTTGGTTCGCTCCAGGATGTGGTTTCTCCCCTCTCGGACACGCCTTGGATCTTGACGGCGATGCGCTGCCTTGATCGCAGGGGCTTATCTGCAGGCCATGGCACCAGATTTGACTTTGACGAGGTCACATTGGTGCTGCAGATAATCTTCGGCTTTCCAGCGGGTGAAATCTCGGTGAGCTCAACGTTGTAGCTTCGCTGTTGGAAGCCTGGCTTGCTACTGTTGTACGTCCATGATATCCGAGGTTGAGTCTCATGAACACCGAGAGCATTCTCTGGCTGATAATGCTCAAACCTTACCTTACCAAGTTGTGTCATTGCTGGGATAACTGAAGCGGTTGTGAAGTCAAGGGAACGCGTAGTTGCTAGGCGGGGTGTTTGGCTGTCAAATGCATCACTTTCCAAGTCCGACTGAGAAATGTACGATACGCTACAGCTGGCATGACTTCGGATGGCGCTTGTGATTGCCTCCTTCGTGCCGCTTGTAGAGCCTCTAGAGCCTCAGGGAGCCGAAAGGTAGTGTAGTTTACGATTTCTCCACTTTTCTTGGGGCATCTCATTCGCTTAGGCGCGCTCCATCCCCGCAGCTTGGGTCATCTTCGACCGAAATTGCCACTACGGGACAGGAGGGGCCACATTGGGTGCATGCCGACACCTATGTCCGCGGCTTACACGGCCGCTGATTGGAGTTCAAGGACGAACGCCTCAAGTCTGTTAAAATCTCCGCAAGCAGCTATGCACCAGCATTCCGCCCCCGAGGGCAAGTCCAAATTTTGTCACGTGGAGCTTACTCCCGAGGTGGAGGGAAGTAGCCCGTTCAGGCTGGCCTCATGACAGTCATGCGCAGGACCCCGAGACCCCGGACTACAGCTCATGAAATCAAGGAGATTGAGAAGTGTATATATGCCATTAGCCCACCACATTATCCGTAACGATTCGACCAATTCAGATACCCATCATCACTATGACATCGATAACGCAACAAAATGCCAAATACGTCGATTGGCGCACATACAAGGCCAACGGAGTAAACCTGGGTAGTTGGTTCTGTCTGGAGACTTTCATGGTCCCGAAATTCTTCGAGGAACACGGTAACACTCACGATGAGTGGACGGCGTGCGAGCAGTTTGGTGCGGCCGGTCCAGCCCTTGATAAGCACTACAAGACTTGGTTCACCAAAGCCGACATTGACACATTTGCATCTCGCGGAGTCAATGTCTTGCGCATACCATTCGTCTATGCAGCATGGATCAAAGTGCCGGGCTCGCCGCACTATCACGGACCTCAAGTTGAGATCATGAAAGAGTTGGCTACGTATGCAATCGAGGAATACGGGATGCACATCGTACTCGACCTACATGCTCTGCCGGGAGGTGTCAACTGGTTGGAGATAGGGGAGGCCCATGGGCATGGCGCCTGGTTCTACAGTGAAGAGAATCTAGAGCTATCGTATCAAGCGGTAGATGCAGTCCTGAACTACATCCAAAATGGATCTGGACACCCAGGATCCTACACCCTCGCTCCTGTCAACGAAGCTGTTGACAGCAAGGACCTACGAACGTTCGGTACCCCATTTGCACTCTCCGAAAAAGCAGCAGACTGGCTATTAAAGTATATTCTCGGCGTGATTGAGCGAACTGAAGCTCTTAACAGGAGCATTCCCATTATGTTCCAAGATTCCTTCAAAGGAGAAGAGTACTGGTCAAGCCGGTTGCCAGAATCAGCAAACATCGTCATCGACGTTCACATCTATTATTTCGCTGGGCGACAGGCCGACTCTGCCACTGTCCTTCCACTCATCGAAGAAGACGGCAAGACGGCAAACAAAACGCAGAAATTTCCTGTGGTCATCGGAGAGTGGTCAATTGAAACAGAGCTCAATAACCAGCTGAGAAAGCGCAAAGAGCTGTTCGAAGCTGGCCGGGCCTCGTTCAATAAGCATACGCAGGGCAACATCTACTGGTCGGGGAGGGTCGACAGCGATGCAAAGGTTGCTGGTGAAGGCGGCAAGCGCGATTACTGGAGTTATCTAGACATGATCAAAGACGGCGTCGTGACGCCATGGGAGGGTTAGGTCTTGATGATCATCAAGTCTCAAAAGTCGGCGATTGTCTGCGCCTTAAATTTAAGAAATGCAATTGTCATCTTGCGATGTTGATCATGTACAAAGTCTAGTATCTCACATCTGAATCGTTGGTTGCATCATTATATCGCGATACTTCGGGAAGCTCTGATTGAGAGATTGCTCTTTGTTTCAGCTTTTGTTTAATCACCTGAACACTGCCGCCGTTCACCTCCGTTGGTGGGATGAAGAACAAGCAACCAGCATTGAACTGGTTCTAAAGTGTGTACTCTAATCACAAACATTGTTCATAGATCGCGACATGGTCTGGAAGGCTAAGTCTATGGATGGGTGCCAAGTATAACGTGGAGCCGACCGGGATCGCCCCATCCGATGCACACGATCTAGCTGATACACAAGCCTCGTTCATTGTCGCACGATAGGTCGTTGCAGATGTTGCTCGGCGCAGCTCGGAGAGCAATCACCCGTCCATCGATTCGTGTCACGAAGCCTTGATTGCTGACAACACCTCACTATCGAAGGCATCTCCGATTCCCCCACATCCCGCAAAATCGCCAAGTCGGCTGCCCAAAGCACGCCCAGATCCATGGATCTGGATGAGCTCAGCCCCTTGCCCCAGATTCTAGTACCCCAGATGTGGAGTCACTACCGGGGTATATGTACGACCTCAGCTTCCCCAGACCAGACCGTCCAGCAGTACAGGCCATTTCATCTCATTCAAAATGCCGTCTTTCACAGCAAACCCCAATCCTCACAGCATCGTTGATGTGTCAGAGCTGAAGGAAGCGCCGTTGCACAACGAAATCGTCGAAGAGCATGATGATCTCAAGGGGTTTCCAGACCAGGAAGTCGAGCAGACGGTCTGGCAGGAGATCAAGAGCAGTCCGCGTATCATCGCCTACACCGTGCTGGCGAACGCTGGGAGCCTTGCGTTCGGGTTTGATATCTTGGTGACTGGTGCAGTGACGGCGCTGCCAGCGTTTTCGTGAGTTCTCTCCTAATCTGGATAGACTGTGGTGTGGCGGTACTAACAGGTGATAGCATGACCTATGGCGAGCAGTACAATGGCCAATTAATCTTGCCTGCACTCTGGCAGGGCCTGTGGACTGCTTTCATCCAGCTTGGTATCATGATCGGTGCTGCTGGAAGTGCCCCTTTCCAGGACCGCTTCGGTCGCCGTATGGCTTTCGTTCTGGGTGGTTTTGTGTCCGCGATTGGTACGTCTGCAAGCTGTGTCTTGTCAAGGAAATTGCCAATTAACATTGGTTGATGCATAGGTACAGCATTCGCATACGCCTCACCAGAGTCCGGCGTAGATTTGACAGGCCGCCGTACTCTGTTCCTATTCTCGAAGATCATCACGGGCGCTGGTATCGGCGTGCTTATGACGACTTGCCAGACGTACGTCTCGGAGATATCACCCGTTAAGCTCAGGGGTGTTCTACTTGCGGTGTTTCCTTTTGCAGTCTCCATCGGCCAGCTCGTGGCGGTAACACTGGTCTTCTCGCGCATTATGGTCTTCGATGTGTCGTCTTTCAGAGTAAGCCCAACACCGTCGACCACTCATCGACATACAACTGACAACACACAAGATTCCGTTCGCTGTGCAATGGGGCTTCAGCGGCCTTGCTATCATATCCGGTCTCGTCGTTCCCGAGTCTCCCTCCATGCTCATGGCCCGCAACGAGCCCGCCGCAGCAAGAAAGTCGTACCTGCGTCTTCACGGCTCCAAAATCGATGCCGATCTCGCACTGAGCAAGATACAAGCCATCCTCGATCATGAGCAGGAACAACATGCCAACAGCGGCAACGCCTCATTCACTGAATGCTTCCAAGGTAGTAACCGCAGACGCTCGTTCATCATCATGCTAGTTGCACTCTTGCAGTATCTCCTCGGCGTCTCGCTGCTTGCAAATGCCAACTACTTCCTGATTATGGCTGGTATGAGTCCGACACAGTCGCTACAGATCTCGCAGATTGGTATTGGCGTCCAGATCGTTTGTATTTGTATCGCAGGTGTGACAATGACGTGTTTTGGCAGGAGGGTCATTGTGCTATACTCTTGCGCCGCGACAGGTATCGTGTTCATTGGCCAGGGTGTAGCAGGTTTTTTCCAGCACAACACGAACGCCCTAAAGTAAGCATCTCTCGTGACTTATACTATTGTCCAGGTCTAACGTCTCTCAGATTCATCGGTGTATCGATCCTCCTCGTCGGCGCCATTGCTACCCTCGGCGTCGGTACCACCTGGCCAGTCCTCATCGGTGAGATGTCATCTGTCCGCCTCAGGGCAAAGTCGTCTGCCATTGGCTTCATGACGAACGCGCTAGCTGGTGTTGCGTTCAGTATCTCAGTGCCCTACATGTTCAATGCCGATGCAGGCAACCTGGGCGGCAAAATCGGCTTGGTCTTTGCTTTCTTTTGCTTCTTGGGGCTGGGCTTGTCCTGGCTGTACTTGCCCGAGACGAAGGCTAAGTCGTACGAGGACCTGGATTATCTGTTCGAGAGAAACGTGTCGGCGAGGCAGTTCAAGAAGGCGGTGCGTGGTGATTATAATTAAGTCCACGTGGAGGTAGTTTGAAATGGATCGACGATGGGCCAGTTTATCTCAATAAGTAATTTTGAACGCATACATGTACCACAGTCCTTACCTGATAGCTACTGGCCTTGATCAAACCTGAATCCGGAACCCAGTATGGTCAGCACAGTGACATATCGAGTGACGTTTGTCGGTTGATTTTCGCTTCCTTCCACCCCAGGCCTCAGGCATCAGACCCGGTTATGTCGGTCGATAGATGAGGGGCAGTTTCTTCCGCTCGCCCCGCCTCTTTACTCATGTGTCAGCTTACATGATGAGCACTTCTTCATGTTTCAGGGTAAGTATGTGGTGTCTTCCATGCGGTCTATACGGCTTTGCCCGAGATATATTCCGTACACGTCTTCAGTCTCTCATCGGACAGCATCGATAGTTTAGTGGTAGAATTGAAGCTTCCCATCTCACGGCAGGACTTGCTTCAGGCACGGTAGCTAACACCTTCCATAATCTGGATATGAGGTTCTAATATCAATATAGGGTTCGATTCCCGTTCGATGCACGATAACTTTTGCTCCTGCTATGGTCAGGTTGGAGAGAAAACTGTCGCTCATGGAGAGATGTTGCTGATGGGTGTGTTGAGCGGCTGCTGCTGGTCGAGTGTGCCTATGTTCTACTTTTCGCTTCTGGACTGTGCAAGACAACGCAACAATCGTTTTTCGCGGGTCATAAAAATTGGGCGACGCGGTGACTTTTTGGCTGTGTGTGGTGTTGGTGATGGTCGGACAGCAGGTGCGACTGGTTGTGAGAGCTGTCTTAACTAGCGGGGTCGTGCGTCAATGCGGTCATCGCGGCTCGATATCAACACCTAGACTGTGTGCACTTCACGACACAGGACGGTTTCCCTTTTAGATTGCCTCAATCTTTGCGATGTCTGCTAAGATCGAAAAGACGATTCAGCGCCAGAAGGAGAGGTCAGAAAGCAACGGGACGACGTCCAATCCCCACTGACGCCCGTACAGAATCGCCGAGGGCCAATACTATGAAGCCCACCAGCAGCTCCGCGTAATCGCATCCCGCTACACGAAGGCCTCTGACTGGCCTTCAGCAACCGACATCCTCTTTCGCGGCGCGCAATCCCTCCTGCAAGCCGGCCAGGGCGGCTCGGGCGGCGACCTTTGCATTTTCCTCATCGATGTCTTCAACAAGAGCGAGACCAAGCCTGATGCGAGCAGTAGAGGCAAGCTAGTGACACTGCTGCGCGCATTCCCGCCAAACGAACCTACGAAGAAGAAGTTTGTCGGCGAGATGGTGGCCTGGAGCGCAAAGTTTGGCGAGTATCCCGCTGGCGACCCCGAGATCCACCACGTCGTGGGCAGCGCATTCGCAGAGGGTATGTAGGCAATTTTGCTTTAGGCTGAGATGAAGACTGACATGAACCCAAAGAGCTCGAGCCTTACGACGCGGAACGCCATCTCGTGCTCGGCACAAAAGACTCGCCTGAAGCCCTCGCGAACCTCGAGTACGCGTGGTACTGCGCCGACGACTCGCACACCGCACCCCTATACGCTGCGCGCGGCGTCCTGCCGTATCTCCTTGCCGGCAATCTGCGCTCGGCCAACAAGTTCTTCCTGCTATTCACCTCGCGGCTCTCTAGCAAAGCCGGCTTGCAGACCCAGCAGGTGTCCACGTCGGCCTCGGACCTGCGTGTATACCCGTCGTTACCGCTGCTCAACTTCCTGGGGCTGTTGTTGCTGAGTGTGGAGCGCGGCGACCCCAGCCTGTTCCGCCAGCTGAAGAGCCACTATGCAGCGCACTTGAAGGACACCAACTGGGACGAGGCGTTAGATCAGCTCGGCGAGATGTACTTTGGGATAAGGATACCGAAGCAGGGAAACCCTATGTTTGACATGTTGGGAAGCATGTTTGGAGGCGGCATGGGCGGCGGAGCGAAGAAGCCAGCGAGTGGGAATAAGAGCCTGCCACCGACCGGGGGGCTGGACTGAGCACTCATCTCATGGCTTGTGGGAGACATGACATAGCATGACATGGCATAAGCTCGTATAAACATCACAAATAAGGCTACCATATGTGAAACTGAATGGGTGAGCGCAAACGTGAGATTCTTTTATCTACACTAACGATACCCTTGAAATCTTCATTCTATGATTCCAAACACCCGTCAGAGCGTGCTCATCTAGGCAGCGACAGTCTTCTCCCTGAAGCGGATGTTGTACTTGTCCTCAAGGACCTTCATCAGCGGCCTGCAGACAGCCGGGTCCATGGGAGCAAGAATACCCTTCTCCTTGATTGTGCCGTCGAGAACCTGCTGGACAGCGACCGCGCAGGGTACACCAACCAGCTTGGCCATGGAGGAGTAGCCCTTAGGCTCGCCGTAGTCGGCAAGTGTGGATGTGCGGATGACCCTGCTGCCGTCCTTGTTCTCAATCTCGAACTTGTGCTGCAGCATGACGAAGTCGCGCTCGTCGGCCTCGTACTGCATCTTCTTTTCGAGTGTGGCGCAGAGGGTATCGAGCGGGTTGCCACGGGGAATGATCTTCTCGTCGGAGAAGAGCCCAATCCACTCAAGGCCGGCGATGATGCGCTCCTTCTCCTCGGTCGAGGGGAACTTGTGACGCGAGCTGATTGCCCAGACAATGTCCTCTTTCTTGTCGCTGGACGAACCGACGATCTTGGCAGTGGCGTCCTTCCATGTGCGCTGCTCGCCCTGCTTGAGGAAGTCCTTCTCGTCCTCGACCAGGAAGCCGATGTCGACGAGGGTCTTGATGTACTCGGGGAAGCCCTGGTAGCGGAGGGTACCACGGACAATGGTCTGGGCCTCGGGAATATTGTAGCGCTCTTTGTAGGGCGTGGAGTCGCGGTTGGGGTAGGCGACGAAGGCGTAGCCGGGATATATGAAGTAGGGCTTGGCCTCGGCCATGAGCTCGGGTCCCTCGACCTCCTTGACCTTGCCGTCCTCCCAGTACTTGGCAGCGTTCCTCAGCGCCAGCAGAACGCCGCGGGAGCTCCACGAGAACTTGTATCCGAGCGGGTTGTCCGAGGACTCTGGGGCGGGAAGACCACCGCAATATGACTTGAAGGAGAGGATCTTGCCGCCCTCTTTGTGGACATCGTCGATGGTGATGACGGCAGACAGGTGGTCGATACCAGGGTCAAGACCGATCTCGTTCATGACGGTGATGCCAGCCTCCTTGGCCTCAGCATCGAGCTCCATCATCGCGGGCGAGACGTATGAGGTTGTGACGACATTCTTCTTCTTGCGGATGGCCGACTTGATGACAGTTGCGTGGAAGGTATAAGGAATTAACGAGATGACAACGTCGACCTTGGCTACCTCAGCGTCGAGGGCCTCAGCATCATTGACATCGAGCTGGTAGAGTTAGCCTGGGCACTATAGCTGAGGGTGTGAAGAGCTCGCATACGCTGATCGCCTGGGCGTTAGGAATGCCCTTGGCCAAAGCCTGTGCCTTCTCGAGAGTCCTGCAGGCGACGACGACCTTGACGCCAGACTTGCCGAGGATCTCAGCAGTTGGGCGGGTGACGAAACCAGCACCAAGCAGCAGAACTGACCTTGTAGCGGTCAGCGTTGAGTTCACAAGTCGTTACTCGAATGCACTCACTTTCCGGTCGAGTTGACGCCGCCGAGAACGGTCTCGAACTTGTCTGTGTCGGTCAGTATGTCTCAATTAGCGGGCACAAAGTACTCACTGATGATTGCCTCCATTTTGTTCTGATCTAGGAAAAACTCTCAAGATCAAAATTGGGGTTGTAGATATATTGCGTGAGAGAGCTACCGATAAATTCAATTTGAGTCCGACGAATACCCCGCCTGAACTCCGCGGTCGTCATCGCCGCCACAAAGCGCCCGAAGTTCGGAACAACCCTGGAGCAAAGCGGGACTCTCAGCCCTATGGACACGTGATCTTTGCACGAGCCGCTCCATCGCGCTAGGCCCATTGTAGCACAAGCCCCCGACTTGCGATGCACCGTTGCGCGTAGGTATCAACGATCACGTCCATCAAAGCACGACATCAACATTTCGGATTAGAGCCAGTGACACACCGCGGTCACTCCGGGCACTGAGCAACTCGCCGCGGACGCGCAGCGCGAATTAAGGGCGCCCAGAGCGCTCACGACAGCTGTCATCATGCCGTCCGCAATAGACTCTGGCGATGACCTGCGAATGGCAATCAAACAAGTAACAACATAGACATGAACGCCACGGATTTGTATCTGCTAACACAAGTAAGATCGCCCAGTCGTCCGTTGGCTCAGATTACATCGACCAGTTGATTCCCATTATGAAAGATGCGCGCTATTCGAACCAACTGCAATTAGCCTTCGACCATTTCTCAAATGACAGAGAATCAGAAATAGAGCGGATATGTAATGCAAACCACCAGGATTTTGTCGCGTCGGTTGATTCTATGCTCCGTATCCGAGACCAGACAGTGCAAATGAGTGGAGAGATTCTGCAATTGAACGAGTCGATTCAAGAGAGCATCGAGAAATTGGCCACTCAGAAAAAAGCCTTGGTCGACTCTCGCAGTGTAAGGCAAAATATCAACGAAGCGACGCAGGCCCTGAATGCGTGTCTGAATGTCTTGAGGATAGCCAACCAGGTTCAAGATATGTTGCGAGAAAAGAACTACTACGCAGCTTTACGTGCGCTGGATGAGCTGCAGACTGTTCATCTCAAGGAAATTGGTCGTTTCAAAATTGCAAACTTGATCGAGAAGTCAGTACCGCAGACCCAAGAACAGATACGAGAAGCAGTCAAGACAGACCTAAGTACCTGGCTCTATCGTATCAGAGAGTCGTCTCAGTTTCTCGGAGAGGTATCCTTCTTTTACACCGACGAACGGAGAAGACGCAACTTAGAGCGAGCCGAGGTCGACTCACGATTTGGAAGGTTTAAACTTAACTCGGCGATCGAGCTGGTAGCTGATGAGACGGACGAGTTTGATATCCTCAACAACGAAGAAGCCGGGAATGAAACCGACTTTTCGCCGCTATTTCTAGCCATCCACATCAACGAGACGCTGGGCAAGAGCGACCAGTTTAAAGCCGAGTACGCTGCAGATCGTCGCACGCAGAAAGACCTGATCATTCCAAGCAAACTCAATCTGCTCCAGGACGAGTGTGATGATCTCAGCAGTTTTCTAGAGAGCATTGCGGGATTTGCGATCGTCGAGAAGGCTACCATTGCGAAGACGGTCAACTTGAGACAGCAGGCTGATGTGAGTACATAATTCGGAGGTCAGCCCCAGGCGCTGACCCAAGCAGGTTGATGAACTCTGGGACTCGATGTGTCAGAGTGCTGTGAAGCTTATTTCGGACTCTCTGCCCACAGTAGAAAGTGACGAGCTACTCTTGAAGATCAAGGGTCGAATAGCACTTTTCATGCTTACGATGGAGGTAAGTGTATTCTTGCGTGTACGGAATCTATTGTTGACGACTCTTAGAAAATAGGCTACTCGGTCGCAGCGATGAATGACCTGCTGTTAACGCTGTTCTCTAAATACTCGGAGCTTCTGAAGCAGCGCTTTAGTGACGATTTCATGGAGATAGTCCAAACCGACGACTACATGCCAATGCCGATCAACAGCTACGAAGAGTACGATAAAGTGGTCTCTGTAAGCTGGTATACGCCAGATAAGAGCCGCGAAGAACTCACGTTCCCCTGTGTCCTTCCATTCTCTCAGATGTACCCGCTCTGCTGCATCGACATTCGGAACTTCCTCAACCAGATTTATCTCTTCTCGGACGACTACTTCCAGAAATCTACTGTCATCGACGAGACTCTCCGCACATCCCTAGATGACCTCCTTTGCCAGAAGGTGTGCCAGTCGCTCATCGACCGCCTGTCTTCGCAATACCCCGGCCAGATTGTGCAGATCCTCACCAACCTTGAGCACTTCGAAACCGCCTGCGTCGAGCTGCAAGACCTGCTCTTCCAAGCGCGCAGCTCACCCTCGTCCAGCACACCAATTATCCTTACAGCGACAGAGAAATTCAAAACTGCCAAACGCCAAGCCAGCGACCGCATCTTCGAGCTCGTCAATTCCAAGATCGATGACCTCATCGAGACCGCCGAGTACGACTGGATGGCCACCAAGCCCGCCTCACAGCCCAGCGAGTACATGCTCGAACTTACCCGCTACCTGTCCAACATCATGAGCAGCGTGCTTCTCGCCCTCCCCACCGATGTCAAGGAATTCATCTACTTCGACGCTCTCTCACATGCCTCCACCGCCATCCTCGCCCTGACCCTCGACGAGGGCGTCAAACGCGTCACGCCGCCCGCGGTTGCCAGTCTCGCCCTCGACACACAGTACCTCGTGCAGTTTGTCGAGAGCCTGGGCAACCCCATACTGATGGAGAATCTGGATGAGCTGACGCAGACGGTGGCGCTCATGGGCACCGATGACAGCCTCGAGTTTTACGATATCAGTCAGCGCAACAAGAAGTATGGAAAGGTGGATCAGCTTAAGGGCGCGATTTTACTGGAGAAGTGTCAGGAGGGAGCGCAGGTTGCGGCGCAGAGCCCCACAAAGAGTGCGCCGAGTGAGCGGTTTGGCACGTTGGGTAGCCGGTTTGGGCTGGGGAGGAACTAGGGCTGAGGAAGCAAGGGCCTGCAGTGTTCTAGTACCAGCTTTGCTGTGTTGTTTGTGGTGGGTATATAGTAGCTGTAGTGATCAAACGGTAGACTCAACTTTTGACTTGTCGTCGACATCTTCTTGTGTCGATGCTTCTTCACCGGCGCCATGTCTGTCCTTTCTCCATGCAAGAAAGTCCTCACTGACGATCCCCCCCGTCCCCTCTCGCACCTTTGTAACTTCGACGACCCCGCTCTTCTTCCGCAACACCACACTGTACACACCCTCCCCCTTGACCGTCTCCTTCAGCCACCCCAAGAACTCGGCTGCGAAATTAATACACACATTTCCGTCCCAACAGGCCGTTCCCCGGCGCACCATGCCTGGTAACTCGTGCGTCTTGAACGTCTGCAAACCCCTCAACACACCGGCCTTACTGCGAAAGCCAACCACAATCTGCGGCACGCCGAGCAGAAAGCTCTGGGCCCAGAACTTGAGCAGCTTGCGCTCGAAGCGCAGCACATCGCGGTGCTGCTGGCGCTCGCGGGGCGGCAGCTCCTCAGCCGTCTTTAGCTCGACCCAAGGCACCGGTTCGTCAGGATTCTGCGGCTTTGCAGCGAGCAGCCCATCGACTTCACCGCCAAGCAGCAGTGTGTGCGGCCCGAAGGAGGTGTGTACGATGGAGCAGTGCTGGGCGTGGTTCGAAGTGATGGACTGTTGGTGTGCACGGATCTGGGCAGGAGCGGTGGTGGCTGGCAGGGAGGGGATTAGCGAGAGGGTTTCGAATTTGTAGCCCCAGTAGGCCATCATGGCTTGAGATTGCTGGTCGGGGTGGTGGCTGCGGGGCGGGGGACGCGAGGTTTCGGCAGCACGGGAGGCGGCGCGCGACGGGAAGTCTTCTTCAACGTATATTGTGCCATCGTGGAGGGTCGCAAACATGGAGAACTCGGCGAAGTTGTCGTAGGGGGCGGTCATGATCTGGGTGGTGTTAATAGAGGTTCGAGAAGCGGACAAGGTACGAAGGATGGCCTTGCTCACCTCGCTGTCCTGGTCTCTGGGCTCCTCAACTTACTTTCGTCATCATGCCTCTCCAGGTCACAAAGTCTGCCCTGATTTTCGCACGTCCGGCATCCTTGCTCTCCTTCTCCTTGTGCATCAATGCCCTGAGGAGGCTGTCCAGATGCGGATCCTCCTTGTCTTCATAGTGTTTGAAGGTGTCGAACCCCTCTTTCAGATCTGCACCCAGGGGTGGTGGTATGTAGTAGTTGATGCTCGACTCGTCGTCACGGTACTCGTGGTTGTCGTCGTAGGAGAAGTGAGCGACTTCGCGGGGGCGCTTGATGCTTGCAGATGCGCCCTGGAAGCGATGGAGTGGCTGTACGAGGAAGCGGTGTATCTCAGAAGGACGCGCCTGTGCAGGCTGCGAAACGGTCGGAGGTGGCGGCTCGGTTGTGGGCTGAGGCGCGAAGTCGACAACGTCTGTACTCGGCGCTGCCGTCTGGGTTGGGGCTTGGGTTCTTGGTCGTTTGCGCGGCGGCGAATTTGCCTGGTCCTCTGAGCGGGGACTGGCTGGCTGCGGGGCCACACTCCCCGGCGGCATTGCTGTGCCTCGGTCTGCCATGGCTGCTTGCTGTGTAGTGTGTCGGTGGATGCTGTGTCGGATCTCGCGGGTATTGACTGGTCGCCCACGTTGATCAACGTTTAGCTGCAGCTGTGTGAGGGGCCATGAAACAGGAAAACGGCTTCGACGCGTACAGTGACGCGTGGAAACAGCTTCGTGCTATCGGAGGTCGTGTTGCTGCGCGCGTCGTCACCAAGCTGAAGCTCGACGCTCGACACGCTCCACTTCCCCGCGGGCATCTCGCCCCACTCCAAACATCACCGCGGCCAAGACAGAATCAACAAACCAAGCATTCCTCGATCCTCAGTCAAGTCTCAGCTGAAACTGCGTGCAGTCCTGCAACCCGAATCGAATTGCACGGTGGTTGAGTCCAAAATCCCCCCACAATGGACCACACCCGCGCTGTCCGCCCTCCAGCCGGAGCTCGTCGCAACCTTTTCCAGAGCACACGACGACAAAACCCGACTGCAGTGCGTCCGGACACGGCCACAATCTTCCAACAACCCATGGAAGAAGAGATGGTCGAGCGGACGTCAAATGGAGAGTTTGCGCTGTATGCGCCGCAAACGGTTTATAAGCACATGGCACTAGGATTGGGCAGCGGGAGGGAAAGTGACGAAGATACCGGTGTGTCTTTATATACAGCATAGACAGTCAGTCTAGGGTACTAACGAAACCCAGAGCAAGAGAATCAGATCATCGAGTTGTATGGGCGCAAGAACACACATTGGGACACAGAGGCTGTGGAGGCTGAGGTCAAGGCTGCGTTGAAGTCGAGTCTAGCGAAAAAGGTCGCAAGCCTGGAGGACGACAAGTGGATGTTTGAGGGTGATGCAGATGCAGCCGGGAAGAAGTAGGTTGGTGGAAGCAAGTGTCAATGTTATGATCCGCGATACCCTTACAGCAAAGCTAAGTAACACAAGTTCCTCATGTCCAGTATAATGCTCGAGACTTTTGACTCTGACAGAGCTAAACATGCTCTCTCAAATCAGACGAGATCTACCACTGAGTCTTGATGACTCCTTATTTCTCTTCAAAACATCTCCTCACTGACCCGACTGCAGTGGCTGACTCTCGATGTGAGGCGGTGCATTTAAGCCCACACTCCCTCGACCCGCTTCAGACTTGTGCAGGTTTTGCTACAGGCCGAACAGTGCACGACTGCGGAACCTGCTTGCGCAAGTTCACGATGAGATGTGTCTACACCTCGTCGCTCCACGCCCTCGGGGCTGCACCTGCCTCTCCGTACGGGCGGTGACAGGGTTGAAGTGTCGAGCTATCGTGGCCCCACATCTTTGGCGGTTGTGGTGTTGAGGAACACCAAGTCTTCGAAACGCACTTGCAACTTGAGTGCACGCTCGCCCACCTTGTCGATCATGAGTTGTTGAAATGCGAGGCAGTAGAACTCGACAAGGGCTTTCGGATGATACACATCTCGAAGTCGTTGCTCAGGCCGATCCCCCTCTCCCATATCTCGGCGCACCCAAATCGGCCAACTCAGACGGTCACGATGAGCGCCTTCCTACATCTTCGCGATGAACGCACAGACATGTGGCAGAATCGCTACCTGCATGCTCCAGCAAGGTATAGCGCTTTGCGAGCGCCAAGAGCGTGAGGTTCATATTCCTCGCCTTCGTCGCCCTTTCCTTCTCTCGCCATCGCCCACACGACGCTTTGGTCGGTCACTCTTCTTTCTGATACCTTGACCTTGACCATCGTCTCTTTGGTCACTACTCATTCATCGTAACCATCGTTTTCTGTACATCAGTACTTTACTTGTTCAGCATTCGTTCGTCATGTCTCACCACTCACCCCAGTCCTCCAACAGCGTTGGCCCGGCTTCCAGCCCCTATACTGGCACTGACCCTACCTTGTACTCGCCAGAGCTTGCTCGCTACATTCGTTCGACTGGCTTCCACCACCGCAACAATCTCAGCCAGGTCACTGTCACTGACAACGGCAAGCCCTCGCTTCATACAGCTGTTTCTCCCAAGTACAAGGGCGTTCTCCCATTCCCTGCTCCTTACTACCAGGGACTATTTGCCAACGAGATCTCCGAGGACGACAAGGCATTCATCTCCCGCTTCCAGTTCATCTCACAGCTTCCAGATGGCACCAACCCAGGTGTCGACTCTGAGCATGAGCTGTTCAGCATTCAGCATCAGATGAAGCTTGTAAGTTCATTCACCTGAACTCAGTCAACACCACTGACCCTGTCTCAGTACCAGTGCTTTTCAAGCTGCGTTCCTGTCTACACCCGCGGCGTTCACCTGCGCTACGATGATCTTCGCGAAGCTGCAGAAGCCAAGGACGTACTTGCTCAGCATGGCTTTGTCGTTGATTGGATTACTGGCTACGAGTTTGCGCTTGCCAAGTCTCAGGATACTGCCCAGCTCAATGAGTTCGAAGGCCAGGTCAAGATTCCCATTCTTGTTCAGCCTTTCCCTGAACAGGCCGCCTTCGAGTTCACCAATGCCGATCTTGCCGAAATCGCCGAGGCCGTCGAGCTTACTGCTAGCGTGTTCGGTATTGTGCGCAACTGCGTTCATGTCGAGACTCTCGATGTCAAGATGACTCTGGTCTTTCGCGTTGAGTTCCACTCAGTCGATGCTGCCACTCGTGCTGTGCAGAGCTTGACTCTCGATTCGGTCTGGGGTATCAACAACACTGTTAGTTCTCTACGCTCCCTTGGCATTGATGCCTATGTACTGACGTTTCACAGAAAACCTTCCGGTGGGCCATCACCGAGCCTGCTCCTTGGTCTGGTGAGCGAGCCGTCAACTCTCCCCACCGCACCAAACCTCGCGTTGACGATCAGGGCCGCTTTGTTGGGTATCGTCCTGCCGTTGGCCCTTTCAACGGCCCATATCAGCGTCACCCTGCTGATCAGCACAACCGCGTCCGCCGTGAGCGCATTCTTGATGGCAGCGATGTCCGCACCACTATCATGCTGCGTAATATCCCCAACAAGATGGACTGGGTAAGACCTCCCCGCAACAACCCTGCGATTAGTACTGACCGGTATCACAGATGTCACTCAAGACCATTCTGGATGAGGTCTGCTTTGGCACTTACGACTTCCTCTACCTCCGCATTGACTTCAAGTCTGGCTGCAACGTAGGCTATGCCTTCATCAACTTTGCCGACGTCGGTGGCATGATTGCTCTCATCGACCGCATCGAGCGTCGTTGCTGGACTGCTTATCGCTCATCCAAGGCCGCCGAGATTTCGTATGCCACAATTCAGGGTCGTGAAGCCTTGGTGCAGAAGTTCCGGAATTCTTCTGTCATGCAAGAGACACCATTCTGTCGCCCTCGTCTCTTTCTCACCTATCTTGATGCCGATGTCTCCGATAAACTTCGCTCCACCGGCACTGAGCAGGCCTTCCCACGTCCCGACAACCTGTCTAAGCTTCAGCGTTCGATGGATAGCGCTCGTAGCGTTGGTCTCTACCCCCCTCATGGATTCTCTGCTATCACAGAGCACCGCAACCGTACCAGCGCTTACGACCGTGGAACCCCTCGGGACATGATCCAGGCTGCCATGAGCTTCGCCCGCCAGCGTGCTGCTCCCACCCCGCTTGCAGCACTCACTGATTTGCAGAAGCGCGACGTCGAGGTCTGGTACTCCTACAATTATGGTCAGGGCCAGGTTGGATACATCCCCTTCAACTACATTCCCATGACCCATGTCGCTCAGTATCTTGCTGACCAACAGTCTTCTCCCAACTCGATCGCGGTCAGCCACCCTGGTGTCATTGGTGCCCCAGTCGTCCATGATCCCTACAAGCGCGACCACATTGGCACTACCGTTACCACTCCGACTCGCCGCCCTCGTGTCAATGGTAGTCCTTCGTACATTCGCTCAGAGCGCCGCGAGCAGGTTAATGGCGACTTTGCCTAGATGCCTTGTGGGAAGAGGCCACCTCAACTGCCTTCACTGTTACAATCTGTTTCCGCCTGCGTCTCTGATGAGAACAATTCAATTCAACTTCTTCAATTATGGGTAACGATACAGCAGAGGTGTTGTATCCTCTTGGTTTTACTTCGATTCGATCTGGTTGTCAATAGGATGATGGGTGTGGATACAATCTCTGTGTCAGATCATGTAGTTCAGACTCCGTTCCCATAGCATAAAAGCCGTGCTTGACCTCATTCTCCTTATGTGCATTGCGACTTGCTTCCTCAGGTGACAAATGATCTTGACTTTTGACAGGTGTGCGACTTCCATCGTACCCGCATATAGTGGACGCAGAGAGACTCATAGGTATCTGGAGAGCACTGCCATGAAAGCATCAACACGGTGCGACTACAGTCACACGTTCTGATGAGACGCCCAGTCTTGCAAGGTTCGTGACTGCGGCGGCAATGATGCCGGGAAGCTGGATAGGTTGCATATTCTTGGCCCCGACAGACAGGATGAAGCACTCTTCCGAATCTCACCCACTACAAGCTCTCGTTCTCTGAAAGATGCCGCAACTCAGCATGGTGCAAGGAACAGGATACTGGTGGCATCACGCATCTGTGTGAGTGTACAAAGAAATTGCGAGCGCAACAGCGGGCAGTGGATTATCGTGTGAGATCTTCTGTGGTCTTTCGAACACGACCATGATCAGGCAAAGCCTTGTGGGCACAAGAGCATATGCCGCTGTACAACATCGCGCGTACTGCGTCCACCAATGCAATATCGAAGGCCGAGCTTTGCGCAACAGGAAACGCGGATCCATGTCTGTACCTCAGCCAATACCTTCTCTTGCAGCAGGTCAGATGACAGAGAAGACATGACACGCTCTTTTTCTACGTGCAGGTCGATTGCGTGTATGCGGCTAGGAGGAAATAGGACGAGAGGGATGTACCAAGCTGTGATCCGTATGATGTGTGCTTATCCGCTGTCGCCTCTAGCCAAGTGAGCACTGAAGTGCGCTTCAGCTGTATGAAAACACTCAAGCTCTTGAAAGGTGCGTCGGATACTTGCAGTCGATGACCTGGGTACCGCATGGAGATGCGTTGTCTCGGTGGCGAGAGATCTAGATTCTTGGGCACGTAAGGCGGTTAATGAGGTACATTATCACAATCACCACTCTTCCTGCATGCTGATCACAGCTCGATTTTGGTGTTGAAAGCACATAGTCCGCCGTGGTGGCCGGATTTAGAGGGCTAGGGCGAATAGGCTCTACAGGGAAATAGTTTTGAGTATCGCTATCGTCTTGTCATCAGCGATTCGACGTCCAGAACGTTGACATGCGTGAGGAGGTGCTAGCCTGATGGCGCCAAGTGCACGCAGTGACGTAGCTTGGACCGCCGCGGAACCGAGTGCAAGGCTGTCAGCCCCCTCCTCATCTTGGCCAGAACAAAGCATTGAGTATCCAGGAAGATTCTTGAACAGCTGCACGACGATTTGGAAATTGCTTACACCCACCAGGGGGGTGGTAATCTCCCTGAAGCGTACAGGTCGTCTTCAAGCGCCTTGGCGACTTTCACGGTGAATCCAGATGCGGCCACCGCGGCGGCCCCAATGCGGCATGCTTGGAGCGTCCATACATGTATCACCTTCGAGTCAGCATTGCATTGCCTTCGACCTCCGTGTCTGGGTAGTTACATCCTTGATCTTACGGTTCAGGTCTACCGCTGAGGCGAGTGTTGTACAAATCTGGGGTCACGCGGCCCTCTCTCCGCATCTCGGCTGGTTTTGATGACCCTGCTGTATGCCCACCACTCCGGATTCGTGTTACACACTGCTTTCATCTCACGTCACAGAGCTATCAAAACATCGATTTGCTTCTTCCTTGGGTATCGCGAAATTTGCGAAGCGATGCGAATGACCCTGTGCTAGCAAAAATCTTCACCGCTTGCAGAATTTGTCCGGACAACTCTGGACCTCATAAAGACGCCAATAGCCATCAGAAGTCATCTCGCTACAGGATACCGCGGTACCAACATCGTCCGAATCGTGTGGAGCGGACGTGACGATCTTAGCACATCTCTCGTACACTGCACTGCTGGTACAGGTGTTGCAGTGCCCGATCGATTTCTTGGTCCACACACCAGCTTCAAATGCGCTCGCCATCTTTACCTTCATTACACATTCGGCACTCCTAGCTGTCCTTGATCCTTTGCACCGGCTATAGAATGAAACATCCTCTCACTACAATACAATTTCAACAATCAGCACGGCCCCCACTGTGACGGAAAGCTGCCATCACCCGCTTCCTTTCTCTTCGGAGTACCGCGCATAGGCAGGCTTCCGCGACCCCGCGCGGCAATCGAAATAAACCCAGGACTCCGCAAGTTGCATAACAGGCTTGATTGTCGGATTTAGAGACTTGCAACACGTCTCTGTCGGTCATCTGGACTTACATATATTCAGTGGGCGACTGCGAATCTCACATTGGCCCCCATACCCTCATTACAAACTGCAAAGTTGGCGATGCCATTCTCCGCCAATGCACTTATTAACGCCTCGCAGCATGACAAAGCCATGCTCCTTGACATCTATGAGTTACTCAACAATCTCTTTGTTCGCAACAGAAACCAGCATCGCCGCAGCCACTGGTGGAAGAGCTTGCACGCCTTTCGAAAGCAACTCACGATTCTCCTGTCAGAAATGGAGACTGGCAAGAGATCCGAGCGCTCAGCGAAGATCGAAGCGAGGTTAAAGTATTGGGACGAGAAGTGTGTGCATGTCTGGTACTGGTATGGAATGCACAATCTCAGCATTGACAAGCAAAGCTGATTCCGTGTAGCCAATTTTCTCAGCTGATTGCTGTTGGTTCGTTCGCTATGCTGGGCCTGGTGATGATGGCTTCCGTGGCGCGTTTATGCCGCATTACAGGCATCACAACTGCGTACGAGGAGATTGCTTCGGCTGACATTCGGGGTGTCTTGAGCGCGAACGACGAGTTGTCTCTATCAAATGATTTTGGTGACGTAGCTGATGAAAAGCCGGAGTGGGATGAGGGCGTCGTAATTGCACGTGAGGACTAAGAGGGGGGCTAGATCCACGTTCACAAGCGACCCATCACTACTACGGGCCTTCAGCTGTGGACTTAGTGCACTCCAGACTTCTTCATCATCTCAAACTCTCTACTCTTCATCACCTGCATAAAAAGGGGCTTGTGTTTTTTAAGCGACTATGCCCAACCAACTACTAAAACACACCTCTTACTTAGACACGTAATTCCTTCTACGTATAATATAGACTATAGAGTATATAATATACTATACTAACGTACCCTACAGGCAAGTTGCTTAATAGGCAAGTTGCTTAATAGGCAAGTTGCTTAATAGGCAAGTTGCTTACTTTTGCTAAGCCCCTACTAAAGTACCCTTCTTATACTGTAGTGGTAGGAATATGCACAGTCGAAGTGTAGTATATTGTCTAACTCTCCCAACGGTCTATTAGGACTAGTCTTTTAAGCTACAAGTCTTTATCACGTGCATATGCCTTATATCTAGTCCTAATAGAGCCTTAAGTTGCACTAAGTAGTTAACACTCTACTATACATCTCTCTACCCTATAGAGCTTGGCCCTATTAAGCTTATCTTATCTACTAACAAGCAGCTCAGTTGCAACCAACTTAACCCCTCTTAGCAGGATGCCTTAGCCTAATAGGATTCTAGGCCTATACATCTCCCCTAGCGTTAAGAACTATAACTACCTGTTGCATCCTGCGTAGTAAACCTTGCCTAACGCCCTAATAAGCCCTTAGCAGCTTATATTAACCTAGGTCCTAATAGTTCTATAATAACTTGTTTTACTAGTTTATGTTATTATTTATACCTCTATTTACATCGTTCTCTAGCATTATAGCCCTTATGCTGGCTTAGTTTATAGACGCTATTAACAGCCTACTTTATAATATTAGTCTACTTACCTTGTTAATACCTACCTATTACTGCCTATTTTTGTTACTAATAGCTGTTTATTACTTTATATATATGTTTACTTCTGCTAGTATATATGCAAAGCCCTTTATGCCCTAATAGCTTATTAGCTAGGTAAGTAAAGGCGCTCTTAGGCAGCTATGCTAAGCAAACGCGCTAACTTTACTACTAGATTCTAGAGCCTGCACGTAACTTCTCTTACTACCTAATATTACTAACCTTTAGGTGCATATAAGCTAGCTTAGGCGCCTCTCTACTACCTTCTAACTCTAGCCTTCTATTAAGCCTTTTAATTAGCACTTCCTAATTCTTTAATTAGTACTTCTTAATTCTTTATATCTTAGACTAGATTTAATAACTCTCCCTACTATAGTAGTAGTAGTAGCAGCAATAAGAAGCCTTCTAGAGGTTGCAGCGGGCTAGAAAGCGCTAATATTAGTCTATCTAAGCCGTGCCTAAAGACTCCTTAGGTCCTTGTCTAGGAAGCTAGTATATTTATGCTCCCTTTACTAGGCCTAATAGGCTGCTAACTTCTCTAGTGTTGCTATTCCTTAACTGCTGCCTAGACTAGTGCTTAGCCTATAATACTAGCAACACTCTTACCTTTCTTTTTAACTATGCATATATCTAACTACTGCTATTTCTTTAATAAATTATAGAGGCTTATAATACTATTAGCTTAAGCTACCTACTAACTATAGCTAACCCTTAGCTATTCTATATCCTGCTAACTAACAATTTCTAGCCTTATAATATAACTCTCTTCTAGTTCTTCTATAAGATACCTTAAAAGAGGAAGCTAGTTAATCTGCATACTCTTATATAGTTAGCTAATATATAGGCTTTCTATTAACATGCTATTAAGCATAGCTAAAGGGAGGGCTATTCTATTAGTCCCTATAGCCTATTGCTAACTAGTTTCTTGCTAGCGTTTACTATAGGGGCTGTCTAGTATACTGTTTCTAATAATAAGGATAATCCTGCCTCTAAGTATAATTATTATATCTATACTAGAGATCCTTATACTTAAGTTACTAATCCTATAAAAGGCAAGGTCTTTCTGCTAGGCGCCTATACTTTATGCTAGGGGGCATCTTATAGGAATTATTTGTTTAGTAGGCCCTAATAGCTCCTTAGGTTCTTACTTTCTACTAACTATAAGCAGCTTAGGCTTAGCAGGCTGCTAATAAATTGCCTCCCCCTCCTTCTAAGGTTAATTAATTTAACAAAGGCTGCTATAAGGCCTATAAAGTTATTAGCAAGACTGCTCCTTCCTATCCTAATTTGCATTTTAGAGCTAGCTACTAGGCTGCTTAGGATACCTTAAGTAAGGAGCTAGCTAGGTTAGATATAGATAAGAAAGAGCAGGATTGCGCGCGCAAGATTGCCTCTACCTATAATATTAGTTACCTTACTTAACCTTGCAAAGGCACTACCTTCTATAAGCGCGTCTAGGCTACTATAAATCCCGCTCTAAATTCTCCTTAGCTAGCCCTAATAAGTCCTATAGGTTCTATTACTAGAAGAACTAATAATAAGTTAGCTATCTATTTTCTAGCTAATTAGACTAGAAGGACTATGTTACCTAAGCTAATAGATCTTAACAATTTTGTCTAGCTATTATCCGCACCTAGGTCTCCTGTTTATAGTTCTTTTAGTCCTAGCTCGCCTGCACCTAGCTCTCCTAGCTCTAATAGAGGGTTAGGCATATTCTCTTACTGCACTAGCTTCTTGCTAGCTACCTAAAGGGTTTTAAGACGTAGTTCTAGTTCTCTTGTTTTATAGGAGGATTATAAAGTTTTTATAGACGCAATAGAGTATATAACCAGCCCTATCTAGACTTCTTATTAGTCTCTGCGTTTAGTCCCTCTATAATCTCCTTAGACTCCTTAGCAGTCTCCTATGTAGCTAGCTTAGCAATCTCCTTAGACTCCTTAGATATCGCCTTTGTTGTTAGCCTAGAGATCTCCTTTACTATCTCTAACCTTGTTGCCTGTGCTTTATACTTAGGCCTTATTACTGCTTTATTCTCCTATGCAGTCTTCTCCTCTAGTCCTAATAGAGAATTAGGTGCCTTTAGCTTTGCTTAATGCTATAGTGTCTTAGGCTATAGCTTAATATAACCTTCCTTAGCAGTTCTCTAGTTACAGAGGTCTATTAGGGGGTAGTGCTGCTTATAGTAGTTAGCTAGGTTCTCTAGGTTATAGTTAGTAAGGTCTGCCTGCTTAGCAAGGTTATAGTTAGCAAGGTCTATCTAATAATTCTTAGAGGCCTAGCAGGCATTACTAGTATAGTCTAGGTAACGCTCCTTATTGCAGTAGCAAGCAGGGTAGTAGAGGAGGTTTAGCTGCTTGACTGTTTTAGTTTTCTAGCTTTATAGTTTCTAGGTTAGTCTGCTAGTTCTTTCTTGCAATTTTAGGCTTTAATAATTTATTAGCTACTGCTATAGTTTCTAGGGTTCTAGGTTAATTTGCTAGTTTCTTCTTGCAATTCTAGGTTCTAATAGTTCTTTAGCTTAGTTTTCTTATCTTTTAATCTTGAATCTTAGCTTTTTAAAATAAGATATTTCTATTAACCTATCCCCTCCCCTACTTAAAAGACTTAACTAACCCTTAGTTAAGATCTATCTGCCTATCCTTATTAAAGCTACCCTAGTACTTATACTTCTCCTTCTCTTCCTTAGATAGTTTATATAGGATTTAAACCTTAACTATCTTCTTAGCTAACTTCTACCTAGTTTTCTAAGGTCTGCTTAGTATTAGTATGTCTAACTATCTATTAGGCGCTCTAGGCAGCTCCTCCTATCCGCCTATATCTAGCCTAGTAACTATATTTACTAGCACTAACCCTTGCTAGTAGAATTTTATAACTCTGTTGCCTGCATATATTGCGCGCAATAGTATCCTATTAAGCTCTTTAATTAGGTATGTGCCCTTATTAGAGATTCTCTAAATCCTAAAGGGCCCCTTCTACTATAGTTGCAATTTATAGTCTCTACCTATATAGATATTATTAAGGATATCTTAGATTAGCACAAGATCTCTAGGTTCTATTAGGGCTGGCCTTAGTATTGCTTATATATTAAACTATTTCTTCCCTGCGTCCCTTAGCTAAGTAACTCTGTTAACTGCTTTATAAAGTTAATTGTCCCTATATTTAAATTATTTTGCCCTTATTACTAGCAACGTTACTATATCTATTACTAAGTTCTAAGGGAGCGTTTGCTATATAGGGACGTGCAACTTAATAGGTAGTATATGTTCTCTTCTATATATAAGATATATTAGCGTCTCTCCTATTAATTACTTTGCAGTTACCCTATTAGCCTATAGAGCTAGGTGCAGGTTTAAAACCTAATTTCTAATTATCTTTTAGAGTACTAATACTAGTTCCTTATGCCCTCTCTTAATAAGTTCTTAGGCCTAGGGATAAAATATACTAGCTACTACCCTGTTAATCCTATATAAGGCAGCTAAGTTCTTAACTATACCTTTATTTTCTAGCCCTCTATCTACTAACATCTTAAGCAGGATTCCCTATTATGCAAAGATTACTTCCTCTAGGAACTTTGCAGCGCTAGCTAAGTTATTATATTATAGTGCCCTTGCCTCTAGATATCTAGACAGATAGTCCCTTATAATAATTATATACTTTTAACCCCTAATCCTATTAGGTATATAGATAATATCTATTATAATCTACTCCTATAGGCTATTAGAACTAGATGTTAGATAGAGTTCTTCTTAATACTGCTTTATTAAGTATACCTAGCATTCCCTGCAGCTGCAAATATACCCCCACACCTACTAAAACATTCCTAGCTAGTAGTACTGTGTCTATACCTTGCGCTACGTGCCCTCCTAGCTATAGTAACCTAAATTATTATATAGCTTAGTAATAATCTTTATCTATTATTTAGGATTATTACCTACTTGCTATAATAGTCTATTAGGTGTTATTTTTACCTATAGAGTTTTGTCTACTAGTATAAATCAAAGGGCCCTTCTCTGCAGCTTTTAGAGGTTACCTTTTAAAAGGTGTCTTAAGTTCTTTATAGTTAATAGCTATTCTATAATATCCTTAAACTTATTAGTATAAAG